CAGCGAGGTGTGTGTCTGAACAGGCTGACAGGCCGACAGGACGTTGAAGATGGCCTTGTCGATTTTGGGGCCGGGCCTGGGGTCTGGGGCCTGGGGCTCGGCACTTGGTGTAGCCTCAACGCGGCGAAGTTGTGCTGGCTGTTGCACCACATTACCGTAGCAGTGGATGACGAGAATGGTGGTTCAGAAGCATAATTTGTATTCCGGAGTGTCTGATCGCCTGCGGCATTCTCCATACATAGACCGACTGTATACGGGCCTGGCAAGCTTGGGGGGGAAAAAAAAGAATGGACGTCGAGTTCGTAGATGTGGAGTGGAATGGAGTGTGCTCACCTGCCAGGCCACAAACACAAACACAAGCACAAACACATCTGGAGCAGAGAGATGCCAGGCTGCCTGGCTACCTGGGTAGGAGGGCGTTTCACAGTGACAGGCCCTATCAATGATGATTTGAGTTTGCTGTGGATAAAAATGGCCGTCTCGTCTTGGATTGAATAAAGTCTTGTCTTGAATGTACGGGTATTGGTGGAGGAGGCATGTCCCTGTCAGGGTATGACTTGGCCGCGGGCTTGGGGCAGAGACGGTCTTGTGTAGAGGACAGCAGGCCGCGCGTCAGAAGCCAAAGCTAAATTGATGGATGCTGTACTGGTTGCTGTTAGGGTACTCAGGTAGACAGAGGACAGGTTCAGCGTGTGAAGTCCGGTTCAGACCATTGTCACGAGAGAGAGGGCGAGCATGAAGTCTACCACGTCTGGCACGCATCTGGAGTGTTCATGACTCGAAGAAATCCAATTAGATGGTTGAGCACGACGGGAGGAGGAGAAAGGCAGATGGACAGTTACAGTACAGCGAGTGCCGTCAGACTAGGACGGGCAGAGGGCAGGCAGGGCATCAACAGATCAGGAGGGTAGATACAGCCTGGCGCAACTGGCGAAAGGCAGGTCCAAGCCCAAAGTCCATCCAGTCAGAGTTCACTGGAAGGAAAGTCCATTGGGAAACTCCAAGTCCAAGTCCAAGTTCCAAGTAGCAAGTGCAAGTGCAAGTGCGGCGCCCCGACGGGGGAGCACAGACCATACCTTATTTCTGGCTCCAGGGCAGCAGCCAGGGCAGCCAGGGCAGTTGCCCGTCTTGCCCGTCTTGCCCGTCTTTGCCCACCCAGCCATCAGCCATCCAGAAGCAATCCAGAGCGCCAGCCATCTAGAAGAGACAGGGGCTTTAATGGGGCCTGGGTCTACCAGGCGTGCCAGGCAGCCAGGGCCCCTGCTCACCAAGGCATGCCAGGGCACACTTGCCCAGGTACCCTGGGGCACCTGGTCCCTTCTTGCCTTTTGTTTCCCCTTCCCTTGCACCTTGCTGTGCCTTCCCGTCCAGCCCCGCCAAAACCGGAAGGCCGATCATCAAGATGTTTCCTTCCCCCCTCGTCCCGCCCGTCTACCCGTCTGTGCACTCACCCACACCAAGGTGCATGCGTGCAGCGCATGCAGTGCGTCAGCATCTACCTAAACCAGAAACGCTCAGAGATAGAGAAAGAGAGAGAGAGAGAGAGGAAGACAGAGCTGAGCAGTAGAGAATGCGAATGCAGCCATCCGTTGTGTTCGTGATTGTGGGTAGGCACCTGCGCTTGCCTCCTACCAATTTGTCTGTCTGTGTCTGGGAAGCCACCATCAGCTGTGTACAGTAGTCCGGTATCGATGTACCCAGGTACCTCTTCCCTGCCACCTGCCACCCCCCTCCTTTGTTGTCTTGTCATCAAGCTGCCACCACCTGGCCCCCCCCCCCCCACAAAGAAACTTAGAAGCCGCGATATCATCATCTTCAATCAGGGTTGATCCATCTCGCCTCGAGCTTCTGGCTTCGCGCTCGCCTCCTCCGTCGCCCTTCCGTCGCCCTTCCCCTCTCTCTCCCACCCACACCCAACCCATCTATCCGCACCGTCAGCAACAGATCCAGGTCCAGGTCCAGGTCCAACAGCCACCTCGCCCGCATCCAGCCGACAGCCAAACCTAACCCAACCTTGCCAGCCTTTCCAAAGCGCCATCCTCATCAATCAGCAGCAGACCAACGCCCGCCACCGAGAACGGACAAGACGCCAGTCTTCCAACCCATCCCATTCTTCGGAACAAAGGGTCCCCCAACATCATGCAGACGAGCTATCAAAACACTACAGTAGGAATCCGTACATTTGCTCACCCCCCTCGCCCCCGCCATTCCACGCCACTATGCTTCTTGAAGCTGGTCCAAGGGGTGTCAAGGTACACCAAGGTCTGTGCTGAGCTTCTGGCCCACAGCCCAGGCGGCGCCTCCTCCTCCTCCGAGCTCGTCCAAGGGTCGTCCCCGTACGAGGCACACTGAAGCCGGCCCTATTCTGACAGCCACTACCATTGGATTTGGCCCGCCTTATCGCCAACAACCGCCGATTCCGATCCATCACCACCCACGCACTGCTCGCTTGCTCGTTTGTACTGCTGTCGTGGCGACCCACCTCTGGCATTTCTTGCCCGTGCCTGGATTGTGCACTTTTGGGCCCAAGAGTCAGTCAGCATCGACGTTGAACATCGTCATCTTACACTTGTGAATCTTCGACGACTTCACCAGAGCAGCCTTTGCCCACCAAGCGCAAGACTGCAGGGGAAGCACCGGGAGCTGACATCGGTTATGGGTGGATACATTAGACAGGCACGCAGGCACGCAGACGGGCAGACAGAGACAGACGGACGCGGAGACGGACAGACAAAACAGACACAGGCACAAAGCCACCACCATCGGTTGTTCCTGCGTTCTGACTCCTGTCGTTCAAGTCCGGGAGCTGCTTGGCCTGCCGGTTCATCCCACGTCCCACGTCCGCCTCCCTCGCTCGAGCAGCCATCTCCGCGCCAATGCGAGGGGCACTTCTTAGAACGTGCAATACATGCGCCTTTGACCCCGTCGCCCAGGCTCGCCAGGCTCGTCTTCGCCGACCAGCCCTCCTCAACCATGCCACCCGAGCTGCCGCCGTCGCATCCCGGCAATCGCCTTGTACTGCCCAACCTCCCCACTCCGCATCTCAAGACGAAGCCGGACCAAGGAACACGAATCACGAATCAGACAACCCGCATACTCTAGAGTAGCTACCTGGAACTACCTGCTCTGCCCAGGTACACACACACTAACGCTGTGGTGTTGTGGCACGCCTCCGCAATCAACTCGCCAACAACCCGCCAACCTTATCTCGCCTCGCTGACAAGACCCCGAAGCACGCAACAGCACCCCGATCTGTAGCTCCGTTGCCCTCTGTCATCAGTGTGTTTCCGCTGTGCATCGCGACTCCTGCCCGTCACCTGCATCACCGCCCACACACAATCAGACAGAGTCGAGACGACAGTGACAGCCCCCCTCACTCGTGCAATCCCCAAAGGGCTTGCTCTCGCGATAATTCATCAGCCATACATGTAGACGTAGCCTGCGACAAGTACTACCTGCCTCTTGTCCACGTTGAGTCGGGTCACGGCAGAAGACAGCATCACCCTGCATTTGGCGCGCCCCCGGTATACTATGCACAGCACAATTATCACAACTGTCTGCTAGCCATTGCATTTCGGTTATTCCGGTACAGCCAGCCCTTAGTATGGCTTCTGCCAGCTGTATGTACAACTCACCCATTGGAGCAGTGGAAAAAATCGGGTATACCTCTGTGACTTGCATTGGCTCTCATGTGCCTGGCCAGGGATCGCTGGCTAGCTGCAAACTCCCGGGGAGGAGGGGGCCGTTTCCTTTCTTTCTTTTGCTGCACGCCGACCATGGTTGGCCAGCTGGGAGAGCGCCCACACAATAGTACCTGAGCCGAAGTGGAGAGGGAGGCTGCGCGCGCTGCTGCAGAGCAATAGACGATAGACGAGACGACGCAGGCTTCGGACCGCAGGCACAAAACCAAAAGGCTCGCTCGTCCTGTCTCCTAAAACCGCCCGGCCTGCATCCTTGATGCAGGAGACCAGAGGCAGAGGCCAGTCCAGACAGCGCCGTACTGACAGACGGCGTCAGGGACGGACCTGGGACGTTCCATCACACCAAGCGCTCTGCCTGACCCTAGACCGGCACCAGCAAGCTTCCTCTAAGCCTAGGGGATTTTCATGCAGGGAACTGGCGGCTTTGGTCGGTGCAACATTGCCACAGGGTCGGTTCCCCTGCCACCTTTTCTGCTCCTCTTGCCCCAATCCGGACTGCGCAACGTCAGTTTCTCTTCCTCATCAATCCACTTCATCGCTTCTTTGCCTTCTCAACCCTGCCCTGCTACAGCACTGGCGACGGAATAGCCTCCCTCTGCTCGCCATTGTATTATCCACGGCTGCGACATATCACCATCTCCTTCATCTCTCCTGCCACCACCACGACCACCCACAGCTTCTTCCCCCTCACAGCGACATGTGCGGTCTGTTGTCGTGCTGGCCGGTCTGAGCGCTTTCGAAATCCCCCACTTGGCAATCCGGAGACCGCAGAGTCAGCAACAGGGGCAGCGGCGTTGTGGACCTCGATCGCCATTTTTTTTGTTTTGAGCAGCGCCGTGAGCGTGCACAGGATCCGCTCCTGCCACACACCCCTCTCTTTCTCTCAAACAGGGCAATCTATCGTCACAAAAGACCAAAAAAAATTCACCGTCCCAGGTCGACAGCTCGACTCGAATGAAACATCAACATCAATAATCCTTGGGGCGCTGTCTTGCTCTCCTCACCCTGTCCCTATCTCTGCCCGGCCTCCCTGCCTCTCCTCTTCTCTAGTCAGACTTCCGTCTAGGCACTTAGCTTAACAATCAGTCTCAAACATCATCCCGCCGCAGGGCCCCGCATCACCCCTGTCCTCCCCCTTCCCTGCTGGACCAGGACGCACCGACTGTTGGCGGCGTTCCAACTCAGCCTCACAATAGGCTACTGGTTTCTTAAGCGCCGCATTGCCCTCCCTTGGGATCCTTCCGTTCTCCCTTTGACCCCCTCTCAGCTGCACCGCTCCACCACCCCACGACTACAAAGATGGCGGCGACTTTTCGCTCCGTCAACTCATCACAACCACCACCTCCCGACATGGCCGAGACGGATTCCAAGCTGACGTCTCCAACGACGCCCCGACCCAGCACAGCCCCTCAGTACCTGCCACCACCAAAGCAGACCGCCATGGATGATGCGACGACCCCGACGAGGGCTACGTTCGGCGCCGGCACGATGGCACAACAAAAACCTCTCCCGTCATCGCCATTTCCCGAGGGCATCCAGGTGCCCGAGGATGCCACAGAGAGCAAGACATCATCGAGGGAGGCTTCACACCAACCAAAGAGATCAAGAGATTCTGCCGAGATGGACCTCGACGATGCAGAGGATAAGGACACGCCCGGTGGCGGCGATGACGAAGCGGACTCGGATGACGAGGACAGTGTGAACGCCGACGGTACCAGGTCGAGTAAGAAGAAGAAATCGCAACGATTCTACTGTACCGACTATCCGCCATGTAACTTGAGTTTCACGAGAAGCGAACACTTGGCGAGGCACATCAGGTAAGACCGATACCTGTGAATTGTTGCCGCTTTCTTTTGATCAATGGCTAATTCTCCGAACTAGAAAACACACTGGCGAACGTCCCTTCCAATGCCACTGCTCCAGGCGTTTCTCTCGCCTTGACAACCTCCGACAGCACGCCCAGACTGTACATGTGAACGAGGACATCCCCTTAGACTCCTTGGCCGCAACTGGTACGCGGTTTCAGAGACAGATTCGGACGGACCGGGTGCGTCAAGGTGCTGGAAGAGCCAGGGCCTCGACGGCTGGGAGTATCAGCGCACCTGGCCGGGGCCATTCTAAATCACTCTCGACGTCCAGCATCACAAGCATCAGCTCCATCGGCTCGACTTACAGTTCAAGGGATGATGTTCGGAGGCGGCCACCACCTCTCGTAATGGCTGATCCTCAAGCCCGGCTTTCCATCGAATCCTACCGGAGTGCTGGCTCTGGCCATTTTCCGTTCCGACAGCCGTCGCCGAGTGATTTCGGCACCCCGACATCTGCAACTTTTTCTACGGGCCAGAACAGCCCGAGATGGGGCTCTGTCGTTGGCTCACCTGCCACCACATACTCTCGCAGCCACGCCATGTATCCATCTGGCTCTCGCACCCCCGGACGGCGGCTTAGCGTGCCTTCTGGTGTGAACCCCTTCCAGTCCCCTCACGGATCCGGTAATCTCGGCCGGCCTCTCTTTGGGCCTGGCTCCCAGAACGCCTCGAATTCTGCCGCGCTTGGTTCTCCGAACGCGAGCTTGCTTGCCTCTCCCACAACATCGACCTCTGGGTGGTCTCGCCGCGATTCGCTCAACAGCGTTGCTGACGAGGCATGGCGTAGGAGGACGTGGCACCCGGACAGCAGCAACTTCACTAACCCGGGAAGTCGACTCAGCCAAGTCATCACGTCGTCGCAGCTCGACCCCCCTCCTGAGCCCTTACCCGCCGTTGTCAACAATGGTCCTCAGCAGCAGAACATCCGCCTGCCCGGTATCGAGTCCTTTGATCCCATCCCTCGTCGACCGTCCTCGCCTGTGAGAAGGGCGCCCTCGCCTATGGTGGTTGATAGTGAAGCCGCCAATCCACCTGCGCTGCTGCCTTCTGCAAACATTTCGACGGAAAGACAGGCCCTGCCACAGTGGGAGATGGGTCTTCACCGTGGGCTGAACCGCCTGGAGATCAACAACACGACCCCTCCTCGAGATGGAGCTGGCGCTTGGGCAAGCGAGGTTCAACAGGCCATGCAATCTCGGTCTGAGCAACCCCGACCATACCAACCCACCGTGCGTTTTGAGCCCCAGCCACAGATTGTGCACCCGCCGCCTATTCCGCAAGCCGCTGGGCCCCCGAGAGGTCATCAGCACACGATGTCAGCTCCGTTGATCTCGACGAACCGAGAGGCCAAGCGTCACGGCTGGTACAACGGACCGGTCACGGTCCATGAAGACAGGGTCCTGGAGGGACGCCCGCACGTCGATCGCATTGCGCACCCTAACCTGCACGCATTCTCCGGCTTTCCTGCCCGGGAGCAACCTCCATCACAGTACCATGCCCAAGCGACGACCCCCGACTCTTTGAGGAGACTAGAGGCTCTCGTCGCAGTTGCCACCAGCGAGTCGTCTACTGCGACGGCGTGCTAGGGCGACGGCGATGGTAGTGAACCAGGCCACCGCGCCTGAGCCAGATCCGTTTCTACGATGTCAATATTACGCCGATGTTGCCCCGGCCTCACATATCAATCATGCTCACGACTTGACGAACCCATTTCGAATATTATACGACAGTCACGAATACCTTCTTCCTCTTGCATTGGGGAGGCTCGCATCGCCCCCCGGATATAACAACGCAACACACCCACACCCTCACACTCGCTCATCATCTGTGTCTCTTTCGGGCGGTTTTGACGAAATAGTGATACCAGGTCGGCGGTTTTGAATTAGTTTGGCGCTGTGGGATACCTGCTTTACTTGGACTTGTTTACCAGCGATGCTATTTCGATTTCACCTTTTACTGCGATATCTCTCTCGGCGTCTTTTTCCTCTCGCTCTACGCTACCTGACCATCTCCTTGCCCTCCATCGATTCTCACTCGTGCTTCCGGCTCGGCTTCTTCTTTCCGGTTGCACCTACCGCTCCCAACTACTTACTAGCCGCGGGGAAAAGCAACAAATGCCCGATTCGACTTAGATAAGACGTGCCTTGGAATTCTACTTGGTTAAATCAACATTTGGTTCGCGCACCATTTCCCAACTACTATCTCGATGTGACGTGGAGAGCGAGGGGCTGCCCTATATCTCCTCGGGAGGTGTGGGAAGGGACTATAATGTGACACGGTGGATCATGGGACGGGAAGTACTCTGCTTCTATGATACCCCCACCATCTTAGGATGCCGGAAGGCTTTTGCATCATTGGAGGCTCTCTGTAGAGGCCAAGGGCCCCCTTTCTTGACTTATCTGGACGGGAGGACTTGGGAGAGGCATTGTGGGCGAGCCTGCATGATCTCGCCGTGGGAAAGGCATTGGGAGGCTAGATTGTCCCATTTGTTTTCATCCATCTTCCCTTGGTCAACCCTGGGGTGCTTCCTGTACGGGACACTCCTGGCCCTGATGCCATCGTCAGCATCTGGTTGGACGGTCACTGTTTTCCTTGTCGTGGTTCCTCATCTATTTTCCCTTCCCCACACCCCTCATGCTTGATTCCTTATTTGCTATTTGGCTCGTGAGAGCGGGACGTGCGATGGGATTGATACCCTGAGGATAGTTAGGATTGAGGGGGTTTAAACAACCCCCTCCGTTTCTCATCTTGTTTTTTTTCTTATTTACATAGCGGTCAATGGAATTGATTACCCTCGCCTTTGCATGGGCATATATCTTGAAGCATCTGAGTGGATAACGCTGATGACACGTGAAGAGAAAAAAAAGGGGGAAGAGAGACAGGAGGCTCTCCCCGTCCTCGTATACCCGCGTGCCGCGCGTGCGTCAGGAGCAGCCGGTTTGCCGTGATATCCGCGGCCGCTCCGTATTAGTAGTCGCAGCACGCGAGATGCAGGTGGCTGACAGGGCAGCAGCAGGGCGCGGCTGCTCGTGTGCGGGTCTGTTGTGTTGCATGGTCGCTTGTGTGTGTGTGTGTGGTCCTCTACAGTACAGTAATATCTGCGTGTGCGTGGTGTAACGTTGACGAGGTGCCTTCCATTCTTGCGGCTGCCGGGGCGGTCTGGGCTTTGGGTGTTGTTGCAGTCAGTCAGTCAGTCAGTCAAGTCCCAGGGTCAAAGATAGTCGAGGCCGATCGCGGATGTTGCAGGCAGGGCGGCCGGGCGGCCGAGAGCGTTGTTGCTGTACTGTACCTATTCTACTGTAACTGTACCGTGCGCCCATACATTACAGCATGCGACGTTGAGAAAGAGAGTAAGAAGTGGTCAGCTGGGCGCTGCTGGGGCTAGGTTTGTTGTTGCTTTGCCTTTTGCGATGGGCTGCCTTTGTTTGAGCATGGGTCGCGGCGGGTGTAACGTTCGGGAGCGGTCGGGGAGACGGGGGAGGGGGACGCCAACGGCGATAGGGGGAGGAAGCACTGGGGGGAAGACTTGGGGGGGAACTGGGGGCCAGCGCTGGGAATGGTTGGTGGGCTTCTTCGCGTGGGAGTTTGGATGGAAGGAGGGTGTGTGGATGGGCTGGTGGGTTGGTTGATCTCCTTGTTCCCGGCAGCAAGCGAGCGAGCGAGCGGTGGGGGATGAGTGGATGGATGGATCTTGGGTTATGCAGGCGTGCCTTTTGTGTAGGCAGATGGGGGATGCGATGCACGTAGGTAGGTGCGTGTGTGTGCATGGGCTCGCTGTATGCATATATGTATGCATGTTATGTGTGTAGGTATATGTGCGCGGTGGTCGATGTGGAAGCTGCCAAGACTCGAGGTTTGGGGGTTTCTGCGCAAGCGTGCATGGTGTATGTATGTTTCACTTTCTGTGGTGTCTCTGTTTACCCTCGTGTGTGGGATGAGTTTGATGATATGAAATGGCTGGTGTAGATCTCTGTCCATGTTGTATGTACAGTATGTTTTGCCTGGAGGGCTCACCGCTGACTATCTTAGAGATGGCGTGTGATCAGGACAGTCCTGCCTGACTGTCCCTCCCTCTCCCTCTCCCTCTCTTTCCCGTTCTCCAATCGTGAAGCATTGTCCTCGATACACTCGTCTGCGAATTACTTTTAGCTGGAGCCTGTGAGTGCACATCCTCTCCACGCGTGTGGGAGCTATGTATATCTTCACGAAGCATGCAGAAAGTAAGACTCAACACCATCACATGCGAGATAGAGGAGGGGGGAGCTCAGACAGATGTCGTCACTTGGACCAGGGTGTTGGAAACAGCTCCACCAGCAGGGGCTTTTTTTTTCTCCATACGGAGAACACATAGATACTTGTACAGTAGTGCTGCAACGCAACCCGTCTCTACAGTAGATTACTCTTGACCTCAGCTGATCTCATGGCAGAGGCAGATGAAACGGAGACATGCATCCAGCCTCTCGGGAGAAGTGCATGGCAGTGACAGGCAGGCACCCAGACACCCAGACGCCCAGAAAGACAGAGTTCATCTAAGCGAGTCGTGGCGCATTACTGTTATGCCATCAGTCTATTCATCCATTTCATCCATACACATCGTGCCAGCCACTCACCCACCCGGCCACCCTGCCATCTCGATTTGATGGAAAAGATAGATGGCTGGGCTGAGCTGGGCTGGGGTCCAGACGGAACATGGAAGATGGAAAGGGCCATACACCCTTGACATCCTGACCAAGTGTGGCGTCAAGGACAGGGATCACTGGCGCAGCACAAGATGAGCAAAAGTGCCCAGAGACGGGCAAGACGGGCAAGACGGGGCAAGCCAGATGAGGGGTATGACGTAGCCAGGTGTGGCTGATGCACCAATGACTGAGACGCCTCACATCACTCTGGCGTTGGCATCGCCGCGAAATCAAGGCAGATGAGCTTGTCTGTGTCTGGGCCGCCAGGACCTGGCCTACTGCATGTGCCTGTGTCTCTGCGTGCGTGTGCGTGCGTGGTAGGTAGTAAGGCATAGATGGAAAAGAAAAGAGAGAGGGAGGGATGATGATGATGATGATGATGATGATGGAGGGGCCCTTGCCTGGCCTAGGCCCCGAGACTGATATCATATCATACGCGCCAGGCATGGGAGCAGCTGCGTGTCACTGTGGGATGATGCTATGCATGTCTGTCGCTGTCTTATAAGGCCTCGTCGCGGACCCTTACATCTTTTATAGCTCTTCTGTCTTTTGCCATATTGGAATTCCGTTGATCATCTCCTGTTTTGACATCAACCGTTGACTGATAATGTGAGTGTGCAGTCTGTCTACCTTACCCACCTAGATCCAGTACTGACTAGCCATCTCCAGACGAACCTTTGAGTCTGTAGTCAATCTACAACGTACTCCATCTTCAAGCCAAGAACCTACAGTACCCAGTTCTTTCGATCACCAGACACAAAATGGCCAACATCCAGAACCCCACAGCCCCTCAATTCTCCGAGGAGGACAAGAAGAAGCAGACCTGGGGCGAATACGGAAAACAAGTCTACAACGAGCAATACGAGAGGTGGATGCCCTGGATCGAGGACTTCTACCTCCGCTGGTTCACCAAGGAGAACAAGGCCAGCTACGCCACCAAGGGTTAGTTCCATCACTTTGGTCCTCTGTCACTGCCCTATCCTCTTTTAACTTCCTGGTCTAACAAAGATTCTCAGACACCCTCGACAAGTCCAAGGTCACGGGCGTCGAGCAGGTCGACACGCTCCAGGACGGCGTCCACAACCTCGTGGCCGGCCAGGTCGGCCAGGGCGGCCTGCTGCAGCCCGTCGGCGACGCCGTCTCCAAGGAGGGCGTCAACCGCGCCGAGCGCCAGGGCAAGGACGACAGCGGCAGCTACGCGCCCGGCCCCGCCGGGAGCGTCGTCAACCCGCTCGCCGAGGGCGGCAAGAAGGTCGGCGGCGGGCTCGTCGATGGCGGCAAGGCGGCTGGGGGCTACGTCGGTGGGCTGTTTGGCGGTGGGAAGAAGTAGAGGAGACAACAGTCCTGTTCATGGCTTAGACTCCTCTTCCTGCCCACTCACTACCCTTTTCTTTTTACATGTTCATCTTGGCTAAGGTTGTTTCCTTGTGGGCATCGTGGCCTGTTCGTATACCCCGTCTAGCGACTTTACATTATTAATGCGATTTTACCTCGAGAATAGAAGAACTCTATTTCAAATTACCATGTGCTGGTTCACCGTCTCTGTAGTGAATCGTGCGTCCACTCTCACCGTGCCTTGAGCTTTTGTCTTGCGTCTTGGACCATCTTGTCGATATCATAATACCAAATCTCATGGAATCGCCATGTGATCTCCTTGCCAAACCCATCTGGGTCCCTCGACAAATCCCGGTCCCGCCACTGAAACAAATCAACAGCGTCCCTGGTGTGCTTGACGAGCCACTGTGTCCGGCCATACCGCATATCACTGTACACCTCAAACGCCGCAGCCAGCCTCGCACCAACCGACACCCCTTCGTCTCCGGCTCCAGCCACCCCGTCCTGAACAGCCTGCAGCAGCTCCGCCAGCAGCAGCGCGTCCTCGATGCCGAACCCCGCCCCAGCGCCAAGGTGCGGCCCACACGCGTGCGCCGCGTCGCCGGCCAGGCATATCCTGCCACCGGCGGCGCCCTCGCCGTGGTACCGCGGCACAGGGTGTTCCAGCATGTCGAAGATGGCCCACTTGTCCATCTCCCGCGGCAGCAGGTCCACGACGGCCTGGATGTCCGGGTGCCACCCCTCGAACGCGGCCCTGGCCTCGTCCCGCGCGGCGCTGCCCACGTGCGGGTTCCTGGCGCCCTCCGGCGCGGCCCAGGGCTCCGGGTCCGAGACGACGGCGAGGGTGTTGAGCATCGTGTTGTTGGCTACCGGGTAGGTGATCACGTGCGCGCCCGGCCCGTTGTACATGTACCTGGTCGAGGTCATTTTCTCGGGCAGGGAGGCCTGCGCCTCGGGCATCGGGATCAGGGCGCGGAACGAGTACTTTTTGCTGTATGTTGCTGCTTTCTCCGGGCCGAAGACGAGTTCCCTCACCCGTGAGCGGATGCCGTCGCAACCGATGACTGCAGTGCGAGTGTGAGCGTGAGATTCGATGTATTCGCGACCATGTTTTCTGTCAAGTTGGTCCGTAGGAAACACCCACCTGCATCAGCAACCTCCTCCGTGCCATCCTCAAACACGAGCCTCACCCCCCTGCCGTCCTCCTCCCGCGCAACCACGTCCCGCAGGGCCCTCCCAAACCTCACCGCCCCATCGGGCAGACACCCCATCAGCTCATCCAGGAAGTCACTCCGCCGGCACCCGCGGAAGCACCCCTCGCCCACGAACAGCCGGAACATGACCTCCCGCTTCAGCCCGTCCACCCACTGGAAGTAGTCCTCCCCGTTCGGGTTCGCGACCCGCTCGTACGCGGCGTGCACGGCGGGCGAGAGCCGCTCCATCGAGTGCTCCGCGTTCGGGCTCAGCCCGATGCCCGCGCCCACCTCGTACGCGCCGCGGGCGCGCTCGTACACCGTGAAGGGGACGCTGCGCGCCTGCAGGCCTATCGCTAGGCACAGGCCTGTTATGCCGCCGCCTATGATGGCGATGTGGGGTGGGGAGGACATGGTTTCGGGTCGGAGTTTTGAAGAGAGAGGGGGAGGCGGAGAGGGGGAGGCAGGGAGACGACGTCTTTGGCTGTTGAGCTAGTATTTGTCCCGTTGACATCATGGACGAAGTTGGTTCCTGAGCTCATAAATACCAGCTGTGCCTGCTCAGTTGATGTTGAACTTGAGGACAAAGCCGTTTGCTGCGTGTTGAGCTTTGGCGTCCCCGAGGTTGCATCCCCGTCGGAGTCCGACCGCCGTGCGGTGTTGGCGCCGGAGGTCCGGAACCAAGAGCTGCTGAGCTGTGGCATGTCTCGGCGCCGCCCGACATTTCAACTCGGCCGTTCACGTCTCTCCGTGGGTTCACTCACAAGACTGATTGAACAACTACATTGTCGTTGAAGCCTTCGGAGATGGCCGGCACTTCCAAGGAAAGGGTCCTTCTGACCGGTATGTTCATCAGCCCAGGTTCGATTCGAACCAATGCGCGTTCAAATATTATTGGGCTCTCACCACCCCCCGATTGGCTTTTGGGCTGACGTTCTATGTATCTATCAGGCGGGAGTGGGTTCATCGCATCTCACGTCCTCGATACACTGCTTGCGCATAGGTATGCCCGTTGCTTCCATCCCAGCCACTTCGGCACCACCCATCCCACTGGACAGCATCATCACAGCTTCCAGAACGCCTTCGGCTTATTGACCGCATATTTGCGACAGGTTTTCTGTGGTTGTGACAGCAAGGTCGCCCGAGAAAGGTCAAGCCATCGTTGAGTCGGTCGAGGAGTCCCTGCGGCCTGACGTCTCTTTCGCTTTGGTCGAAGACGTTGCTCAAGACGGGGCCTTTGATCATGTACATGCCCATTTTGGTGTATCGAGTAAACCTAGGCCTCATTATGCTGATTCCGATCTCTGCCAGGTTCTTCAATCCAGCCTAGGCTTCGACTATGTCATCCATACTGCTTCACCTTACAGCTTCAAGGTTGATGACCCAGTGAAGGACTTTCTCGATCCCGCCATCAAAGGCACCACCGGCATTCTCAAGTCGATCAAGGCGTATGCCCCGTCAGTCAAGCGGGTGGTCATCACCTCGTCTTCAGCTGCCATCCAAAACCCGCTGAAGCATGAGAAGGTGTACGACGAGAGCAAATGGGCGCCATTTACCTGGGAGGACGTCCTGGCCAAACCTCAGTTCGGCTATCCAGGGAGCAAGGTGAGCTCTCATGCTCCCATTTCCTCGCAGTAATATTCTGGGGATAACTGACACAATACACAGAAACTAGCCGAAAAAGCCGCGTGGGAGTTCGTCGCCAAGGAGAAACCGCCCTTCGACGTCGCCACAATCTGCAACACATACACCTTCGGCCCCGTCCAGCGGCAGCTCCCCAGCCTGGACGCCATGAACACCTCCAACCTGCGCATCCGCGACCTGGTCCTCGGCAGGATGCGCGACGGCCTCGAGCCCACCTTCCCAGTCTTCACGTGGGTCGACGTGCGGGATGTGGCGCTTGCACATGTCCGCGCTGTGATGAGGCCCGCGGCGGGAGGGCAGCGGTTCTATATTGTGGGCGGGTATTTCTCCAACAAGAAACTCGCGGAGATTATCAGGCACAGCCATCCTGAGCTGGCTGGGCGGCTCCCGTCTGAAGGGGCGGAGGATGATTTCCCCAGCGATGTGTATGGGTTTGATAATTCGCGGTCAAGGGAGGTGTTGGGGCTGGAGTATCGGACTTTGGAGAATAGTGTGAAGGATACGGTTGAGTCTATATTGGAGTGGCAGACTAGGCACTGAAAATACGCGGGACATACTTCGAGAATATTTGTTCCTGCGGGAGGAGGTGTGATGCTTTTGTGACTTCTGCTTGTTATGTGAGTGCTACTACACATATGTTCACAAAGAAGTGGCAAGCCTAACATAATGAGTTTCTGCCTATGTAAGCCTCCATGAAATAATGCTTGGAGGATGGGTGTGCTTGAAAGCTCTTCAGTTACCTGCTTCTCAAAGGTTAACTAGATACTCAAGAATACAAGGTCGGCCTCCAGCAAAGAGTGTTAATATATATACTGTCATGTCATATTACCCAGAGATCCGGGGTCCCTTCGATTCGAAACTCATGTCTACATATGAAGACTTCACTCAACTATACAATTCGTTTTCTCACCTAGACAAGAATATGCAAGCTCAATCTCATACACATTTGGTAGAAAACACTATGCACAACTAACCCTGACTCACAAGAGGAGTATCTGGACCAGTATCTGGGTGGTGCTCATAAGCTGTCAGGGAGGCCTTGCCTCTGTCAAACATGTCTTGGCTCGTGCTCCTGGTGATAGCCTCTTATCATGAATATCGGACGGTCGTCTCCACTGCCATTCATCTTTTATAATTCACTTGGTTCAATTACCCCGCAGCTATTGGTGAAAACGAAGGGCACGCCAGCCTTCATAACAACAGCAGACGGGCCTTTGTCAGAACGCCTCTGCCAATGCGCACACCGAGCCCATTTTCTGTTGTCAACAATCTTCAGCAACCCACCGAAGAATCTCAGGATGGCAGGATATAATTCTGGATGGCCCCCTGGGGCCAACACCAACTCTTCAGAGGTGACAGAATTTCTTGACAGCGTACAAGATGCTGCCGACACTATCGATGCAACAAACAACCAGACTCTGGCTTCTCAGGTGGCATTGCCAATTGCCAACGCCTCTCACGTAAGTATTCATACCTCTCAATGTCTTCTTAGTTTGGTTGCTAATCATATACAGGGAATCGATACTCAATGTGCTCAAACGGCAGAGCTCGTTGCGATTACGGCCCGCTCCGAGGCAGACAGCCCTGATCGCACCCGCGAAACAGATCGAGTTCTGTTCGAGCCTTTCAAATTCTTGCCTCTCGAAGTTAGAGCCATGATATGGCTTATTGCTGCTGAGGCGGCGAGACCGAACGGGGTCTATCAATTCAGGTTCGCAAGACTGTGGCTGGTCGCGGACGGGCTGGCCCAGACCGTCTTCACACACGTTCATCGACTCAGCCCTGGCGCCCTCAGCCGTGAGATCTTTGATTTAATTCGGCGAAGCCATCTTGGGGGCCAGTCTATCTTGACCTTCACTCCCTTTCGCGAAGTCGGCATGTTCACCCTTGAAATGCGAAACTTGTTCCGAAGCTGTTCAGAGGCTCGGTCTGAGCTGACCCGCACGCCCGGATTCAGCTCAAGCTTCAATTTTCACTGGATGGACGGCATCAAATGCAATTTGGGCACGATCCGGCCATTTCATTACGATACCGACTGGATTAGCATCTGGGGACTGCCCTATCAGACCCACAACACGCGTCTTAGCCCTGACTTGCTGTGTACGCCTGACATCAGCCGCATCCAACATCTTGCGCTCCCCTGTGTTGATTACGGACGCCGATCGGACATACCTGACCCAATGAAAACCCTACACATACTCTGTCGGCTTGATGGTCTCAAGTCGCTTGGCCTCTACGAGTCCACCTTCACCATCAGAAATGTGTCACGCTGGCGGAAGCCGATCACAGAGAACCACAAATTGTTTCTCAAAGTCCTTCCAATTGTGGCTCCTGAAACAGATTCACTAAATCGACTGAGTGACCGGTCATTTCGTGCGGCAATGAAGAGGATGAAGGCTTTCATCGGGGACACATGTGTGATGGCAAATGTCAAGAGTGTTGAGAATTGGCACCCAAACAGCATGGACATTGCGGGCTTGAGGTTCTGTTTTCTGGTCCATGGCGAAAGCGAGGACGGACTGGATCTCACAGGGTTCAGGGAGGATGGCTCCCATCTGGACAATGCTGACCGAATTGAGGATCTGGGATCTCTTGGGCGGGCAGTCAAGCGATTGCAGCTTGCAGCGGCTTAGTCTGACCTGGAATCTGGTTACACAGGAATGGATCTGTTTTGAAGGAGAGCGTCTCTTGCGGGATTGCGGCCCATGCTGGTCTGCGGACTGGTGATTACTTTGACTTCCTTTGTGGTGGGTTCTCATTCACACGTGAACTGTGGATAAGTTGAGTCCTCCATTGTTCTTGGTTGAGTCTATCGCCAGCTGCCCGTCGTTGCTTTTTTGAGCATATCAGAGGTTGGAAGCCAGCAGGGGAAAAACTTTTAATGGACAGATATGAGAGCCGGCTGCTTCGGAGATAATGTACAACAGTTTGTACATGGTAACTAACAGTGAAGATCCCAAAGCCAAGGATCGAATACTTGTCTTAACTTGTTACATGAAATCGCCCACGGGAAAAATAAGATTTGCGAAGGAGCGAGGTGAATGCCAAAGAAGTTAAACAACTCGAGGAGGACTTCCAGTCGTTGACTGTCACGTGGTCCAAGGAGATCAATTTATGGGTAGAAACATAAAGATGTGCGAACCCTGCACATGTTTAAGAGCTCAGGTCACATTGGCGCCAACATCAACCCGCGTTCCGTGCTCCGCATTTCTCATTCGCCTCGCCTGCAGGAATCTCCTCGCGTCCATTGGGCACCCACACCGGTGACACAAGGGAGCTCGCGCCGTGCATAAGCTCGACCGTCTCAAAGGAGATTGTTACACACATCGCCATTGGCTGACGGGCCGAGCCAACCGGTTCACTCTCCATCGATCCATTTAGCGCCCGAGTTTTCCCAAGCAGCTGGGAACACTTGCTGGCTTCTCCTCACGACCAACATGCATGTTGCGGCCGACTCGCAACACCAACTCATGCTCTCCAACCGCAGAACAACCTTAAACAGTGGCTCCTCCGGCTCCTCTTGCATAAGTCTTGTGCCTCCTGCGCCATGGCCTCCGTCGATACATACCATGGCGCTGGTAGTAGACGGGACTGGGACGCGCGGACGAGCATCCCCTTCATCATGGGTGGATCCCCAACGGCATCAGCGTCGTCAGACGTGTCTCGGGTCATCGCATCACAGGAAGAGCTGCCATCCCCTGCATCCGCAAATGCCGTGCCAGGAAGGACAGTTGATGACAGAGATTCTGATGAGACCACCAGCCCAAAGACCTCAGCCGGTGGCAGGTGTCCGAGCAGATATGACTGGAGTAAGCACATGCCGACGATCAAGCAGCTTTACATCGAGGAGGATAAGACCCTGAAGGAGGTCATGGGCATAATGGAAAAGGAGCACAATTTCATCGCAACGTGAGTGAGTCCCAGTTCAGCCCGGTCCCTGCACGCGGTGAGAGGGCCACCCCGGTTGCCTGGTTGCATCCGCCAGACGGAGGCCGCCCCCCTTGCTGTGCTTACGCTCCCTAACGCCCTTCTGCTTACGCCCAATCTGTGCCGCAGAGCCCGCATGTACAAAATCCGCTTGAAGAAGTGGGGCTACACCAAGAACGTCAGCGTCAAATCGGAGGAGATTGAGCCGCTGCTGAGGCTGCTCGACGAGGCAGAGAACAAAGGCGATGCCCGCGCGACGTCAAGTGAGGTGCAGCTTGCCACGGGTCGGGTCGTGGGCCTCGACCGCCTCGCAGCACATCTGAGACGCAAGGCCCAGAGGCTGCAGCATAACCTAGCGGTGGATACGCGGGCGGCTTCGCAAGCCTCCACGTCGCTAACACGGTACCGGCGTGGTGAGAGCCCGTCGCCCGTTTCGCTGGCTATCAACTCGCCAGAGATGTACCGCATCTCCGAGATTGTCTTCGCCGATGTACATGCCTACGTCTGCGGCCGTATCCTGGAGCCCAAGGGTCTCCAGCTGGTACAGAGGTCTGATTACGACATGACATCCCCGGTGTTCTCGATGGTCCACGCTGCCAGTGAGTTCCTCAAGCAAGGACGGCTCAACGAAGCTCTTGCTCTGCTGAGGGTGGCCCCAGCTCGGCTCAAGAATGTCATCATGTACGAGCCACCCAATATCTTGCACTGTCTCTTCATGGTCATCGTCCATCTCCTGAGCACATCCGGCTCGGAGCAGCTGGTCAGTAGCATCAAGGCCCTCCTTGCCTATGCCGCAGCAACAGCAGACGAGAACTCCCGCCACTGGTCCCCGCAGTACCCTGTGCGGCGGATCCTGCGAAGTCTCGCCGACCTAAGTGCATCGAAAGACTTTCACCTGCGCGATATGACGGTGCACGCATGGAGGTGCCTGCTGCGCTCGCACGACCTGACACTCGGCTCGCCCGACTGCGCGCGGACATTTCCCAACTGGCTTGACTTGGGAGAGTCGGCGGGCTTCGACGTGCTGCCGTCAGAGCTGCTGGAGAAGATGCACTGGGAGGTGTACCGCAAGCGGGTGGCCGAGTTCGGCGAGGGCGACATGCAGTCGTGGTCGCAGCTCTTCTACCTCAGCGAGCTGGAGCGCCAGAAGGTCAAGGCCCGCGGCACTTCCTCCGCCAGACTGCAGCAGTACCTCGAGATGACCCTCGTCGGCATCGAGAACGCCCGCCCCGGCCAGGGCCTCGTCGCAAAGTACAACTGCCAGCACAGCCTGGCCGAGATCTACAACGACCAGGGCCAGCGCGATCTCTCCGAGAGCTTCCTGCGCGCCGCTATCGACACCGCCGCCGTGCGGCACGGGCGCAACGACGAGCGCGTCCTCCAGATGCTCTTCGAGCTCGAGAATCGGCTTGCCGAATGGGGTGAGGGCGACGACAAGCTTGCCGAGCCAAGAGAGAGGTCGGCTGGGATAATTGTGGCTTTGAACAACGAGTGTTGAACTACAAAACAGGAATTGCGTGCGTTCATATGGCTTCGCTGTATATGAGTCTTCCTGGATTCCAACAACGAGCCTAGCGGGTAGTGTCAGGCACGCCGGGCCACCGTACTGGAAGAGATATCGACCGCTCGAGCATTCATACACATATGAGCCAGCAACTACACCTGGCACATAGCCGAGTATGTCGAGCACTCTTTGGACAGGAATTTCTGGGCTGCTGATATACAAATTCAGCAACTATCTAACCATTTCAATCTTCGTCACCACAGGAGTATTTGAGTCACATCCGGTCCACGTTGGCTCTCTATCGCTGCCGGATCGAACGCGCCACCGATTCATTATCCAATGCGGAAGTTGTGTCATCTATTGTTAGGTTGTGCATCTGGCATCCCCGAGAATAAGCAGTGATGACTGATGATCCAGTGTGGGATCACGTCATGACCTCTTGTGCAAGGGGTGCCTGCGTGAGTCTGCGCGCATGCGCATTCCCAGTCTTAATCGCACGTTAGGCCCCCGTTGGTCATGGGTAGCAAGGCAGCCTCATTGCGCCTCATCGTCATCCAGGACACGGAAAATACCCTGCGTCGCAGACCAACAACCGCAGGGAAGATTCATTGGATGGTATGATTCATCCAGAACCGCCCAAAGAATACTGAAGGCTGGGACTGTGGGCTCGTTCGTCAGAAGGCCCCACACCGGTCAGTAGCAGAACCGGGAATAACTGTCCTGTCGTCAGTACATGACATATTCCCTTGACTTGGTTGGTTGCAGGGCTATGGAAGTTTTCCATGGTGGATTAAGCCGTTGTAGACCTTTTGGGCCGGCACCGACAGGGGCGTTCGTCAAGTCTTGGGAGGAGAAAGAGGCATCAAATTCTGATATGAAGCCTCGACATGCACAAGGTTATACACCTGCTGCTATTGGTCTTCGTCTGCTTTGAGTCTTTCTTTTATAGACACAATTTTTAAATGTCTGCAGTTCTTGCTCTTGCAGCAAGTGGCATGGTCCACTCTCAATACAGAATGCATGCCTAGACCGTCGAAAAAAGTTGCGGCACTTAATGCCATCATCTCTTCGAATAGTGCCAGTTCTATTCTAAGTCAGGATGTAAGACAACAGGGCTGATATTAAGTACACTCCAGAATAACGGAGAGTCCCCGACCCCCTTTAATGTGCAACGGTGTGCACTGCTTCGGTGCGTGCCTTTGTCGGGCGTACAGCCAACAGAAGAACAGGCTTGGCATATTCAAATAGCTAGCGCCTGCAATCGGCTTACAAAAGTGTCAAAACTTTATTTCATGATCTGCCCGAAATAAACTTTCGGGAGTGGGTCTTGCCGATCCCCCTCCGCCTTCCATGGAATTTACCGACGTGTTGGTTCCGTGCAGTACCCCTGCAAATATCATTTGAAATGCTGCTCGAATGAACGATCAGAATTCCATTTTGCTTGAAGACATTTTTTTGGAACATTAACTCCCAGATTACCAATGCAAATTTGATAGAGAAACCTAGAGAAGGTTCGCAAACGATATAAAAAGCATAGTTGTCACTCTGACCTCCTCATAATCACCACGTGTTCGAGTCGTACTGGACGCAGGTCCGGTGGAGTCATCCGCACGCGAACTCTCTTTGTCCAGAATTCCCCGGGGACACCTGGGTAATGATATGGTTGTGCAAATCCTTCTAGCGGCCGCAGCGTCTTACATGGAGCATCGAGAAATAACCTGATAAGCGGGTTGTGGCGCCCCAGGGGATCTAGCACTTGCAGCTGACACCCAAACATGCGGTGACAGACGAGCTCGAAGAGGTTGTGCCGGTCTATATTCGGCCTTTTCTTTATAAGATCATTATGTGGCCTCTTAGACCTCGTGGCTCTATGCGGTAGGAATCGATTCCCAGTATGGGTTGCAACCAGTAAACACCGATATCATTCAAAACATCAGTCCGAAGATCTATTTCAGTATTTCAAAATTAGGGTTTCACTAATAGGCTCCAAGACGACACCGTCGGCTACGAAATCTTCAATTCCATTCCATCCTCGCGTGACGCGAATACAAAAATATGTGCTGCCTGCATGGGAGGTGTGATCCTTCGAAACGCAATTTGGAGCTCGTGGGGTAGTTATTCGATCGACACTGCAATGCAAAGAGGCGTCAGGAGCGACGTTCTGGACTCCTACCACGTGGATGGGATCCGGGGCCGTGGGACAGACCTCATTATTTCCACTAACGTGCAGAAACGAAGTGTCATGCCCTGTAGGGCTGAGCCATGTGCGCCATTTGAAGGATGTGGGGTCTACAGCAAGGCAGCCATCGCCGAAAGGAAGGGGTGTCATCTTATTAGTATGGACGGGATTTCGCCACCCCCTGCTTTTCCCTGCTGACACCACAGGGGCCGGCGATCCACGCATGCATCTGACCTCGAGTTTCCCGAATCGGTGTCATCATCGCGCAGCATGGGCCTTTTTTACCAGGCCTTTTCTTCCTCCAGGCACCTAAAACACGAGTATTGCCATAGCCACATTAAGATGCGGCTCTGTCGGCGATTCCGCCCCCGGAACGTGATGCGCCTCATTATCTCTCGATACGTGAGTCATCGCCGGTCTTCATTCTCACATGTATGAACCTGGGATACGATGTGTTTTGACCGCCACATCAGGAGGATCTCGCGATGGGCCGAGCCAGAAACACGTGCTCGACAGCACTGATTCGAGGTACATGGCTGAAAAGGGCGTTTTTCACAAAATTCAACTTCCCGTAATTCAATGCATGGCGATTATGTGTGAAAACTGGACGGGCGCATGTTTGACAGAGCGAGAACTCAGTAGAAGAACATGTTTCAATTCCAGTGGTAGTGATGGGATATTTGCGGGGTTGACCAATAGATCGGCAACTTCCGTGCATAAGAGCATCCGGGATTGACACTGTCCCCTGATCTGTGGCTTTTTGACCTCAGAGCAAGTTGAATTGGCCTCTTCAATCCGGCATTCTATGTGCCAACCCCTTTTGGAACCCGTGGGTAGTGATATCCCCTATTGTGCCTCTCGCGATGCTATCAATGAGACCGAGCATTGTCGGCCATTGCACTATTTACGCAGAGCTACTTTCTAATTTTAAGTGGTCACACAGGATCCAGGCACCTGTCAGACATTCAGTAAATTCTCGGATGTCCTTCAACTTAGTTAATCTAGAAGAGCCTCATGACAAGGGGAGAACTTCACGGCGGTGAGGATGCCTCACCGAAGCAGGAAAGTATTTCACAGGCACCACCAAAAAGCGGTCATAATATGCCTTGGAGCTCTTTTATCAGCCAATAGGAGCGCAGGAGTTCGTGTTTTCGAGAAATGAAACTGCGGCCGCGCCACGGCAGCTCATGGGGACAAGAATAGGTGCCTGGGAAAAGCCGCAAGATATCTTGACTCATCCTTCTGTGCCCAGTAGATAGTAATCATTCGGTAGTGTCACAAGGCGTTTCGATACGCCTGGAGCTGCGAATTTGGGGGCTGTAAGCACCGTTTTTGGGGTGGGTGTTAGTAGTCGGTTCGGTGTGCATGCGGTCAGATGGAGCAGCACAGCCGCCCCCAGCCCTACAAGGACGACTTTACTTTCGTAAGGTAAGACGACACCAAAGTAGGTTTTTGGGATTTAGGCTTCAAAGTCAAGTATATATATAATCGGTTGTTCTGTCCTCAGTCTTCTGGCAGTGATTCTGGCATCATCATCAAGCATTCCAAACAGTCTCAAAGCAATCTATCTGACAGCTGACTCATTCGCGGTAACCCGAGCAATTCTATACCCACTAAAGGTTCTCTACTATTACTTCTCACCCAAACATCACAATGAACGCCTCTACCATCCTCTCTGCCATTGTCTTGGCTTTGGCATCTTACGCTGTTGCCGCACCCGTCCCTGACACGGAGACAGCAAACGACACTGTAAGTTGATACAATCCCTTCTCTTTAATTCATGAGCCCATATTGTACGGGACAATCACATACTTTCCAAAGCAACGAATATTTATGCTGATATATCTATAGGACTGCGTCGGTGGCTGCGGTGTCAACTAAAACCACACCCAATCGTCTCAGTGATGACTGATGCATCACCAACGAGACTGCCCCATTCGGAGGAGTCCGTGTATACAATTATTAAACTGTGACAACAAGCGATTGCTTTTATATAAAGGTTGTGGCAACACATGGAAGGTTTAGACAACAGACAGCAATGTCTTAGGGTTACAATAGAGATGGGAGGCACATTGGAATAAGATACCTCATTACCAACATTGAAGACTTCTAAACTGGATTCTAGTAGTAGATCCTCATCGTTCCACTAATAATTTGTGACATCCGATAGCGCCAGACCATTTCTGTGCCCTAATCTTCACTGCGCCCGGTTCTCTTTAGCCATAAATCACAGTCTATACGCGTTTGTCGGTCAATCGAACAGCATCTGTTGCTATTTTAGGTAGCGTGAACAAATTTTAAACTGGCGGATGCATGTCTTGCTATCCTCCAAGCTAGCTCTGGTGTATGCCTATAAGGTGCACGAACAGTCCCTGTCAGATCTAGGTGTTCATCAACCCACAGCTTGAGGTGTCAACGGCTTATGACATGTGTGACCCGGGTAATTTCATGCATCAGGAGACAAATCAACTTCAAGTTCAATCCACTACGCACCACTCCTGCTTATCTCCCGACGGTTGTTACTTTGATAGATAAATAGTGCTCCTGTCTTTCATTGCATCAATAAAGGGATTGCAGGCCATGCCGAATATTTACGGATTATGATCTAATTTTCTGTTCAGCACCTCAAGAGTTGCAACTGTCTGAGGTTTGATGCCCTTTCTCGGCGATTTGTCTATCCCAACAAAACTCCACTAGCAAGCAGTGACAGGACTGTTCAGTGTAGGGCCTACCAGCCACGGTCCATCATACAACAACGAAGCATATCAATTATGATGAGCAAACGCTGGCCACTCATGATATTTAGTCAATCCAATCATGATCCTGATGGTCCCAGCGACAAGCTGCACCGATGCTCAAATCTATTGCTCAGGAGCAAGAGGTCTCAATTCGATTCTGTGTCCTTATAATTCCCACCGATGGCTGTTGAACATGAATTTTCTGCGCAGGAGTTTCCTTGCATATGAAATTCAATGGACAACATAATCTCTTGCTCGGCCAAGGTCGAAGAAAAAACCCGTGGGTCGTACAGCATTTCATCGTATCCGGATGAAACATACCAGCTTTTGTACTTGCCGGGCTTGAACCGTTCTGCATTTGACTTATGTGGAACTTTGGCTTTTGGTCTCATGCCGGCAGATCAGATATCTCCTACATAGTGATGTTTTTTTGCGGATCTATGGTTATTGAGATCCTTCGCCGCGACAATCGCGAGCGAGAATCTGTACCGATATTCCAGGATCCTTAGCGTGTCTCATCTGGAATTCGATGTGGGTAAGGTTTTAAGCGCAAGGAGTGGCCTGGGCTCAGGCGAGGATCAGCCACTACCTGAGTCAGGCAGACAGTGAAGACATTGTTTCCCTCAATTTTGGCTCAAAGTTTGGTGATCTGCCGTCGGCCCGTATGCGTGGCATTTGAAGTGGATAGCAACGAATGCGGGATGGTCCATGCTGCAATCACACAGATCATTAGTTAGCGAATGCGCTCTCCATTATAGTGGAGTCCCTCCAGACACCCGACCAGCATTCAGTCATCTTCGGCTCCCTATTAGTGGAAGTCGTCGGTCCGAGGCCCACGCAGGTACACAAACCCCTGACGCCACGGTGGATGTCCCCATCGGTCGGAGACCAGAAGACACACCGCATCTGGTAAACCGACCAGCCGGTAGACAGGCCTTCGCCTGTTTCCCAGGCAAGGATTTTGTCATCTAGAGCCAGCAGTCAGCCATCCAGGCGAGCCAGGCACGGGCAGGGATTTACATCAAGGTTGCATGAAGGTTAAATTATCTGAGCTCTTTGATGTGGATATTCCAAGGGGTAAGCCACCACCCACCGTCTCGTTGGTGGCTGCAAGTTAGTCCACCAATATCTGTCTCTCTACGCAGCTGTGCAGCTCCTTTGCACATCATGATCTGCGTGCTCCACTGAACACAGTTACCTTGAGCCTCATTGTGTGCATTCCACAATTGCCATCGCACGAGCGTAAATGTTCGCGGTGAAGCAGGCTGCCACTCTCAAACCTGCCAGCCTCAAGACATAGTTTGGGCTGCAATGCCTCCTTGTACATGGCCCATTGAAGGTCAGGACTCCAGGGAAAATCCCGAGTAGCCATGGACTTTATCATCAGCACACATCGTGGGGTAGACCTCAAGCCAAGCGCAACGATGGTGCCTGCACACTGGCCAGGACAGCTGACAGGTCCCATCGGCCGGGTCCACTGAGCCTAGCCGCAAGAACGGCACTTAATACAGCTAGGCACATTGCACAACTTGAAAGTACCGCCAAACAGCCGCGCCTAGACCACTCTCGGCCTGAAGGCCGAGATATGTCTTCTAGAAGCCGCCCCTTAATGTATCAGGGGACGACTTTTGTCATTTGACGCAAGATCCTCCGTGGGGACAATCTGACAGTGTTGCAGTGCCAACTGCAAGATAACGCTTTGCTACTCGTACGATCATTGGGGGTCAACGGTCGAACATGGAGATATTCTGTGGACCAGGCTGAATCAACAAACGTGCTGGCTCGGACGGCTCTGCCGAATGAGCGTGTGCAAGCCTTCACGATAGTCTGACAGGTCCACTTTGTAAGTCTTTCAGTAAGCTTAAAAGGAGGACGATCACCAGCCTGTCGAAGATCTTGCATGCTGATCATCACCCATCACTCTTTCCACACTCATTCAAACCGATCGTCACTCCTTTTCGATCAGCACACTCTTTCAACATGCTTTCACCAACCGTGATCCTCACGGCGTTGGCTACCTTTGCCAACACCGTTGCCGCCGCCGGTGTCACCGGAGCCGCTGAAGGCTTCGCGAAGGGAGTTACTGGTGGTGGCTCTGCTGCCGCTGTCTACCCATCGACCAACGCTGAGCTCGTTTCGTACCTGACCGACAGCTCGGCCCGTACCATCATTCTAACCAAGACTTTCGACTTCACTGGCACGGAGGGAACAACGACAACCAGCGGATGTGCGCCTTACGGCACTGCCGCCGCTTGCCAGCTGGCCATCAACAAGGACGACGTGAGTGACTATTCTTCCCGCAGTGACTTTTGGTCGATCCGGTTGCTAAAGCTTGTTTTCACCTCAGTGGTGCAAGAACTACCAGGCCAGCTCCCCCACTGTCAGCTCCCTGACCTACGACAAGGCTGCCTGGAATGCTATCCAGGTCAAGTCCAACAAGTCTCTGGTCGGCCAGGGATCCGCCGGTGTGATCAAGGGCAAGGGCGTGTACATCGCCAACGGTGTTAAGAACATCATCATCCAGAACGTCCACTTCACCGAGATCAACCCCAAGTACGTCTGGGGTGGTGATGCTATCTCTATCGCTGGTGCCGACATGATCTGGATCGACCACGTTAAGGTGAGACTGACTTCCAACCATAAATTCCCAAGCAACATACTGACCCAAATCTGCAGACTTCCCGCATTGGTCGCCAGCACCTTGTCCTCGGCAATGCTGCTTCCAACCGTGTCACCATTTCCAACTCTGAGTTCGATGGCTCCACTGACTGGTCTGCCACCTGTGATGGTCACGTAAGTATCCCACCTCGTAACTTGTCCTCAAACTGGCCTCTAACTCATACCGCAGCACTACTTCCTGATCTACTTCACGGGAAGCAACGACATGATCACCTTCAAGGGCAACTATGTCCACCACTCTTCGGGCCGCAGCCCCAAGGTCGCTGGCAACACCCTCCTCCACGCCGTCAACAACTACTTCTACGCCAACAGCAAGCACGTAAGTAATCACACATACACACATACACCCGCTCTCGATGATCTTTCAACTAACTCCCCCCTCCAGGCTTTCGAGACCTCCGCGGGTGCCTACGTCCTTCTCGAGGGTAACACCTTCCAGAACGTCGTCGAGGTGATCGACCCGACCGCCAAGGCCGGCAAGATGTTCACCTCCCCCGATGCCAACGCCAACGCGAACTGCAAGTCCGCCCTCGGCCGCGCCTGCGTGCTCAACGCCTACGGCAGCACCGGAACCTACACCAGCTCCGACACCAGCTTCCTGACCAACTTCCAGGGCAAGAACATCGCCTCTGCCAGCGCTGCCTCCGCCAACGTCGCCAAGACTGCCGGTATCGGCAAGCTCTAAGTGGGCTCGCTGGTTGGGCTCGCCCGCTAATGCGTTTCTGGGCGAACGGCTTGCCCGTTCTGGCCTATCCCGTGGTGGAATTCTGCGGGAGCAGCTGTGAAAGTTGGAAATTGAATTCTTTGTATATACATATTATTTTAGAGATGTCGAAATGTAAATATGGTGGCTTGATAGCCTTTTCGACAAGCCTAGACCTCCACTCGTGAATTGACGTCCATCTCTCTTCGTCTTTACAGGTTTGATATTTGCCAACGCAAGTTGTGATTCATCTATTATGAGTAAGACCAGCCGCACTCTAGAACAAAGATTTTAACCAAGTTGCCTTGAGCAATTACTACTACCTAGTTCTGGAATCAAGCAGTAAAATCATATCCGACAGCAGCAAAATAAACGCCTACAGCGCTCTAGGCCTGGGTATAGTACCAGCAAGGGGGCGGGGGCACTCCAGAGGTATTATTCACAACTGGTTCAATTCTGCATACCAGGGTCATGTTCTGCCATATACCTACACTAATGACTGCCAGGTGTAGTTTGATGACAATATGAGGGATTGGCTCGACCACATAGTACATAGTTGTACAGAACCTAATGTGAGTGAGGATCACAGAGTCCTATTCAAGAACAACCGCGATGTCCAGGGCAAAATAAGCAAGTAGATCAAGCAAGAGAGCAAAGCGAAGAACCAAAATGAGGAACAGGACAAACGAGAAGCGTATTTCAAACTAAGAGTTAGTGCTACAAAATAGCACTCTAAGGCCCTGGTCCTGATGAATAAGCAGCTAGCAAACAAGGAGCCCGCACATCATTAGGGACAGATAAGGTTCCCAAGACTAAGACTCGCGGATGGGACCGACATGCCCAGGGATATATATTTGAATAAAATAGAAATGGAAAGCTTGACTGGTCATTAGGTGCATTGACTAGTGTCATGGTATCTACTGTCACGGCCCATAGCATATAGCTGTCTGCTCTTCCTTCGATTTCATATCAACGAGCTCTCACCATGAGAGCTTTCACTTCGAAACACAATTATTTCACGTAACATTGAGGTGTGATATATGGAACATGCGGGAAGAGGGAGGGCACGCAAGGCCCTTTGGCGTGTCAAAGTGTGAGCGCTTGGCTACAGTAGATTGGTCCAGCTTGTGTTAATACTGCATGGAAAAATGCAGAAGTGGGACATGTTACATTATGTAATGGTCAGCTTCCTCTATGTACATCAGTCCCCAGCTGTGTATAATAAAAAAAGAAGCAGTAAACCAGAACTCCATTGTATCATTCTATATCACTTCTAGCCGCTATATAATTATGAAACCCACCTAATCCCTGCTTGTCGTAGTAGTTAAAAGGCTTCCACTAGGAAGGCTTCCCAGATAAACTGACTCTCCTTGCCTCAACTTCGTATGGGAATATTGCCCGACAATCACACCACGGCTATGAACCGTACCATCAAACAGCTCGTCCATCTCTTCGAGGGTCCTGCCCTTCGTCTCAACAAACAACCAGATCACGACACCCAAGATTCCTATGTTCCAACCGGCGTTAATAGCATAATACCTCCAAGCAATACTTTCAATCGCAAGTGGCGCGGTGTAGAGATTCAGGAAACTGAAGGCGTAGCCGATGGACTGGGCAGCTACTACGCCCTTGGCTCGCTGTGAATATCGTAGTATCTCGGCCGGGTAGGTGTAAGCTAGAAGCATCCTTCAATGCTGTCAGTGTGGCCCATAGCCTATTGGAGGTATATGAAGTCTTACCAGCTGGTTGATACCGCAAGGAGAAACAGGGCAACAACAATAATAGCACCAATGGCGTATCCCGGATTCTCGGGGTGGGCATCTGAAAGGTTTGAGAGGCCAGCAAGAAGGCCAAGGAGGAATATAGTGGCAGATGTGCCGGTGACTAGGTACAATGTTAGTTCGGTTTAGAGTCACTAGTCAGCTGCGTAGCACTTACTCAGAGGCTTGCGAGCACCAGTCTTGTCGATGAGGAAGATGCCCCCAACGCTGCAGCATGCCTTCCACAATAGGAGGAAGATGTTGATCATAATCGTGGTTCTCTTGTCATTGATTCCGAGGTTGGCAATGACGTAGCTCGAAAAGTATCTACGCGTGAATCAGTCAGTACCAACGTTCCATATCTCGCTCAGGCGGTTGTACATACAGGATCATGTTGCCTCCCAGAATTTGGTAGAAAATATTCATCAACACCGCGATGCCAAATCGCTTCAGGTTTGGAACTGCACATTACGGTCAGAGACTGGCAAATCAAAATGGGTGACAAGGTACACAGCATACAAGGCGTGACTAGCTCTTTCCAGCCGCCGTCGCTTTGCTTCTCGTTTGCTAAGGCACTGAGTATCTCCTGAACTTCCGAGACGATCATCGAGTTGTGGCGATCTCCGTTCGCGTGGAGCCGCGCGAGGATATCAATGCCCTGGACAGGGCTTAGCTAGGATCCAGTTATAGGCAATGTGGATTTCGTACCTCTTCTCTTCGCCCCTTGGCAAAGAGCCATCTGGGACTTTCATCGACAAGCGGCAGGAGGCATAGGGACAAGATAGAAGGCACTGCCTCTCCCTTTGCGAATTGCGTTAGTGCTGGGTGGTTCAATTTGATGCCAGAGAGACTCACAAGCATGACTCCCCTCCACGCCCAGTTTGACTTTTTGTCAAACACCCCAAGAATTATGCATGCCACGAGGAAGGAGGCAAATGGCACAGAGACGACTGTGGAGCTCGAGAGGATAGATCTGTATTTGGGAGAAGCCAGCTCCATCACCCACATAGGGGCAACGGACCCGTTGATCAGAGTAGCGAAGCCGATGATGAATCGACCGATGATGAGTTGCACAGCTGGCAAGGTTCCAAGTAAGCGCACATCCTGGGGTGTCGAAGGACGTCATCCACCTACCACTTGCTGCGGAAGCCTGCAGGAGGACTCCAAAGATAATGCAGACTGAGGCCACCGCAAGGCCAGCCTTTCGCCCCCAGCGATCAACGATAGGGCCAACCATCGGGCCGCCAAAGATGCACCCGGCACTTATAATCGCGGAGTTGAGGCCGGTGAGATCGCTGTTGAGATGGAAGTCTACCATGCGAGGTTAGCAAAGCACCTCTGGTTCCGAAAAGGTTGACGAACGTTCAACAAACGGCTTGACCGTGTTCAGGTTGTTGATCATGCCGGCATCGTAGGACAAGATGCAGATATTGCACATGGCCACCACCAGGATGAGCACATGAGAAGCCACAGGGCCGAGTGATAAAATAGCCATGATGAAGAAAGTGTGGAACGAGCAAAACTTTCTGATCAATGGCTATGGAATCAAATCCTTCGTTGGCAGCTCCAAGGCTCTACCTGGAGGGGCAGACTGTTATGTAGTTAAAGCGAGGCCCTGTCTGAAGGTCAAGGCGTCGAGCTGTGTAGGTGTCGATAGCTGTGCGCGGATGACTCGTCCCTCCCGAGGCCGCCCAAGTATAGCACATAATTGAAACCCCTGAGTCTGCGTTTCAATTGTGGGCCCAGAAGGCCCCAAAGAAAGAACAAGGCCCTGGTTCTACAGCCTGTCAGTTGTGCCAAGGAGCATTCAGCCCTGCTCAAGGCTTTCACAGATCTGTTTTCTGCTGCAAGGATTTGTTTACCCTTTTTTTGCTTTCTTTTTTCAATACCGTTTTCCTTCATCAACGGAATGTTTCTCCATCAGACGGATTTTCATCGAAAATTTTCATTTGGGCCAGCGTAAAAGAAATCCTTGGTCTATACCTACTGTGTGGCCTACCCCTACTCTAGGCTCTATTTGCCATACGTGGTAATAATGATCCTGTTTGTGACCTGCTACTGAACCCTCTAGGGACAAACGCGTCTGCGACACTGTTGTTGAGCAGATGCAGCCAAGCTTCTCAGACAGTAAACAATCGGTTGCTTTCAGAGCGTCGGTGTATTTTCCGAGCACCCCGAGAGAGCCTACAGCGTCGGCCGAGCACTGCCGTCTGGTGGCGGTGTTCAAATCCCACCCGTTGTCATTGCCCTCTCTCCATAATTCGCCATCCCTTTCCATTGATGGCTCGTATTGTAATGTGAATTGGGAGGACAGGGGCACTGGGAGGGTCGCATTTTGCAGATCTGGTTGCAAATTGAGATGGGCTTCCGGGGTTCTCAGCCCAAGCAATGGCGCGTACCATCACTTGGCCGACGCTGAACCAGCCATCAACTTGCATCAATAATATGAGCACCTAGAGGGTTCGGGAACATCACCGGGGAAGCGGGTCTTTACGAATTCCTAAATGCCGAATCTATTTTGGTGACGGGTGCCGCAGGGAGTTGGCGATCCTCCGCCCGAACGATCAAGACACCATCAACATCGCGTCATGGCATTCGTATGATTCGAGAATACTTTCTTTGTGATTAGACAGGAGATGTGGATACCGATAGCCTCAATTCATCGGGTTGCTCCAGCGGTAGTCTACAGCCGTTGCATTACTGTCCCGAACGGATGTTTCTGAGCAGGCGGGTGACGGGCTCTGTTTAAGACATTGTTCAATGAGAACGTCAATACCTAAAGCTCTTTTTACAAAGTACCTATATTGGGTATGATTTCGCCTAAGTTTAGACCTCGGTGTTCGAGGCTGGGCTGTTCATTATATGACCATCACGTCTGCATATTGCCCTCGAAATATCGACACATGCGGCACAGTACTGGTGTACAACAAGTCTATATGGTTCTGTACCCTACTTGGTATAAATCACTAAATAGTGGTCGTGTATTTGGTTAGGCACGTTCCTTCACCAGTAGCCGCCCTCGGGCGGAGGAACAGCAACGTCATCCAAATGTCCCTCCACCCCATTCTTGATATCCTCTGCAACTTTCGGAAACTGGTCTTTGGCAAATTGTAGCGCGTCCCAAGGTTTCAGCATGGGAAACCTCTTCCTGGCCCATTCAGTAGGCGCCACCTCGATGTCATCCCAGGGAATCTTGTAGAACGCATCTCTGTTCTTCTGCCCGCTCTTGTGGACAGCGTTTGACCGATGGTAGCGAATTCTCTGCGTCGCCTCCAGACCGAGCCTGACGTCCCCTTTGGACATGGCCAAGCACTGGGCCACCGTGACGGCGTCTTCTAGTGCCTGAGATGCTCCTTGGCCGGCGGTTGGCAGGTTTGCGTGGGCTGCGTCTCCAATCAGGATCGTGCGGCCTCCCTTGCTAACCCAGGTGTCTATCGTCGGTCTGTAAATGAGTTTGAAGTCGATGGTCTTTCCCACGGGGGTGACATCGAATAGTGCTTGAGCGTCTTCAGCGGGGAAGAACTTCATCCATCTGGCCACATGCTCCCTTTCGGCAATATTGGACCAAGACTCGCTTGATTCTTTGTCATCCTGGTGTAGAAAGTTTTAGCAATTTGTCTACGGCGTCAGTGGTGGTGGCTTACTGGGTGAATCAGAACCCAGGCAATGTCTTTTCCCTCGTTCCAGACAAAAGCCATCAGACTCAAGTTATCATACATCCAGAACCTTACGGTGTCTCTGTCCGTATGATACAGATCCCGCAGCCCGGGATGCTTCAGCATAGCTTCGTCAGTCTTGAAGAAGTTCCTAAATACAGCCCAGCCGCTGCTCTTTCCCCCATTACTGTCGTCATCGAGGTTGAGTACCTGTCCCCGGGCAATGGACCGTGGCCCATCAGCAGCAATCACACAATCGCCCCACAGGGTCTCGCCTGAGGAAAGTAAGACACCTGCTCTGCCTTGTTCTTCGAGGTATTCCGTAACTGCCACACCGATCCTAACGTCCCGCACCAGGGTCTTCGCATGCGCGAGGAAGATGGAGTGGACTTTGCCTCGGTGCCCGGCGTATGTTATGTTGTGTTCCGTACCGTCTCGTGCCCAGGGAACGTGGGTGAGGAACTTGCCATCAAACTTGCAGAGCTCCATGGTCCGGATCTGGCTGCACCCAGTATCGTGGATCTGCTGGCCGACCCTGCCGTTATCCCATCGGTGGATGATGCGGCCAGCATTGGGGAAGAAGTCGAGGATATCTATGCTCACGTATTGATGGTTTAGCTAGGAACCGAAGAAGATAGTCACTGAATCGTTTTGCGACTTACCTCCTTGACTGTTGGAATCTGTATACTTTTCAATCACAGTCACATCCATGCCACGATCAGCACATTCAATGGCCGCACCTAGACCACCGAACCCAGCACCAACGATGATGACTTTGAGCTGTTTATTCTCCGTCATCTTGCTACGTAGATCCAGAGTCTTGAGCCGATGATAATGCTCGCGAAAATCGAGCCTCGCGACTTGAAGACATATTGATTTAAAGAGCCCATTTCGACGGCTCGCCTGGTGACTGACCCATCCTCCCCTTAGCATCCCCGAATGAGGTCTTGCAAGACCCGGGGGACAGTCGGGATGCGGTGAATGGCATGGCAGGGAGAAGAACTGGCTATTGCCAGGCTCGGAGCCCTCACCGAAATTCCCGACGCGCCCGAAAAGCTGTGTTGCACATCAAAAAGGTGTGTTTCGGTGATAGGACTAAGACATTGACCGAGTTTTGACCGTTGCACATTGATTAGAAACGAGCCAAACAATTCCAAGGCACCTAGCATTACCAACTACAATCATCAGCCTCTCTGCTTGAATCAAATCTCTTCTCGCATCTGCGGGACAGATCTGCAGCGTAATAAATACGTTTGATATCACAACCTTCAGCTCGGCCAATCACGATAAACATGGCTGAAGCGAACGCAATCATGACGTTGACAGAGCATGTCCCCGAGTTCGAGACGCTGCAAGTTCACGCAGGACAGAAGCCCGACTCGGCAACTCTGGCCCGAGGCGTGCCCATCTACCAAACCTACGTCTTCAACTTCCACAGCTCTGCCCACGCCGCAAGACTATTCAACCTCGAGGAAGAGGGTGAGATAGCCACACGCACAGGCAATCCGACCACCGCAGTCGTAGAGCGCCGCGTGGCCGCGCTCGAGGGCGGTGTTGCAGCTGTCGCTGTGTCGTCTGGCCAGGCAGCCGTCTTCATGACGATGATTGCTCTGGCCGGGCACGGCGAGAACATCGTGGCAAGCAAGCATTACTACCATGGAGCGTACAATCAATTCTCATTCCTACTTCCCGAGTTTGGAGTTGACTGCCGGGTTGTCGAAGAGACAGCTGAGGCGGTGCGGAAAGCCATTGACGATCGCACCAAGGCGGTCTACATCGAGACAGTCGGCCATCCCAACTTCAACGTTCCTGACATCGAAGCCCTAGCCAAAGTTGCACATGAAGCCGGCGTGCCTCTTGTGGTTGAGAATACTGTCGGGTGCGCGTACTTCTGCCAGCCTATCAAGCACGGCGCCGACATTGTGGTCGAGAGCATGAGCAAATGGATCGGCGGCCACGGGAGCGCCACAGGCGGCATCATCGTCGATTCGGGCAACTTCAACTGGAAGGACTCGACGCGTTTCCCACAGTTCAACAAGCCTTGTCCTGGTTTCCATGGTCTCAACTTTAGTGAGAGGTTTGGGCGAGAAGCCTTCATCATGCGCATTCGAGGCCAGATTCTGCGTGACGTGGGCTCATGTTTGTCCCCGTTTAATAGCCAGCAGTTTATTCTTGGCATCGAGACATTAAGCTTGAGGTGCGAGAGACATGCTCAGAATACTATTGCCCTTGCTACGTGGCTTGAGAGGCACGAGAATGTGGAGTGGGTCTCATATCCAGGTCTACCGAGCCATCCACATCATGAGCTCGCGCAGAAGTATCTCCCTCGGGGAGCTGGAGCTGTGTTGATGTTTGGCATCAAGGGTGGAGCAGATGCTGGAGAGCAGCTGGTTGACAACTTCAAGATGATCTCGAATAACCCTGGGTAAGAAGCTTCCATGTTGATTCTGGATCTCTTGACTAACCATATTAGATATGGTGATGCCAAAACCACAGCTATGCATCCTTGGTCGACCACACATAGACCAATGCTGCCGCATGAGAAGATTGACCTGGGTGTTGCACCGGAAATGGTAAGGGTGTCCGTTGGTATTGAGCACATCAAGGACATCATGTATGATATTGAGCAGAGTATGCGGGTGAGCCCGTCAGTGCCCAATGGTGAGCAATAATATCTTGAGTAACTTGCCTCAGCGATTAGTTTTGAGTCACAATAGATCTAGACTTGTTAAACAACACGATCGTTATTCTCCATAATCAAGCTTCTTTTATGCTTCATGACCAGAATCCCAAACGTGTCCCGTGGCGCTGTTTGTCCCCCAAGAAGACATTCTCATATCCCAAGTGTGAACGCCATATGTCAGTGATCAGTCAACAAATGCTCAAGGGTCGGACTGACCGATCAACTGACCATTGCTGCGCATGTCGGAGCCCCAATTCTCCAGGTTCCCGACCATGTCCTCCTCCGTGGCTGATGTGCCCATTTTCAAGTGGGGCCAGTCCTTGGCCCGATGAAATGCCATGACATTCATGATCCAATCTCTTGTACCCGGAGACCTGAGTATGTTCCCTGCGTCTCCAAGCGGGGTCTAACAATTCATGTTATTCTCGCCGCCAAGACGATCTACGGCTTGTCCCTGGTCACCAAGCCCGGATGGTGGCGGAGCATTTAGGCGTGGAATATTCGGGGCCCCGAGTTGATCGGCCGAGGAGCCCGAGACGCCGTGTGTCATGCACGTCATCCCCACCGGGGGGGGGGGGGGTGGATGAACATGGGCTTGGAAGGCTGTTCCTTGCGGTATGTCTACAGCTTGCGGCGATATCGTGTAACAGAAATAACCTCTCGCAAATAAATTGAGTTTTCAGTTTGGCTCAGCCTGAGTGCTGCACCAATTGCACAACACTACCCTCATTTGCTTTTACGGCCACTGTCATGTCCGAAAGAATCGAGGTTTTCCATCCAATTCTGGCAGCCAAGCTCGAAAAAGATGCTTTCGAGGTGGCAGGATGGGGCGTGCTCAGCGCCGTCCTGTTTGGCGTATTAACCATCTGGTTCTTCGCGATTGGCGACAGGATGCCCAAGTTGCCCATTGCCATGCAGGAAGAGGTGCCAAATCGGAAGAAAAGAATTGACATCTTCATCAAGGATACTCGAAGGCTACTCATTGATAGCTACAAAAAGGTATGATGGCTGTCTTCCCGGGACGGCCTGAAGATTCCACGGTGCTGATTCGAGAATGTCTAGTTCCAAGATCAGGTATTTGGGATCACAACCACAGAAGGTAATACGTTTGATCGCATCTGCATGTTAAATCCTTCGAAACCTTTTTCTAACTTTACTGCCAGGGACCAATATCATGATTCCTCTAGAACTGCTACAAGGCCTAGGAAGTCAAAAGTCTTTGAGTTTCTCGGCCTTCCTCGAAGAAGAAGTAGGCATTTTGTACATGAGCGGAATAGCAAGACCAAAAACTGACCTGTTTCATTTTCTCCCTGGGCAGTTCAGCATGAAAAAATACACCAAAGTAGGCAATCTTGATGAAATTCAAATCAGCATTGTGAACAAAAAGCTTAACCCAACTCTTCGTAAGCCCGGGACTCAGCCTCTTTATGAACAAACGTTCACATTCTAACTGTTCTAGCCCAATATATTCCCGTTATCCAGGAGTTGATCCGCAGACACTGGCCGCTGGAGGACTATGATAGTAAGTTTACCATTGTCAACAACCAATTTGTTTACCGCGAACCAATTTGTTCGATTCCCCTCCCGAGAAGTCCAAACCTTTTTCTGATGCAATGATGGAAAGCACCCACCATCACAAAGCCCTGGCCACATGTCATGCGTCTAGTTTCTCGCATCTCAGCCCGAATCTTCCACAGCGCCGCCTCCGCCGAAAACGATCACTGGTTAGACATCGCCACCGAACACGTGCATTCTACCGTCGTGTGGACCGAGAATCTCAAGAAGTGGCCTGCCGTACTCCGACCCCTCGTCCACCGCTTTGTCGAAGGACGAGGGTACATGATGCAGCGGTTCGAAGAAGGCAAGGCTGTGGTCGCTCAAACCCTGCAAGAGAAAAAAGAAAATAGAGGCAAGCCTCTGAACAACCCTCAGACACTTTTGGACTATCTCTACGAGGGTCCACTTGGTCCTGATGATGTTGAGGCGCATACCATTGCCCAGATCAACTTGTGTGTGGCTGCCATTCAGTCCATGGCTGCAACAGTGACCCAGTGTCTTATGGATCTTGCAACACATCCAGAATATGTACCTGAACTTTTGGAAGAGATAAAAACCGCCATGGAGAAGAACGGAGGCGTTGTTGACAAACGAGTGTTGACGGAGACGTGGAAGCTGGACAGCTTCATCAAGGAGACTCAACGGTTGAACCCTCCGGATCTAAGTTCGTTACCTCAAAGGTAACCTACACGATTTCAATCATGACTAACCAACGTGAATTACAGCAAGTTTCCAACGAAAAGCCCTCTCGGACATGACCCTGTCTAACGGGCTGCGCATCCCCAAAGGCGCCCGCATCGTGCTTCCGACAGCAGCCATCAACATGGATCGGGAGTTCTTCCAGGATCCTGAGAACTTTGACGGCTTCCGGTACTACAGACTCCGAACCGCGACCGAAGAGGCCCGGAACACCAACCAGATGGTAACAGTCGGCAAGAAGGATCTGACGTGGGGCTATGGCAGGCACGCGTGCCCAGGCAGATATATCGCCGAATTAGCCTTGAAGCTTGTAGTGATCGAGTTTCTGACGCGCTATGAGATTCGGCTACCGGACGGCGTGAAGGAACGGCCAAAGAATATAGAGTTTGAGGGTTTGGTATGTTGATCCACATATTCATTTTAAGCTCTTTGACATATTGACTTGTTACAGGTTATCCCAGATCCCGAATGGAAATTGACCATGAAGAGCCGCTGAAGGCGCCTTGGGCGGTGAGACTGGAAGGTCTCTTGTATGCCATTCAGAGAGGACTGAAAGGTGGGCTGGCACTTTGCAAACGAGACTAGAGTGCGATATACAATTTCTCGCCTTCCAAGTTGTGGTTGCGTTCAGAAGTCCGGTATCGTCGATTTGCAGAGCAGCAGAATATGATATATAAAATCAAAACAGAGTAATTCAGAACTCTCAGAGGGAGTTATCCAGATGAGGGGAAAAAAGAAAAAAGAAAAAAATACGGATCACTAGCCATTTGATCGCAATACGCATTAAACATAGAGTTTCTGACATAGAAGATATGCTACAAGGGGCTGCAATGGCGTTAAGATTAATTAGCGGCTGCGCTGATCATAGACCAAGTAAGAGATCACTACTATTTTAACTGTGCCTGGTGTCTACCATGCGTTCACCAGTGGATGCATGCTGCAAAAGTCCGCATACTTTCACGTCATTGACACTCCTCCAGACAGAAGCATAAACTCGCCATTGATGAAGCGGGACCTTTCCTCCGCGAGAAAAGCCACAGCCCAGGCAACATCCTCCACAGACGCCGCACCGCCCTCCACCGGCGTGTCCCTGATCAACACCTCTCGCACCTTGTCCCATTCCTCATCAGTGAAATGCTCCAGAAAGCTCTCCGTCAACACCGGTCCCGGAGCCACCATGTTGACGGTGCAGCCGTACCTCGGCGGTAACTCCTTCGCCCAAACGCGTAAAATAGAATCGAGAGCCCCTTTCGTTGCCGCATAGATCCCCTGGCCTGCCTTTGGCACGCGCGAAGCAGCTGAGCCGACAATAACAATCCGCGAGCCACCAACTGCGCCAGACATGTTCGGCGGCTCGGCGGGCTTGTACGGAGTCAGGTGTGGCAGCGACGCCTTGACCAGTGCGAAGGCACCGCGTGCGTTAAGGTCCATGGCGCGATCCCACATGCTCAGTGTGGCGTCCCAGAGAGGCGCGATGGGCACGTAGCCGGCGTTGCTGACGAGGATGTCGATGTGACCGAACCTGGCTACCGCCTGCTGCACCAAGTCTGATGGACCGCTATGTGAAGCGAGGTCTGCACAAACAGCAATCCAATCTGTCTTGAGGGTTCTGCCCACGGATTCACACTCATCTTCCAGGGACGGAAAGGGGTAGTTGAGGACGATATTTGCCCCGCGGTTGGACAGTTCCTTGGCGATGCCTGCTCCGATGCCTTTGGACGAGCCAGATATCACAGCTGTACGACCGGCCATGGTTTCTTTAGGCTGACTTGAGGATGGCATGATCGTTTCGAAGGTTGGAGATCGTATCAGAAGGGCTAAAGACGAAATGTGAAGCGTAATAATGGTGCGTATCTCTAAAAAACTCAATACTTCGCCTTGCACGGCGTTTTGTTATCTCGCGTCCGCGATCACCTCATCTGTCACTGCTTGCGAGTCAACTATAAGTCTAATAGTGGCTCCGAGCTCGGATATTAGGACCGAGATTCACCGAGATGCTTCGCCACGATATTAGTGAGAGGACGTGATGCTCACACTGGATGTTTAAAGTTCCAATTTTTGATTAAAGGCAACTAGCAACAGTTGAAATTCAGAGTATTTAGCATTTCTCAATTTCAAATGCGTGGAGAAAGTTGACAAAAGAAAACAAATGCTACGGCTGTCCTGCTCCCGTTCCCATCAAGCCTCAATGGGGATGCTAGGAATGTCTGTAATACCAGGCAGGTCCTCGACCTTCTTTGTGAAGAATGCACGCGGGATCTCCGGGCCCCAGCTTGACACAGTAGAAGCCACTGCAGGTTCATCCGCGTGCGGAGAGTCTTCGTTGACCAGGTCGCCGTCCACATAGTGCTCTACGATGAATCCAGACGAGTCGAGCCTGGATCGCTGTCAGCTTGTGAATATTCCTAGCAACAACCTCCGAGCTACTTACCAGTAGTCGAAGATCTGGCTACCGAGCACGTGTCTTCCGACCCCGAAAACGTTGATATACCCTTTGCAGCGCAGGTAGTGGTGCCCGACTACTTGACTGTCCACGTCGTCGACTTCAAAGCTGCTGTGGTGCGCCTTGATTCCCTCCTTGACCTCGGGTGAGCCGGCAATGAAGATGTTCTACCGATTGTTAGCACGTCTAAATTCACGACTAGGATTGGACAAACACACATGATGGTCGACAAACTCCTTCCCCTTATCGAGATGGATGAAGATCATGCACGTCTTGTTGCTCTGCGGTTGGAACAATGTGTCGGTCTTCTTCATGTTGAATGTCTTGGAGTACCAGTCGAAAACCCTGTGAATCTTGTCGATGTTTACCTCAAACCCGTAGTGGCCGAGTTTATGAACCTTGGACGGCGAGTCTCTGTCTGGACGTTGAAATTCACCCAGTCGCTTCTTGTCCTCCCATGTGTTCCACATGACCGGTCTTGGGATTTCCCTGGCGTCCGGGACACAGTCTTGTTGCCCGTAGATCAAAGTAATCTCTTCCCCTAGGAGATCCTTGACAATGACAATTTTCCCTCCGCCCGGGGCATCAAAGTCGTGAATTGGCGTTGATCCCGGGAGCTTGGCGGCCTTCTCCAACTCAGCCATGGACTGCACGATCCAAGCACCTCCCCGAAACCTTCTCTTGCCATCTTCTGTTTTCTCCGCTACGTAGCAAAACTGGTCCCTGCCGAAGCCACGGAAATAAATCTTGTCATCCTTCTTCAGCACCGGAATCAGGCCGAAGTCGGTGAAGAACTGCTCTGCCTTCTCAAGATCCGGGTGTCCGTAACGGCAGTGGGAGAGCCGATCGAGGAGGATGCGGCTGTCGCCTGAAGATTGAGGCATTATAGAAATTTCGATATGGCTGCAATAGGGGTGTCTGGACCGTTCTGTCTTGAACATGGCCAGCAGAAAAGCGCAGGAATTATATGCAAACTCCGCACAACCTGGCCGAGTGTCCGAGATACCGGTATGGGGTAGTGGGTTGGGACCGTTGTACATGCATCCCAAGCGAGGCCGGGGCACGGGATACTTTCCCGATGGACTTTATTAAGTTTGCTATGATAACACTTCCGGTTGCCCTCGGATCGTCCTCTTTAGGGATGCTGACCGAAACTATTCGAGGACTTGGAATTGCTGCGAACCAGATCAGGGTCTTTATTTAGTCCCCACCAAACCCTGTGGCTTTCGACAAAGAGACGTTCTTCACCGGTAGTCGCATCTGTCCGCCACAGTGAGCTTCAAGATACTATTTCAATATGTCATTTAGCAGGCTTATTCGATTCCATGATAAAGATGGTATAGAGAGATATGGCGATGTTGAGGACGAGATTGCACCACCGGAGCTGGAGGGGAAAACAGTGAAGCTTGTCTCCGGGAACATAGAATCTGGGTTCAAGTTCCTGGGAGAGAAAGCCGAGGTGGCCAAGGTGAGTTGATCAGCCCAGCAATTGTGCCTGGACTATGCTCACAACTCGCCCTAGTTACTCTGCCCATTGTCCAGTACACCTATCATAATCTGCGCGGGAGTGAATTACAAGTCTCACGCAAAAGAAACCAAGGTAAGGACGTTTTACCGACTTCCAAATGACAATACTAATACACACGTGGCAGTTCCCACCACCGAAGAAACCCGTCATCTTTGCAACCCCGCCGGATCGCCTCACAGGGCCACTAGACGACATCAACATCCACCAAGACGCGCAGGAATTGCTGGACTACGAGGGCGAATTGAGCATTGTGATCGGGAAGGACGGATACGACATCAGCGAAGAAGACGCGCTGGACTACGTACTGGGGTACACCATCAGCAACGACGTCTCAGCCCGCAACCTCCACGCCGTCGACATGTCCGGATATCAGATGGGCTACGCAAAGTCCTTCGATGGATTCGGGCCGACGGGCCCTTACCTGGTCTCGCCGAGGCTCGTGCGGGACCCGCAGGATTTGGAGCTGAAGACGACAGTGAACGGTGACGTGCGGCAGACGACCAATACGGCCCAGATGATTTGGTCGTGCCGACAGCTTATCTCTTTTGCCTCTCGAGGCCGGACTTTGCGCCGTGGGACTGTGATTATGACCGGGACTCCAGAGGGTGTTGGATGGCACACCAACGGTTGTCTCAAGGATGGCGATGTGGTAGAAGTCAGCATCGGAGGGCTTGGATTTATCAGAAACAGGATGGTATTTCAGACGGGCGCTTGAGTGAGTGAGCTTGTTCATTCGGCTATAGGCACAAATTCATCTCTTTGGTCAACGTCTGCGACTTGATGATTGGTTATTTCCTCGTGTCAGTTGCTCTGCACCAGGGAGGATCATTTTTACGGCGGTGACTTCTAAAGAAACAAAATTTTATTAATATCAGAGCACTGAGTCCTGTTGGTGCCACTTGATCACTTATACAAGGCCGCCTCAGCCAACTCGATGTTAGAACAATAATAATCAATCACAGAAAGCAGGCGGCAAACAGTTATCGTGCCATCACAACAGAAACGTCCAGAAACCACACCCGGCTGAGCTCATATTCAGCATCACGCAAAACACAAGGCTGACAATAAACCTCTCAAGATCAATCCAAATCTTTATAAATTGCAGGACCACGAGACTGGATCCTCATAGACCACAAGATCAGCAAGATACTGATTGAGACCTGCAGACAGAGATGCTTGCCTTGCCACAAAGGGTCAACCAAAGTGGATCCGAGGAGATTGGCATCGGATTGATAGCATGCCACGCTCTGAGCACGGAGTCCTCGGCCGAGAAGCCCGAATCCAAGGAGAGGGTCACATTCGGACTGAGAAACCCACCCATCCATCTTTCATTGACGCCGCAACGCCTGAATAAAATCGAAGTGGACATGAGGTCTCAAAACGTGTTGCGGCCACAACCTAACGAATCAATTTTCCCAGCGCCCCGCACAAAATGGCGGCAGCACCAGCAATCCTGCTCAAAGGGGGCACTCTGCTTCTCCACGACGACAGGGATCACGTGAACCCGCTACGACAGACTGACATCCTCATCCAGGCCAACCGTATTGCCAAGATTGGCCAGGGCCTTGTCGCACCCGCTGGCGCTGAGCTTGTCAACTGCAGCGGCAAGATCATCAGCCCCGGTTTCGTCGACACGCATCATCACTTGTGGCAGACACAGCTCAAGGGATGTCATGCCGAGCAGTCCGTCTTTGACTACTTGGTAACAGGTCAGATATCCTGTCCGTAGGCTTCATCTTTGTCTAGCGTGCTAACGCGGCTTGTCTTCTTTTCTAGGCTTCTGGCAGAGCCATGTGTACAAGCCTCGGGACATGTACTGGGGCCAGCTTGGAGGAGCTTTGGAAGCAATTAACTCTGGAACAACTTTTGTTCTGGATCATGCCCATGGAAACCAGACGAATGAACATGGTAAGCCGCCTTTCCCCGTCGGTGACACATCCTGTGAACAACGTGCTCATACAACGGTGCCACATACAGCGACCCAAGCTCTATCTGCAACCATAGCTTCAGGCATCCGCTCTATATTTGCTTACTCCCACCCTCCGTACTTTACAAAATGGGATTCGAAGACCTGTGAGCTTTCGCGCGATATCATGCCGGAGTCTACCATGGCACATATCTTCAAGCTCGCCAAGTCCCAGCCATACGGTAACGGCAGGGTTCAGATCGGTTTCGGGTTCGACTACTGGTTCATGCCCAAGGAGGCTATCATAGGCATCTTCTCTGGATTGCGTAACGCAGGGGTCAAGCTTTTCACGTCTCACTACGCGAAAAATCCGGCTCTAGGTAAGTTAAGCTTGCTGGGAACGTGGTGTCCTGGGACTGATTTTTGATATCCGCCAAGGATCCATGCCACTCATTCATACCCTTCAGTCATATGACCTCATCAAATCACCCAGCGATATACTCCTCTCTCACGCGACTGGACTGGACAAGGGAGAGGTAGCTAAGTTGGTCGAGACCAAAGTCCCGGTCTCCAGCACCCCGGACACCGAGGCCCAGATGGGTTTCGGCTGGCCAGTTGCTTTCACCCACGGGGTCAACACTACGTTCGGTGTCGACTGCCACACGAGCAGCACGAGCTCCATCCTCTCTCTTGCCAGGTCTGCATCGCACATGGCCCGCCAGCGCGACGCGGTTGCGGAGACGGATGGCGGCGATGGGGCTCCTCGTCGGATGCATCTCCAACCGAGGGGCAGCACTCTGGAGGCATTCAATGCGGCCACCATCAACGGGGCACGGGCGGTGCTTCTCAGTGACCAGATTGGATCCATCAAAGAGGGCAAGCTAGCAGATCTGGTAATATTCGATGCGGCAGGCAGCCTGGGGATGAGCTGTGTCTCTGAGTCAGATCCACTGGTTGCAGTTGTGCGGCACAGCGACGTGCGAGATGTGGAGGGCGTCATTGTTGACGGGGTCTGGAGGAAGAAGAATGGGAAGATCTGCCCGGTCCGTGTTGAAGATACGGGCGACGCCTTGGAATGGCCTGACATTCGGGATAAGCTCCTGCAGAGCCAGTCTGACATTAAGCAGAGGCAGAAGGATCTGAACATGGACAAGGCGAGGGACGCCCTCATTGCCATGTTCCACATTGACAAGAGTAAACTCATTGAGAAGCCAAGGGATTAGGGTAGCTTTCATGTATTAGAATGGCTAGTATTCATGTATTGAGATTACCTGATGCTGACGAAGTTCTGGGAGTCATTACCCCCGAGATTCCTGCGCCGGTGTTTTTATTGATCACGCTCGAGGAGCACTTCTTTCCCGTCGACCTACTTCCCCGAGATCTTAGATATCAAAGTTGTGACGAGCCTCAAACTCCTGTCAGTCGCTTGAACTGACTTCACGAGTCTCGACGCACCTCCACGCTGTGTGACAAGTGAGAGACATCGCCCCGGGCCTTGGAAACTCGATTATTGGTCTGACAAATTCAGAGCTTCCGCGGACTATGCGAGCTCACCCGAGCAGTATAGCCGACATCTGCATTTATCTCAGCGGCGGAACCCGGCCGACAAGGCAGCAATCGAGCCCCGCGGCTGCGTCCGGGAGCTGGAGGGTTCGTCGGACCGCTGATAGACGCCCAAGCATGGTGACCGGCGCAAACCGAAGCCTCGGAACCAACAGGCTTGGGTGGCATTTGTCGTGAGAAACACGCGCGTGAAACAGCTCTTCACTGTGTGGATTACCTGTTTGAGAGAGATGGTAGTGGGTTGGTCACCCCCGGGGAGCTTGGGATTCTCGCGTATCGGAATGCCGAACATCTGTCACCAGCCAAGGCGAGGACGATCGAAAGGGTCGGAGATCCGGGCGAGGGCCCGAGGGCTGATGCGAGCGTGGATAATCTCCTGATAAGTATAGTCTTCCGTGATATTAGTGCTGTTATATAAAATGATCATCGATATCTTTTCCCTTTTCGTCGGTCAGACTCGACATCCACAGCGCTGATACAACCTTGAATCAAGTTTCATCAACAATGCGCAAAAACAGTGTTGTCATACACACTGTCGCCATAGCCGGGGTACATACACGTTGCATCCCACGTGGCTTAATCTACGATGACTGACCACGCTTGTAGGCCGGAGGACACCTTGGCCGCAAGGTGCTCGATGCCCTTCTTGACGAAGAAGCTTTCGACGTCACAATACTGGTACGCCGCGGACGCAAGCTAATCGACTATCCCCCCGGCATTCGATTCACGACGGTTGACTACGAATCGCCCGAGTCACTCCAGGCCGCACTCCGCGGGATCGATGCGGTCGTCTCTACTCTTGGGAAGAGAACCGGCCTGGATTGTCAGTTCAAACTCATAGATGCTGCAGTCGCCGCCGGGGTGAAGCGCTTCATCCCGTCAGAGTTTGGGGCCGACCTGCAGAATGCCAAGATCCGAGGATTTCCTACATACCGCACCAAGGTCCAGACGGAGCAGTATCTCGAGAAACTGGCTGATCGCACCAGTCTCACGTACACGTACATCTATAACGGTCTGTTATTGGAGGATGGCTTGGAGATGAACGTGTTCGGGGATTTCACGGCTCGAACGGTCAATATCTACGACGGTGGAGACACACCTTTTTCCACCACGAGAATATCCACCGTAGCGCGAGCCGTGGTGGCAGTTCTACAACAGTTTGAAGCAACAAGTAACAGGGCTGTACGCATTCGCGATATCTCAATATCCCCGAACGAGTTGCTCCGAAGGATCCAGAAACACGACTGCGTGTGGGGACATCAATGGTCACCTGTTGCTGTCGATACTGCGGCCCTGGTGAAACAGGCGGAGAGTGAATGGGCCTCGGGTCGATTCAGCCCAAAGGCATTCGCTGCATTTGCGACGAGGGCCACCTTTGGGAGGGGAATCGCGAGTAGTTACGATGGTGATAACGAGCGGCTGGGTATCTCTGAGATGGTGAAGGAGGACATGGAGGAAGCATTGAAAGGAAAGTTGCTGTAATATCTCGAAATATGTACTAGATCGGTGTATTTAGACAAAGTACACTTGACCGTCATCACCAGCGAAGTTGCACATCTCGTCCTCCAGTAGAGTCCCCATCATCTCATCCACATGGTACATCGACATTTGAGTATCGTGATCCAAACCACCGTGTGGTACACCAAGGCCACCCTGACTTCCCTGTGAAGCACCCATCAGCGGCCCCAGCCCTTCCTGAACAGCCGGCCCCCTGCGGGACGGCGGGGCGGACGAGGATAAGGCCGTGTGGGCAGGTCTACGGCGCCCGAGCTCCTTTTTCCTGCGCCTCCTGGCCTTGTCGATGCTCCTCATGACCGAGCGCCACTGGTGCACCCTCCGATGCCGCGTGGCCGAGTCCCAGCGGAGCACCGCGCTCTGCTCCACAACCCGCCACGCCTTGTCGGCGCCCCGGACCAGGGGCCGGCTCGACAGTTCCGACAGCAGGATGGCAAATGCGTGCCACTCGTGGTAGCATTTTGTCAGCCACGACCAGTGTGCTACCAGGGGGTCGGTGCGCAGCCGGTACGAGTGCGTCATGCATTCTATTGCGCCCTGAAAAACGCGACTTCTTTGGTCCTCGTCGAGTGAGGTTTCTTGTCCAAGAGGTTTGAGGGCCATGAGACGGAGGTTGGAGATTATGGTGCCGATGAAGGCACTCACCAACTATGAAACAAAATTGTTAGAAAAATACTGCCACAGATAGATGTTAGAGTAGAGCTCACACATTGAAGCGCCTCTCGGGAGGTCTTGTCCCCGGAGAACCGCCCAACGATCTTGTCGCGCTGATCGTTGACCCATACCTGCTTCTCCGCTACAGTCATGGCCCCGAAGCTCCTCCCGGTGTCCGGGTCGACCCTGCGCGTGTCGATCATGGCCCGCCAGATGCTGGAAGCCCAGCACCGAACAGCCGTGAAGGACATGTCTGTCATGCCCCGGGACTCGCTGGGGTACTCGGTCATATCCGGGCGCAGGTCCGCGTCGTTCACGTTAAGCGGCGGCCTCGAGTCAGAGCTACTGAGCTCCATACTGTAGGTACCGGTAAGCTGGTTAGCCTGGCTCACTGAACAACGGAAGTGTACAAACTCACAGGCCAGGAGAGCACGAGTGGTCCTCGGAAGCAGGTGTGTCGAGGATGCAGATGCCCCACCACAGCCGGCGGCGCATCTCGGCGTCAAAGGGGCTGAGGTTGAGCGCGTCTCCGTCGCGGTGCATCCCGAGCGACTGCGCGAGCCGGATCGCCAGGCCGGTCGTGTTCCAGGAGTATGTTGGGTCACGCGAGCGCAGCACGACCAGGTACACGACAAAGGTCTGCAGCGTGAGCATGTCGTCCGTCTCCATCAGCCTCGAGCGCGCGAGGGCGCCATCCGCGCCCCGCCGGAACTTGGCCAGCAGGGAGGACTGCTGCGCCCCGAAGTGCAGCTCGCAGTCGTCCGACGAGAGACTGTTGACGGCGCCGAAGTACACCACGAATAGGAGAGCTTCGATGGGTGATGGGAGGCGGAGCGGGTTCTCAAAGGCTTGGAGAACCATCGGCTCGACCGAGGGGATGTGCAAGATGGTTGCTACCGGGTGCACATTCGCTTTGAACAGCTCCCACGCTTTGAGTCTGTGTGGTTGGGGCGGATGGGGAGAACCCGGTGCGGTCTGCTGGACGCAGCTACTGAATATCAGAGCGTACTGTAAGCTGGAGGATTCAGGCGTGGGCGGCGGTGGATCCTCGTCACATTCAGACTCATCGTCGTAGTCGGTCACTATGGCATCGTCCACGTCGTGCTAGACAGTATGAGAGAGATCAGCAGCGACCAGGAGATGGGCGGGACATAAACAATCACCTCAGTGTGCAGAGCCTCCCAAAAGGTACCGCTCACATACCTCTGCCGGCCATCATCTCTCACCAGCTTCCCCGTCGAAGTCCCATACGGCGACTCCACCAAGCCTGACATTTCTTTGGGGCTCACTCCCTGGGAGCCAACAACACCAGCTACAGGATTGCCGGGGGTGTTAGATTGCGCGGCGCCTGCCAAGTCCGCATCCTGCAACGGAGATTGTTGTCCCAGGGGGCTCGGAGTCTGCATTGTGACAGGGTGTTCAGAGCCGGCGAGGCGATAGTCCGGCCGGTTGGCCGTGCTGCCAGAGCCGACGGAGCGAGGGGGAGTTGGTGGAGTCGGTGATGCGCGGATATTTGGGAGTGTGTTCTCACAGGCGATCTCCCGGTGGGCCGGCGGAAGGTTCTCCTGCAGGTCGGAGGAGGAACTTGTTACGGAGGGCAGCAGTGCGCCCCGTTCCATGCAGCTGGCCAGAGTCTTGAGCATGGGCTCAAGGCGGTGGAGACGCTCGAGGAGCCCTGTGTCCCGGAGCATCTGCCGCTCATCTGAGGTCTGGTGCTCTGGAGGGTAGACGCACTCGGTGCCCGACTTGCTGCAGTGCTGGCATGGCTGCTTCTTGTCGCAGCCAACTTTGCGACGGCGACATGCTGCGCAGACTCGTCGGGGTACCCGGACTGCGTTCCTTGCGGTGGCTGTTGCGGTTGTTGTTGCTGCTGCTGCTGCTGCTGCTGATTGTCATGGGCTGAGTTCCATGCGGAGACGATGGTGTCGCTGTCTGCCATGGCTTGATCACAGGACGGGGATGAAGATTGCGCCTTTGTCCTGAGACTCCGTCACCTGCGAAGTGCTGAATAGAGCAATTCGAGAGGCTCGGGACACAGCCGCGATTCCTCCGTATACGATAGCCCCTGCTTCAGATCCGGCCAGGCCAGTCAGAGTGAATGCTGTCTACGTTGCCAATTGCAGCAATGACTGGCTGGTGTGTAAGGAGATGGTCTCAAGCAAGGAATCAGAGTTCCGCCAACTACGCTCGAAACCCAGGTGATGTCAACAAGCGGGGATGTGGAATGGGTCACGAATCATGGGGTGGCTGTTTGGTCAGCAAACAAAGCAGGCGGTGCAGGGAGGTCGTATGCAATGAAGAGAGTGAAGAGCGCAGGTCGCAGAGCACTGCCAGAATGCTCAGCCTCCAAGATACGGGGAATTTGTGAACGGGATGGATATCTAAGCAAAGCTCCATATCCATCCCTGGGCGTTAGTCTGGTAACCATAACCAGGGTACGCACGCACTAGCCCTCAAGTTCTATCATCAAGTAGTCTATACGTGCGAGGAAAGTCCAGATGTCATGAAAGAATACCCCTATTCCTATTCTTGGCTGAGTATGCGTACGCCAGAGGCTGGACCCTGAGTGGAATGACAAGACCTCCCTGGACCTTGAGTTTCGGCCCGCCGCCGCCTTACGAATAATTTTTATCCACCGGAACTCATGCTGAGCGGCTCAGCGGGAGCTTATTGACACCAGGGTCCTCCCAGCCCCGGCTTGGCCGTGACCCCCGGGTGGATCGTGTCGCACCCCTCGGCCTCCGGGGCATCGAATTCCCCAGTTTCTGCAGAGCAATGACAAGAGGGATTAGACCACTTAGATAATAAATGTCATGTCTCAAATCTTTCTGTGAGAAGTGTAAAAACCTCTGGGCCAATCAGTTTACCCAAGACTTTTTCCACCATGACGTCGTGTTTAACTCCCGGGACCGAAAAGTCAAAATAGCTTATCCACACCTCAGTCCTCCTTGTGTTTGCGTGAGTATCTCGAATCGTCGCTCCAATAGCGCGAAACAATTTTACTATTCTTTCCTTTTTGAAAAATCAAGAGAAGAACAAAATAGTGTTCGCGTTGACTGATCTCAACCAGCCAACACTCTTAGATAATATCATCGCACGCCTCAAGGATGATCCTCTGGTCAAAGACCGAGTTTGGGATCTTGAGAAGGCACAGATCCATCCGTCTTTCCGTCCCAGACGTGGCCTTCTTTGCCTTATGGGCTGGGTATAATATAGTCGGTCAATTTATTTCAGTATAAGCATATTCTGTTTCAACTTTCAGACTTGTATTGTCCTGGTCTGCTCTCGTATATCTCACGCCACTGCATGCTGCGCCCAGATTTCCCTCCAAAATTCACCAAGAAGATCCACGCTCTTGGGATCCCCCGGAGGGAGCACCTGGCTTACATACATGCCCCCCAAGCCTCTGTCGAGATTTACGAACCACCCGATGTTAGGCATGCCATTCCATGTCAGTGTCTTCGCCGGGAGGTTTGGCACGTCCTTCTGGACGACCAGGCCACCCAGGCCAAAGGACACTTCAGCATTGCCGGTGGTATCCCCGGTGAGCTGGTTGTGTAGGGACTGTGTATTGGCTGTTATTAGCTTCGCCCAGGATAGTAGGCTGTGGGAGTGAGGCATACCTCCTGTTCTACAACTCCTCTGTGCTGAGGTGTTCCGGGCTCAAATTGGGGGGTGAACATCTCCGTCACTGACTCCTTTTTGAGAAGCACCGGCTTATCCTTCAGGAGGTCTTGTAGAATAGCGATTAAGTCCGATGTAGATGTGACCAGGCCCATACCGCCGCTATCATTTCGCGCATACAGAGGATACGGCGAGGGAACTGGGATCAGCTCTCCCTCATCGGACCGGCGCCACATCTGCGCCAAATTCGCCATGATGTCCGGTCGAGTGTATGGACGAAACGTTGAACTTTCCAGGCCGAGAGGTTTGAATAGCCTCTTCTGCATGTACGCCGCCAGCCTCGTATTATTCAGCCTCTCCACTAGCAGACCAGCCCAGTCCAAACCTGCACCATAGACCCAGCTGCTTCCTGGTTCGAAGAGAAGTGGTAGGGAGTGGGCCTCGGGCATTTTGCCGCTCATTACCTGAGGGGACTCTCCTCTGGACTCACGCCATGCTACGAGGATCGGGTGCATGGCGTCGTAGGACAGGCCACTGGTGTGGGCTACCAGATGGCGCAGCGTGATCTTGTTCTTGGCGGGCGTCAGCTTGAAAGACCCGCTCAGTTCTGGCGTGATGATATTCGGCTCTCGGAGTTCTGGCAGTACGCCATCGACTGGGTCGTCGAGCGCGATCAGGCCGTTTTCAACACATTGTAATACGGCTATAGTTGTGAGCAATTTGGTGCACGAGAAACCCCAGAAAGTGCTGTCGAGGTCGATCTCCTGGCCTTCCTCCTCCTTGAGTTTGCCTTTGGCCGAGAAATAGAAGATGCCTGGGACGAGCTGTAAGTTGCATCCATCCGCATATGCAATACTCCAGAGAAAGTACCATTTTTGTTGAAAGCAGCTAGAACCACTCCCGGTAGACCTGATGATGGGTCTCTGGTCAAGCAATCCAGGCTTGCTTCGCATTTGAGCTTCATGACGACTAATCTGCGAAGATCGGAGAGATAGCTTTGGTGAAAATCTTGTCTTGGTCAAGAAACTGCTATCGACAAGACTGTGCCTGAAAGACTCAGATTCACTGCCATCATTATGACATGGCGCATTAGAATGGCATTTCACTTCATGCTCTCCTTCAGGCCAAGTTGTGCTTCTTGGTGCTGCGGAAATGGGCTTCTGACCACAGGACCTTGCTCGGCTCTATCGGCCGATGCCTCAACCCTTGCTTGCTCAACCTAAGCTGCTGGTGGCAGCCTCTCGGCCGGATCCCGGGCATTTGCTTTTTAGTGTAACAGCTATGGGCTGACGTCCAGTTTGCCGGCCTTTCTATTCCCTTTGCCGAGAAAGAGCACCATCCATTGAGATATGGCAGGCAAGATGGCGAACCAAGCCACATCCAGCCAGCGACCCTCGACCGCAAAGGTCACTACCACCAATACAGCCCCAGCGACCACCAGCAATGCTGGCCGAAAAAGACGTTCGTGCCTGATGTGCAGTAAGAGGAAAGTGAAGTGCGACAAGCAAAAGCCATGCATCTGCTGCGTCAAGGCTGGGATTGAATGCGTCTTCCCGGTCACCGCTTCGAGCCGGGCGGAGATCGGAGGCACCCCGGAGCTCGTCGAAATGCTTCAACGGCTTGAAAAGGCTGTACAGACATTGGGCCCGAGGAACTCTGGGAATACCGAAGGCGAAGCCACACTACGTCCAGGGCATGATTCATCCTCTCATGATGACCGTCAAATCGATCCGAGGCAATCCTTGGGCCCTATCACCGCAACGGGGGAGCCAGCAACTGAAGCTGGCGCCCAAATATGCGATCAGGAGAACGCAGTTGAAGTCGAGAGTACGATCCAAGGTCAAAGGCCACATGGCAAAGCTCCAAGTATATCATCCAGCCACGCGGAGAGTCCCGGTAAGATTGTTCGGGACCATGGTCGAGACACGTACGTGAGACGCTGGTTCTGGGACGACGAAAACAATGGGGTATGAATCTATCAGAATCCTTGTTTGATATCTTGCTGATAGTTTGCAGATGGAAAGTGGCTCTCTGTCAGACACGGACAGCGACGATATGCGTCAGGACCAGGATCCGAACCAAAATGCCTCGACGAGCCAACACCCCGAAATAATAGGCAGCTCGAGAGAAACGATCATTCAGATGGTGTCAAAGCATAAAATACATCTTTGGACCATCTACAAAGAAAGAGTCGAGCCATTGACGAAGCTGTTGCATCTACCGTTACTAGAACATACCCTTATGGAATCGGATCTATTGGACTCTCCCGATAGCAAGCAGTGCGTTCGCTTAGCAGTCTACTACGGCGCCGTAACCAGTTTGAGCGAAGAGGAATGCGTCATCAAATTCGGTAACGGCCAAGCGCAAGTCTTGTCACGCATGCGCGAGGAACTGGAAGGACTGTTTGCCAAGGCCTTGCTGCTTCATACCGGCGACATCCGACCCCTACAGGCCCTGACTTTATACCTCGTGTTTCTTCGACACCACGAGCCGCGACTTTCATGGAAGCTATCAGGCTTGGCTATCAGGCTGGCCCAGAACTTTGGACTGCACCGAGAAGACAGCTTTCGTGGGCTCACGAAATTCGAGATGGAGATGCGTCGGAGGCTGTGGTGGCAACTGGCTACCATGGATGCGCCGTCAGCAGAGGATTACTCTGGGGAATACAACTTGTAACTATGTCCAACGGCTGTTTTATTATGGGATTTGTGACTTACTCTTCGCAGGCTGGAGATGAGTAGTTTTGATACCCGTCCTCCCCAGAACCTAGACGACGCACAACTCAATCCTACGATGACAGAATACCCACCGGAACCCAAAGGCATCACTGAAATGACATTTACACTGGCTAGTTGTCAAATCACTAGCATGTACCGCTGCATAGCTGACTCTAGGAGGATGTGCGGCAACACGGGTAAAGGCTACGGTGAACTCACGCCTCAGGAACGGGCAGACTGGATTGAGGCTTGCGAGTCCAGCTTCTCTGAGAGGTTCCTCAGAGACTGTTCTCCGACAAATCCTTTTCACTGGGTAGGTTCTATGCTCGACTATATAAATTTCTTAAGCGTGGAAGACTAATATGCAGGGCCGCAGGTAACTGTCATTCTTACAAAGATGCTCTTCCACAAAGTCAGACTGCACGGATGCAACCCCCTTCAAGACGCCGGAGCCATGTTGGAAGAAACCCGCGAAAGACTTTTTCTCGTCGCAGTCGAAGTCATTGAGCTCAATTACAAACTTCGGACTGATCCGCGGACACGCCCATGGCTCTGGCTCTTCAGCTCTTACACTCAGTGGCATGCATTCTCGCTGGTGCTCGTGTGGCTACGGACGAAACCACTGTGTCGGAACTCCCGCCGAGCATGGGAAGCGGTGGAGAAGGCCATCGTGCTGCGATGGGAGCACCCCGCCTCACTTCTGAATGGCAGGAGACCCCAGCAGTGGCGATCCATTATCAAGCTGCTGGAAAAAGCACGCTCCGCACGACAAGAGGCTCTGAGTAAACGAGCTAGACGGGGTAATTCAAACAGCAGGAGGCATGCTTCTATCAGAGCTTCCCTGGGCTCATCATCGACAGCTGTGTCCACGGTGCCGAGCCAAACATCTTTATCTAAAACGACTGTTTCCACTTGCCAAGATGCAGCAACACAGCAACCATACCGGCGATCGCAAACCACTGCCAGGCCGACTGTAGCAAGTGCAACTGGTCCTCCAAGTCCTCCAGCTACTACAACCAACGCCTCGTCTTCGGCGACGCAGCTCAACGACATATTTCAAAGTCCTTGGCATCTTTCGAGCCATGACACGACGTCTGGTTTCTCTACTAATGGCCCAAATGGCCCAGTACCCGACCTGGATTTGATGATGATGGATAGCGAACTCTGTGTGGATGATTTTGAAGGTGTGCAGGACCTTTCATTTCTCAATGAACTTTTTTGATGAGCACTAGTTCGAAGACTGAAGCTTCTGATTGATCAAATTGTTGTCCTGGTGTCTTCTCATGCCCTTGCAGCCCTTGCATACGTCCAAATAGTCTATAATTACAATTATGAAAACTACTGGCCACCAGACATAATTATCAAGAACTGGGCGTTGTGACACATTTGTCTCTTCCGAACGCATGTGGAAGCAGTGAAGCCAATAGCGATCAAGACTCATTTGACTGCAATGTTGAATAATACAACAATTCGAGTGCTGAAGGATTATCTGCACGAGCAAAAGTAATCTGGTAACCCAAACCAGGCAATTTATTCTGGAATCATGGCATGATCGTCTTGAGTTTCGAACTGAAATACTGACTGATCATCATAAATGATGATGGGTTTAACATTGAGAAACTTGAAGTGTTTCACTAGACCATGTTTGCAGCATTATCACCGCATCTTGTCGTAAACCCCATCTTTGATCTGAGCAGATTTGCTTAACAAGTTCCTCAGTATGTTTCATGTCTCACAAGAATCTGGTTGAAGTAATGTGGGTTCGGATCTTCGGCCGGCGGTGTGGGTTGCTGACTTTGTTTCCCGTCAAATTCCCCGAAGATTTTGAGGTGCTCTCCGGCTGGCGCCTCCGTTCCACTTTGTCGAGCCAATGCGATGTTCGGAAAAAAGGCTGACTCCGACTTCCCTGTGACTGGTTCTTGACACATGCTGGTACGAACCTCATCTGGTGATACTAACTCTGTATCTTTCTAAACAACCTCGACATCCTATATCCCAAGTATACTTTGCAGTAAAGCATCCCCAGTATCATCTAACGCAACCACAATTCTACCCGCCCACGATACAATCGCCGAACCATGCTAATGCTCGCATTACCCGTTGCCACATTTGTGGCCGTCTTGGCCTATGGAGTGCTCTGGGTTCTTATTGACTATATTCGCGTCCTGCAGCTCAGACGGCGTATGGCACCAGGCCCTTTCCCGCTCCCTGTCTTCGGCAATATCTTTCAGATCCCAGGTAGCAGACAGTGGAAGAAATTTGAAGAGTGGTCTATCGAATACGGGAGTCCTATCATAACTGTATGGGATGGACATACGGCGGTTATCATTTGCAATGATGCATGGTCCATGTCGAACCTGTGCGACAAGCGAGCAAATATCTACTCATCCCGAGCAATCAAAACGCTCACTGGCAAAGTTTTCGGCTTGAACAAGTTCAACCAAGCTGGTCTTGCCTACGGAGATCAGTGGCGACTACACCGCAGGCTCACAGTAAGTTTCAGTGCTTAGCGGCTACTAGAAGATTTGATACTGATTCCACCCTTAGCACTCGGCTGCCAACGCCCAGGTCGCCCAGACATACCGGACCGTACAAGAAAATGAGGCCAAGATTTTTATTAACGACTGCCTGGGTGACGCTGAAAAGTTCGTCGAGAGCGCGCTGCGATTTACCGTCTCCATCGTATCGGTCATTGCCTGGGGCCGGCGGATCGGCAGTGAAACCGACAATGTCCTCAAAGTTGCCCAGGCATTTGTCGGGAGTGCTAACCTCGGTTTCCCCGGCAAGACGTACACTGAAGCCATTCCTATCCTTGCTTCGATGCCTTCGTGGCTGAACCCCCTCCCGAACCAGCTGAGAAAACTTGCCAGCACCTCGAACAAGTACTTCTATGCCTTGTCCGTCGAGGGAGCCGACGCACCGCAGGACAACTTCGCCAAGCGCTTACTAAGAGAGAAGGAAGAGCATGGCCTCACCAAAGTTGAGATCGCGAACCTGACGGGCAACTTCATCGGCGCTGGAGTCGACACTACGACGAGCACCATGTTGACATTTGTCTTGGCCATGTGCCTCAACCCAGACATACAGCGCAAGGCCCAGGAGGAAATCGACAGCGTCGTTGGGCACGATCGCTACCCAGACTGGTCTGATGAAGAAAGTCTCTCCTACCTGGCGGCAATCGTCAATGAAACACTGAGATGGCGACCTGCCTTTGCCCTCGGCGGTCCTCCCCACGCGCCGATCGAGGATGACGTCTTCAACGGATTCCTCTTTCCAAAAGGGACAGCCATCATTGGCAATCTCTATGCCATCTCACGAAACTCGCGGGAGTATCCCCAACCCGAAAAATTCTGGCCAGAACGATTCCTCGATGACTTCAAGCGCCCAGCTTATCCGAACATGAGGGGCCACAACACGTTCGGTTGGGGGAGGCGCGTATGCAGCGGTGAAGCACTGGCGCAGCAGAGTCTGTACTATACTATAGTGTCTCTATTATGGGCCTTCCATATCCGGCCGGGGCTGGATGATCAGGTGAGCATTTTTGACGGGGGATTTGTACAAGTCGTTGACTGACAAAATTATAACAGGGAAATGAGGTCTCTCTCGACCCGGATGCGTACACCGTTTCTCAAGTAAATAGGCCGCTGCCGTTCAAAGTGCGTTTGCTACCGAGGTCGGAGAAGATTGCCAACCTTGTCAAACAAGCGGGTGAGGATGCGCTCTCAGAACTGCAAGCTTTCGAAGCAGAGACCAAGGTCACATTTGAGAGCGCACAGTCGGTGTCACTTGACATGCCAATTGCGCATTCAGAGAAGAATTAGCCTTTCGAAGCTGTGAGGGAAAGTGGTATTATGAGTATCAGGAGATCCTGGGGCAGACAGAGCGGCACGAGTGAGGCACTTTTGCCGCTTGATGGATGCGAAAAGGCGTTCCAGGGGTTATAAGAGAGGGCGAAACAGCGCATGAGTCATCACTCTGTCCTGAAAGACACGTACTGCAGATGTTCATGAATTAATATTTTGATGAATAGCGCAAGAAAACCTTCGTAGTGCTCTTTAACGACACAGACGATTGGTAGGCAACAGTACTAAGTGACCGCCTGACTAAATCATTTGCGCTGGAACGCGATGCGAATGGAAAGGTTGTTCATGACAAACTTCAAGATGATGCATTTGCGACAGTAAAGTTTAATCGACAGTTTATTAATCACCACGATAATCCTTCTGGGGCGCTGTCCCCATTCAGAACAGAGTTTCCGCACACACCACGGCAAAATACCTCATCCTCCTCAGAAGCCGATTGAACCAGAGCTCTGCGAGCAGGCCACCACTCAGCGCCGCGCTTCTTCTCCTCATCCACATGGTCACGCAGGATTTTCTTCACAAGACCCACTACATAGGTGACTCCTTCCTCGACATCCGGGTGGAACGGCCCCGTGGTGTACGTGTCGCTATTTAGGTTGCCCTGGGCTCCGTTCGCAAGCCACTTATCCTCGCCCTCAACCTGCGCGAAGAAGTCCAGCTTTTCCTTCAGCTGCTCTGGGGTCGCCGTCTTGGATCGATAGACTTCATATCGCATCAGGCTCGTGGTTGCAGATGTTGGGACGATGGACATCATGTAGAAGAAGATGGGGCTGAGGATACTTGTTAGCTTGGCCACGAGCCGCGAAAACCTCGCGAAACTCGCGACTTACGTCAATGTGACTGAGGCGTTGGGAAACATGTAGGTGGGGCTGACTGAGCTCGACCGCTCTTCGCCCTTCCCACCGAGATGCTCAACCCAGTGCTTATGGCATCCGTTCACCATTTGTCTGTTTCCCTGAAAGAAAGGCGCCAGACCGGGATGTGCGGTAGGGCAATGGTAGCACTGCAAAGCCATGTTAGCAGGTCCAGAGCCACAGGATCAGAACCGGGTCACAAACCTCGTTGTAATTCTCAATCAGAGTCTTCCAATTGAATTTGCCTTCCATCGACCAAGTGTGGTCATACTCGTAGTTGCTCATGTCAAAGTTCTTCAATCGCGGCTGCTTGTCCACACCACCGAACTGCTCCTCCCAACTGAAAGTTGGTTTCTCAGCAGCGTCGAGATTGACCCAGAGAAACCCAAGGTCGTCAATGTGAGTGTGAACTTTATAAAGTTTATAGTCTTCCTTCTTGAATCCTTCCACCTGGTCAAATCGTGGGGCCTTGGCCAAGTTTCCATTCATACTGTATGACCATCCTGTCAGGTCAGCCTGGGTTTTTGAATGTCAAGACATCCTCCTGTCATACCGTGGTATTTACACGACAAGACCATAGCCTTTCCAGCATCTTGATGGACTATTGGAAATGCCCTGTGCCGACACACATTGAGGAACGCGTTGATGCTCCCGGCACGGTCTCTGATAACGAAGAAAGGGTAGCCGGCCATCTCATAACGGGCGTACTTTCCTGGCTCGTTGAACTGGCAAGAGTGCGAGATCAAGATCCATGATTTGCTGAAGATGGCCCGCCTCTCCAACTGGTAGAAGCCAGGCTCGCGGTACCACGAAGCGGGAAGAGTGCTCTGCATGGTGATCTGCCAACTAATTCTGGGTATTCTGTGGCTGTATACTGTTTTCAGAAGAAATCCCAAACTAGCAAATTGACAACAATTATCAGGCTGTTTAACATTCAGTTCCTGTATCAATTTCTTGGAGGAGACACTGGAGGCCGCATTCCGGCCGAGAGCCCCGTAACGGGACTCACCCCCGGGATCTAAATGGGCAGTCAAGTGACAATGCGCAAGGCACTCGAATCTTGACACGACTTCGGGAATAAGCCACCCACCAACGGGGTGCATTACATGTCATTTCTGGGTCTTGGTGAGCATTGGGTCCGAACCGAGCTCATGGCTTCACTGAGGCTTGTCTCGCGTTGCTGGCTCGGCATTGCGGCCGAGCGTCCGTGATGCATACCCGGGCACTCCACAAATGCGGACCCGCCCGGAATCCGGAGCGCTCAGCTTAGAGCAATGAACGTTAATTCCAGTGTTAATTTATATATCAGCTCTGCACCGCATGATTCAAGAGACAATCTAGCTTTTAGAAGTAACTGATCTACATCGTCGCCAACCATGAGCTTTCTGTTGCCACTTTTGGGTGACTCCCAACTCGATACGATACGGCTTGATGCTTCCGGCGCCTGGGGTTTCGTCACCACGAGCGCCTACGTATCCATCGCAGCATTTATTGTTACAATGTATATTTACCATCTTCTTGTTTTCTCCCGGACATTATTTCTGGCCATGCGATAGCCAACCCCGATCTACTCTCAGATATAGCCATGTTCCCACTCTACGCTGGATGGTATGGACTTCAATTCCTTGAGTATTATCTCGTCGGGACTATTTGTTCTTTTTTTCCGTTAATATCAACTATGTCTTAATACTAATGATGGTTGTCGGTAGTGTTTTACTTAAAGTATATACTTTATGATATATGTTTCATGAAAATCATTCTCTTCTAGCTTTAGGTATAAAGCCTACTGTGGATTAAACGTACAGTTCCTTCCTCATCTACGGAAGAATATCCGACCACCTTGCTTCTAATAGTATTGACTTGCCTTCAGACAATGATTGAGAGTCAATTTGAAACAGTTGCAATCAGGGCCCACTTGTGTGATGGCGTTTGGACTCTACAAACCAGACAAAATAAGTTGACTCCACCATCGTTCATTCAATTTCACCCCTCGTCGAGACACGACTTCGACTGAAACTACAAGTGTGTGCGAGGCGCCCTCTAGGGGACTACAATGTATCATTGTGCTCTTGCTTTTGAGGGTTGCAACCTTTCTGGGCCAAGTTGGCAGAACACAACGCCTTTCCTGTGCCGATCTTCCGTGTTAGCAATTGCAATGATCTTCCTGTGCCGAACTTCCGTGTTAGAGACCACAACGACTTTCTCGTGCCGAATTCCGTGTTAGCGGACCTGCAGCCTCCCTCACAGCCTCTTTACCCCATGATTTCCACTTCCAAGCGAATCAAAATGTGTATGCAAGTGTTTAAACTATAGGCTAACGCGGAAGTTACCGATCTTAGCATCGATCATCTATGAGATCGACGTCAACTTTATTTCGACATCAACTGGTCATTGCCATAACGACCTAGTATTCTGGAGACTTTAGTGTGCGTATATGTGACAGTACCTTGGAAATTGTGGACTACTGCGCTGACCGAGATCCCCTGTTCTCATTCTCAACCTTGACCGTTCCCGCTACGTCATTCTGCCAGGACCACTGTACATTTGTAGATTCCAGTGACAAACTTTCACGACTTTCTATTGCTCCTAAGACTACGTTTCTATCCAACTATTGTCCCCGTCCCGGTCAGCGATCGAATATGACTACCCTCACCGAGTTACACTTCACCGCATCCTTCTCGCAGCCAAAGTGCAGTCACAATTTATTCAGATGCTCGGACGGTCTATTGCGCAGCACATGTGTAGATATGCGATATTTGATAGTGGGCAATACAGAGCCTCATCGGACACCTGCCGAATTGTACATCCTCGCGTGATTGAAGGGCAGAATTCCAATAAGTCCAAGCGGCGTCACCAAAAGAGAGCATGTCACAAGGTGGCATTCTTAGTGGTTCAAATATCATGCTCAATTAAAGACATGATGCTATGTACGTATTTATGCGTCAAGCAAATGTACAGTGAAAGAAAGCGATGCAACACGCTCAAGTCAAAAAGTCAACTCCCGGGATCCTCAGAATCTTTCCTGATCTCCCTCTAATGCACCTTAGTCGTGCAAACTGCTTAGCAGATACAGTAGGTACCGTCGCAACCATCACCGTTGTCGTCGTTCTTCTCGGGCTCCTCGTCGTTGTCGTCGGTACCGGTGTAGGTGACGCAAACATCATCGACACCAGAGGTGGTGGTGTCGGTGATCGTGCAAGAGTCACCGTAGTTGGAGTTGATACCTGTCAAATTTTATGTCAGCCAGATTTCAATGAGACTGGAGAGTAGTGTCTGGATAGTTACTTACCGCAGATGGTCTTGCCATCGGTGGCGGTGGAGCCGGTGATGGTGATGTGACGCTCGTACATGGTATCGCAGTTTCCGCAAGAGCGGTACAGCTTTCCGAAGTCCTCAACGGTGAAGTCGGAGACCTCGAGGGAACCGCCACCGTTGTGCTGGAGGACCTTGTCCTCGGCACCGTAGGCACCGCCGCCCTTGATGTAGGTGGTGTCACCGGCGTCCTGGTTCTTGATGGTGAAGGCGTCCTCGCAAACCGCGCTCCACCAGACGTTCTCGAGAGTGCAGGCACCCTGGCAGTGGACACCCTCGATCTGGTTGGGGCCGATGATGACATTCTTCAGGGTACCGCCCTCCTCGATCTGGAAGACAGCGTCGGAGTCGCCACCCTCATCCTGACCGGTGCAGTCGACACCACGGTCGTAAACGTACATGCCTCCATCGAAGGAGTCGCCAGCGGCGATAGTCTGGACATCCTCGAGGGCGGAGGAGCCGGAAGAGGCGGGGACGTCGAAACGCCTCTGGATGTCCCGAGCCTTGGGGGCGGGGGTGACCTGAGGGTGAGGAGTGGCGATGGCACCAATGGCCAGGGAAGCGATGAGCACGGCGTACTGCATTTTGACGGTTGTTTGTTGGTTGAAGTGAGTGTGAAGGCAGTGAGTTGAATATGTACACAAACGAGGGACAAGCACTGCTTGTTTGGTTGGCTTTGGAAAAGAAAGTGAGGGAGAGAAGACTCTTGACTTGGTTGGATGATGATGGAAAGGGACAACAAGATGCATGAATGTTTCGAGGTCACGTAGAATTTATATCAATTCTATCTGCATCTCATTGATGGATTGACCCTTCCTCAAACGGACCGTCTACGTCCTCCAGTCCAAAGTCCGTCCGTCATGACAGTAGAGCCTCGGATACAACTGTCAAGTCGGGGATATCGGTAGTCGCCTGCAACAACCGGTCGATTGCCTAATGGGGACATTCTGCAGTTCTCGAGGTCGTCATTGGACTGTCTAGACCCTACAGGGCGGAAGATTGTGGAGTGTCACGATGATCTGTAGCCTCTTTTGAAAACATACGGGCGTACGTTGGTGGTGTCTCCTGCGTTGTTTCATCCCTACAATATATTGCAGTATTTGATATGAAAACTGGGGTCGTGGCAAGGGGAGGGCTTCCAAGCGAGGATGGGCTCGGGCTGGCGGTGATCTTTCTGTCGTCCGAACCTCAACACCGGCCAACCATGATGATCTGCTTCGATCTCCCTTGGCGCTAACTTGGCTCTGGTTCCCATCTGCTGTGGGTTTTGCCAAGAGACGCGTTACGACTGCCGCCTTGGCGGTTACGTTTGCCTGTGGGGTGGATCGAGTGCTCGATCAGGTGCTTACCCTGTCTGTTTCTACTGAAATAGGAGCTCCCCTGGCGAGTCTGCGTGTATGCGCTGTTTGGTGGCGTCGACTTCGTGTTTTCACCATCATCTCCGACACCCTGAATCCATCTCAATGGCCCGATGCGGATCGGTTCCGGGCTCGTGGGTCTCCGGTAGCACGCCCATTGGCCGTCGATCGACGCGTTTCCACCCAGTTCTCGACGGTGAACGGTGGAGAAATCGGATCCTGCTTGTTTGAACTTGAACAGCATGCAGGCCCTGTTGTTGAACAGCAATCTTCTCAGGACTGTGCCAAGAGCCTTGGCGATAGGGGGATTGGCGATCTTTGCCTTCCTGCAGGCCGTTGGCTCTTGATCATTCTCCTGTTTATTCTGTCGTCTGCCGTCGCTTCTTCACTTGGCACTATGGGAATGGCGAGCCCGACATCCGAACAGGAAACAGCCGAAGGTTGTTCAGGACCAGGATTGTGATCAACGCATTAGAGCATGGCTGGACGTCGTCGATCAGCACTGTCGACTGTCAAGTAGGTTTGCCAAGCAGGTTGACAGTTGAGCCGCGACGGTCTCCCGTGGTTACGACTCATGACTACGAGCAACTCCACGTGAAAAGCACATGGTTCGCAAAGTCTAAAGACGGCATGTCTCGAAAAAACATAATAAAGGCAGCAGTTCTTGCCCATAAGATTGTGACTGGGCGACCAGAGCATGCGTCATTCAGTTTGAAGCGTGAGATTTTAGTTGCTGCATAGTTGGGAGATGGTGGCGAGCTCTGTGGGCGCCTTCCCGAGGCCCTCCTGTTTCAATTTGACTATCAAAGGTGAGCACAAAATTTGCCAGCAAATTGACACGAGGTTTTGAGTGCCCACATGCGCCATTGGGAGGCCGTCGGAAACGAGTTTTCAAAGGGATAATGCAAACTGAGGCTCTCCACGAAATTGCAGGCTTCTGAATGAAACTAGACTTCAGTAGTCGTGCTAAGGACTAAGAGACGCTTCGGGTTCGACAACAAATCCGTTGCGGAACACGACTTGATTACCTGGATCGGACGCTGATCGAAGACATGGATGCATATATCAAACAAGGATCGACGCAGACGCGCATTTGAAGACGCTGGGAATCGAGATCTAATGAACCTGCGATGTTCAACGATCTACATATTCTGACTGGCGGCATTCGACCAGAGGAAAATCCGTGGTGATTATTGCCGTCGGCACATAATGTTATGAGCCCAACGAGCATCGCTACTCTTTCTCTAATGAGATACACGTTGCTTATTCAGGACTCTTGAGGGCCGGAGAATCTCCATTACCGGAATCCCTCGCATACAGTGCCAGGATCTCGGAGGTACTGCGGGCCGCAAAGCCAGACAAGCACAGATGATCAAAATTTTGACAGACGATACGAAGATCTATTCTTTGACCACATGATATTTCACCCGACTTCTCGAACTACAGAACTATCTTGTGGTCTTGTGGCTCCGTACCACACATTATGACTTGACAGTACAAGTCTAGACAGTGTATCGGAAAAAAGGTGCATTGTCAGCGAGTTCCAGTTCAAGTGCCTTCTGCTCCTCTGTCATCTCTTGTCTTCCCACTTCGCCCGAGACTCGGTCTCGGCGAGCATTCTCCATCCGGTACCAGATGGTCATAAATAACGTGAGCAGAAATGCAAGACTGCGTAGAGAGTCAGTCTACCAACCAAACAATCATTGCAATATCACAGTCATATGAAGAGTGACCACTTACCTGATGATCCCGAGTAAAATACTGTGGCCCTTAATGTACCGAGGCCCATCCTTGGACAAGTACACGTATGACGCTATAATGCCACCACAGTTGCCTCCCATCACCTGCATAGCGATGCCAGTTCCTCGCTTAAGGGACCCACCAATGTTGCCACTGTTCCACGCCATGGCGAGAGGAATCGTAGGGTATATTCCAATCGCAGCCAAGACTAAACCTCCGTATTGGGCCGAGGTGTGGTGCGTCCCCGCTAGAAGCCCAAAGCCAGCGAGGCCAGTGAGCTGGAACCCGAGGAGGAAAATACCACGCTGCTTGACGCGATCTGCAGCATAGCTAGCGGCGATCGTGAAAGCACACGCACAGACATATGGTGGCACACTCATAAGCTGAGCGTTGTTGGCGGTATATCCCATGCCCTTGATGATCGTCGGCGAGAAAAGAGCGAAAGCGTAGATGGGACAAAAGCCAGCCAGGAAGATGCCGCAGTGCATGTATATCTTCCAGTCACCGATGGCCTGCCACACATACTTCATGTGAAAAGTCTCAGAGAGGTTTCCACCATCCACACGCAGACGCCTCAGCACTTCTCCTCGCTCACTGTCGCTCAGGAACTTGGTCGTCGCGGGGTAATCGTTGATCGCCCAGTATGCAATGAACGAGACCAGTATGCTCAGCAGGCCTTCGAGGATGAATATCCACGACCCTAGTTCATGTCAATCACCCGCTGAGGATCCTGAAGTAATACATCCTGGAACATTCCAAAACATGGCACACAGGGAACCGTGAAAGGACAAGAATGGTGCTTACAGGCAGATAAACCGCCGGTGCCGCTCATCTCAGCGATCCCTCTGGCAAGTATCCCGCCAAAGGCACCGGCCAGAGTCGCAGCCGAGAAGAAGAGTGCCATGCGGAAGCCACATTCGTGTCGGCAGTACCACTGGGTGATATAGTAGTTGACACCTGGAAATAGACCACCTTCGAAGGCACCAAGGAAGACCCGGGTAGCCATCAGACCAGAGTAATTCTTCACAAAACCTTTTGGAAAGTCAGTCCTCGGCCTGTCTAAACCTCGTACCGTAGATGAAAAAAGGAGAGGGTGGAAGGCTTAGGGGAAGGCTGACCTTGACCAATCATGGAGGCTGACCAGCCGACCATGATGAAGGTGAGCCATATGGAAGGTCGAGTGCGCTTCATCATCATGTTGGAAGGGATCTCAGCTGCGCTGAAATTAAATAATCGTCAGTAATGATGCATTGGCTCATCTGGAATGTGGAAGATGATGTTGCTCACATGTAAAACGGGAAAAGGATAGCAAGGCAGTCATTGTATTGCAAGCCTTTGAGATTGAGGTCTTGCTCGAGATGGTCAAGGCGGGCATTTCCAATATTGGTGCGATCCAAGAAACAGAGTCTATCTTATTTTGTCAGGAAGCGCTGCAGCGCGAAAACGAAATGCGATGCGTCAACAATACTAACAAGTAGATCAATGACATGAACGGGATGATATGCCAGTCTAGCTTTCTCAAGAGCTTTTTAGTCGCACTGCGGTCGTATGCCACGGCCTCGTTAATCTCGACAACGGACGCATTGTCCGAGGTGTCTGTCGGCTCAAAACCCTTCTCGTTTATTGATGGCTTCATGATTGCCCGTTTGCCACAGCTTGGTGAGACGGTAGAAGCGATACTTCCGCAGTTCAAAGGAAAAGACATCCAGGAACCAGGGCGCGGGGAACCGAGAACTCTTTCAGGGGGGGTTGCTCAATATTAGCAAAGGAACAGCAACAATTTAATCATCTCTGAAAAATATGTCCCTAGCGCATGAGTAATCTCCCAAGGATGAATCTATGAGGCTTCTATCCAACCTTACCGACGAGGTCATCCAGTAAGCCTTCATGCCCCGCGCTATCCTGCCGTAGCTTCTATTTCAGCGCGACTTGGCATCAGCCACTCGCATCGTGGCCATCCACAGAGCAGCTTATCGGCCAGTTTGATGCTGTTGGAATGCAGGTCAGCTTCTAGACTGTGCTCTCTCCTGGTCGCACAACAGGCACATTGCTCAATAGGTCTTAGACAAGGCTCGCTCCAGCAAGCCACAGCGCCAATTAGACTTAGTGGCCGACTCCCCGCCCTTGGCAAGAATGTGTTGTCCCAGGCGTCCCAGCGTATGGGGAAGCCAAGCTGACGGTAGTTGCTTTTGTGTGCCACCAAGCTCCTGCCACCATCCGCCGAGTGACCTGGGGCTTATCTGCTACCAATAGCTCCCGCAGCCAAGCTATCCCCACAATGCTTAGCCTGGTCAAGACTACGAAGGTTCAAGCCAGATCCTTCGCCCAGCAACGGCATATGAAGGATCCCGGATTCGTATAATCCTCAGGGGAGTGAAAGGGGGGGGGCAAGGACAGAAACAGAGACAGAGAATGCGTAAAAGAGGGGGGTGGGGGTGGGCCAAAGAACTGACCCAGATACTCTGGACGTGATGAAATCGTCTGCATGGCCATCTTGAGAGATCTGGTATGGACCTGATTTAGCACTGGTGAAATGCTCTGACTGCAAAATTCTTGGTTGCCTAAAAGCACTTGAACCACATGGGCGGACTGTTCCAGTACTCATTATATTGGCCCGATAAATAAACGCCAAGCGCAGCCTTTCCATGTTTTCTTCTTCGAGCAGAGACAATCTCTCTAACTGGAGCCTACGGCCAGCGCTGTGACACGGGTAAGAATTCAAAGCTGACAAACATATATTCAGTAATGCCATACAATACATGGCGCTTTATTAGCAATACTATGTATCAAATTATGTAATTTTCATCTTCTTCCGAGTCAAGCACTCTTGTGGAACAGCTCTTTCCCCTCCGAGCTTCACTGCAACACAAAACATCCGTGCATTATGAGGCAGAAATGGGACGTCAGTACCTTTTGTTTGTTGACGGAGACGCATCCAGATGGTCATCAAGGGTTCTTAGACACTTGCCTTCATCTTGTACAGTTATGTCACGAGGACTTCGTGTCCTCACTTCGATACCTCTCAGCCTCATGGATGTGTAATACTGTAACGTCCCTTTAGATTTAATTTGAGCGCAGGGGCTGCAGATCCTACTTTTTCAAACGTCCGGTGAGTGAGCTTAAGCCACGAAAATTGTGAAATATCTGTATTGATGTGTACGTCTCTGGTTCGAAATACTCCTTGACAGAAAAGAAGCGCCAGACTTGACCCACAAAGCTTGCTATAATCTCGGTTAACTTTGAAAAGTCTTTATACTATTATTTAACCTCATAGATTTTGGTCCATTGGTTGACCCCAGTCCCAGCCCTTAACGCTTAATGAGTAAACTGGAAATCCCGGTTTGGCCAATGCTACCGTAGGATTGGTCCCTATCGTCATGCAAAGGGCTGAAATTTGCTCACAGACTGACTGCAGTCTCACTTGAACACGGCCACGTCGAAGATCTTTAGAGTTCAAATACTTATCATTGCTGTAATAGATCCCCTTGACATTTGTCTCAACTTCTCAGTCTGCGTAGTTGGCCACTTCCTTGGCGATGAGAAAGCGAAACACCAGAGCAGTACTGTAACCATAGACAAAGCCAGTAGGGCAGGATCTAATGAAGCAAAACTCGTCTTCTACTTGTCAGCCTGAATTTAAGTTTACCAGATACATGTTGATAGGCACGTAATTTCACTCACACACTGCGTATCTACTTATTTGATAAGCTTCACCATACTTTGTGCCAAAATCCAAGGATAACGACAATCACCGCGTAGGTAAACTCCATTTTTTGAGATTTGTTTGACAAGCCCTTCACGTCGCACTCGTTGGCAAGCCCAGTAGAGCGAGCAATTCCTACGAATTTCCAGCAGCCGTAGAACAGGGAGAATTCATTGAAAGGTATGTTTTCAAGTCTACTAATTTTACGCTCGAAAATGTGCTACCAGTCTTCCTCATAAGGAACAGAAATCCCAGCTCGCTGGTTTTCTTCTTGCAATTCAGGTAGTCTACACGTGTGCATTCTTCGACCTACACGTGGAGTTTCTCTGAGATGCAAACGGCAGCACCGCACCAAGTTCGTCCGAACTTCTGCACCTGTCCGCCATGTATCCAGACATAGCTAGCCACAACGCATACTTCAGCAACGTGTCCCAGCACGGTGCCCACAGGTGCTGTCGTCTAGAGGTTTAGGACGTTAGATTGTGGTCAAGCTTGTCAGCTCTCTAAAGACCGAGGTTCGAACCCTTGCAGCGCCATCTGTTTTTGCAGTTGTTCACTGTTAATCTCTTGCATGTTGTAGTTGGCGTTGCAATTGTATGCCTAGAGAGGTCTGTGAGCTAAATGTGCAGACGGGGCTGAGAGCAATACAGCTGCAACACTTCGTTTTCTTCCGTGCGGCGGAAATCATGCAGGTCTATATTTAATCGCTCAGTGAAATTGCATGTCCCTGCTCGATTTGTTCTATTAAGTGTTGGGTTCCCAATATCACAATACCAGGAGCGCACCGGCTCCGTCCCTCCGGCCCCGACGGTCATCCGGGTCAAAGGATGTTCGGCGGGGGCCCTCGGCCAATACTCTACCGAACATGAAAATGCTGTGACTAGTTGCAGAGAATGATATGGGGTTGAATCCGGGTGTGTCGGAGGCGTTGACTCGGTATTTAAAGCATGTGTGGTAGGCCAAGCTTTTCCCCAGCCGACAAACGGCATGTTTCCGTCCGAAGCCAGTCCCAACCCCGGTCCTGTGTTGTTTCATGGACACCCTGAGTGCCCACCTGCGTTTTCTCGGGATCTCCTGGAGGGATCTTCCACAAATCCTCAGTCACGAGGATTAGACTTGGCGCCCCCCGGAAGTGGGGTTTTCCCAAAGCGCAATATCCAAATACTGTGACATGCTGCTTCCGCGACGGGAAATACCTATTGAGGCTATCGATTCCGTATTGGGGCTGTCTATTGTCATGTGGTCACGAGGTCTCATGCTTGCGTGATGGCGCCTGGGCAGCGCGCAGTGCAGCGGCAGTCCTCCTCCGTGGCCCGCCCCCCTTTAATCAAAGGTTACCTTGGGTGCAAGGTCAGGGGCAGACACTTCGTCTAAGTCGACTCGAGGCCAAACAAAGTCTGGGCATGGGCTCAATTATTCCGTTTGGTCTTCCCTCACCAAACCTTCATTCTCTACATAGTACTTCATATTGCGACGCCAGCCGTTAACTTTTGCATTCATTACCTCGTCTTCATCCTCGTCTTCTCGTCAGTGCCGGCACACATTCTTTTTGCATCTTCCTCATCCCTGCATATATTACCACATCCCGCTCAGGTCTCCTACACTCGGCCGACACGATGAAGTTCTCACTACCTGCCCTCGCCGTCGCGCTCGGCGCAATCAGCGTCTCTGCATCCCCTGTGGAACTCGCTGCTCGAGCAACCCCAACGGTCTATCTGTGCGGAGACAGCACTATGGCCAAGAACGGCGCCAACGACGGCGCGACGGACGGCTGGGGCCAGTACTTTGGCACCTACTCCACCGCCACCGTCGTCAACAAGGCCATTGGCGGCCGATCTGCCCGTTCCTACACGGCTGAGGGCCGCTTCACCGAGGTCATCAACCTCGTGAAGTCGGGCGACATCGTGGTTATTGAGTTCGGACACAATGATGGCGGCACCCCCGAGACCAACGACAACAAGCGCAGCGACTGCCCCGGAGCCGGCACGGAGACGTGCAAGTCCAGCATTGACGGGTCGACCGTCTACACCTTCGTCTACTACGTCAGCCAGGCGGCCAAGGCGCTGGTGGCCAAGGGCGCGACAGTGGTGCTGAGCACCCAGACGCCCAACAACCTGTGGGAGACGGGCAGCTTCTCGTACTCGCCGCCCCGTTTCGTCGGCTACGTCAAGACGGCCGCCACGGCCGTGGCCAGCAGCAGCGTCACCTACGTGGACCACTTCAACGCGCAGGCCCTGGCCTACAAGAAGCTCGGAAACACCGCCACCAACGCCCTCTACCCCAACGACCACACCCACACCAGCCCCGCTGGCGCGAAGCTCGCTGCTCAGGCCTTTGCTCAGGCCATCGCCTCCAAGATGAACGGCACCACCAGCTTGACGAACTACATTGTCAGCCCCGCGCCAAGCGTTTACTAAGCGGGCACAGCCCAAGATGGGGTCGATGTGGCCGGGACATCGAGGAAGCGGATAAGTTTTTAATTTTGGCTGTAAATATTCACACCGTGAGAGGCAGGGCTCTGAGCCGTGCTCTCAAAAGTATAAATATATGAAATAAATACAATGTGTATGATACACACGAGTCAAGCAATCAGATGCATCGTGAAAAGTCAATCCGCATTTGGTGACAGTATCGCGGGCTCTCGCGAGGTTGGAAGCCCGCGCTGAAGTCAAAACGAGACCGAGTTCGGATCCGGAGATGGATCAATACAGTAATGTCGTCAAGTCATTGCCCCATAGCGCAAGCGAGGAAACCCACACTGGACCGTGTGGACCCGTCGGCCAATTTCTCCTTTTTCTCCTGATCCGAAAGTCTGGGCTCCACTCCAGTCAGCAATAAGAAGTTCCCCTGTGTTCGAAACATCGCGAAACAAATCGAGAACCCCACCCGCGAACTGTTGCCCGCGACGAGTCTAGTTGACCTTGGCAGGAGGCTGTTCATCGCTGGGCTTTGACTCCTATCGTGGGCACATGGTGGATGCGAACGGCCAAGCGAGTCTTGTCCTCGGACGATGATTTATAAACGGATTCGGAAGTGGTCACAGTCTAATGCAAGGCTTTTTGACTCGTGCAGCGTTCACATTGAGCCGAGTGAAATGCTCCAGATGAGTTAATGTATTGACAGCGAATTGAAAAAGACTAGATGCTCTTATGCCTGCCCCATACGTATGTCAGGCTTATACTAAATACAGTGAAGGATAAAATGTAGACTAGACGGTAGACCCGACAATTATTTTGCCAGGGCAACCAAGGGCGTTGCTCCAGGGAAGAAGCTGCTTGGCATAGTAGGGACGGGAATTTCGACCGTAAACCCGAAACCAGTCTTCAGGTCATTCGGCATGGTAGCGGCCTGGTACCCGGTAGGCGCAGAGGCGATGGCTGCAGTAGTGGTGTAATCACTGCCGCTGGCCTTGAGGCATCCACCGGAGCCGAAAGCATTCTGGCAGATGTAGTTCACCTTGCTGCCGCTGTCCGTCCACATGGCAAAGTCCTTGACAACCATATCCTTGCAAGGTGTATCGGGGTCGCACTTGAATTGGATGGGCCCGCGCTGCGTGCCAGAGGCACAGGTGCCCTTCCAGTTGCTGAACGTCATGTTTGTGAGCTGCACACCGCTGCCAGCCGCTGTCGACATGGACGACCAGGCCTGGTCGATGTCGAGGGAGTACGCGTTGCCGTGGCCAATAAAGTCGCTGAATTCTACATCCTCGACGTAGCCCGACCCGCCGTTGCTCTTGACCATGATCATCTGGTTGCTGCCGACTGTGTAGACCTTGCGGTAGGCAACGTTCGAGATGGCGGTGTCAGCGGCAAGAGATCCGATTGCTGAGCCACCGGACAGGTTGCAGTAGATCTGCTCGATGAGGATGTTCTTGGCGGGCGACTTGACAGTCACGCACTCGTCCTTATTGGTCACCATCACGTCGTGAATGTGGACATTGTTTGACCACACATCGATTCCATCAAGCCCTCCGTGGTCGCCACCCCGGATGGCAAGGTTGTAGAGCTCGCCATTGGTGCAGGTGTCGAGCGAGATGTGGAAGGCGGGTGCATCGACGAACCTGAGGTCGTGGACGGAGAAGTTGTTGGTCTTGATCACACGGAGAAGACGGGCACCCGAGAGTGACCCGCTCTTGTGGATTTCGTAGCCGTAACCCTGCATGACGCCGGATCCGTCGCTGGAGAAGAATTCGATGTCATTGCTGTTCTGGATCGCAATCATGTTGCCGCCTGCGGTACCGGTTCGGTAGATGGTCCCGTCCAGCTGGAGACCAACACCAGTGCCCTTGTTCAGGGTGGCCCATGTCGACATAGCATAATCGCCCTTGGGGATGACGACTTCAAGACAGTTAATATCAAGTACATTGGCCAGAAGTCGTTGAAAAGGATGGGCTGGTAGAAACCAAGCACTTACCAATGCCTCCAGATGCGCATGCAGCCCAAGCCTTGACCAGCGCCGCGCCAAGATCCGTACTCTTGTCCGCCTTGGCACCGTAGTCAAGAACACTGCATGTCTTCTTGGCTCGCTTGGCTGCCGTACTCGTCGTGGGGCCAACAGAACCGGAAAGCTGGGCCGTGACTGCGCTGACCAGGACGAGAGCATTGAGAATGGAGAGCTTCATGGTTGCAGATTGGTGACTGATGGGACTGGATGGAGAATCGGGGTATTGACTGCCAAGAAAAAGGAATATAGGTGAATATATGTACGCTCTGCGCAAACGAGTGAATGTGAAGAATGGACGTTGAGAAAGGAAGGAAATGGTTCGTCCGGTGTAGAGTCAGGAAGTAATGGTGAGCGTGACCACCGATTAGACTACTATTCCGAGATGTTTTCCTGCTCCCCAGAAGATCAGCGTACTAGTCCACGGGGCCATATTTCAAGCTTTTCCCTTGACAATATAATCCTCACGCACCCAACCAGACTTCGTTATCAGTCGGACGATGGACCGGCCCATTAGGGAGAACAATGTGCCAAGCGAGGTGTTCACGTCCATGGGGGCCAGACTATTCTTCGAATTGCAGTACCGAGATGGGAGGTGGGCGCCATCGTATCCCGGAACATTTCCACCAAAGAGAATGCCGCTCTGGTTACTTCCTTACCCGAAACGGCAGTGCTTCGACGGCGGATGGTCTTGACCGGCATCTGGTCAGGGGAGCCCCTGCTCTTGACTCGGAAGCGAGGCTGCGAGTAATGCCAGACTTTAAATGCGGGCTCCAGATTGATTGGGGTGCGACACGCTAGCACCCTATCCGTCAAATCCGTCGGCCCTTTTCTATATATTGAAGCATTGAAGCAGATTGCGGCTGCCGTCTTTTCGGATGTGGCGGCGGTGACTGACGGATTTCATTTTATTCTACACAACAAACTCACCTCGTGTCTATTTGAGCTGCTTACCCGCCCTATGCGAACCGTTTCAAAAGACTCTGGGGACGGGAGAGGCAAGGGACATGCGCCCGCCGTCACTCTTAGTGCCGATCCTATTACACGGTCAGCAATTAACAAGGAACGATTACTGGATACGTCAAAAGAATCGTTTCATCGTGCACAAATTGTGCTTGACAATGGATTCTGTAGTGCTTTCCTGTCTCCTGCCACTGGTGGTTGAGTCCGATATTTGCTCCTGAACAGGACACATCCTAGCGTTTTGGTGGATATTCATCTAATAGACACTTACAACCGGACATTGTGAAAGAAAGACTAATGCTATAAAATGGGGCATGTCAAGGACTCCGGATAGTCGGCATGATGGACTGACTAAGTGCCCGTGTGTTTGCTGGGACAGGCTTTAACATGGCTACTGGCCACTCCACGCAGTCCACTCACTCAGTGAGCTGCCAACCATCAGCTTGCCCAGTGGTGAATACTATGACAGGTGCATCGGTCTTGCTCTTCAAATAGTCCAGGAGAGCGGAACATCCAGGCCGGTCTTACATTATCGTTACATCAGCTGGTCAGAACAGACATTGCAGATGATACTGCTACTGCGTTGGCGCAGCCATAACTATCACTTAGCCCAACAATATGGAGCTTCCTAGTTATTCGAGTTTCCAGAACTGAAGGCACGACAGTCCCTCTTCAAGGGCGATCAAGGTTAGGGACGCGGGAGTAGCTGCCCCGAAATCCCGTACGGAACATCTGGACTGCTGCTAAAAAAGATGAGGCAGAACTGTGGCGTCGATCTCGGGAAAGGGTACCGATGTTGCCACCGGGGCACACTATGAATCCCAGTAGGAAAGGGTTATTCAATTGGCAAAATCACAGACTCTTAGCCTCTGGGAGCTGGCTGCCTGGACATTGTTTGTCACTGCGTCAACAATTGATTGTCACAATTAAATATGAATGCCTTTACGCCCGGGATACCCCTGCTGGAACCACTTAAACAGGTGCCCAGTACAGCTTTCGGGGCTACCAAATCATCGAATCTAATTCGAACAACATATAATCTTCCTATATGATATTATGCTGCTGTAGGAAGCCCTCCTATAGAACAAGTCTATACGGCAAGGGCTGAATCATCGTATCCTCGCTTACACAGATAATTGTCTGTGCTATTTCAAGAGGGAGTCATTTCCAATATGCAAAAATGGTAACAATGGTGCCAAATTTCAAGGAGGAAGTGACTTGTTCTAGTTCAAGGTAGAAGCTGGATGTTTGACAAAAAGCAATCAGACTCCACGATGAATAGCCCAGATGGTATAGAAACGGTGACGGGATGATAGAAGGCGGACAATGAAAGGTGGGTTACCTTCAACTGGGGCTCTGTCTTCCCATGTGCCAACGGAGCCGCCAGTGTAACAGTGGCCTCGCACATCCGACAACAGTTTGCGGGTGAGACGAAGAAGCTGATTTCGCCGCCTGAACCTGAAGGAACAGCCAATAGCACAACAACTCAGCCGGCCGTGCAAGAGAAGCGAACGAAGTTAACCCGTTCCCCTAGACGTACACAACTTCTTCACGTGTACGGGACAACGCAGACATGGATTGGATCCAGCAGGCTTCCCAGGCCTCTGCCGCTGATGCTGCCCAATTAGCAAAGGACTTTCCACTTGTCTACAACACCACTGCAAGATCTCAAGAGATCTGACGCTTTGGGCGAAATATCTTTCGATATCATTATCAATCAGCTTCGATTTATATTATTCCATATAAATACTGGTCCCCATCCTTATTCAAATGTACAATTAAGCAATACAGATTTATGGCTGATTTCAATACCTCTCTTCACGGCCAGGAGATCAATTACCCGCCCCCCCCCCCAATACCGGGTACCGCACAGCGGCTATCTATTGCAGACAGTGCATATTACTATGCCATTCTTGTCTCAGGCATCAATAAAATACGGTGATTAATCATATGCAGCTCCATTCCCCTTCAAACTGCATTCTTTCAGCGGAACAACACTAATCAGGGCCTCCTCATAAATGAAACCACAGTGTAGCAATACGAAACATGTTGAATGCGAGAGAATCAGGCAGTAGCCAGCCACAGCTAGAGGGCGTGAAGGCACCCATCTCGCCACTGTAGTGCTGCCCCCAAGACAGGAAATACAATACGCACAACTGCCTGATTACCATCCAGGACTTAGAAAAGATACTGCAAGCTCCGCAGCCAGATACCATTCCGGATCAACAAGGCTGTCAGCGCCGCGGCAGACGGGGCTAATCACGAAAGCGGCAGCGCGAACCGCGTCACAGGTACTACAGCTCACCAACGTCTTAATACATGTTGTGTGTGTCTTGGGCGGTTGGTCGGCGCAATGGCGGCAACCGGCCCATCAGATGCATGGGGGTTTAGTGTGTAACCAAGGGGCTAGATATTCAGCCGCACGAAGACTACACAATCGAAGTATAAGATGTATCAACTGCTATACTTTTTGCTTTCCAGCTCAATTGTGGGGGTTTGAACAAATCTGGGGGCCTGTGGTGCTGAGCAATCTGATTGGACGTAGCATGAACAATGGAGATCCAAAATAGAGTTAGTCGACGGCTTTCTGCCTGTGGATTATGCATGTCAGCAAGCTGGTGCACTATCGTCCCCATCCCTTGATTCACATTGCAGCCCCCAAAATGTCGAGCAGACAGACCACAATATTGCCACGGAAATAACAGCAGGCCGGCTGGAACATGGAGACATAAATTTACGCGGCTCTGCTGTTCCCGCAAACTCTAAAGGGCCCTGGTAAGCTTCAATTTCAAACGTGGCCGATATCGTCACTCTCCAGCCTCCAAACAGGTAGCATGGACACAATAGTTCCTAACTCAGGACAACAGTGGGGAAGACATGGCAACAGTGGTGAGTCTGTCTCAGCCTCCCCGAGTTCCGGCTCGTGCGGGGGCCCATAACAGAATAACGGACTCATTGACCAGGCGCACGCTCTCCTTATCTGTATTCCAGAGCCTCTAGTCACGTTGTCCACCGGAATTTCAACAGATCATGGTCGAGCAGATCCGACACAGATCCGAACGACGAAGATGTTGATCTCCATCGACGAGCTGCAATCGATTCCACGGTGCCGGAGTCACAGTCTATGCTTGTTCGCCAGCAAGAAGAGCCGACTTACAAGTTCCAGCGTCACATCAGGAGGTCATTGTTGAACACGCTAGGGCCGGTGGCGGTAACTGGATTCTACCTATTCATCGCTCTCGAGTATCTGAGGCGGCCTAGTGTTAACAATATCAGTCCGTCGCGTGTTGTGAGTGGTAAGGGAGTCTTCTATGCCTTCTTCGTCCTCAGCGTCTTCGCGTTGGAGTGCGCCAAATCTGGACTCGCAGGTTTCGAGGCTTGGGCGCTGATGCAGCCCAGGCTGGCGCCGGCCAACGCCAACCAGCTCATGTGGCACACCGACCGATTATGGGGATCGGTGTCAGGATGGTGGAAGGCTCTGCTCGTCACTAAAGACTTCTGGCGCCACAGAAGACGGAAGGGAGAAAAGTGGCAAGGACCCTCTGGGCTTTGGTTCTACCTAGCCTCCTGTAGCTTGATCTTTTTCGTGACGGTCCCGTTGGCAGGACTCTCGATGGAGCCTGTGCTTTCAGCCAGATTAAGCGACAGGCAGATTGGCATCATTGGTCCGAATCAATCGACCTTTGACACTCAGCAGTCCGTCAGTGTTGCTCAAATGGCAGACGGCCGCTGGCGACAGGGAACAGCTACAACGCCGCAAGGCGAGACAATTCTTTACGCCCCAGAAGGCACCCGAAACGCGAGCAGTGCTTTTCTTGAGGACGAGGCTCGTAGTATCTACGACTTGCATCATCAAGACAACAGTCAACCAAGACCCAACATCACTTTTTTCTCCGGCCCTGCAGTCGGTGAGAGAGTCCATGGTGAAGCTTGGGGTTTGCTCGTAAATGTCTCTTGTGTGCCGGTCAACCCCTACACTGGACTTCAGCTTCTCAATATCACCTCGGTCAATAACTGGACGGCAGTCACGAATAGTGGAAGCTCGAATGAAGGAATCATTACCAATGCTTCTGACTGGGAGATGTATCAGCAAGGTTCAATCGGAAGTTCTTACACCCTTTACACTGATAGCAGCTCGTGGCACACAACTCCAGGCTTCGGCGTCAACTATAGCTATGTCATGACCAGCGACCGGGACATAACGAACGCCCTTTCCGATTACTCGAACCAGTCTACAGACAGCCGGGTCCCACGACCAGAAATTCCAATCCAGGGCTCGGTCGAGATGGTCCTCTGGCAGTCTATCAACACAGCCCAGGGATTCTCCGCCGACCAGGACCAGGAGTGGCTCAAGATGAAGGACAACGCCGCGGTAGTCGCCTCTGGGGACTACCTGGGCTACGGTCTGCAATGCTCCGTGTACTCGACCGTTGGGACGGCCTCTCTCTCCGCCATCACCAACACCTTTTCCGACTTTCGTCCGCAGCAAGCCGCGTACGGCAACACATTCCTCACGTGGGATTCCCGCGAAAACCTCGGCATCTACGCCATCCAGACGCTGGTCTACGCCGCCTTCACCAGCGCGGGTATCAATTGGCAAGGCCGCGACCGGCCCTCGCACCTGTGCACGACTCACACCATCTTCTCAACGTGTAACGGCTGGTTCGGTGCCAACGTTGCCACCAAGGGTCGGCCCATACACGTTCCGAGGAGCGGATACAGGGGCACGCAGAACAACACCGAGTCGAGCGGCTTCATCATCCAGTACCCGGCCATCTCGCCCGAGCGGATGGCCCTGGCCATGCACAAGCTCTTTGGTGAGGTGGCCATTGCACTCATGGCCGGGGGGCCGGGCAACTGGACCGATCCGGCGCTGAAGGGGCTCGACCCCATAACCGACATCGTCCCCGGCGTGCTGCCGTACCAACTAGTCATAATACTGCTAGCCCTATGGACGCTGCTGACGGTCCTGCCTCAGTTTCTGGCCCCAAGCTCCTTCTTCGGCCGCCGCTGGGCGTCCGTCCTCGACGGGTTCGCCATGTTCCGCTTCGGTGCGGAGTGGAGGGGTGCGGTTCACGAGCTGCGTGGCGGGGATCTGGCCTCGCAGGACACGACCTCCTTGTGTCATGTTCCAGGCATGGTCGGAGATCTGGAGCCACGGCGTGCGCGGGAGGCTGGCCGAGCTTCCAGGGCTCCCGGATTCGTTGGTCTGAGTCGAAATAGGGCAGATATGAGCCCAAACAGACTTTACACCTACCATAAAGCGATATAAATATTGGTTCGAGTGTTATTGTGTTTTCGATACCCTGGACAGGCCTGTGGATGGTCGGAAGACTGCCTATCTTCATCGGCGTAATCGTCGTTAGATTCTTGACGAAGTAGACTCCACCAGCAGCTAGTCATCATCACCAAGTCGCTAAACAACACCATATGTATACCGAAGTGCTCCGGTAGGTCTTGTGCTAATTGACGCTGATGCCCAGGTGGTCGAGATTCCCTAGCTAATAACATCACATAGAGGCTCATCAAGGGTATCAAAAATGTCATTGATGGAATTACAGTGGCTATTTCTCTTTCGTCAGGCGCGTCCCCCAATGCTTTTTTCTCCCTGGCAAATAGTATGAGATCTTAGATACCTTCAGAAGCGCATTGACTGGGTGAGTGCCCCCTACCGCCTCTCCAACCCGCCCCGCACCGCCCCCCTTCGGGCTCCCAATAAAAAAAAGCCCTTTCTAAAGGGAGAGCCGAGTGCAAAACTACCCAGTTGGTCGCAGTTCATGGGCAGCCCATTGCAAGTGAGGTTACGAAGCACAGCAGTTTGACATACTTTCCGTACGGGAGAGGAATTCCAAGTACCTGGAAGGCTAACGAGAGCTGCGTCGACACCTTAGCCTACTCCATCGTTGTCTTGGTGGCCGTTCATGTCGACGATGCCGAGTCGAAACACGGGGGTTTTGGATAGCTGCCTAAGCCGCGTCATCAAGGCGTTCCATCGATACCTGGAGTCGGCTCCGGGCTTATGGGTGCCCTGAGATGATCGGCAATGGGCGCATGAGCTGATACGCAAATTCGAACCCAAGAGACTGGGAGCACGGCAGGTGTCAACCGTCGTATCACTCAATATGTCTCATCATTGGTGTATAGTATCCGCAACCTTGGGGCCGGAAACGCTTGCCATGTTTGCCGGGATCAGAAGTCGAACAAGGAAGCCCCCTTCGGTTTCTGGGATAGAGTTCATATATCGTTAGTTGCTTTTGAGGAGGAAAGAATTATTCGCCAACAGTCACGTCCCGGGCCGTGCTCACAATTTCGGGGAACTGAAGACCCCGTTGTCACGTTGTGAGTGGTCAGGGCCGCACCGAGCTTCAACGGCCGTCAAAGCCTTGCATTTGGACTCGTTCAGGAGAGGAGCCAACGGAATTGGCTTCCGCCAAGAATAATCTTGAAGCCCATGTGATTACGTTCCAGCCACAGACATTTCTCGCAGGGTCGTACGGAAGAACCCATCCTTCATGCAAGGCATTTAGGCATGTGCTGTCTGTCGGTGCGACCAGTCGAGCTACGTTGCGTGATAATTACTGGCAGGAAACTAGGTAGAGCCTGTTTTTGATGCATCGGAAGCATATTAGAAAGTCGCGAACGCTGATGGGTATTTGAATAAATATCTCGAGACGAATCGCATCGCTTGCCCCATATCTACACAGCCATTGAACGCCATCAATTACAACGCGATACCTGTGAATGATCGCGACTGTGGGCTGGGAGTTGCCGTCCGACCCTCCTCAACCGTCACATCTCTGGTAACCAATATGTTCGTACGGAGCTGTTCGTTGGACACTCCGGTGCCTATCAAGCGCGACTCACTCCCACTTCTGTCCCTTTTGTCGTCGCTGTACTTGATTTTGGCCCTGATGGGTGATTTTGGCTCCTGAGCGCTCACCCAAGCTGAGATATTGTTGCTGTGGTACAATGCCCCGTCGTTTTCAAGGTCGTTGCCCCAGGTTGTGTCCAGCTCTATATTCCCGCCGTCGTGTTTGCTGTTGCCAGTCATGACGGCCTCGGAGGCCCCGCTGCCCTTGGAGACCTTTGAGAAGCCGCCGCCTGGCACTTGAAGCTTGCTCTTTCGGGACCGCAGCGCGAAGTTGCTTAGACGCCGGCGGCTGGGGGTTGATCGATTCTTGCCGTAGTATCCCGAAGTATCCCTCACTGTGCGGAGGCCGAGGCACGGTATCAGTGAGCCGATTAGATGCCTGACGGTCGGCAGGCATGCGCAGAGGATCGCACAATTGAGTTCCACCATGGACCAGATCGCTCCTGGTGCACCGTAGTAAGACGGGTCACCTGCTTTGACAACAGCCTCGAGTTTCGTGGCGCGGACGATCGAAATTATGCATGTACTATTGTGAAAAGGAAGTCAGAATATGTGGAACTTTCAAGTAACCCGAATGGCTGCCATATGGGAACTCGGATGGGCGAAGATGGACTCAAACGGTATCAACGCAAGCCGGGACTAAATATCGAGTCGCCAACTGCTGATGCCTTCTCGTGTCTGAATTTTGAAATGGGAAGAAAGCGAAGTAAAGAAGGAAACTCACAAGAAGCCCAGACAGAAAACCATGATCAACAGGATCCTCTGACGTATAGGCAGCTGCAAAGAGTTGATGAGAGGTATTGGCAGGAGGAAGACGATAAAGTCAGTGGTGATATTAATTCCGGCCGCAATGTACCATATCGTCAAACTGTCGAGACAGTGTGGTGCCAGACTTGGAATGAATATGCTCGCCGGACTGCAGGCGAATGACACGAGAATGGACTGCGCGACGTTCCATGAGACGGAAAAGCAGATTATAACAATAGACACCCGTTGAAGCCAGGTCGCCATGAAGATGCGCCTATACTGGAGGAGCAAGCTGATTTTGACGCAGCAGAGCGCCCAGATATAAAGATGGATAGCAGCGAACAGTGATTTCAGTTGGTTCATCAAGTCTTCTGGGCTGGCGAGCCAATAGTGTCTTCCTGTCCCGTAGTGTCCCTCTATAAAAGCCGTCAGCCACACTTGCGTGGGATAAATCGTATACACATCTTGCGAAATGACGGACCCAAACATGTTGAAACGTTCAGCCCAATGGCAAGAAACTAAATTATTCGTGGTCAGCTTGATGCCGTTGACGTCGGCGCAAGACGTGTTATACCTGAGTGACGACGATCATGAGATCATCTAGGCCAGCATTTCGAAGGAGGACGAGTCGTGTGTACATCCGCAATATGACCACAGCTGTGCTTAGGAAGCCCAAAGTAGCTGACAGCCCAATCATAAGCTCCGATGTCGACTGTTTGTCGAGCGAGTGGTCGGGAGGATTGAGCGACATGGTGACTGATGGTGGCCCGGGTACGGGCCCCTCGACGAGAACAGTCGCTCAGGCTGAGGCTCAAGTGATGATTCGTATCTCACTTATATCAAAAGTCTTCGTCGAGAATTTTGTGAGACGAGTTCCCGGGACACGTGGGAAGAAAGCTTGGTGTCGTCTTTCGAAGAGACAGCAGTCTAGATATGATGGCCCGAGCATATCAGGAACAGAGGTGGCCAGGGTCTCGATTTAATACACCAAGCTTTGCTTTTACTTCTTTGTCTTGACATTAACACGCAGAGAATTCCAGTGACCGCGCATGGCGGGAGTGTTGACCCCAATACCACCCACCATCTCAACTAGCTCAATTGACGCCAACCTAGAGAGGATGCTGGCCCGCCCAATGCAACCTGAATAATGTCCGAGCACACTACTAAACTGATGATGTGCGATCCTAGATCTTGGAGCCGGGAATGTCGCTGTCGAGCTGATAGTGCGGCACACTCAGCCATTCCGGGACGCCAGGGACGCCCGAGCGACTGGTCTCCTGCATCATTCCAAGCCAAGTCCCCGGGAGACCCACGGCGAGCATATACATACGGTATCACAGCCCGTGTTTTCAGGGGCAAAGTACCAACTTTTTCTCAGGCAAATGGGGTGATTTGGAACTGGCAAAGCAAAGAGAGGCAGCGGCGGTTGCATATACGATTTCGGCCGAGGTAGCACAGCAGTGCCACAGGCTGCAACGCCTTGTGCCGTCCCTATATCTCGCCACTATTCCGTCACCAAAGCTTGGAAGTTCATCCTGATTGCGCAGGACGCCCAGCCCACGTGTGATTTCGGTTGTGCAGCCTGTTGCATGCGCGTTGAGGTCCCCTCAAAAGTTATAGCTGAGGAAGTCTTATACATATACAGCGAACGCATATATCTGCAGCCCATTCGTGAGTAGTGTAGATGGACAGCCTCTCAGTCTGGCCTTCACTGACAGAAAGTTTACCCCTCGATCGTGAGCACGGATTGATGTGCGAAATAAGGTTTGAGCTGATATCATCAGTGCCCACTGTTTGCCCTCGGTGCAATTACAATTTACGGGGGCTGCAGCCCGGCCTTTGACTCAGATACCTGGATCCCAGCCCCGGTCTCTTCCCCGGCGGATGTTCATTGGACGGCGAATACAAGAATGAACAGGCCGAAGTTGTTCCTTGACGGTGGTGACTTTTGATCGCCCCAGATTTCCCACCGACTGCACCTACGGGGGTCAAAGATATCTTCCGGAAGCAAATCGGCTTAAATGGGCTCGACAAGTTACACGAGTGTCACCGTCTCAATCTACGGTATGATTGTCACTGTCACCATTTCGATAGTTGCGGACATTCGGGAATAATCACAAAAGTTCGTCGTCAATGCCTCATCCGTTGGACGAGTAGATTGCTACCGTGAACTACATCTAGAGGCCGCCTAGTCCGAAATGAGGGCCGCGCAACTTGAAAGTACCATGGTTGCCCTCGGTATACGACTCGTCGTCTGGTACTATCTTTCCGATCGTGAAATCAACAGGGTCCCTGTGGCACCCCACACTATCCTCACGCACCCGTAATTCGTCAGGATCGAAGACACGGGTGGCTGTGGCGTTTGAGACTGACGGCGCCGAACAAAACGGTCTGTTTATCCGGTATCAGTGTGACCAAGAGGAACCCGAGTCTTGCAATTCAGGTTTCCAGCTTTGTAGGTGGGCGACACGAGCTTCCCCTTTGGTGTCTGAATCATACTAGCTTGTTATTCAAAAGCAGTACCAGATCGTCGACCTAGTGCCTGATACCGTCGAACTGGCCCGCCTCTCGGAACAATGGATTCCCGAAAATGTAATCACATAATACTGCGCGTCACAAACTGCGCAGGAAACTCCCCCAAGCTGTGACCTGCTCGCCATGTGGAAAATGGTCTCAGGGCCGTCTCGACCACGAGCGATATGCACTTCCCCGACGGCAACTTGGCTAACCCCCCGGAAACGCTAGAGACCGTTGCGGTCTCAAAAAAAGCCCGTGCTCTCTGATGGAAGCCAGGACGTTGCTGGCAACTGGCCCAGGATCCTAATGATCTTCTCCAGGATGCCCGCTTCGATCGTCCGTGCCCGCCGCTGATGGGTTCGGACAAATTGGAACTCTTTGTGATTTAAAGACTGACTATAGGGGTTTGCAGAGGTCGTTACGTTACGACTAGCTAACTGCACCGTGCTAGAGCAAATACTGAGGCTGGTGCCACCAGATGGTTCGAGCTTCGGCACTCATACCCGAGGTTCGTTAATCGAGACCGTCTCCGCAGCAGAAAACACAATCTGGACAATAACAGTTGATCGCAGATTCAGAGGCGAAGCACTCACCATCCCATACATATTCTGATGAAACATCTGGTTTATCCTGCTCACTACCTAGTGCTACTCGGGATCTGCCTGGCCCAGGTGCCTTAGTCCTCGGGATCCAGACGAGATGATCCTGAAACCAGACTGGAAGGCTTGTCCTTTCTGAGTAAACCTCTGCCAGACGAGATCTGTCGTGTTCCCGGGGGATCGGACCATGGGCGTGATATACGCATGCATTCTGATATTTCTCCTATATGTCGTCGTCTACTTCCGTGTTGTGATGAGATTGAGTTACCTAGGTGGTTGTGTCTATCAACAACCATCAAATCGGGCTCAGACGTTGGGCGAGCAACGGCTACAGCTACCCTCTGCCCAGGCAGTCTCGGACTCGGCTGTCTCAATCAATGCATCCTACATGACTGTCTGGGGTGGATCACTATCATCCCATTGGATGACTTGAGAGATGCCCTTCCAGCGACGTTCGTCTGCGTGATTGCCTGTGTGTGGGTCAAAAGGGGAGGGGGTTGTTTGACCATTCTCAGCTGCATCCTCTGCGCCACGGACAACACTTTCTCGATGCTCGCTTCGTCTCCATCTGCTTACTCTACCTGGAGATGGTGGGCCTCTGTAGTTTCACATTGGTCTTGACTCGGCTGCCTCTAAACCACATACCACTGCGAGATGCGTTCATGGAATGCGCGAACTACCCCTCGTGCTGCAGCCTGTAAGCGGGCCAAGAGCTTCAGGGGTCACGGCAACCCAGGTCCCTCGGTAAGATGTGTCTGTCTGCTGCACATCCGGCGACATAGCCGACAGCACCAGGAGCCGCACGTGTGCAGGAATTGACACGAACACCCTTTCTGCTCAACGTGCATGCGGATTGTGGGGCCATCGTATCACTCCGATGCACTTGGGCAGGCGTGCCGGATGGCACGTTTTCCGTACTCTGGATGGCAGCTCACACGTTGCTGTCACAGTAACCTCATCCAGGGTAGCATTTTCCTAGCCGGAGACGATCAAGCGCCGATAAGCGTGGTAGGAATGAAGATGAAGAGGGCCAACCATGTCATTCAAGACCGTCCGGCTGCAGCGGCGCACATCCGGTAGAGTCCCAGCGTGCGTCTGGCAGCTCTTGGAGTGTCCACCGTCACTCGCCGCTATCGAATACTAAAACTTATAATGACTCGTACGGGCAGATTCCGTCCCCCTGAAGCAGCGATCCCGGTGCCAATCAATTGTTGGTGATCGTGTTTGGGCTCCTGGCAGCTCTCAGGAACAGCAAGTGGAATGTCGATACAATGGCGATTTCGTGTTTCCACCACCAGCCCCAAAGACGAGAGACAATTCGAAGCAGCTTACACTATTTTAGCTTACCTACCCAGATGCGATCGATCGTGCCCCCTACGCGTGGCTGTATTCGGCTCAAGGACATTCTCAGCTAGCTCCATCGGAGGGAGACCCAGCTCGTTGGCGCGCCAGATCGACGGAATCTCTTCCCGGTGTAACTCTAAGGAACACGTACGCGTAGTCAAATTTAACCGTTGATTGACCCTGTCGATCAAATATAATGGCAGACTTGGCCCATTCCAAAGTGAGCCAATGTTGCGACGCGTAGAAGAGCGCAACAGAAGACGGTCAATTGATGAGCATCGATAAGTTGTCGTTGATCTTTCAGCTCTGGAGCTCTTCAGATGTCCGAGCACTCTTCCGTGCTGATCTCCCATTCCGCTACCATTGAACAGCAAACTTGGGAACTCCTGACAGACAACGACATCCATGTGCACCAGTCGTCCCAAGCCATGGTACAGCGCTGGCCAAGAAGCCAGCTAGAAGGCACTTGGGACAAGCCACATCCGCACGGCCCAAAGCCTTTATTTGTTTGACCCGCGACCTCTTAGAACGGCTGAACGGGTGTCCTCGGCCCGTACGCTCACCGAACCAGGTCCACGTAACGGGCGGGCAGAGGGACGCGAGCTAGTATCGGTCCCGTAGAATGACCGCCTCTCCAGGACGAAGAGATGAGGATTTTATCCGACAAACGTGTTGGTTAAATCAGATCTAAAAATCGACCGGCCTTGGTCCTGAGCGCGGCATATTCCAAAACAAATCATGGCAAGTGACGAGGGATTGACGCCATGTGTTGGACAAGAACAGAGTTCCGTAGACCAGGCGCCGTGCTTGACCTGCATGACGGCTGAAGCCACAAGAGGCTCGTGCAACTGTGCTCTGTATGCGCATGCCATCTGCTTGTGTTGGCCAAGGCAATGAGTTGAATTTTAGACGGGAAACCGGATTCTATATCACGGCTGAGATGAGACGAAACGACGTCAACTGTTGTCTCGAGCTTTCTGCTGAATACGTGACGTCTTGGCGGGAAAATGTCCGAGCTTGACACAACCCGCGATACATGCTTCTTCGCATGGATGCACAAAAGCCAGGCCACTCCCGAGCCCGGATGGGGTAGTTCGAAGAGGTGATCGGCACTGATCAGGCACAACGCGCACGAACAAACCTTAGGTGTGTCCTGAGGATTAGCAATGCCCTTGAAACAAAGCATCCGAGTCTACCCAACTATCGCCTTCGATTGGGTTTTGTCAGCAGGAGCTTCTCGGTACTAGTGCTTACATTCGAATGGCTTCTAGAATAGCGCGCTCGCAAGTGTTGGTCCCTCAATTGCCGAGGTTGGCGAGGGGGTCTTGACGAGACTAGCTGCAGGTACCATCTCGATGCCGACCACACCAGCGCTGAAGACGACGTGACCTGTATGTGTAATAGGGCCAGAGGCAATTAAAAAGTTTTTGAACATGATGTTTCACCGTCAGAAGGAGGGGGGGGGGGAATTAACATGTACTCTGAGTTTGCAATTGGTTGTCTATTTCTGCGAAGGATGTGTGGTTCTGAGTGTTGTGAATGTGGATATTCAAAGCAGACATTTGTTGACTTTGGACTATCCTTTTCCCCTAGGCTACCATTGCCAGAACTAGTACAGTAAGACCTTGATCTACTTTTTCAAGCCGCTACTTTTGCTTGAAGCATTGTGTTCAGCATGTATTGCATGACCCTTTGCTGTGGTGATAGCTTGTTGAGATTTGCGAGGTCCTGGGTTTTTTCTTTCTTTCTTTTCTTTTGTGAAGTTTGGTCAAGATATCGTGTTTTATTATGTGGTAGGCGGTGGATATAAGTAACTGGCTTTGATTTTATCTTTACGATGGCAATTCGAGATATATTATTTCGCTGAAAAGATACGAGCTCAACTTCAGGATACCTAAAGAAAACAATTCAAAAAAAAAAAAAAAACAGACAAGTACAGAGTAATATGCTTGCTTCTACTATGCCGAGCGGTTCTATGCATCTAATTATCAATCATTCCGTAACAAATATGAAATCAAGCCCTCCTAGTATGGCCAGCATGCCTGAAACCTATTCTACGGTCATTGTCATCAAGATGACTGAGCACCGGAAGAGCCACTTGAGTTGGACCCATTTCTAGAGCCAGTCGTGCTCCGCGATTCCTCCGAATAGCTCGGGTCCTCGAGGTCATCGATTCTCGTCTTCACATTCCTCTCCGCGCCCCTCTCCTGCAGCAGCCTCTTCAGACTCTCGTAGCCGGCATCGCCCTCGGGGATGTTGTTCATGTTCAACTCCAGCTCCCGCAGAGACGACAGCTTGTCGAAGACGCCCGCCAGAGCCAGCGTGTTGGCCGGGTTGAGGTTGGCCCCCGCCACCTTGAGCACCTCCAGCTTGCTGTCCTGGACGCCCGCCAGCGCCGCGATCAGCAGCCCCGCGCCCCGCGAGCCCAGGAAGCTGTCGTTGAGGGTGAGCTCGCGCAGGCGCGGCCAGCGCGCGGCCGCCCGGGCGAGCTCCGCGTGCGTGCTGCCCCGCGACGTGAAGATGTTGTCCTGCAGGTCGAGCTCCTCGATCCCTTGGATGTGCGCCAGGCCTTGCGATATGATGGTGTTCATGCCCTCGTGCAGGAGGCCGTTGTTGGCCAGGTGGACGGTCCGCAGCTGCGGATGCGCGGCGAGCGCCTTGGCCCACTGCGCCATGCCGAAGAGCGGCTCGTCTTGGTCCTGGATGAGGCGGTTCCGGTTGCACAGGAGCTTTCGCAGGGGAGGGGCGCCGATGGCGGCTTTATTCTTGGCTAGGTCCTCCAGTGCGCCGGCGAATGCGACGCCGGTCTCTGGGCCGAGGCCGACGTTGTTGATGTCGAGTTCCTGCAGCGGCGTGTGGCCCCCGACCAGGCGGACGAGGGGCCCCGCGACTTGTGGACCGAAAGCGTTGCCTGAGAGGCTGATGGTCTCCAGCGCGGGCAGTTCGAGAAAGGCCGAGATAAGTGCATCCATGGCCGGGGCAATCTCAGCCGGTCCACGGCCAGTGAAGCAGTCGGAAAAGTCAGCGCGACGCAGCTTTTTCTTGGCTCGCAGTGCATCTGCCAGGGCATAAGCAGCCCAGATGCCTAACGAAGAGCCGGCGAAGGAGATCTCTTCGAGTAGAGGGAGGTTGTTGATGGCGATGATGTACGGCCGGATCTCCTCTGGGGTGTCGAGTTTGACGACATTGTTGTTGAGGGTAAACTTTCGAATGTGGTAGAGATGGCCGTAGTGGTTGAAGAACAAGGCCGCCTGGTCTGCATCGACCGGCGTGAAGGTAAATGTGTCGAAGATGAAGGAAATTGGTTGGCCACATGGTTGGGTTGCCAGGCTCAGCAGCTCCTCGCGGAGCCTGCTTTCCAAGCCATGGCATTTGCATTCATGTGAGCACCTGGCCTTATTCAAGGTCTTGCCCAAAACGCATTGGTTGGCGCTGATTTTCTTCACGCGAGCGTCGAGGATTCCATAACTGCGCCGTGTAGCTCTTGAGCGGGGCCTGGTGGCTGAGGACGGCTGGGGCGAGAGGCCGCCTGGGCCTGAAGTAGTGCTGTTGGGCATATTGAAAAGGCTTATTTCTTTTTATCTCTTGAATGAAGAATGGGATCTCAAAATTAAGTAGCAAGTCACGTCAAGTCAATTGAAGCGTACGAAGAATGAATCAGTTTGTGGTGATATTCTCTCTGTCTTGGTTGGCAAGATCAGCATGACAACAAGAAGGCGGGAGCATCATTTAATACAAATCGTTCCTCATCCTGCCACATGTAAGGTGTTGGCTCAAGTTGTGATACCAAAATAGTAGCTCGCAGACAAAGACAAGATTGCCATGTGTTACGAAGAAGTTCTCGAAGCCTTGCAAGCTCAAAGCCCTTTGAGACGACACGTTAATGGGTCTTGGTGTTGACACGGCAGCTTGAAGAAAGCAACCCACAAGGCCCATGACGAGGACACCGCTTGAGTAGATCTGACATGAGCTCAGTCTCGCGAGTAACAGATAATGGTGTTGGAAATCAGAAGAGCTGTTCACAAAGAACTCAAGGTGGAGCCAGCTTGCCGTTGTGACGCTTGTTCGCGACAGGAATTGAGGAGCCATCATTGCCAGAGCCGGTGGCTCTAGGGCGTATGCCCTGACGGGATGCACCGTGAATTGCCATTAAACGGGACATTGGCTCGGCGTCTAGCCCTTGACCCCTACACGTTGAGCCGTTGATTCCATCTTGCAGGCCTGAAAGCGAGCATCCCACCCTCCGCGACTCTCTGCTGAATCGGCGAGTGAACATCGAATCCTTTGCGGAAGAGCCCAGCATGCTTGAGGCACTATTTCATAGCGTTGGGACTGAGCGAGCATAAGCTGCCCGTTCCGAAACTGATAGGCCATGCAATCCCCCAAGGTAATCGATCACCTTCCTAGGTTCCCTGTCACACTGCCCACCATTACCGCAACCTCGCGGTCCCACCCAGCCGCCTTCTCTCCCTTTGTCTTGGCCATCGCACTCGGCGGCTGGCTGCCGCGTATGACACACTCCCGTATGACGGCCGCGACATTATCCTTGTTCGTCCTCAGCGTCCTCGCAGACACTCCGCCCCTGTTGACAATCTCCTGTACGCGTGACGACAGGCCACCGGCCATGGTGCGCCAGAAGTAGCTGGGCAGCGAGCCGGTCTCGAGGTAGGCTAGCAGCGGGTGGAGGAGATTGCCGTGGCCCTTGTCTGTGCCCGAACCTGGCGGGAGCATTGGGTGCGCGGGCGCCTTGGTTGTCTCCAGGACCATCTCGAGGGCGACAATATTCTGGCACCGCGCGGCGACCTCGGCCAGTGTGCGCTCCAGCCTGGGCAGGGCGGCCAGGGCGTCGCGCAGCGTGGCGGTGCTGCTCTGCAGCTGCGTGCGAAGGTATGTCTCCAAGGCCCGCAGCATCCAGATGGGGGACCACTTCTGGCCCTTCTCCAGCGTCGTGGGCGAGAGCAAGTACAGGGTTGACAGCGCGGATATTGTCTTGGCCTTGGTCTCCTCAGACTGGGCGAATGTGGACGAGCCTGAGGCGCTCCCCATTGAGAACTCGCGTATTATCCTCTCACTTGTCTCCCTGACTGATGTCTCGATTGGCTGTGCGGTATTCTCCTGCAGGGACCGGATAGCGTCGACCCTGTCCAAGCCCTGCCCCTCGTCGCCGGAGCCCTTGTGCTCTAGGATCTCCCTTAGGGACAGTATAGTGTGTGCGCATCGCACCAGAGTCCTGTGGTCTTCTTTCTTGGTCCCGGCTGCGAGCTCTGCATGCTGTATCTCCAGCTGCCGGCCCAATTGCAGACACCGGCCGACGGCGCGTCCCAGCCGTAGGGTCTCCCAGAGACGGCTGGCAACCTGCCTGACCTCGTCTGCCTCGGCATGTTTCTGTATGACCTCCTTCTCGAGCTGCTTGTAGCTGTCGTTGAGGCTCTTGATCTGCCCGTCAAGCTCGCCCACGATCCGGCCGCTGGCCTCGGTCTGGTCCTTGGTGTGTGTGAGGAGGGGCAAGGCGGAGCGGGTGGTGAGGAGGTCGATGTGGGAGTCAATCTCTTGAATGTCGAAGAGAACGCGAGACAGCGGCGTGGAGAGGTCTAAGGGAGTGTCATTTGCGTTGTTGGTGGAGAGGACGAGGGTGTTGGCGAAGGCGGAGGGCGAGAAGTCTGGGGAGACAAAGGTCTCGTAGTCGATGTAGGAGGGTTCTTCCTCTTCGCGGCCATCTGCTGGGCTATCCATTTCTGCTGGGTGGCTTGCTTCTTATGCTAGCTGGGCGATATTCTGCTTTTGAATTGAAGGGCGGAGAATTTGCACTTGTGCCTGGAAAACAATTGCGGGCCCTCAAGTTTACAATCGCATTGGTCTGGTCTGGCAGTGCACTACCCAGGAGTGGATTTGGTGAAACTGAGGCTGAAGCTCTCCACGATCTGCCCAGGTGGCATTTGGAGCTTGAGCCCTGGCCACCAGGTGCATGCAGCCTTGGGTTGGGGGTGACAGGGGGGCCCCCATGTTCAAAATGCCGTCCAGTGTTTACAGCACTAAACCCCGAAGGATGAAGTCATCCTATGTATTAAGGTGGGCATCAGGCAGGTGACAGGGTACTTGGGATCTATTGAGATGGACCATCTGGAGCTGGAATTGAAGAGCTTGCTGCCTTGCACGTCCCATCCACATAACTACAGCTGCGAACAAACAGCATATTGTCTATTCACCGCAGTCTAGAGTGTCTGTGGACGCATGAATGAGGAATAAACATGCAGAAAAAAACAGCCCGTCAAAAGATGACGTCCTGCGCGTGCTGACTCTTGGCGAGCTTATCCACCGCACTAGGGAGGGATAGCCCAAGGATGCCCCACCTCCCAATGCGCCATTCCCGTCTGCGTGTTTGCGTGTGGTGAGTGATTTTCGACTGCGTAAACTTTGACTGGCGTGCGGCTTCTTCGGAGTCTCGGCTCTACCCTGGTAAGCTTTTAGACTTTGGCATTCCCGTCAGAGCGACGGTCGAGCGCAACCTCTTCTCCTCCCACTCGACCTCCTCCTCGTCGCTCTCCAATCCAGCCCAGTCCAGTTCACGACACAACTGGTCTGTTCGAGTCTACCGATTTCTTCACTGAAATACGGTCAACGGTCTCCCATCAACCGAGTCGATTCCATCCATCCAGCGCATCACATCGCATTGCAACGCTGACCAATGTCACGAGAATTGACCCACCATCAAAGACACCGCGAATACTATTGACTGCCCACGCCCACTCCCACGCCGACACCGACGCCGACACCGACGCCGACACGATGCCCGTCTTCGACGCCAGGGACATCATCTCCTGGGCGCCAGGCGACAATGCCACAGACACCGTCATTGGGGGCATCCACTTCAACCTGACCGCCCTCGAGCACTGGAACTTCACCCTCTACTCCAACGGCACCCTGTCCAATGGCTCCCGCTGCCTGCTCACCTTCGGCGACTACACTCCCAAATATGTCTTCCCCAACGGCACCTTCCTCAACACCACCTCCTGCTACTCGCCCATCATGCCCATATCCACGCGCGGCTTCATCAGCATCGGCCTGGCCGTCCTCTTCGGCATCGCCCTGATGTTCACCCTCATCTGTCTTCGCAGGCACGGCCGCATGTTCCTGCCCACGGAGAAGCGATTCAGACCAGTCGGCAGGAGGTGGCAGTGGTATTGGATGATCGCAATGTGCGCCACCGGCTTCATCAGCCTCATCACCAACATCGACGTCGACCGCTACTTCCTCCCCGAGATCCCCATCGTCCTCACCTCCTTCTTCTGGTTCCTTATGAACCTGTGTACATTGGCCGCCGTGTGGGAGGCTGTCAGGCACTGGGGCAGTTGGCAGGAGAGGCAGTACATCGATCCCGACCCCTTCCGCCTCAAGATGGACGACAAGAGGGCAAAGTTTGAATTCTGGGTGCCCCTGTTCTTCTATCTCTGGTGGTGGCTCGACTTCTTCATGGGTATCCCTCGCAACTGGGGCAGCCTGGAATTGCAGCGCTCCGTCGAGCAGACCTGGGCCAGGGCCGCGCCCGGCGCAACCGACGCCCGCCTCAAGGCTGCGGCCTTCCTGCTGCTCATGTGCTGGCTGACCACTGTCTACCATCTCCGCCATTCTATCAAGCACTACAAGGAGCGCAACAGGGGCATCTTCAACCGGGCTGTCGGCTTTGTCAGGTTCACCCCATACCGCTTTATGCTCATCATGCCCCTCGCCCTCTCCGTTGTCGCCTACCAGGCACTTTCTGCGTGGAAGTTTGAGTACTCAGTCATGGACGTCACAGGAGACAACGTCCCCACTTTTGTCGGCGGATACGCTCCGGCGCTGTTGATCATGCTCGTGCAGATCGTCGCTGGCTTCCTCAATCCGAATGAGGACCGAGAGCTCATCCGTCAGCGTCGTATCCGTGGGGCCGCGGCGGATCGTGAGTTGGGTGTCGTCCACAAACCCGCCTGGTGGAAGCGCATCAATGGCGAGGCGCGAGACGGCGAGACTATGCGCGAAAGGATCGCGCGGAATGTGCGTGAGGTCGGTGGTGGCCGAGCTACAGCCAAGAACATCGATCAGATACACGAGGTTCGCACGAGGGAGGCAGAGGCCGCCAGCGCCCCGACAGATATCGAGATGGGCCAAGTACGACGCACCACCTCAAACGCCGGCGGCGTCGGGGCTGTTCGACCATCACCAGGCGTCACCACGTACTCCGGCAGCAACGACCGCCGCCGATCAGAACAAGCCATGCAGACCGTAGCGGGCCTGTTATTCCCCAGCTCCGGCAATGCGCAGGGCTTCGTTGATCGGGTGAGCTACATCTCCGCGGACGGCCCGCCCCCGCCGCCGTATGCGGATTTACATGGGCAGCAGCAGCAGCAAGAACGGGGTCGGCAGCGCAGCGACGAGGCGGCTGCAACCGGAATCACAGCCGCACGGCCTGCTACCGTCGAGCGGAGCGCGAGCGCAAATACTAGTAACTCCCTCGCGTCACCGCCGCAGCAGATCAAGAGCATGCTGGATGTATAGGCGTCTGCTGCACGCCGCTATGTGCACCAGCAACTTTGAAATGCGCTCGCCCTTTCATTATTTATGAGACATGATGACATACAGGCATAGTCAACAAGCGGATGGGCGGGGACACACACTCATTATAATGGCATCTTGCTCGGAGATGGTTACCAATTGGGCCTCTTCCAGTCTGGCGTTGCAGGGTCTCTATACTTGAGGCGGAGACACTCCTTGGGACATTGTATATAGAATAAGTAATTGTTGTAGCTAAGTTGTAATGCACGTTCAAACTTGATCAAACCTTTTGCCCTCATTTCTCGGGCCATCCGCATTGGTCGCCTTTCCTCATCTATACTAGTATCCTGTGCCAGGCCCGGATATTATTTCTGCTAGTTTACCTCAAGATTGAAGTTTCGCAAGGCTGGGAGGTTTCAGCGACAGGATCCGGAGCTCGACCAGACATACAACAGAATCTTCCTTCTCTCGAATGCTGAGAAGTGGTCTCGTTGCCACAAATCATATCTTTGTATTCTTGCTGCAAGTACAAGCTTCAAAACACAACCCCCCCCCCCCATCCCATATGGACTTCGATGTGGCTGTTGGGAGCATCAATTACCTCACCACTTCATGGCTGCACAATGCTTCACTGCAGACTTTTCGCTGCCTGACTGGTTGCATCTATCTCAGAAGGCTCGGCCAAGCGGACCATATGCTTTCATGACCTCAGTTGCACTTTGAGTCCCTGTTAGACTTGAATACCACACCATAGGCATTGATCAACACAACAGTACCGCCTAAGATCACCGAGAATAAGACACTATTTAGTGCTGCTTCTGTGCTTTGAACACAACTGCAGCTTGTCACCAGTCATGTCAACACTGATTTACGCTTCTATCGAATATCCTAGGGCATGGTGATTTCGACAAAGCAGACAAGTTTTGAAGGTACGTTCAACAGATGTTGCCGACGAATGTGGCGAAGTTTGCTCTCATCAAGGTAGGAGCTAGGCACCTGACACCTGGGCACTCCAAGGAAGTCGCAGGCCACGTACCTGGGTAGGTAAACAGCACCCTGAAGGTCAGTAGGAGCGAACGAGGACCTGCACCTGTCAACATAATTTGACTGATCTTTCCTGCACCTTGGGCCCAGAGATTGTCCTTGTCTACTTTGTCAAGTCGACACCGAAGCAATCGGCGTCATCACAACGGCTTCAAGGCTGGAATTTTGGAATCAATTATTCTCTCTCTCGACCACGAATCTTCCCAAGATTCGCCACCATACCCTCGTTTGATCACCTGGAAGCATTTGCGCAGCGATCATCTCACGTCCGTTCGCTATGGGAGATTGCGGGTGATGGGCTGTCAACAGAATTGAAGCCACGACGATCGACGAACTTTCGAAGGATCGTGCGCAAGCAACTACTATATGGGCCACCCAGCTGACCTGAACTTTTCGTGCCTAAACAGACACCGGAGCGATCGGACAATCGGATGACAAGCACACAGGAAAGCAAGAGCTGCAGGCCTACGGCGTAGGGCCTCGCCTGTGGTGCAGCAGAAATTTTAGGGAGGGGCTAACCGAAAAGACTGGTGCTGATTTCACTGCGCAGCGACAAGCAGTAGCCAGGGGTTGGAAAGATTGGAAACTTCAGCGAACAGCCTTCGCCGTCCTATCATGGTACTAGACATCGCCGTGGCAATGGGGCTTACATGCCATGACTCCCCAAAAGCTCATCGACTCTTGACGAAACGAACGACGCCGATATTGCGAGTTGTTGGACTGATCGTCCAGATGCAGCCATGAGAAGTGGAAAATCAGGAAAGCAGTGATTATTTCCGGAAGCATACATGCAGGGAGCCCGCTTTATAAAGGCCGTCTTCTGTTTCCAAGAAGTCTCAGCCTCAGCTCTTGCCCGTCTAACCCAAGTCATGTTATCGACCACATCCCTCCTGCCAGGTACACGCTGTCGGTGCACCGAGGTGGATCAGTTAGTGATATGACATGTCACCCTACTGAATGGTAATGGTCTGTACTGATCGACACCGGTTCCAGGAGGCAGTGAATGAGTGGCCCAGGTCCACTGCCTGGACTGTCCGTTCAAGATTAATCTAAGGCCGGGCTTCGGCATCCCCAAAGGAGATTTTCCGTGGTGCTGGATTTTCGTCGTCTGGAATACAGACAGACTCATTTCTAAGTTGAACTAGCTGTCAGGCCACAAGGCGGCATTGAAAGCCTCGAATGCGGCCTAAGTCCAAATGCAGTTGGTCTGCCACTGGCGTGTGAAGACCATTCGCTCGACAGTGACGGTTATCGGTGATTCCAAATTCCTACGCAATAGGAGGCCAGATGCGATTCGTCGGATGCATGTCTTTGACGTGCACAAATTTGACCGGCGAGTACTCCGCTGTTGATATCGCCGAGGCATCTACGGTCTGTATCTCTTCCAGGTTTTTTTTTTCCGCCCTCGAATTCGGAGAAAATCTCCCATGGTCAAATTGATGCGGTCAGTGTTTTGGGCTTGGCGCTACATGGGACGGATCTAGCTGGGGGATCGCTGGTGCAGTGCCCCTTGTGTGGGCTTTCCCCTGCTTGTCCTGAAACACCATGGATCGTGACCGAGGGAAAAGGAGACTCCTTCGGCGGCACGCGGGGAGCCCACCTCGCAAAGATTTCTCCAGGCTTCGAGAAGTCCGCGATAAGGAACGGCAGGGCACAGAATGCACGGAGATGAGGTATGGAGAACGCAAACCTGGTCAGACACACAACCTTGAGAGGTCCCAGGTGTGACTCGCGATAGAGTTGAAAGGCCTGTTTTGCGATGTTTCCTTACGATGTTTCTAAAGCGGGAGATCGACTCGGCCGAACAACGCTTGACGGTGATTGACTTCAGGATGTTTGTGATCGACGACCTGAGGCTCTTCGCCGGGATCCAAAGACAGGACAAACATTGGTGAGCTACTCGGTTCATCCCGGCCACGCGGTGGGGGCTGATGTGACTTTAATCAGCCTCCTACTGCAACGACAGACCCACGTACCTGGTTTCGTCGCTTGTTCGACCCCCTCTCATTTGTCCGCTTACTCGACATGGGGCTCTTACCCCTGATCCACCCCTGAGTCTACCCCGGCTCGCGTTTAATTCTGACATGTCGAGCCCACCCTGTCCCAGAGCCGCAAACAACACTTCGTCATTCGTTTGGCGGAGCATGAAACCAAACTGCCAACCAAGGGGGGGCAGGGCTTGAGATCTCCAGGGACATCTCATCTCGGCTCACACCGATGATGGCGGGTCGCCCTCGGTCTGCTTTGGGATGGATGGAGACGACAGCATAGTACAAAAGGGTCGTCTCCTGATTCTTTTGAGTTTCGGGACATCTCTTGGCCTCTCTCTTCATCTTCAGCCTCAGCTTAAGCCTTCACTTCAGTTCCCTTTTTGGACCAACCGCCATTCTTTCCCAGCAAGCAAGCTCTTGCGACGACATTCTTTCACTCAAACTAAAAAAATCCAAAGTAAACACTCATTCCAGGCCGAGCCTACCAAAGTTGTTCCAAAACCCCCTACACACAAATCAACCTCCTTTTTCAAACCCAACCCAAATCAACAAATCAGTCAAGATGTACAAGCAAATCTCCGCTGCCGCCCTCTTCGCCGCCGGCGTCTCTGCTCACGGCCGAGTCACCTCGCCTACCCCCCGTCCCCTGGGTGATGCCATGAAGGCTGCCTGCGGTGACCAGGTCTGGAACATGCAGTCCTCGGACAACAACGGCAACATCCAGACCATGGCCCAGATCGGAACCTCCCAGTCCGACTTCGATGCCACCAAGTGCCACCTGTGGCAATGCCGTGGCTACCAGTTCGACGACGCCACCACCGCCTCCATTCAGACCTTCACCGCCGGCCAGAAGGTCCCCTTCGTCGTCGACATCGCCGCTCCCCACACCGGTGTCGCCAACGTCTCCGTCATCGACCTGGCCGCCAACAGCGTGATCGGCGACGCCCTGATCAGCTGGGACGACTACGCCTCCACCGCCACTGGCGTCACCGCCGACGATGAGAACTTCAGCGTCACCATCCCCAGCGACCTGCCCAGCACCTGCGCCACCAAGGGCGGCTGCGCCCTGCAGTGGTGGTGGGACGCCCGCAGCATCGACCAGACCTACATGAGCTGTGTCGACTTCGTCGTCGGTGACGCCTCCGGTTCTTCTTCCGGCTCTGCCTCCTCCTCTGCCGCCCCGGTCGCTTCTTCCGCAGCCGCCACCACCTCCTCCGTCCCGGCTGCCGCCAACGCTGCCGCCCCCACCACCCTGAGCACCGTCGTCGGCACCTCCACCAGCGCCCCTGCCGCTGCTGCGACTGACGACTCCTCCGCCTGCACCAAGCGCAAGGCCCGCCGCTCCAAGGCCCTCCGTGCCTAAGCGTCTCTCGCCTGACTGTCTTCACTCTCGGGTATCTAGACCCTTGAGTGAAGGTGAGTGTGTTTGATTAAGTTGGGTGAGAAGAGGTTTGGTGTTTAGGGATAGATCCGCCTTCGGATGATTGTGGATTGGGAACTGTTGTGTTGCTTCTCTGTATATACCATACAAAATTCAAGACTTTTGCTGTACATGTTTCTATTGACCGACTGACCTGACTCCGTTCGTGAAATCGTGACACCTCGAGATATTGTGAGCTGCCGTGGATTATCTCAACAAATGGTGCGTTCGAATGGTATGTCTTCCGTAGTCGGGATAGTATTCAGGTACATTTATAGTCGACCAGGTCTTCATCCCTTTGCCTGTAATATGGTTTTTAGCTTTCATCAAATGAGTGAATCAATCAAGTATTACTAAGATCGTAAATCTGTCTATCGTTGATGTAAAAGCTAATATGTTTGTATTTATGAACTTCTCGATCTCCCTTGAGATTTGCCTAAAATCACTTGCGTCCGAAAGCCGACTTTAATTTTCACCCAATTTTGCTACAGAGGTGAACCGAAGTATTGAAATACCTTCAGTCCAAGCAAATGTATGGAATGCCTCGAACCAACGTTCCTCAAGGTGTATTGCCTCCGATTGTAAAGAGAGATCCAACGCTGGGTTAATTTTGCTTATTCCTCGACCCCCTTCATGGCAGGGAGTATGTTTTTGCGCAGGTGGCTGTTCTGTGACAGCCCCCGTTCACTTGGAAGTCCCTAAAGGAACGAGAAATCCACCCGGGAAGTTTCCTAATAACCAGATGACGAGATAAATGAGGACATATTCCTACGTAGGACAGAGGTTTTCTCACGAGAATTGGCCGGCCATTTATCTTATTTTATTTCCTTCGTGGGGCGGGTGGCGCATTTCCCGATGGCCAACTGAAATATGCAAAGCCGCATAGTGATTGGACACACAATTGTACATAGTTATAGTCCTTGATTCATAACATCAGCAGTGAAGAGGGCACCAGAAAGAACGCTGGTGCTGTAAACTGACAGAGGTATTTCAAATATTTTACAACACTGTTTGTAGTCGACGTGAAGGGATATACATGAATTGAAATCTCCATGTAGAAATGAAATTTCATGAATTCGTAACGAGCGTGAGAATAGTATACTCGATCTTTGCCATCGGAAGTCACCATCATGCTACAAACCTTCGGCTGGGCTTCTCAGGCCGTTTTCTGCAAAACGTAGATCTCCCCGGTCGTATCAGAACTCATGAATACTCTTCCCTTAGAGTCCACCGCGAGTCCGACAGGCTGGAAACATTGGCTCGGGCAACTGGTCAAACTCTTCATCGTCAGGATATCAGTTAGAGCCGTCGTGCTAGTCGACGGCTCCGTCGGCTCTCCGTTGGCAAATTTGATTGTTCCGAACTTGTACCCAATCGGTGGTTGACGATTCCCTGACCATCAGGTCAGCAGCCTTCGAAATCAGTGCAATCAGAGGCCCGGGATGGACTTACAGCTTCCGTGAAAGGTCACCATTGCTTCTGTGCCGTTTGCATTGAAGACGAGGTCAAGTGGTGCCATGTGTGACTGCATTTTCAAATATCATTAGCGCCTAAAGTCGGACACAAATGCGAATGTAAAAACTTGGTCTATGTGCCTCAAAAGTCAGCCTCGGTGCCACGAAGTTGGCTGCGCAAGAGGTGTCGTTGGCTGTGGTGGATTGGGTGGAACTGAACTGGACTCCAGTCTTCAGATTCTGGCTGTTGGGCACACCTGTGGCTTTGAAAAGTGCGACGCACTGCGAGATCATCAGTGAATGGTTCTGCCCTTCTTATCATTTACAAAAGAACAGCCTGGTATCATGCCGATACTTACATCTGGGTACCCATAATTGGGCGGTTTACTGGGCACGGGGTCACTGAGAGCACCCAAGTAGTTGAGCTCTTCGCCAGGGTTGTCGGTGTGGATGTCGACCCCGTTCCTCGTAAGCTGATCAACCGAGTTCTCAACAGACCAGATTCCGCCTGTGACAGGATGTTCCGCAACACCGACGTCGTTGCGAAGGCCCCAGCCCAGGACCCTGCCCTCAGTCGCATAGTTATAGGCCCGACCACTCGGCAAGGCGTTCAGGTCAAAAACTCGGATCTGCGAGCGACCACTCGTGATATCCTTGGTCCCGGCATCAACGTTTTCATTGCTGCCGCGAGAGACGATCAGCTGGGACGGCTGCTTCTTTGACATCGTCAGCGTGCGGCTGATGTGGTCTGCGTTATTCATATTGTTGATGATGGTGGAGATAGCTCCCGTGCTCGTGCCAGTAGTAGGGTTATACGGCCAAGCGAAGACCGCTTCGGCCGAAGATGCGTAGAGCGTGGTACCATTGGCTGACAGTGCGATGCCGTGCGTGAGCTGAAGAAGATTAGCATCGCAGAAGATGTATGCTTATGGCATTGGTGTCCACCGAGGATCAGAGCGTACATCATTTTTAGAGACAACGGTTGTCTTGCTGGCCAGGCTTAGGCAGTTTCCGCTCTCAGTAAATGTCAAACGAGTGACTCCACTGTATGACTGGGCTACAAGCAGGGCGCCACTGCTATCGATTGTAAGGCCCCTTGCGCGCGTGATTCCATTGGCGACAAGTTGAGCTGTCCAGCCCGAGGCGACATTGGGAGCCGGGTATGATGGCTGTAGTCCTCCTGAGCATTGTCTTTTGCTTAGGAAACCGCCATGAACATTCGCTACCGCGCAAAATGCAACTGCGACTTTTAGAATGGTTGCGAGAGACATCGAGACCAGATGATGTACAGAGATTCAATAGGAATTGCAGGAACAGGTCAGACGAGATAGATCTGGGGTGTTCTCTTGGCGGGCTTGGAACAATCTATTTATCAAGTGGATCATCAAAAGTTTGCTTGGGCTTGATGTCATATTTGGACAGTATTTTCGGAAGGCATAGTCCGTATTAAAGCATGTAATATTGGTTCCCATCCCAGAATTACGACGCCAAGGACATTGGCGCTTTGGTGGATAAATTTATTCTGTAGTTGATCGTATTGAGCGACCCCTATGGCGGGGATTGGAATGGATGATAATGTCGATCAATGGACAATTTGGACGTAACTTGGAATTAAGCATACCCTAAACCATATCACAAAGGAGATTCCCCATGTCTCCTCTTTAGTGGTGGTATGGGGCGATCTTGGCTGGAAATGTGACAACAAACAGAGAGGGCCCGACCACTGTTGAATCGCCTTCCTATATAGTAATTAAAAATGATCCAGCCGCGGGGATGAGGCCAGAGCCGGTTAATAAGACGAACCGTGACTGCGGGACTGCCCATGCCGGCAGTTATTCTCCGAAGTTACCTAGGTACAGCAGATGCGCTGGGATCGCAAGTTTCTACAGCCCATCGGTCTCCAACCCAGATGAAGGGAAAACAAAACGAGAAAAGCACCCATTACGGTCGGCACTTGTAGGTGCGGAGAGGCTCATGCAATCAGTCGAGAAATGTACTGACACAAACGGCGAAAAGCAGAAGAGTAGGAATGAAGGATCTTGAAGAATTTACACACATGCATCGACAGTTCCCGCCAAACAAAAAGGAGATTCAATGGATAGGAGGAAAGACGTAATTGATATAAGCAGTAATGACCGGATAGTGCGGATGATATTGAGGACAGAGGATTTATGCTGTGGTATGTTGGTTGATCTCCCCCACAGTATGAGGATGATGATGTCTATCGCACCCGGCCAATAAAACCGACATAGAACCACACCCTCTCCCCTTCTTTCCCCACATGCTCTTCCATAACCGCCCTCCTCTCCTCCACCCACAACCCTAAATTCAAAAACACACCCACTTGTGTAACAGTGAGTCAAGGTAATGACTGTCTACAAGTCTTTCATCCGTGATTTAATTTTGAAGAGTCTATAGAAGGAAGGTGACTCGTTCTATCAGCGAGCTTGAGTTCGGATGTCTGCTTCGTGGCTATGGCATTTCTATAATGAGTAAGTGTCATCTTTCATCCTAGATTGAATCGCTGTTCTTCACTACAGACACTTGCTGAACTTGACTTCATGGTCTAATGCAGCTCATAGCTCAGCTAATCGTCACACAATTTCTGCCTAGTGGAATTCTTTGCAGTCTGAATATGGAAAGCACTTGAGTATTGAGGAAGTGCAACCTAGACTGAGTCTCTCTCATGATTCTATTGGCGTTTGAAAAACGAACGGGGCCAGCCAAGACGGTTGGACATCAAGGCTGAAAACCAAATGTTACTTCGAAGTCTAAAAGGGCACCTCTGCTCTAAAATATCTCATGTAGTGTTCGAGATCGATCGTGCAAGAGAGATTCGACGACGGCTCTTACCAGCCAAAGCTCGCGATTGAAACATCCACCTCCCGCGTGTTTTTACTCAGAATGGTGGCAATAGTCTTTCTTGCGTCAGTCAGCATGCCTATAGGACCACAAACAATGATACCAAGTCTTCCGCTCCCACCGGCTGCATGTTCCTGAATCACGGCGGCCACATCAGGTCTTGAATAGACTAAGTCGTATTGGTGCTCACGGGGAGCCACCTTGTCTTCGTCCGCTGGATCCTGCGTAACATGTCTGAAATAATCTTGTCAAAAACCATCAATTGTGCCGATTGGAGAGACCACTCACCCTTTAAGAGTAAACCTGGCATCTTTAAGTGCGCACTGCATCTCCTCATTTGCCACTGAGCGTATCATGCCCAGCCGCCTGACTGACCAAACCAGCGTAACATTCGACACTTCATCAATGGATAGTGCCTTATAGAGGGCAGACAACGAAACCGAAATTCCGCTTCCACCAACCACCAGGAGGATTTCTTTGCAGGAATGGAAGTTGACTGCATGCGTGTCCTCTTGATATGGACCTTCCAACAGTACTGGAAGACGATATGGCAACTCTTCACTCTCAGCGTTTCCGTCCTTTGCGGTGGAGTTTTGTAAACGCCTGGTAAATCCTTTCTGCGGGGCGATAAGGAAGCGGTAATTCAGCTGTTCAGGCGTTGTGGAAACCGGCTCAACGGTCGTGCTGTCCGTCCGTTTCTCCTCGTCAACGCTTGGCGTCGTGTTTGTAGTTGCACTGGGGAAAGCAACCAGAGTGAAAGGGTGGGACTGATAGAATGGGAGTCGAGTCGGAGAGTAGCTAGATGGCAATTAATTTCAAGGCATTCCTTGGCAAGCAGTGGCTTGGGAACATAAAACGTACATGTAGTAAGTATTGCCAGGAGTAGGTCGTCGCTTGCCAAAAATGCTCGACGCGTCGATTCTCAACAAGCCAGCCGAGGCGTCAACTGACACCCCCACCGTTCCCTTCGCACCCGTGATGAAGAGTCTGACAATCCTGAGCAGCCGCTCAAGACCCCAGATGGCCACGATCGGCCAGAGGTACGGCAAGAAGAATTGCGCCTGGACGTGATACCACAAAGTCGAAAAGAATACCACGGCGAGAAGAATGTGCATTACCAGGAAAGTGTCGTAGAACCTGGCACGTATTGGAGCGGCCGCCAAGATCAAGACAAGGGAGAAGAAGATGAGAGCCACGACAGCCATGACCCACCACTCGAGTTCTTTGAATATGTATTTGTATCTTGTCAGACCGCCCTTGACGAATTGGTACTTGGTGAACACACACGAGTGAACGATCAACTCAAGAAATGTGATACGTGCGATCCAGCGGTGAAACTGGTTGAACGTCGCAAAGCTCCATCCTGTGATCAAGATGAGGGGATTGTTCCTCATGCTGAACAGCCAAATGAAAGCCAGATTTGCTATGGCCATATCACTGGCTCGCCGGGCGATGAGGGAGAGTATTTGCGCCTGATCAGTATTTTTCTTGAAGCTGACGTAGATCCAGCTCCCAGAGTAGGGCTCGATGGAAACCGCGCATAGTATGAGGCTGAGAATGAAGAAGGCCAATATGATCAGGGCTTCCAGTCTCGAGGGAGCCGCTTGCGTTCGCTTGGCAAACAAAGGCGGTAAGCTCAGATTTGCTCGCACTGGGCGAAGGATGCGTGATGAAAAAGCTGGTGGATCGACGGAGAACCTGGATCCAAGATTGAAAATCGTGGCAAAGCCCATGATGATACCCCAGAAGATGTAGATAGCGTGCTGGTGGCTGCGGTTGATCCACCGAGCTTGTGCCCGGGCCGTGGTGCTCTCAAGGACCAAGTTCCAGAATTTGGCATCGGCGATAACGGTGGTATTGAGCTTCTTATTCTTCGAGGTCGAGTTGATAGATTTCGCACCACTCGTCGAGACATTGGCAAAGCTTTGAAGGGGTGGAAGTGCTGGAAATCCTTCATCATCGCAGAGCTGGTTAAGAAAGCCCCACCCAGGTTCAATGTCTCGTTGATCACAGTACTTCTGGGCGCAGACATACACCGATTGTGCATGGAGAGCATTCGTGCAGGTCTGCGCGTAGGCAGCATCATCGTCGGCCGGAATAAAAGTTTGTAGGTCAAGAGAGTGTTCACAGGCGGCGACGCAGACTTCTTCACTCTCCGGGTATGGCTCGCCCGCCCAGGCTGGGGACAACAGGCTGGCGAGCACGGCAAATTGGAGCAAGTGGTGGACCATGGTGTCACCCGAGTCTGAAGGGGCGTTGGTGAGGCGTGAGCGGCACTTAGTCTGCAGAAATCTCGGGGTCCCTCGTGTAAGCAGACTCCGGACGTGCCTTATGGACTAGTCAAGATGCACGTGTTTGTCCGAGGAAAGAGATGGCAGAAGGGTCTTTATTTTAGGTAAGTTTTAGGTTATCTGATCGTCAGATAAAAATATCAAATCACTGCAAGACTCGGAAACAGCAAAGCTTATTTCGGGGCAGCCGTGCTAAGTTATGCCCCTGCAGGTTCTTACCCTGGTAGCATGCGCTGTGTGACTCGCAGGCATCCCACATGAGGTGACTTGATCGGGACAAACTTTCCTGTATCAGATTCTCCTGCAGGACAACTCCTGTTGGATAGTCTGGAAATGAGTTTACCCCCACATCTTTTGTCTTTCAGGATGACCTATAAGAAGGCGTCTGGGTAGGTCTTATCTGTTTCTACCCGCGTGCTCGCAGAAACCTGACAAAGTTTTGGGACCCCTGTAAGCTATACGACGGTATATACCTAAGCACTCATCAATGGTACCCTACTGTTGGACCAAGTGGAGCAACTTTATTCTGTTGCGACACGCCACGGATCGTTGGAAAACAGCGGGACCGTCCTTCCTCTTCTGGCAGGTCTGGCACTTGCGCTGATGTCTGTCATGGCACGCAAATCACTGCATGTCACAGTATTCCCACATCCCGAACGAGGCTGCATGATTCGCTTTCGCATAACCTGAGAGACATGTTTGGTTCCAATGCATGTAGATCACTCGGCAGTGACCAGGACGCAAGAAATAAATGGATTAAGAAGAGACCCCCTTTCCACTCAGCTATGTCTGGTTGTTTGACCAGCATGACGATCGACAAGCCCCATCCAGTACGCGATTCGTTACCGCTACGGGTGGGCACCAAATCCTTCGTGACTTTGGCGAATCGAGAGGGCACGCTTGTCAGCTTGAATTACTTATGATCGGCGTCCCAAAATCGGGCTTAGTTAGCTACAACATGAGCCGGGGGAGGGGTCCTCATCTCTAGTTTCATCTAGTCAATCCGGAATGCCTGCTCGCAAGCAGTACGGAATGTCACTATTATATTTGGGATTTGGATAATTTTTCATTCAGTGCCCTTTTGCTACATGCAAACAGCCGTTGCACAGCTACCTTTTGTTGCTACTGGGTAATATGGTCGACTTAAGTGGCACGAATTACTGTGTCAGGAGAAGGTTTGGGACATAGACATGGAGGTACTGTAATTTTCGGCAGGATTAGCGACCACTATTGCACATTTAACTAAAAGTAGAAGCGAACTTACATCTCTGTAAAGCCCTTCGAGTTTCATTTTCAGGAAACACTTCAAATGTACCTGATCCTTGGAAAGGTATTCGAGCAGCTCTTTGCGAGCGCCCACTGTCGATTCATTGATGACCTTGTCTAGCTCCTCGCGCACGATGGGCCAGCCACCGTTGCGATGCAGGTCGAGCGACTGGATCAAATGATTGATGTTGTTGTTGAAGAGTGTGTGATGCAGGATGTCCCAAGCCTCTTCTCGGACATCGGTGGTCACAAAGCTATCAGGTAAGGCGCTGTAGAGGGTGTAGCCTCTCTCGCGGAGCGTTGGCATGTGGATCTTGATGCCGCCAAAGTCCCTGGATGGAATCCAGCCAGTCAGCATCAACATTAATCATCAAATGAGGTGGGTCTTGCAACAAAATGACTCGCACGAACCTTACAACGAATCCAGTCACTTTCTTTGTGGATCTGTTCACTCGGACCATCATGTTCTGGCCATGCGCCTCCAGCGCAACTCCTGACTCCAGGGCTGGTGGAATTACCAGCCGCAAGAGAGTCGAGACATAGCTTCGCAGCCATGCTCGACGCTTATCCATGGAATCCAGGCCAAAGACACGCTCAGCGCTGCTGACACCGGTGGCCAGGTCTGTTTCGGCCAGGGCAGCAGCGGGAATGAGAGCCTCGCCGAGAGCATTTGCCCGCGGCTCAAGGTCCTCTCTGAGAACGCACGAAATGTGTTTTGCCTCATCAAAGTCGGCGCCGCTTCCAGTGACACTGGCGACCTCGCGGGCAACCCACAAGTCCTCAGGCAGAACTTCTGAAAGCACCTCTCCTGCTTCGGGACCCACACAAGCAGTCCAGGGACTGACAGTTCGCAGAGCTGAGGTGATGAAGCAGGCAAGAGCTAGCTTGAGATGGTAGGGAGAATCAAGCTCCGGAGCCAAGGAGACTGTCCTGGTAGCGGCCTGGGCGCGCGCAATGACAGGTGGAGACTGCAGTACCTCGACATTCGGGAAGCGGGACCTGATGGCAGGGATCTGACGCTTAAGACAGGGTACCGTGACTGTGCCCGGGATGCTGTTGGCGACTCCCAGCTTCTGCAGCAGAGGCTGAAGACGAGATTGGAAAGCTCCCGTGATGCGGAGGTCGGAGGATGGAACAGCTAAGAAACTGATCTCCGGGTTGCGCAGCGACTGGACGTCCTTGGGCGACACTGGCTCCAGCGGGTCTTGGGCGAAACAGCTCCTGTGCATCGGATGCGTTGGATGTCCGGTCAAGATGCTCTGCTCCCATACGATGGAAGGATCGGCGAGGGTCGGCAAGTGCTGTTTCTTGGCTAAATGAAACCACTCCTCTGCGAAACATTTGTGAGTGTGCAAGTTCTAGACATGCAGCGTGAGTTCCAAATACAATCTGCGTACCTTGGTTCTCTGCAGAACTCTTCAGCTGCCTGATAATTGTGTCTACCGCCTCCTGACTTGTTGCCTTGTTGGAGAACCAAGGCGTCATCAGCCTGAAAAGCACAGTAGGGTCGGTCTCAGCCACATCTTTAGGATGGCCGGCTTGATCTCGTCTGATCATGATCGGCACGGACAGCTCGCTGGGCTGAAGGTAGGGCTTCGAGGTGCTCTCCAGCCATTCTCTTGCCGCATCTCCAGTCAAACCGACTCGTATCGTCAAACTCTGGGAGTCCTTGGACTCCGTGATTTGATGAAGGTTGAGGTAGCCGGACTGGTCAACCGAAGCGCCAATCATGCCCTCGTTGACAAGGCATGCAATCACGCGACGAGAGGTTTCAAACTGTGCAAACTGGTGAAGGACCTTGTCATGCATGTCTGAATTTGCCAACTGGGCATCTTCACCATTGCTATTAGCTGGCCCGGCGTGTGCTACCGCACCATTCAACATGGCGGTTGCGGCAGACATGATGCTTGGTGCAGCGGGAGACGAGATGATGAGTTAGATGATAGAAGGTGCAATGTGCTGATTTGAAGAATTGTGTAGTCTCACTTGGAGCTTATTCACAATGCAGCATTCCTTACTACCATGGCTACATATTTATTCACCACGGTAAGACTGTGACATCGTGCTATGCCGCGCCAGTTCCCCGACCTCGGCTCTCAAAACAGATCCTCGTAACATGATGTGCTAGTGAGGAGCATTGTTTGAATCAGTGCACCCTGAGATCACCGAAAATCACGGACAGTTTGACGCAGCCATGGTCTGTCGGCACAATGCCCATCGAGGCGTGAAATAAGATCGGCCGTAGCAGGGTTGTCTGCCCCCAGATGTCCCTGGGCTTGCACAGTGCAAGTATTCAACCGTCAAGCAAATTACGTGAAAATATTATTTTAGTCTACCCTGGTGGCCCTGAGACAATAACGTTTCTGCAGGCCATCAATGTTCTCGTACGCTCTGGAAGCTGACAAGCACAGCAGCCCTGACATGGTTGCTCTCATACGTGGCCCACATACACCTGTGCCGCGACGGCTAGCATCGAGCAAGGACCAGAAGGGTCACATCGAGTATCACGCCTATATGGCCAAGGGGCGGCTGTTTAATTGCGCAAGAGCGGAAAGACTCTGCGATCCCACATCCGCTGCTTATTCTCTAGCCTACCACATTTTGCATATTTTGCTTTCGCGCGCGCTCTTGGCGAGAAGCAGCCGAAGTATCAACCAACAAGGACCACAGCTTAATCCACGTTCTGCGCTTGTGGTCCTGCGTTACTTGATACAACCACGAAACCTTACTAAGAGTGTTGACCATAGATGTACAATGGGCGGGATATTATTCATGTATTAGTAACGGCTGTCTCCACATACGTGCCTACCTCAGCCTCGGATCAGATAAGATCCGCGTTATCACTTGAGTCCGACGCTTGGGGTGCAGGGTTGTAATGAATAGAATCAAGCTTGCTCAATCTGATAACTTTAATCAAACGTGACAAAGCTTAGTTGGACGAGAGAAAAGCTTACTGTGCTGATCGGTCTCCACACCTCGGTCACCAAACCCGTTTAAGGTTCGAGATGCTACTCCACCTGTTCTCAAAAGGCATGGTCAATAAGAGTTTGGATTAAGCACCCCACCGGGGTTGTATGTACATAATGCGGCAGGAGCACGATGCCTGCTCACAATGCTTGACTCCGTGTTGCTCCATAATCCAGATCCGACCTCGGTTCGTCACCCAGCGAGGGGTTGTTGTCGTCTTGGGTTAGCGGATACGATGGGTTTCTCAACGTGCCATCACGACTCAGCTATGGAAGGCATGAATCGGGCGTTGTTTCTCGTGTGGGTCGCTCGCCTAAAGGAACAAGGTACGGTCCTCGCTGTCCGCGGATGGAAAAGAATCGGCATCAGTCACGGGACGAGACTATGAGCCAGCAAGCCATTCTAGTCCTAAGCCAAGATCTAGCGACCGTATGCTGTGACTGAGAGAGCATGTGTGTTCAGCAAGAACTCATTCAGGATGCCACTATCTCAAACGTATGTCATAACCAGAATGCTAATGGACCTTCAAACTTACAATGCGGTGGTCACAGAGAACATGCGAGCGCCAACAAGGTACTGACGGCTAGGGATTGGCCCCTTTGGGAGCGATGGTTCGCCACGGCAGTGCTATCTGGCTACAAGTTCATCTCATCGCTCGCGTCATCCACTATGGCTCCAGGCATTGATGCCATTTCAGAAGAACTTGAAATCCACAATCCGGTTGTCAGTACCCTAACACTGACCGTATATGTCCTGGGATATGCTGTAGGGCCGCTGCTCCTTGGTCCCGCCTCAGAGATCTACGGACGGAAGCCTGTGCTTACCCTAAGCAACATCTGGTATCTCGTTTTCAATCTAGCCTGCGGTTTCGCCAGATCGAGGGATCAGATGATTGCATTCCGATTTCTTGCCGGAGTTGGCGGAAGCGGCCCTCTTGCTGTAAGCTGAACTCTTCCTCCGTCATGACGAAATGTGCTGTTTGCCAACCCAAGTTACACTAGCTCGGAGGAGGTGTGCTCAGCGATTGTTGGAATGCAGAAGAACGTACCAAGGCACTAAGCTTGTACACGCTTCCAGCGCTACTGTATGTCAAGCCCGATGATTGAAATGTGAGCACCGCTGACACAGGAATAATCAGGGGACCGGCTCTTGGGCCTATTGTAGGTGGGCTGATTGTCGAGAATCTTTCCTGGCGATGGATATTCTGGGTCACATCTGCGAGCTCTGCTACAATTCAGCTCATTGGGCTCGTTCTCCTGCGGGAGACCTATGCACCAGTGATCAGGAAGCGTCACAACCTCGAAGATCAAAACGCACTTGGCCCGGAGGTCCAGTCAGGGGACGAAAAGGTTACGAGAAAAATCGCCAGCAAGCTCACGACTGCTGTAAGACTTCTCTACTTCGAGCCGACTATTCAGCTTGTCTCCTTGTACGGTGCCTTCCTTTACGGCCTCATGTACATTGCCATTTCTTCCATGACTGAGTTGTGGATACATCAATACGGCGAGTCACGTTCAGTATCAGGGCTCAACTACTTGTCTCTCGGGCTCGGATTCGCATTTGGCTCTCAGTCAGGTGCATTTGCCAATAGATGGGCAAGTATTCGCTGCAAAGGACCCCGACAGCATGTCCAACGTTGACAACGGGCTAATTGTAGCACAGGTCTACGGCGTACTAAAGACAAGAAATAATAATAAAGGCCTTCCAGAATTCCGCCTCCCTATGTTGGGATCTTGTGCAATCCTTGTTCCTCCTGGATTACTGATCTACGGGGTAAGAGAACATTCAACAGCCTTCCTCGCCAGCCCCCTCGAATCAGCCTCGCTAAATCGTAGTTTCAGTGGACAGCAAATGCGAAACTTCATTGGATTCTTCCCAATGTCGGCGTCTTCATATTCGCTTTTGGCATTGTAAACGGCTTGCAGATTATTAACCTCTACACGGTCGACTGTTTCACGAGTGTGTCGGCTTCAGCCGTCAGCGCTATTACTGTGACCCGTTCAATCGCTGGATTCCTGCTGCCTCTTCCTGTCCCGATCATGTACCACCGCCTCGGCTATGGCTGGGGAAATACTCTTCTAGCCTTGATAGGAGTATTTCTTGGCTTCCCTATTCCACTCATTTTGTGGTGGCACAGTAGGAGACAGAGGAGCATGGCTACTAGCGACTGAGCTGTCGTGTGGATGGAATGTCGGCATGGTAGATATAGTTGGCAGTTGTTTGCATCCTGCACTTCAGGTTCTAGCGAACGAACAATACCTGACTTCAAAATCCTTGTCATCAGTGCAATTGAATTTTGAAGCACCAAGCTTTTCGAAGTTGACGATCGAAATTTGCTTGAACAAAATCCTTCATTCCCTTGCATTAGCAGGGTATTGCCTCACCAGCACAGAACGAGGTTGCGCCTGAGCGCATCTATTATTTTTATCTTAAACTCACTGAGGATTATCACGAGGAGTTTGCGTAACTGCAAGGTTTTGAAGGGCATGTGTGGTCCTTCAATACCAATTTTGCTTTTCTTTCGGGGCTGGGAGATGTTGGTTGTGATTGGCGCTACGTCTAGGGCTCCTAAACCCAGCCGGAAGACCCAAATGTGAAAACTCGATTTTCAGGGGGTCTAGTGCTTACTTTCAGCTGAGTCTCGGGTAACTGCAGAAGGCAGAAGTCCTCAGCCCATCGGAATAGAGGCAATGTGGGGATAACACATCTTCCAACTCTTTACATAAGAGGTATTTCAGTAATGCACCTTACTGAAGACGTATTGAAGACGCGCTCGAATGCTGTCAAACTCACCATTATGTAGAGAGCCCTTAATAAAGAAAAAGTTAAGAACCCGCTTCGTCATCGATGATGAAGACCAATTGGTCTTCGACGGATCATGTAAATACGAAATGGTCAAAGATGCTTACGAGGCACCTTCTCCGTTGCTGGAATTGTTGACGGATTCCCCACAATGTCACTGGGATGCGGTCATATGTTCAAAATGGGAGCTGCCTGGCTTACCTTACATTACGCGTGAGCATCGTAAGCGCAAACACCATGTCGCGTGGCGCGTGAGCTAATGTTTATGTTCTTGCACATTCAATAATTGAATTTAATGATAAGAATCCATTTCTCGCAATGCGTCTCGTGCAAGCTTAGCAGGGTACCACAGAGATAAGGCCCAAATTCGACTTCTGAGTCATTCACAAAAGCCAAATTCGAAATATCTGAATTGGCGACAAGCTGAGGAAAGAGCCTGCGAACTATATTGTCTACCTACGGCTGAACAAACATACAAGTTACTTCTTGTAGACGGGCCAGCATTCAATGTTTCAATCACGACATTTGTGAAACTAGCTCTCCAATGCGGATAGGCCTCACCGGTTGAATTCCTGGCTGCAGAGATTGCTTGGCGACAGATAATCCCGCAGCAGCGAATCTGCCTCGTCCAATAGGTCAAACACTCCGTAGGTGCAACCATCCGTAAGCACGCCACAAGCAAATGGAGGGTACAGTACCTCGTACATGGCTGAGGTGGCCGTGTGACACCAACCCCGCCAATCCCCTATGGCGTGTTTGCTTATTTATTCGTTGTTTCCTCCCCTCTTCATCGCAGGACGAACTGTTGTGTAGACGAGCTCAACGTCGCGCGCCTGTATCCGGGTGAGCATGGCCTCTCAAGCTCTGGGCACAACTCCTCGGCCATCCTTCTTAGATCGCGTCGGGATCTGGACGTTCAGCATCGTCAACAGGTTCGTTCCATGGCATAAACTACCAGGACTGGTTGGAACCTTGCAGCTATACCTTTTCCGCGTCGGACTGCGCGAGCAGAATCTGTATGATGGCTACGCATCAACATCCGAACAAGGGAATGCCCACGATTTCCCCCTTCCAAACAATCGGTTTCTGCATGCGAGGAATTCTGATGGCACCTACAACTCACTGGAAATGCCCTTGATGGGCTGCGCTGGTATTCGGTTCGGCCATAATTTCTCGAGAAAAGACACGCAGAAACCGTCTGAGAAGGATCTCTGGACCCCCAACCCTCGCATCGTGAGCGAACGGTTCATGAAAAGGAATAAGTTCATACCAGCCACCAGTCTCAACCTCTTAGCTGCTGCCTGGATCCAGTTCCAGATACATGACTGGTTTAATCACGAAACTGTGAGCCTTTCATTGTTCATCTTTTTCTACTTTCGTGTGTCTGACTGCCCTATAGAGCGAGGAATCTTTTGAAGTCCCTCTCTCATATGGTGACTCTTGGCCAGGCGGAGAGATGAAATTCCCACGCACAAAGCCAGATAAAATTCTGGATCCATCAGACGTGGATTGCCCAGGGTACAAGAACACCAACACTGGCTGGTGGGATGGCTCTCAGATCTACGGATCAAGCGAGGCTCTTACCAAGCAACTCCGCGACATACATCCCGATGGGAAGTTACAGCTGGACGAGAAGGGGGCCGTCGCATTTCTTCCCCGCGACGAAAATGGAAATCCAGTAACTGGGTTCAACAATAACTGGTGGGTTGCGCTTGAGATGATGCATACGCTCTTCGCTTTGGAACACAATGCCATCTGTGACATGCTTCGAAGAGCATATCCGTCTTGGACAGGGTAAGAATGGACTTAACGTGACAATCATGCATCTCCCTTTAGTCGACACGGCTGATCTGAGAATCAAATCAGAGACGAGATTTTCGATAAGGCTCGCCTTGTTAACTGTGCCTTGATGGCCAAAATACATACTGTGGAGTGGACCCCAGCAATCCTGGCTCACCCGGCCTTGAAGATCGCCATGAATGCGAATTGGTGGGGCTTGGCTGGAGAAACACTCAATAAGTTAGTCGGTCGCTTATCCAAAACAAGCGAGGCTATCAGCGGCATCCCTGGATCAGGAGCTGAGCAAGACGGCGTTCCCTATTCACTCACAGAGGAATTCGTCTCAGTGTACAGAATGCACTCTCTCGTCCCTGGTGAGCACTCGTTGATTATCTACGCCACACGAATCAATTTCTGACTGGTTCCAAGACGACATTGCGTTTTTCAACGCTAGAACCGGCGAGCATCACTCTACTGTCCCCACCGTGGACATGACATTCTCTAAGGCACAGGAACCTTTCGTAGGCCCCAAGGCCCTGTCTTTTGCCGATGCTTTCTATTCATTCGGTATCAATTACCCTGGGGCTATTACCAACCATAACTACCCTGATTTCCTCCGAAACTTGACTACACCAGATGGCATTCCAACTCGAGACTTGGGGACTGTTGACATCCTTCGCGACCGAGAGCGCGGAGTCCCCCGCTACAACCAGTTTCGCCGACTTCTTCGACTACCCGCGCCCAAGACATTCGAGGAGCTTGTTGGTGGCGTAAAAGGCTCAAGCCAAGTCGCCAAGGATCGAGCTTCCCTGGCACGAGATCTAGAGGAGGTCTACGGCGGCGACATTGAAGCTGTGGACGCTTTGGTGGGCAGCCACAGCGAGCCATTACCTGAGGGCTTTGGTTTCAGCGACACAGCATTTCGAATCTTCATCCTCATGGCGTCGAGGCGTCTAAAGAGTGATCGATTCATTGCCACTCAGTGGAATGAAGAGACTTATACGCCCGAGGGGTTCAAGTGGGTGCAAAACAACGGGATGCGGGACGTGTTACTCAGAAATCTACCAGGGCTGGGGAACGCGTTGCCGCCTTCTGGCAACAATATGTTCGCGCCTTGGCCGAAGTTGTCCGCTTCCGAGAGCTACATTGGAAAAGAAACTAACCCATCAGTTTCCTGAGAGGGTGAGTCCCGAACTAGGAATACATGCGCAAGGCGATGTGCCAGGAATAATGGATACATTGAACGATATTGTCATCAACCACGCTCTTTTCCGTATATGATCTTCCAGCTCCATATAATTTTTCATCTACGGCCTTGGGAGAGTGGTTGTGGGATGCACATTGCCCCGAAGATTTCAAAACGATTCCATAATGTATTTTAGATGAGAAGTCGTTCAAGCTCAGGGGTGGACGCGAGCTGAGGGGGCCTCCATGTGCGTATTACGGAGGTAGCAGCCCAAACTGTAATCCTCGGTCATGCCCTGAGATTCCCAGTGGCCGTACTGTTAGGCATCCGAGAGCCACTGTAAATTGGTGCTTATATCGAGTGGGAAGCTACTGCTAGAGTCGACGAGTGGACATGACGTGATTGGGCTACTTCTAGCGGAATTTGAATATCACGAGTTTGAATCAACCTTCTTGTTTCCGGGCGTGTTGAACATTTAATCAGCTGCGAATTCTAGAAAGCAATCCACTTATCCTATTGAGCAAACCTTGGGGTTCATTCATGTTCTAATTCATTTTTGCTAGACTGTCTTGCACCTGTCTGGCGCTGACTTTCGGGGGTTTGGATTCATGGAGTCTATCCCAGATCCGTAAACATCAGTGACTCATGAAGCACTTCAGATCCGTTAGTGACCTTCTAAAGAACGATGGATGGCCAGAAATGAAATTCCACGATCTTGCACATTGTTCACTACATCTGTCATCATGAAAGATCACTGTCTGAGGTCCCCCTAGCGTAAAAAAAAAAAAAACAAATTTCAAAAGGTCACGACATGTCCATCCACGTGCCGTCCATTTACAAAATTGATCACGGACCCAAAACTCAATGATTGCGAGTTCTCATCAAGGTACTGGGAACAGACAATTCAGACCTGCAAAACAAAAATATTCAACTAGTGCACCCCAATCACTTCCACATCTCAAGCGCTAAGACTTACTGGTCTTCAATGTCCACCAGGGTCCTGGAAACTGATTGTGATTCTCCATCAGTGTACTCACTCCATCGAGGAAGTATATAAAGGCAGCTCTTCCCGCCTTTGAACATCTCCCGAATCCCCTCTGGTCACAGACCTCGGATCTGAAAAACACAAATCTTCACTCTTGAGCCACAACTCTCAAAACACCCACAAAAAACCGGTCTGCAGCCACTACTCTCAAACCTACTCTCTCTACTCTACTCTCTCTCTACTCTACTCTCTCTCTCTACTCTACTCTCTCTCAAAGCTACTCCCCCTCAAAGCTTCTCTCTATCTCTCTCTCTCTCTCTCTCTCTCTCTCTCTCTCTCTCTCTCTCTCTCTCTCAAACCTCTACTACAAAAGTCGGTCTGCAGCCACTACTTTACTACAATCAAAAGTGCTCTCGAGTCATCAATCATCAAAGCACGCCTCCACACACTACTCAGCACATCAGCGACTTCCGCACTCTCACGGCCACCATCAAGATGTGCAGAAACAACAAGTCTACGATGAAGCTGAGTGAGCGCAGCCGTAAGGCCGCTCGTCAGACTACACGTCAAACAACCAACAAAAAACACGCGGCCGTGGAGGCTTGCAAACTCAACCAACCAGCCACAGAAGAAAAAGCCAGCAAGCTTGCAACCGAGGCTTCTGAAGCTGCTTTCGACCCCTCCAACCGGGTCTCCTCCACATCTGGCGCCAGTGTGGCCGACAAAACACCACAAATTCACAGCCACTCTTCCAACAACCAAGATGAGAAGAGGCTGGCAGGCCCGCGCGTCTCCGTCGTCTGCAAAGAAGACAACGGCGGGCACATTACGCAGTTTAGCGTCAGCTACTACCAAACAACCAGCGGCGCTGGGGCAGGGATGACCACCATCTCAATACGTCTGACCCTGGCCGCCAAGGATATTCTCCTCGCACAAAACCAAGAGACGGCAATCAAAATCTTCACGCCCTACAAAGACGCTCTCCACATCAACTGCAACATTTGCTTCATCGACTCCACCACTGAGCAAGTGCTGGCCACACAAGCTTTCAAGGAAGTCTTCAACAAGTCAGGATACCATTGCCAACAACTCGACGCCACCACCAAGTTGCGATGGATGCCGCACCATGCAACCGTCGAGGGCAACAGACTTGCCGAAGCTGCAGCTCGCAAGGCAGCAACATCTCAAGACACTGCCAGCATCTGAGCCGCTGCCATACTTTCAGCATCTGCGTGAATATTAAACCCCAAGCCAAGTCTTCTTGTGTGCCAACTGAGACAACTTCAGTCTCTCCTACAACACTACACTACAAACTCAGGCCGAGACTCGACTCCTCAGCGTCGAGGACTTGCACACACTCAAAATCACAGCGCACTACTCTGTCATCTGACGCCAATGATCGAACAAGCAACATGTGATGGAAGGGAGGAAACATTGGGTGGTACATTTTTTCCCAGTAATGGTTTTTTTTGGAGGAAACAGATGGTAACATGAGCGCAGGATGCATCAGAGGGTAGTGCACATTACTTGATTCATAAAACAAAAATTGAAAATTGTGAACCCAACCATTTTCTTTTGCCAAGTGACATGTTCTAGTCACCAATTAATGATCCGTACTCGGCCTTGACCCTAATTCTAGACCTAAAATGAGTGCATTTGGATAAGAACACCATTCTTGAGGCACACGGTAGAACGTTATGGATTTGCTTGAGGGATGAGGGACTCAAATGCGTGTGAGCCCTTGCTGCCCCCTGTGCGAATCGAGTGTGTGTCACAAACCTCGTCATGGGTCATGCAACCGTGTTGTATGACATGTATTAACTTGCGCTCCATACCAAGCAGCAAATTCTCGCTCAGCCAGTATGTTGCTGGCCTCTAAACCTCGCCTCATGGGTCGTTACGGGCTCCGCATTTCTCACGATCATGAAGTTTTAACTATCTTGGCTCTGATTAGGCCAGAGCCCGGGGCCACGTTCTAATAGCACCATCCCTATCTCTTCACCCCGTGCCTCGGCGCGGGTGGAGCCCTTAGAGCTTGTGAAAACTGGCCTTGGTCTGTGGGCACTGTTGTCACCTCGTCCAAACCACAGGCTTCCGCTGCCATACCCAGACCCCTTTCTTTCTCTCTGCACGCTCTGTACTAGCCGGTTGAGAATTGCAAATTCCACCTTAAGCTTGATACCGTAGACAAGCGGCTTGAAAGATCCCTGAAGATTAAAGAAAGAAGCAAGCTGAATGCCAAGGAGGGCAGCATCCAGGAGAATAACGAGAAGGTTGCTGAGGATGAGATGATATAGCACCATATTTTGCCTGCTCGAGCCAGGTGATGAGAGAATGGAGCTGCTGTGGAGCAATTGTCTCGCCTGCCAGATATATACCGCGTTCATGCTAGTCTCCTGAACGAAGAAGACGGTCATCTCTAGCCGACTCCAAACGGAATAGACTTTCGACAGTGAAGGATGGGATGTTTGCTGAATGAGACTCTGGGCTTAGAAATCTTGGTTCCTAGGCACTACAATACATGAAGATTGATACGGCGAGTACTTACTAGAAGAATACCAATGACGATAGTTGGCACAGTCAGTATGGTTGAAGTCAATATGAGTACAATCATGAGTGATTCTAGCTTCCTGCTACTTTGCACAACAAGATGTAGACGAGAATAAAGCACCCAGCTTTGGGGAACAACCATGATCGCCCATGTGAGGTAGATCAAGGCAATTGCGGCTGTGTGGTCCCTCCAAATGTTGAAATCCGAGAGAAGAATGAAAAGCGGCTGTAGAATCACTCCCCTGTGTAGGATCACGGTCAGTGTTTGATGCCTAGAGACACCTCCGTGTGCCGGTGGCGTGACACATGGCGTGGAGGCGCGAGTTTCTTAAACTCACGATGAACTTGCTGGTTGCTTACCAAGCACAAAGCGTACACGACCAGAAATATAGGCCGCTCCATCTGGCGAAGATGAAGAGAAGTTCCATGTTAACTTCAACGCCAATGTACATGGAAATTCCAGTAAAGGCAGCCATGGCCATGTCTAGTGGGGAGTAAGACATAGCTATGGCGAAAAATGGGATTGTGACCCCGGGCAATTCGCGACACAGCAAGGAAGCTGAAAACTTTGACAACGGGCCTCTATGGTAGCATAAGAACATTTAATGCCAAGGGGAACAGCTCTGTTTATTATCTCTGGCTGTGTATGTCATCTTTCGGGGTTCGCATCCTCATAAATCATGGAGGGTGCAGTGGAGTGTCTTGTAGTTGGTGGGGAGTGCATGAGCTGACTGTGAGCCCGCGTTTTCCTGCGTTAGGTTTTGGGATCTGTGTTACCCATTTCCAATCCATGCAACGATGACCTGCTTTACCATGTCCAATGACTGAATATGGACGAAGAACGTGCTGAATACTGTATTCCTACTGGTTATCATGCGTATGACTTGATGCTTGGAGCTGGAGACATCATTAGGGCCGAAGGGTGTGTTCCGCAAGATCTATGGGTTGCATATTCGGCCAAGTCGCTTTCGTTTTCAAAACCATCCATACCAGCTCAGAAAATTGTAGTTTCCTCATTCCTTCTAAACAGTCTTTCTTACTAGGACATTCGGCTTAAGTGTGAGGTTTCTTATAGGTCTTGTACCGATAAGCCTCGAGTTCTTTTCGTTACAGGATTGAGAAATCAAGTATTTGAAAGAAAGGGTACGGAGTGAGCATACTATTATCTTAAAAATGCACCCTCAGTGAAGGAATTGCTGTGATAGCCGCTGGAGTTGGCCAGCGCAAATCACCATTTTCTGGGAAGTTGACAGAGAGGCGCTGTCACTGCTACATACTTGGCTCGTCCCGCACACCTGCCATCAATTCACACTCCTCTTCTGGGGAATCCCACGATAAGCCGGCACACCTAATCCATCCCGAGCGCTGTAATTAAAGTCTTGGCGAGGTTCGCGACCGTCTGCACCTTCTTTGCCGACGCAGCGCACCACGTCCAACAATCACCTGCCCGCAAATTGCACCTTAGGGATCCCATAGCTCGCACTAGCCTCCTTGATGTGGCACTCTATGGTCTCCAACCCTTCAGTGAACCTTTGGCGGCGAAGCAAGCCAAAACTTTTCTCGGCTCGATGTCTCACAGACGTAGTAGCATTCAGATGAGAGGTAAAATAGGGACTGCTTATCGGCCTCTCCTTTCGTTAGATTGTATCCAATACCTCGTGACTTTTCCGCTGGAGTCTCTCCTTCCCGTGCCTAGCGTCGGAAAACATGCATTTCCACTGACATCAACGGGCTTGGCACGTCTCGGCGCGAGGACAGTAGACCGACCGCTGAGATCATGAAAAGTTCGGCAACAGTTCAAGCCAGGGTGTCACCTGATAGGTGTCCACGGGTGCCCTTCTGAGGCAGGTGAACATCAGGACGAGATTGATCAATCGGGCAGCTGTGTAGAGAACACCACTGCCGATGGTTAGGAAATTCGACGCGCGATTGCTCAAAAACTTCCAGTCGCGGTTCTGTTCAGAGACTTCGCCACAAACTTGAAGAAGAAAGTCGATGTAGGTCGTTTCGCGCAAATCCGGCGTGGATATAGGGGATCCGCGCGTGCTTGTGATGAAAGCCTCGTACTCGCGCCAAAAATCGACCGGTCCGTCTTCTGAATATTTCTTCAGATTTGAAGCTGATTTGAGCCACTCCTGGCACAACGCAGCAGTGGAACTTGGATCCGGAGCTGACAGGGCCTTGTCCCAGTACTCGTGAAAACATTCGTATTGATGAAAAAAAATGCGGTATGCGAAGTACGGAAAATCTTCAGGCTCCGAGTCTCGTTGTTTCTCAATAATTTTCGCCGAGGGCTCATGTAGCCAATCTCTTTCCCCCGGCGTCCGTATAAGCAGCTTCTGGCTTTCATATTTCCACTTCAAAAAGTCGGGCTGTGTCATTAGCTGCCACCACTCCGTAGGTGCCGTAGGTGCCTTCCCCAATGGCTCAAGCTTGCGCAAGAGGATCGATACAAGCTGAGAGTCGGTGTAACTGGTCGCCAGAAAGTTGATGGCGAGACTAATTCCCAATGTCAAAGAAGGTAAGATAGCCGAAGTGACACTTGCAATCCTCCAGCAGAGAAGCTCAGTTTGCGTTGGAAACTCGAAATTCCACGCTAGACAATGCAAGCCACCAAAGCCTAAGGACGAGATGGCCATGAGAAAGAATACTAGGGGGCTATCGCCCTCCATCCATACGTAGTCATTTGGAACCCGCGGTAAGTCGTCTTGAATAAAGAGGGCTTTTTCCGCGGCTTTTGTTGGTGACCAAAGCCGAAGCATGAATGGCTGCGGCGTAGAGGATAAAGACCGATCTTTATCTTCCTCGTAACCCCAGCAAAACGTTGGTAGAATGGTAGCGTGGGAAATATCTTTCGGTTTCCACCAATTAGCCACATAACTAAGAATAGCTATGAAAGCAAATGAAATCGTAGCGATCTCAAGCTGAGCGATCGGGAAGTCCATGATGCTGCGAACAGTCACACTCAGGATGAGCCATGCGATCTGAGCGACAGCTATCCCTTTCAATACCCAATCTGCCTTGCTCTTGTCTTTGACGTCTTGCTCTGTCAAAATGAGGTGATCGAATGGATGTTTGTCGCCGTGAAAAGAATACCGCAGAGTCAGCATGGATGCTGTAAGGCACTGATATCGAGGCTCCTCCCTCGAAGAGTCTACTTGTCGAAAGTTATCTTGTCGAAAGTTATCTTGTCGAAAGTTATCTGGGTACAAGATGCCCCCCATCTGGGCATAGTAAGAGTGTACAACAGTCCACTTCTGGACAGTCCGCCATTGAACGGGTAGTGTCTCTTCTTGCATCTGGGATTGGTCGTCTTGTTCGTGTGCTTCTGTTGAGGCGACGTCTGGGTCGTGCTGGACGCTATTGACTTCCTTCGGTTCGGGAAAATCAGCTCCCGTACTTAAGCGCCGAGAAGAAGACTGAACTTCTGGTTGAACGTCGCTCTGGTTGTCAGACTTGACGTCCGCTTTCTGGTCGCACTGCAAAATCGATCGGGTTGTCTTCTGAGAGTCCCGCTGTGAAGAACGCTGAGTTATCTCAGTGTCGTCGGGCAGATAAGACTGCCTTGCCGCCACAGGGTTGTCAGTTGACTTGGCGCGGAAATGAAGCAGGTCACAAAGTTTTAAAATCCATGGTGGGGGTGATTTTTGTTTGAATGGCTGTCGTGGAGGGTCCAGGCGCAGCAGGCGATATAGCCAATCCGCCCATAGCGGATACTCAAAGTCCCAAGACCACTCGTGGCTCTTGCGCCGAATATTCTCCGGCACGGTCCATTTGCAGTGTTTCTCGCTTTTTCTTACATTCTCATCGAATTCACGTAGTTCCTCAAGCGCAAGCCGTAGATCGCAGACAGCTTTAGCAAAGATGAACTCCGGGAACAAAATGTTGATGGCCATCCATTTCACCTTACGTAGCGTTTTCCACAGGGAAGCCTCCTTCCGACCAGGAACGTTGAGGTGTAACACAGTCCACGTGCAGGCGAAGATTGTGATCACGCAGCTCCAGACGAGTGTGAGCGTTCCCCGGGTTCCCGGGCCAGTGGTCCAGCCAACGACGTCTGCCGTAGTGGCGTTGGCCTTAGTGGAGGCCATAGCTTTGAAGGTAAGGCCAAAATTAGTAATCAATGAAGTAGAAGGCAGCGAAATTTTTGGAGGTGTGCCGAGCAAATTTGTACAGAGATTGTAGAGTCTCGATCTTTGGCCACCCCAGTTAATCCTCCAGATGGGAGTCTGCTCCTTAAAAGCAGCCTCTCTGACCGGCCTGCGGCTGTCCTCGTCCTTCGTCTGCGAGCAGGTCCGGGCTATCTTTCACCATATGCAAGTAATTCAAAAGACGGCGTTCTTGGGAAGAGATCGTCGTTCAGCTCCTGCAAGCCTTTTCCGGGATCATCTCGGCCCTTGCCGTTTTGCAAGATTTCAGCTGGCCAAGAAGCAATATTTATCGGCATGTTGCTACGGGCAAACCAGCGCAGCGGTGAAACTGCTCGTTGCGAGCATGCAGCAATGTAATCACAGCCACAGTCTGGCGGGGCTAAGCTTTTCTCGTAGATAAGAGAAGGAAGAAGCCTCAGAAACTGGGCCTAGATCTATCTGAAAGTGGAGAAATCTGACGAGGCTGCGACTAGCGCTGGCGACCGGATTGGAACTCATAGACCTGCTCAACTCGGTCAATCATTAAACCAATTACCTTTACGCATGTGTTTCACTTCCGTATCCCCCTTCGATTCTTGGCGTGAGGAGGTGTTGTGGGAACATGACAAATTCGTGAAAAGGTAAGTCTTATACAGTCGTGTGGCGCAGTGGCGTGCGTCTGAATATCCCCTTCTGAAGGGGGCGAGTTTCAATCTTACTCAGCCGATCTTTCCAGCCATAACACGGTCGACAAAATTATCGAATATGGGCCACAAGGTACGAAGTCATAAATGGTCACATTTGGACAGGGGACGGACTGGGCAGCCAGGGATCGACAGACTTGTGAACCACCTAGTAACATGCAGGAGGTGTATACTTCCCATTCTCATGGCATGCTTCGCCAGATTACAAGTACTTGATCCCGAGGACACGGAATTATAGCTCCCTCCTCGAACTCCAGCTCGAGCGTCGTAACAAGCTGCATATGCAACCCCGGATAGCCTCTTCCAAGAATGATTTCTTCCCACTTGATTGGGTACCGTGATAGTGAATCATGAATGAATCGCACCAACAGGAACATGCTCAATATGCCTGAAAAGTCAGGCAGAACGTTAGATTCTTTGGAGACTTGTCTCTGTTAATAGTCGTTCACCCTTGCCGGAAGCCTGACACGAGGTGCTTGTAAAGTTTATGGGGCATGGAAGGGAACATGACTGGGATTTGATCCCTATGAATAGAAGCTATTTCGTAGCGACTTCCTTCTTTACGGTTGAAGTCATGCCCTGCACCGCACTGAAAATAGCATTGCTTCTCGGTGAAAACGAGCCTTTTCCTTGATAACACAGTTTCCTGATAAGTCCGACCGGGCGTGTTCCAAATCGAACATTCAATCTCGCTTTTAACATCGGTGGCCCACTGCATCAGATGAGGAGAGTTCACCTGAGAACGTAGCTGCTCAACCTCCCTAGGCCCAGTGATACCAGCAAGACCTTGGCCAGGACACGTGCTACAAGGGGCGATAATCATAAGGGTAGATTGTCAATACATCTTGTCCATGTTCCGCAAAAGAACAGATTTGATGCCGGATAAGTCGGGTTGAGAAACTCGGTATCGATCGATCACTATGAAGCCTTCAAGTGAAAGACCACCCTTGAACTTGGCTCGGCAACCAAGGTCAGAATCGGTGTGAATGTCGTGATAGATCTGAATCCATTCCCGAATCAAGGACAAATCAGTCATTGATGAGAGACGGCAAACAGCTACCACATCCCGAATAGAGCCGCAATACTGTACCCTTTCGCCTTTCCGAAGAGCGCTTATATGCCCGTATCGACTGGGAGCGTTGTAGAGGATTGGGGATTCGTTGTGCCGAGAGGAAAAGCCAAACACCGATCGGACTGTTGACCCCACAACCGCAAGAGTTTCATCTCTCTTCTTCTCAGGTCTGATTGCGAAGAGAGAAAATGCAAAGCTTGCAACTAAACATGCTCATGTCTAACTCAAGTCTGACGATAACTATGGAGTCAGACCTGGAGTAGTAGGAGTCAGAATGCAATCTAAGAGTTTCCGTGAACACCTCCGCATCTGGCAAGAATCAGCCCATGATTCCGTCCCACTGCATATAGAGACCGTCCAACCCAACATTCTTTCTAGCTGCCAAGAAAACTTTTAGAATTCGGATCTCTTCTACGTGTTAAGGACTAGCATCAGAAGATGCGTATGAAGTTGATGCGGAAGTCATCGCGGAAGTGCCAGTAGTTTGAGGTAAATCCGCTGCCAAGGATCAAGAACCTTGATACGATTGGATTTGTCGCCCATAAAACAGATGAGGAAATGAGCCAACAATAATTGGCACTGGTAGCCGGTATTAAAGATAAAAGAATGGGGGCGAAATGGCTCCTTGATCTAAGTGCATGACACGTCACACGCGCGTAAATAGTTGATGAGGGACTACTATTCAAGTCGAGGTCATCGATTTGATTCTTTCTAGCGTTTGTGAGCACCACGTGCGCAATGAAGCTTCGAGTAAGAAGCTACAATCAGAGGGTAATAAGGGATGTCGAAGAGGAGGGCTCAATAAATGCTGCCTCGCATTAGGCCTGTGCGGGCTTGGGGCGGCGTCGGAGAGCCGTTAAACTGGGAAGATGCAACAGCGTATGATCGATGACAAAGCAAATATTGAGACCCATATGATCCAATGACCATGAATATCGACGACTCTGGCTGTTGTGTTCTCGGATTCCAGAAATATAGCAGGCAGGCAAGTTTATCAGGTCGATCCGTTCTCGTCATGAAATGACCAGAAATGTCTCTGCATGGACTATGCAGCGGAAGAGCTTCTTGAAATCGAGTCAGTGCAAGTGGAAAATAAGAAGCTAATATAACAGAAACGGCTCGATGTACGCTGAATCCGTCGGCAGGTTGCTACCAGCAGAGGAAGTATCCGTTGCTATTGGTCTATGTGAGTGGGCATGGCCGTCTTTAATCCCGCTTCACGTAATCCGGCGCAGTGTAAGATCGGCCAGATGTTATACCATCTTGTTTACAGGTACTTACAACAGGCAAAAGATGGGGAATAATGAGCCGGGGATGACGCAGGTACTGCAGTGTATGACCTTGTCTCGGCTGACTACCGAGTATGCAGTCATCAATTCAGCATCCATCACACAACCCTTCACATCAATGTTACCTAACTCCGTGGACACGGTCTGGGAGTCATGTAGCTTGGTCTTAATGTTGATAGCCCCAGGAAACCACAGGGCGGCTCGTTGGTTACGGAGTGATGGCGTAATTGAACAGGCTCAAATGAAGCAGAACACGGGCGCCTTGGCCTCAGAAGCCTCATATCATGGGCAGTTGTTGACAGTGACAACAACATGGGTTCATGTGGGCAAGGGTATGTGCTCAGCCCCAAATGCTGAGCTGAGTTTCAAACAATCGGTTCGGTTGTCTGGTATCCAGAATGTCGCGTCTCAAATGGGTCCGCTATCAGTAAGAGCTCCAAGGTAACTGAAAGGAAATGAAGCTGGCATGCGCCGCATCCTTCGAATACCCAAAACGGAACAGCGTATACTTCAGGAGGAGTCCAAGCGTTATTCTCACAAGTACACACATTTTGCACAGCCTCAGTTGCTCGCGACTATAAAACCCTACTTCACGCAGACTAAATAGGTAGTAGTGTTTTGGCCCGAGCATTCGATCGAGTGGTGTTTCTCGTTGTGGCATTGCAGCTGAAGTCTATCTCCCATAAGACCATATAAACGTCTTTCAAGATGGCATATCCAGAAAATGTCGGCATTAAAGCCATGGAAATCTACATTCCCAATCAGGTTCGTGCTTCCCGTAATACACTTGAGAGCACATCTAGCGGTCTTTTCCATGTCCGTCGGCTAATTGAAATCCATAGTGCTTGGATCAAGCGCTTTTTGAACAATATCAGGGCGTTTCCGCCGGCAAATACACTATCGGCTTGGGTTTGAAGTACATGAATTACTGCGATGATCGAGAAGGTGCGTGACTTGGAGTCCGGATTGAACAAGGATCGGGCCACCACTCTGGGTTACTATAGTCAACCTACGACTGACCAATCTCCATGCAGACGTGTGCTCACTTGCCCTTACGGCCGTCTCCTCCTTGCTCCGCAAATACAACATCGACCCCAAGTCGATTGGGCGCTTGGAGGTTGGCACCGAATCTCTGATCGACAAGGCCAAGTCTGTCAAAAGTGTGCTGACCCAGCTGTTCGAGCCGGCTGGGAACACAAGTTTGGAGGGCATCGACACCGTCAACGCATGCTACGGGGGTACAAGCGCATTGTTCAATGCGGTAAACTGGGTCGAATCTCGCTCATGGGATGGCCGTGATGCTATAGTGGTTGCCTCGGATATCGCGCTGTACCGGGAGGCTTCTTCTAGGCCCACGGGCGGCGCTGGCTGTGTGGCCATGCTCGTGGGCCCCAACTCTTTGCTCTCTCTCGAGCCAGTCCTAAGGGGAACTTTCATGACCCATGCCTATGACTTCTACAAGCCTGATCTTAAGGTCGAGTTCCCTGTGGTCAACGGCCATGAGTCTATCCGAGCCTACCTCTCCGCACTGGATGGGTGCTACAAGCGCCTGCGCGAAAGGGTGGAAAAGACGCAGAGCGATACCAACGGCCACGGGCCTAATGATGCGCAAAAGCACTTGCTGGATGGTTTTGATTACATGGCATTCCATACCCCAAACTGCAAACTCGTCAGCAAATCATACGGACGTCTCATGTACAATGACTTTCTGCACTCGACCGATGAGAAGACCCGGAACGCGGTCCCTGCCGAACTGCAGCAGCTCAGCTACGAGGAGTCTCTGAAGAGCAAGGAGCTGGAAAAACTCTTTGTGGCGCTCTCGAAAGATCGCTTCCAGTCCAGAGTCGAGCCGTGCATCGCCGCTCCCACCCTGTGCGGCAACATGTACACTGCGAGCTTGTACTGCTCACTCATCAGCCTCATCAGTAACATCGACCCGAAAGAAGCTGTGGGGAAGACAATCGGCATGTTTAGTGTAAGTACTCAGACCCAAAAATTTTTCTGGATACTTTGCTCTTGCTCATACCTTAGCCAGTACGGAAGCGGAATAGCCAGCACTCTTTTTGCTCTCAAGGTCACCGGAGACGTCAGCGAAATGGTGCGGAAGATCGATCTCATGGACAGGCTCAATCGACGTCATATCGCCACGCCAGAGGAATATGAGAATGTGAGCCAATTTTTGCTGCAAAATGGAGCGGATCCGATACTAATTGAATGTTGTCTAGGCATGTGCACTCAGGCTGAAGGCCTATGGTTCCAAGAGCTTCCAGCCCGCTGGAGAGATAGCTTCACTAGCCGCTGGGACATACTACCTGGAGAGCATCGACGACGCATACCGAAGAACGTATGCTGTCAAGAACTAAAGAGAAACTTCCATAGCCCTTGATTGGCATGGAACTGCAAGGGCAGAAGTACCCGATGGACTCTAGGGATGCCGTCCCCTGACCGGCCTCTAGGTGTCAGCATGAATATATTCAAGGCTTGCGTCATACACAAGGAAATGAGCACGGTGCAGTAATGAGACATGTGAGTAGTAATTAAATAGACAATAAACCTTAAACATTTTCTCCGGGTATCTTCGCCAACAAAATTCCTCCCTATGATAAAACGAGTGTGATAGAATACACAAGCCGGTGGAAAGGCTTTTGTAGGTATATGTTATCGCAGATAGTTGCTCTGCGCGTCTGATCTTCCTGTAAAAGGCCATAGGGGGCAAATGACCAATGTAAAGCGAGGTCTCTCTCGCGTCAAACCATATCAAGAGCAGATTGCTCACCAACAGAACTAACTGTTGACAACGGTGTTGCCGTCCTCTAAGGCGAACGGCTGAACCAAGTCAATGCCCGTAATCAACCATCTCGCTCAGTCGGCCACTTATTTCGTGACTCAAAAAGCCGCCTTGCTCTTCCTACCATCCCGAAGCATAACACTATACTCACTCCTCTTGCGGATCAGGAACGCTAGCCCGAGCATGAAATCAGTCGTGTATTTGCCTGCAGGCAGATGCATGAGAGGATTGAGCATGCGTGCCGCCAGCCGCTCGGCGGTCATCTCATTGGCGTCGGCGGCGTCGGCGACGTCGCCCCACAGGTTGAGCAGCAGCTTGAACAGGCTGCGCGCGGCGCCCCGGACTCCCAGAAGTGCTTCATCCCAGAAGTCGATGCAGTGGTCTAGCCGCATGCCCATGCTGCCCGGCAGGGTCGCCTGCTTGGACAGCACAATCCAGCGCTTGGCGACCGTCTCGCTGATCAGGGGCTTGGGCAGCTGCTGCAGGAACAGCACGATGAGCTCCGCTGCGTCGTACACGTCGTAGGCGTCCCAGTCGACATTGCCCTCGCCGTAGTAGGGCGCCGTGCTGAAGCTCTCTTTGAGGCTGGCAACGCGCACCATGGCCTCGCCGCTCGCCATCTCGCCGCCGAAGATGTGCGGCGCGTAGATGCCGTTGTTCTCCTTAATGAAGCTCACGCACGACAGGATGCAGCGCGGGAAGTCGCGCCTTGACGACCCCTTGGAACCGTCATGGTGCGTCTTGACGGTGGCCGCGGCCATCTGCATGCTTTTCTTAAGTGAGACGCCGAAGATGTCGTCGGGCTCAGGCTCCTCTGGGGGAGTCTCCGCGGTGATCCGAGGTGACCAGACGCTGACCCTCCTGAACATGGACGAGATTCTTGATGAGTTGCTGCGTATGCTTGCGCCTGTGGAGGACACGGCCGTCGAGGGGCGGAGGGCCTTGGTGCCACTGTTTGAGGTGGCAGTGGTGACAGTCGTATCGACCGATGGGTTCGGGCGGTGACCCCGTGCTGTTGGTGGTGATGGTGGTGACGGAGGCAAGTGTGAAGCGGCGTCAGCTCTCGCAGCTGGTATGGCGAGGGCGTTGCCCGGCCCTGCGAGGGCATTCAGTATGTGAGCCTTGGTGCCACTGGCGGTGTTGTTGGTCGTAGCAGGCCGGGTGGGCAGACCAGGAACACTGAATGAGCTTCGCCGACCAAAGAGCCTTCGACTAGGCCGGCTGTTGTTTGATCTCTCATCTCTGATCGGTGGGGGATCATGTGCTTTGGCTCCGCCCGTGATGGTCGTGGTGACCGTGCCGGCGGATGAGTACATGCTGAAACTACTTTCGCTCCTTGGTGGTTGGATTCCTCTCAGACTGCCCACCGTTGACAGGGCGTCGCCATCAGACCGAGGAAGGCTGCGGAGCGAACTCATCCGCCGGGGGACGACGGGGTTTCCTTCAGAGTCGAGGACCCCATAGTCGCTCACACTGCGAACCGACGAGGGTCTGGAGAGTCCTGGCAGGTGGCCACCCCAGGGCGACAGGGTCGAAACATGGATAGAATTGGAACGTGCAACGGCTTTGGGGGGTGGGGTGGGAGCGCGCGCGGAGGGTTCAGGGAGGTCACCGAGTTCGTCGATCTCGTCGATGAATTCGTCTATTTCGACGATGGGCAAGTTTGGTAGCGACTTATCGTGCCGCAAGCGCCTGTCAGGGGGCGAATCAGGCTCGTCCTTGGAGTGGCGTCGATACGGGCTGGGTGGCCCATCGTTCATGTCGATGGCACTGTCTGGTGCGTCACCCACCGACGAGGGCCCACTGTGCGTATGACGATCTTCGCGATCTGCTCCCCGTGCCTGTCGTGGAGCCTGGCGTGCCTCCAATCTCTCGGCCTCGAGCCTGTAACCCAGGTTTGTTGCATGCAGTTGCATCGCGTCCAGATACTTCTCGATGTCGGATACGGCATAGATAGAACCAAACTCAGCCTGCAGCCTTGCCCGGAGGCCACCCATGCTGCCCATGACACGTGTGAGGTCGTTCTTGATGTCATCGTTAATCGACATCTGGTGCTCAAGTGTCTCGCGATACTGGGTTGCTTCACTGTCGATGGAAAGCCGTTCGTTTTCCCGCTTGGTTTTCGTCCTGCACACATAAAGAAACACTTGTCAGCCCTTCTGGTCGGTCCTCTGCATTTTGTCATCACATAGATGGTACGCACAATCCAACGAGATCGGTCACCACGGCCAGAGTGGATTTGTATCCCTCTAGTGTGAGCCTCAGCTTCTCCATATCTCCTCGTATGGCCATCCATCTGTATTTCTTGTCTCTTGCCGAGAGCCCCAGGCCGTTGCAAACGTGCATGTACCCTTCGATCTGGTGCACTATACTTGTGCAATGTTCGAGCAGAGGCGGGGTCCGCTTCGCCAATGGCTCGGGGAAGCTCGAGGCGTCATCTTTCAGGATGTCGAGGACTCCATCCAGGGAATGAAGCTCGGCGAGGACGGCGTCGAGCTCTGCTCGTGCCTCTCGGACTTCCCGAATGAAGCTTCGTAGAGTCGGTGATGTTTTCGAAATTGCATTGTTGGTCGCAAAGCATGCCGTCGAGATGGATCTGTACAAAGGGAGTTGCGTGTTAGTGCCGCGCCAGCGGTTTGACCAAGCTATACGAGTTGTGCTGGTGCTGGTGCTGCGAAACACAACTGAGCTGCACGAAGAGGCGCTGGCAGTGGCCGCCAAGGGGCTCTTCCTCCATCATACATGGAACTAGAACAAGCCGGGAAATTGCGCCTAAGGGGACAAGACTTACATGTAATCCATGGTGCCCGCAACGGCAGCAGTTCGCGCCTCTGCCTCTGTACAATATACAATATACAATATTATGGATATTCAATGCCGGCCCAGTTAAGGGAGGACAGGAGAAAACAGAAAGTGAGATTAGACGAGTGGACTATTGATCGTGAAGTGGGTGGGACGGGACTTTTTCAGGTCCTGACCGCCCCCCCTTACGGTATATCAGGATTGTTCTTTTTACTCGCGTTAGCTGACAACGGTATGCAGGACCGTCGCAATCTACCCAGACTATCCACTGCAACGCAACCACACGTTCTTCCACAGTGCAGCAGCCCCCAGAAGACGCCATTGAGCAGCTCACATCCTTGCACGCTGGCACACTGGCGAATCCGCGACCGTTGACACCACAGGTTGACCTTCTCCCGTGGCTGTTGTGGCGGTAGCGATCGAGGCCGCTGCACACCGAGTCTCCTGTGAATTGATTGGCACCGACAGACATTTTCCCCGACACTTGGGCCTTCCAAGCTTCCTCCAAGGTTTCTGCGTGACGTCTGCCGGGTCCAGGGAGCCAGGGTCCACGGCCACGACGGCGGCCATCACAGGCAGATCCTCTCGCTACTCTATCCACATGGGATCCGTGTCTGACGCTGCACAGACTTCAGACTTGCACTGACTTGGTCCATCACCACACAGACCGACCCGGGACGCCATATGGCAGGCACTATACGCCTGGCAGAAAGGGGCATTGATCGACACTTCAGCAACGTCGTCTCCGCACTTCACCTGAACTTGAAGCTCGACCCTGACCTCGTCACCTCGTCACCTTCCTTTGATCTTCAAAGTCCACGGTGACGGTGTAGGCATGCAAGGATGGGCTACTCTCCCTCTTGCTGTACATAGACTCTTTGCTCAATGCAGCCTGGACCGTTGCCCCTGGCTAGGGCAGAAAGAGGAGACGAGCCGAGGGCTCCACTGATCAGATGTCTGGTCGAAACTCGTCCCTTTGCCAGCTTTCTGCCCTGCCGTCTCTCGCCTGCAGGCTCTTGTGCACCACGAGATCTTGCGGGGAAATTCTACTTTCGGACCCCGATGGCACGCTGGCCTACTGTTGTGCTTCCTAATTAGGCTGGTGGGATCGCCTGGGCGGGGGCGTGGGACTGCCCAGCCTATCCTGCCATTGGGCACGACCACACAATTAATTCGTGTCTTATCGACGAGAGTCGGCAAAGGTCCGCAGCGCAGGATGGCGGCACTGACTACTGTAACAGGAGACTGAATCGTCGGTGAACACTGGGACACCCACTGGACACTGCCAGTACTGGCTAATACACGGAAAGACTGAGAGACTGAATGACAGACTGACAGAACTGGCAGAACTGACTGGCACTGGACCGACCAAGTGTCGCATCAATGCACCCGGACGGCAACACGTGCAGGAGGATTCCGCCCCCGTTGCTGTCGACAGGGACTAACGGCCCGCAAACTGGGCGGGTCTGGACCCCCAATTGTGTGGCCTGCATGCATCATGTTCAGCAAGTGTGGATTTGGGTGGACGTGGGCGTTCGTCCCTACGCCGAAGGAGTCTCACATTTTCCCTTTCCTGGTCAGCTTCTCAGCTGTGTCCACGTTTGCACCTTGCCACTAGGGCTTATATCGAGCAACGCAACGCAGTCAGATCCTTTTCAGCTTTCCCGCGGCACTTCGGCAGACTGGGTGCCACAGCTTGCCGCCGTCGCCCGTCGTGCAGCTGCAAAATCTTCCTAGGGCCTTGTCAGGCTGTCTACACGTGTAGAGCCTCCAGCCTTGGCGCCAGTCACGGAGTCCAGGGCGTTCTCGGGCCATATGGATCTCAAAATAACCTCCGCGTCCTACCGCCATTTCCGAACCAAACGAGGCTCGGTTGTGCGACCAATCTCAACATCACGCCATTAATCTCTCAAGCTCGCGACTTGAAACTCGCTGTGGGCTTTATCCAGCTCAGTGCTTCCAGGCCAGTATTCAAGTGCACGTCTTCGTCGACTGGCTGCACTGGGTACTCCTTTCACAATACAATTTGAGCCTCGACTTGCTCGGGACTTGCGGCATTGGCTGGTCACCCGCCCGTCCCGGGTCTGTGAGGATATAAAGTTCACGCTGCCGCTGCCGTTGCCTCCGGGCCCTGAACGTGCGATAAGCTTACGACAGCGCCATCCCGGGCCTCGTCATCCCGGGGCTTTTGACGTGGTGAGCCGATTCGGATCTCCGGGCCACTCAACTGACATATAGAGGTCTTCGTGCATCTCCAGCTCGGCTGTGTCTTCCAGCAGTTTTGTTTTGCGATTCTCGCCGCGAGCCTAGCATGGTCGCGGGCCTTGCCTGAGTAGCCACCATGCCTACCCCGACGCCCCTCATCTGCGGTGAGATTGTTGATCAGACGAACTTTACCCATCGACTACCCCTCTCATATCCTGTTCTCAAGATAATAGGCTTATCATCTCATCTCTGCGCCCGGTCGTCTCAATCCGCGAGCGTTTCCTCCAAATGCCGAGCCAGTTGATCTCCGCGCTCTCATGACCTGTCACCCACAGTAGCACGTTGCACCTGCAGAGGCTTGAGCCCACATCCTGCACCATGTATCTAGAATGTGCACAGCAGTACTGTAATCTGGTCTAGTCTACTTCTGCGCCCAGGGTCCGGGACGATGCTTCCCAACCGCCGTTTTCCTAAAGCAATCTGCAAATCCATCTCCAATTATGTCAATATGCAGGCACTTAAGCACCAGGAGGCACTCTGTGATTTGAAAATCCTCCTGCCGCTCAACCGCTCTAGTGACGTCAGGTTTCACATGTTCATGGGTTCGAGCAGTGATCCTCGCGATAGCAACCGAGGGCGCTCGAGGGTCGACCCCTGGCTGGCTCAACGCGGGGAAGAACAGGTGTGGCGTCTGGGGTAATTGGCATTGCTCACAGCTTGCCGAGGCTTTGAGCGACGATCATCCATGTGAGTCCCTCTCGGATTGAACCGTGTCAGACTCATGCGCTGTATACATGAACGGTGGGGGAGCTCTATTATCTCTATAGCATGGGCCGATAGCATTGACTTATTGGTTGGTCACACGTGGACGTCAGATGGCTGTCACCGGGACCGATTGACTTCTGCTCCCTGTTAACATGATACCGGGCCTCTAAGACATGACGAGGTTGATCGTGGGGACAGTGAAGTTCCGGCCAGCCTTCCGCACATCCAGCTGGGGCTGAACTGCCAACTGCCCTTAAGAGAGGGCATTAAATGTACTCCATTTAGCATTTTGTCTGTGACGGCGAGGCGGCTCTGCCTCAGTTAAGCTAGGGTTGCACTCGCATCACCTGCTCCAAAGCTTAGCATAGTTGCATACACGCCTGGTCGCTGTGTTGATTGCATCGTAGTGGAAATGGTATTGGGCTGGATTGCCGGAGGTGCTGCAGGCGCAGTGTAGCGTCGAGATCGATGTCAAAGTAGCAACCCACTGTCCCGAGGAAATGTTGCCCTGATTGCGATCGCACCCATGTGTATTCACTCCATGTAGATGTCGAAGATTAGGAAACTACATGATGTTGTACTTGGCGAATAAGAGGCTGGAAGTGCCTGTCACAAAGTCTTTGAGATTGGCGCACTTGTTGTACACGATGAGCCCCTGATCCGGGGTAGAGCCCAAAGTGGTCAATTATTTAGCCAGTCCAGCCCAATTGGTGTTTCTGTTCGTTTCGAAGGCTACTCTATGTTGCCTTGGCACCGACCGAAGACCACGGTCTCGTCGGGTTTGTGTTTCGAGAGGCGGTGCACCATGGTGGCCTCCTACCCTCGGCCGCCCCCACCGTCTTGCAGAGCCCACCAAATAACAAAACAGATTGGGCGTCAGACAATCTCAAATGGGCCATGTGGCCAACTAATGGGCCACGAGCAGCCACCGCGCCAATACACCAGTGGTCAATAATGCCCCATCAAGCAAAACGGGCCATTTCCGTACGGGGCCACGATACTGTCACGGACAGAAACACCCGGGGACGGTCGCTCCTGATATGGCGGCATCTGTGGTCTCCTTATGGACATGGGAGAGCTTCTGCATTCAATTTACTAAATAGTGTACCACATCGGGATTGAATTTTCCAAGACTCGACCCTTTGTCTTTCATTTTGTCGGTCCTTACTTTCTCATGCAATTGGCTATCTACACGCTCCTTTTGCAAATCCATCTGGAAACCTCATAAGGTTTCTAAGACTTCATATGGCATCATATACTACATCTTCGTATATGATGCGCATGCCTCTCTCGTCTCTTCTTGTCTCAGGCTTCCTGCTGACCCGAGGGACTAGCTCGCCACTTCCTACCTCGACAGCAGATGAACAATACAACCGGTCAAAGCGATCTTTATTTGGAGATGGCCCTCTCCAGGCCTGGGAAATCGCACTGTTGTTATTAGGTGCCTTGCTTGGGATCATGATCCTGGGGTTTTTAGGTGGCATATGCGAGGTCTTGCTGCACGGGAAGATCAAGGAGAGCAACGCTGAAGCTGATGCCAAGGTTGAGGGCGGTGGAAGTCGGGCAATTGTTGACGGGGCTGACGGCGAAAAGGCAGAGCGAGGGGTTGCCGAGGGCCCAGAAGGGGTCATAAACGATGGCCGCTACTCGTGGCAACCGGAGAGAATGTCGACTGGGCTAAGCGATGACTCTACACTGGCTGGATCAGACCCTGGAGCCGCTCAGCAGGGAGCGGATGAAACGAGCCGAGATCAAGCACAGACAAGCGATCAGTATGTGGCATGGAATGGCGAAAGCCAACCTTATCCTAGTCCATCGCGATTTGTGATAGATGATGTGGACAGTCCTGGGTATGGGGGCGTTGATGCCAATGCTCATCAAGAATATGCTGGACACCTAAATCCACCGCCAGCCATGCCGAGAGACGCCACCTACCAACATCAAAGCGCGGAAGACCAATACTGGAACGAAGGGTTCGATGAAAGTCCGAATGCCGGCCCATCCCACCACACGGATGGTAACATAGCTTCTGATGGCTACCAAGGAGAGCAGATGGCTGCGCCTGGTGGATATTCAGGCGAGGGGTATAGTCCAGCGGTCATGCCCGACGAAGTCGATTACCTTGCAGAATATCGACAAAGCCAGCTGTATCTTCAGCAGGATGATGATTGGTATACTGCAGCAAGTGCTTCGTACGCTGCACCAGCAGGAACGGCGAAATAGGAAGGGGGATGCGCGGCAGTGCATTAGGAAATGGGCTGAAAGGTTGAATGTCTGAATAGATAGAGGAGTACGGTCTGGAACTGCATTAAGTAAATTTTGAAATGCAGGCTGTGTTAGAGGTAAAAGTCAGAAAGAATTACACGGCGTCTAAGTAAAAGTCGAGTGTGAATTGTTCATTTGCTGTTCTTGATCGTGATGCCCACATCCAGCATGTTCAAGCCCTTGGTCGAAAATTTGTGCCATGCACAATGCCGGGTGTGCCTTGTTCAAAGCATCAAAATCACGCCAAAGATAACATGGAATTGACTGCGCGTTTGCCGTTGATGAACTTGAAGATGCTGAGGTTTCTGGTCATGAAGCCTGCATCAGGTGTCAACACGCCAATGCCATCTAGGAATGCTGAGAAATTGCGAGGAGACGTCAGAGTAACAGAGCGAAACAAAGCACAGGCAATCAGTGCTTGGAAATAACAGTGCTAACAGACCAAAAGTGCGAGACACGTCAAGCCACCATGCGTCATAGGTGCCGCGCACCTCGCTGTGCCTGCTATAACAAGAGATTTCCACTTGCGACGAAGTCAAGTCTAGACGACTTCTCTTTGCAGTCTTTCATCGTAAGTATACGCTATTTACCCATAATGTCTGGCGTGTTCGAATGGCCCCGGATCCAGAGCAGCGCAGAAGCCTGGGCAGAAGAACTTCAGCGCGCTCTATCGGCCCAAGAGGAATCAATCAATTCTCGCATTTACATGCGGCAACTCATGCGCCTGAACAGATCATACATTTCCGAACTCCCCGATGAGCTCCTCGTCAAGATCTTCTTTGAGGTTGCGACAGAGAGCCCCAGACACTTGCTTAGCATCGTGAAGACATGCAAGGCCTTCCACGACATGGCCATACCATTGCTTTATAGCAGTCTGGAACTGTTGTCCGGCCGTTCACGGGAGTACATGCAATCTCTAGGCATGTCATTCCGACGACACCCGCAGCGGAGAGGGTATGCGATAGAGGCAAAGCTTCGTGGAAGCCCCGAAACGTTCAGGTCTCTAGGGCAAATCCCCGTCATATTCAGTCCCGATGCCTTTCCAAACATCAAACGGCTTCATGGCATCCGGGTAGACGTGTCCAGCCTTCAAAACATCCTCACCGCCGATGAGCCCTCTACCGGGACCTCCACGATCGAAGAACTGATCTTTGAGGAATCAGAAATTAGGATTTGGCCGGCCGGCTTAGATGCACTATTGAGTGCGTGCAGAATCGTGCGGAAGCTCGTCTTGCATTGGGGATGTGGTGCTGCAGAATCGCCTAGAAACGGTGAATTCCTTCAAGAGGCCATGGGACTGGCTATTGCGCGGCACGCGGCTACTTTGGAGACTCTCAAGTTAATGCCCAATGAGGCTCAGATTAGCACCGACAGTCAATCTGAGCCAGGAAGTTTGAAAGACCGTCTCCCTTCATTCTCGGTGCTGAAGGACCTGACAATCCATATGGTCTGCTTTGACGGTGGTGGGCAGACACAGTTCACATTGAACATGGGCGCGACGGCTCAGTTGGGACTTGTTAACTTCTTGCCTCCAAGTCTTCAACGTTTGGCGTTGGCGGCAAATCCAGAAAGCTTGACGGGCAATCCAGCCTCAGACTCGGTCCTAGCACATAGGAGCCTGAGGCTACAAATCTGTTCACTTCTGCAACACTGCGGCTCCAACAACCGCTTCTCAAAATTAAAGCTAATTCAACTCCCGGAGTGGGTGAATGACCCGACTGAGGGACTCAACGGAGACGAGTTGCCGAAATTGAAGGAGTTGGCTTCCAGTTTTACCGTCCATATTATATTCAAAGGCATGTTTGAGAGAATCTTGAACTATCACCATCTCTTTTCCATGATTACTTGTTAACACATATATCGATTAGATGCCTATCAACCGGCAGCACGCCTGTCCGAGAGGGACAGAAAGAAGCAGCTGCAGACTTTCTAACTATCCCCGAACATCTGCTGTGCACTCGGATGATTTTATCAAGGTTCTACACGAATCATGACTCTATAAAAGTTTCAAGCTTCACTAAACAGAATGAAGACCGATTGGATCCCGAGACTAGCAGCAGCCTGCTTACGTTTGACTGTCTATATGCAGCGTCTCACCACAAATACGCTTCTACTATCCGCGAAAGCAGTGGCACCTGGCGGCGAACAGGTTAACAGAGTGATAGACTTTACAAAGGATACAGTTCTTGGTGACAAAGGCATAACGTGGATGTAAAGAAGATTGTACGCTTTTGACAATACCTTTGTTCCATTCATCATCGCTGGACAGATTCCTATTATCTTCGCCGTCCAACAAATTATAGCTGGACAAGAATTGAATCTCCTTTATGTTCAATTGAGCTATATATAGCAGGCTACCAATAAATGACTCACTCGGATTCATGGGCGGACTCGTCGCCGAAAATTTAACAAATCACCCGATTCACTCAACGTAGGTTTACTTACGCAATGTCTGTCGGCTGTCGACTTCACGACTATGTTCATTGCCCCTATGGGAACAATTCCACCACCGGGGGTTTGACAAGCACCGAAACCCCAGGCTGGACTCCAGGAAAGATCGCTGTTGTAGTTGTTACTGTCATTCTGGTCGCGGCTGTTTTGGTTGGAACATATATTTTTCGTCATCGGCCCACGCAGCAGATCCGTGATATTGAGCTTCAAGCTCAGCAGCGGGGAAACAACTCGTCTGATCAGGCCGAGGGTCCATCGTTGCCGCCACCTCCTTATTCTAGTCATACGCAGTCAAACAAAATTGGTGAAGAGGATGTTGACAGGGTCGAAAGACCTCCTCCGTCTTACCAGCCGTCCGCGATTCAGAATAAGTCAGATTATTCTCGGTACAGATAAGTGTCTACTGGTAGGAAAGTGATTGGCTTTCGGCCGAGTTAGATGACCAATGAGTAGACAATTTTCGTAGCATTTTCACTAGGCCAAAGAGAAATTCTGTTTCACAAATCGAAATTGATCTCGATTTGAGAAACCATTAGGTACAAATCTATTCTTATCAAAAATATTCAAGTGAATCAAGTGAACTAGCTCGAGGCGCCGTTACTAAATTCCCGCCCGATCACTATCACGGTGAGCCAACACGTAAGTGGCTCCACAGCATGATTTGAACTTACTTCAGCTTACACGGAATGTGCATTTAACATCCCTGAAGTGGCGCATCTCCAGGCGGTGTGGTGCGACCTGAAGGCAAAATTTGCTTGGATGTTGCATAAGCTTGAATGCCCCATCGACACCCGAGTGGTCAATTGAACAGCCCCTCGGGGGTCGTTTCCCTTGAGATGTGCAGCCAATATTGATCATAGGACTTGGCGAGAAGGTGATTGTAAGCAATACCCCCTGTTGAGAAAAACCTTGTAGACTCCGTGCTTCTTATAGCTTTCGTGCTCTCCTGACTGCTCAATCGCCTGCCATTTTTTTGCATCAAGCATCTGTAGCTATGGATCTGCACGCTTCCGAAATCACTCCGACTTGCATGGAGAATGCAATGGATCTTGAACTAAAGGATGGAACATCCTCGCCTCGCGATAGCCAAGTACCTATGGCTACCAGCCAAACTTCGGAACGACGGCTAAGAACGAAGATTGACCTCGCAATTTGCCCCATAGTTTGTATATTATACCTGTTCTGCTTCATAGACCGTGCTAATATAGGTATGATGCGTTCACCCGGAGTCTCTCATTAGATTTACACAAGAGCTGACCGATGATGCGTCAAGGCAACGCAAGGATCGCTGGGCTTGAGCGAGAGCTCGGCTTACACGGCTACGATTATAACATCGCGTTGACATGCTTCTCGGTTGCGTTTACCATTTTCCAGATCCCTGCCCTCATCTGCTGCAAATGGATTGGGCCAGGCTGGTTTCTGCCCGGGTGTACTTTTGCCTTTGGTATTGCTTCAATCTGCACAGGATTAGTGCGCACAGCTGGACAACTCTTCGCTGTTCGCTTCATCATTGGTGTATTTGAGAGCGGTATAATGCCCGGATTCGCCTACTACCTGTCCCGATGGTACTGCCGTGCAGAGCTCGTGTTCAGATTGTCGTTCTATATTGGCAGTAAGCAGCTTTCAGACACAATTTGGACTCACTCAAATGGATACGATGGCTCATTCTTGGAGCAGGTTTGACCATTTGTCCCAGCTCTCTCTCTGTATCCCTCTTTGTTCTGTTTCCCGTCAGCATTTGCAATGGGCTGTGTGCAGATGGCGTCCGAACCTCTCCTCTTTCTCGTTTCAAGCCTATTTCTCAGTGATAACAGTTAACTTTCTATACTGCAGTGGCTCCCCTGGCCGGAGCATTTGGTGGGCTTTTAGCCTCAGCCATCCTCTCCCTACCAAGTCTTGGCACGCTGCACGGATGGCGCATGATATTTGTTATCGAAGGTATCATAACCGTCGGCCTTTCGATCCTGGGGCTCGTTCTCCTGACGGACCGCCCAGAGACTGCCAGATGGCTGACACATGAGGAACGCCAACTTGTGGCCCGCCGCGTCACCTCCGAAAGGCTTCCAGGCACAATATTATTGGATGGAATGAGCCGCAAAAAGCTGTGGCATGGAATTACCAATCCTGTGACACTGACCACAGGTACCATGCTTCTCGCCAACACCGTGACGGTTCAGGGGCTTGGGAACTTCTTGCCAACCATCGTATCAACTATCTATCCGGAAGCATCTGTCACCGAGCAACAGCTCTATACTGTCCCCCCATATATCGTTGGTGCTCTGCTTACGGTAGCCTTTTCCGGCCTTTCGTGGAAACTCGACAGTCGGCAGGCCATCATGACCTTCTGTGCGCTTCCAATTTTGACTGGATATGGTATATTTCTTGGGACACTGAATCCTCATGCACGCTACGTGGCGACTTTCTTAGTTGCGAGCACGTGTTTTACAATGGGTTGCCTAACAAATGCTCAAATCAGTTGCAATGTAGTGACTGACACGGCTCGAAGTGTGGCAATAGCTACGAATGTGACATTGGGTGGATTAGGAGTGAGTAGACACTGCCACCTCTTGGTGCTGAGATAATACTATGTTGGCTAACACTTGTCCCCCCAGGGAGTTATCTCAACATGGGCTTTCTTACCCTTTGACGGGCCCTACTTTCCAATTGGCAATGGTCTCAATTTGGCTACCTCTAGCACGTGGTGCCTCCTTGGAATCGGGGTATCTTTCTGGATGCGTCTTGACAACAGACGAAGGAACGCAAAGTCATCCGAGCTGGATCTGTCTGGCTTAAACAAGGAGCAAGTGGAAGACCTCGACTGGAAGCATCCGAACTTCAGATGGCGTCCTTGATCCGGCCCAGTCTCAAGTGGCTTACATTTTCACGGATTTAGCGAGCCATGAAGAGACCGAGGACCATCTCCGTTTTCGGGGAGCAATGAATTATCACGGTGAGCTCGTTGGGTGGCACGATATATTCGGGGCGGCTGTAGCGAGTTGTTACGATGAGGGGATTTTCAAGAACTAGCTTCGACTTCACTCCTATGCTTAATTGAGCAGCCTTTGCAAGTTTCCTCCTTACAATAATCCGGTGTCTGCCAGATCTTGCGGTCTGAATAATCATCAGGCCGATGAGCTTCCAAGGGCGTGCTGCCGGCCCCGCATGACGCCATTCGAGCGGACAAGCTCGCACACTGCAGCCCACTACCAATCGGGATATCGTTGGTGGTGTCCTTCTGCGTAACGTTGAGATGCAGGCTGCGAAAACGCGATTCGCCATTGGACTTAGTCATGATGCTGAAGATGCAACGCCCCATCCAGGCGGCGTGATCGGTCTCTGAGGATGACTAAGTTGCAGTATCTCAACGTCTATTCAAAACACAATTGTGGACTATATATAAAGCCTGATGTGCCCCTGATTCCAGCTGTTCATTCTGTTTCTTTTTGCTGATACCACACAATTCACCATCCTCTGACATTTTCCTAGCGAGCCTCCAACCCCTCATTTGACTTCCAGCGCTTACATCTTCACCATGTCAGCCAATGCAACATATGACTTTGTCGTGCCCATCTTCATTAAGGGCCTGACAGCGTACGACCACATTCTCTCCAAAGCTGAGGCATATGCCAAGGAAAAGGGAGTCGATGTCGACGCAACATTCTTCGAGGCTCGTCTGGTCGATGACCAGTTGCCACTGCACTTCCAGGTTCAGAACACCGCGAAGCTCGCACAAATCAACCTCGGCCGCCTAACGGGAGAGAATGTGACACCTTTCGAGGCTGAGGAAAAGACTGTTGCGGGCCTCCGGAAAGTAGTCCAGAAGACACTTGAGTTGCTGAAGTCTAGCGATGCAGCCAAGGCTTCGGGGACGGAGCAGAACACCATCGACCTGTGAGTATCACTCATCATATGTATCAGCTGGATCGAACGAACTTGAAACTGATTATTCTCGAAGTCCTACCCTCGGAAAAACACTGAAGTCTACAGTCAAGGACGCTGTTGTGAATCATGGCGTGCCAAACTTCTATTTCCATTTGGTCACTGGGTACTCCATCCTCCGAGCTAAGGGCGTGCAACTTGGCAAGGCCGATTACATTTCCAGCTTTTTAGGAATTTAAGTTTACATGCATATCCAGTAACAGTAGCGACGGAAACGCAAAAGCGGGCGACAAAGGCTGGTCGGCCTGCCCATATCGGTGCATAAAAGCATTGTTAAACTTTACAAGCGCTCATGCTTTCAATAGCATACAATGAACTATTTATCATATGCTCAATTGACAGAACAATCGATAAGTCGACGTGAATATCCCATTGATGATGTTTGCGGTATATCGTGTTTGAGATGGCTGCACGGCTGCACTGGAGATGCATCTTTCTGAATTGATGCGCGACGTGCTTATTACGATCTGACAGTCAATATTGACTTCCCATGTGAAGTGATTGTTTCTTGTTGCCAGCTTTGGTATGAAGGGGAAGCTTCATTTCTATGAAGTTTCTTTACAGCCTTCTGACTGTCATTCACAATATCACACAAGGCGAAAACCTTTTTGGCCAATTTCTATATGACAAGTCACATTGTAGAGATGTAAGACTGATTGAGAGAATATCTGCTTGGAATAATGAAATATTCCAATTCGGTAAAGTTCTACGGAAGGGACTAAATTGCGCTTACGGGCTGGTCAGTACTCAGACACAGAATGAACAGGAAACTGTTGTAGCAGGGCGAAACGTCGCGGCTCGCGGACTTCTCAACCTTGCTTCAAGTCCTGTGTCACCTCTTCTCTCACAGGTGCACCTACGTACCGTGAGCAAACCGGTTGCCTCTTTTTCCGTAGTTTGCGTCATTGGTATTGGTCCTGTTGAAATCTCCGTGAAAGCGGTTCTCACGAGGCTGGGTCGAGTAATCTGCGCCGTACGTTTGTTGCCGAACAACTGCGGGTGGCGACCTTATGCTCTCATGTTGCATATGCGCATGGTCTCGGACCGCACGGGGTTCAGGAGAGATCTCGATGTTGTAGTAATCTTCGTTCTCCCCACCATGAGAATATGCCGCAACGGGTCGTCCACGGGACTCCGACGGCGACGCCGCGACTGGAGGTGCCGTCGAACGGCCTGGAGGGTGGCTCGATCTAGGAACTTCACGTGAGATGTTTTGAAGTTCCAGACCGCGTTCAAGATCTGGCGTTCGACGAGAGGACTGCTCCCACCATAGCGTAAATAGCAAGACTCCCAGGAGCCAATGCGTGACAGCCATGATCACAACAAAAGCAAGAACAACATTGACACGAAGCGTCAAAAGGTTCAGCTTCTGTTCCATCGAGAGATCGCCGGACAGAAGAGGCATGTTCGTAGACGGAAGCGGGTGATAGATGGTAGAAGATGAGAACTTTACAGCTATCGAAGGCAAGCGATGTTTTTGTCGATCAAGTTAAACCTGATGTGCACTTCTGAGAGCTGTTATTCCTTTCCGGAGGCCGGTGAGGAGAGAGGGAGATTAGAAAGATGGAAGTTGAGAAGGACAGGCCTTTTTATACTCGGCCATCGAAGTGGAAGTGAAGGTCTATTTGACGACAATGCTTTTGTCTAAACGAAAATCAAAAGATCCGCTGGCAAAACAGAAATACATAAACAATGCGATAGCACATAGAGAGTGAAATAAGCGCGCGCACAATGTTATTGAACCCACGTAGGGCCGGGTCACACAATGCTCATAGTACTGGAGAGAACAAAGGCTTATCTTGACATCCCGAGGACCAAGCCGCTTAGCCACTGATAGCAATTGACCATTTTTAAATGCTCTTGTAAGGAAGTGTTATTCCGGCCAGTTGAACCTATCCATAGGACCCTAGTTGGCAGATTTGGTCAAATGATCTGTGCCGAGGTGGTTCGCCCATTGACCTTCTTCCGGCATGCCTTATCATGCAAATCAATATTGATTCAAATCTTATAGAATAAGACTATGCATATCTGTGATCGGTATTTGCAGGTAGAAATCGTCCATAACGTGATGAGCTTCCATGTCTCGTATTGCCCTACATATAACGACGACATCCAGGAATAGACCCGCGCCTTATAATCGAAGGGCCAGGGACCCTTGCCATGCCCTTCAGTATTACATCTAACTACTCAGGAGATTCTCAATGAATATATCGTGCCCTCGAAATCAACCTTCGACGGGGTGCAAGTCGGAACTTTACCGAAACAAAGCACCCCTGACATAACCCCCTAGCAACAAAGGCCCTGCTGGAAGCAAGATCGACGGTTGGAGATCGAGCTGCAAATTGAAGGGGCGTCTATAGGTGACGTTAACCATCGTGGCTCTCTCGGTACGATTGAATTAGTACATGGCCCGCAGGACCCGTGAGTTGCAAAGTCATGGAAATCACGGTCTCCGGCATATTAAACCCGTCGAAATATCGAAGCAGTCATAATTCAGTGAGTACTCAATCGGATCATTTACCAAGACCTGTGAGAGAGCACTTACCCAGATGCTCTACCTACCTGGCTTTTCTACCCATACCGTTTTGGTAATGAACATCCGTGAGCTGAAAAGCTTTCGGGATCTGGGCTTGTTTAAGACTGTGGTTCTGTGAGCAAATGTAACTGAGATATAGCTTTCGTAGGGATTATATGTTAATTTATCGCTACTACAAGAACAAATTGACCTCTTTTTCGGAGCAACAATTCCGTAATCAAGCGTGAAACAAATGTGTCGAGTGCTGTTCCGTATTGTCCACGAGTAGGCAAGCGGAGCATGATTGAGCTTAGACAGAATAATTGGACCGACCATATCTGGTGGTATGCGACCTCTTAGGGTACATAGAACCTTTAAGCTTAGTCAGGCGGTTGTGTATAGATATTGATAGTAAAGAGGCAATGTGGCACGATCTCATCCGCGGAGGTTTGAAGATTCGAAATAGATTGAAGTCATCAACACATGCGGTCTAATGATTCCTGTATTGCTCAAGAGAACACCAGACCCTGACCCACTGATGATCCCCTCGTCTTCAGAGTAAATCGTAAGGCATACTGCTGTAGTGTTGCACATGCCTCTGTGCCTCAAGCCCTTGTATGCCTTCCAGTCAAGAATCTCCAGGTATCCTTACAGAAATTATTACACTCCAGAAGCTCTCGCAACCCATTGGGTTGAAAGAAAACACTAAGTGCCTTTTACTGTCTTGAGAATAATCACTCGTCACAGAAGTAGTCAAAATTGGGCCATGAGAGGATTGAAGGCGGTTGGTTATATTCAATAACCTGTCTATTTGATCATGGCGTCCGCGGTATATTTATCGGCACGAAGTCGTGCGGTCAAGGCCTGAGCAGCAGATGGCGTAGGTGGTCTGATCTGTCTCGCATTCGTATCCAGCTATCACAAGATGTCAACATCTTACAACTCCACGATCAGGTTATAGTGAGGACCAGGTCGAACTTACTCCAGCCAGAGAAGTCAGCGCAACATGTGGCTGAATCGGTGTTACTGCCGTCACAAGAGCAGAGAGCTGCGCTGGAAATGCCAAAAAAGGCGCTGGTAATAGACATTAGATGTGGTCTCTAGGGTGCTGAGCATGGATGCACTGTACCTGAGAAGAACAAGGGTGCCGGTGACCTTCATTTTGTCTGAACTTCGTAAAGTCTTGATGCCTGATATTGGTACGGGAAAGGAGGGAAAACGGATGTGATTTAAAAGGGTGGTTGAGGATGGGCATCAAGTGCGTGTGAACGATATAGCGGAAGAGCACTTACAATATATATAGCGAAAGGAACATTCACTCACCTGTTCCGTCTTGTCCTCCGTGCCCCTTGCCCCTTTCCCGTGTTGCACTCCACTTGCCAAGCCTTCAAGGGTTAGCTGCCGACGGGCGCGATGGTCCGCGGGGCCGCATCTAAGTTGTTCCTTGGCTCGAGCAGTCAAAACAAGTCTGTTGTTCCACTTGCGAAAGGAAAGATGAATTCTAAAATATTGACCCAATGCGAACTCTGAGCGTCGTAATAGTGTTTGCAAAAGGTGATAGGCAATGATCGCATCGAGCGGTTCATGGTTCAAGTAGGTCTGACGTTTGGCCATTGCCACGAAACTTGACTTGTAGCCCCCATCAATATGCATGAAAAGCCCTGCAAGAGAGGAGCTGGTGACTGCGGCATGACAGTTCCCTGCTTTGCGATGAGCTAAGTCGGACTTCCCAGGATCCCAAGAGAATAGGGGACTCGGCTCCGTAGACCTTAAACGAGCGGAGCCAGACACTCATTTCCTGGTTCATGGAATATCCAACAGTGGTAAACGATCGGCAGACTGGATTGACTCATGGTCACCTTCCAGTTGTGTAAAACAAACCTGGCAATGGCTACCTGGAAGCAAGTAATATCTCACATCTTGGAGCGGAGAGAGTCACTCTCATAGTAGCTCACGCCGGAATGGCACATTATCTACAATGCTGCATTGTTTTCCTTGCAACTCTCATCGTAGCATCGTTGCTCTGTAAGCTTAAACAAGTTTAAACTCCGCGAACCTTTTTGCCCAGCCTCGGGGTCCCTCAGCAGCTTCCGAACTCAGCTTAAGCTGTGCCCCTGAACCATATTGTCGGCTCGGTCTGATTGCCTAATTCGTCCCAGCAGGCGCCCGCAACTGAAGCACGGGCGTGATCGTTTTGCTTCTGTGTGCTGTCCACGTCTTACCCACACAACGAATTCTCCCTGATTATATCCGCAGTCGTTTAGCATCATTCGTGCCTTCAGCCTGCTTATTTCAATCATCTCTTCCATTTACTATATTTGGTTGGACAGCACATTTCGATATCTTCAATGCATTGGCCCCAAGGTCTGTCGTTCCTCGGCATGCAAGCCGTGGACTCCGGGATGAAACCAACCTCGATGGGTGATCGTTTGGTCTGAAGGGAATGATTCCATAGGCGTTATGATCATGTTGAGAACGACAAAAGACGGGGGACGGGGCAAACATAGGGCGCCAATACCCTAAGAGACTTTACTTGGTACCTAGACACATTTGTTTAAGAAGACAATATAGGTGCCAATATAGGCGCCGAAATCCAGCCTGCCGCTGAGTTGGATGCCCTGAATGGAAGTCGAGGTTGAGCCTTGCAACACAATTCTGTAGGCTGTTCTGAAGACAGCCACGCGACTCGTGGTTTGAGCTAAACGGTACCCTCCGCTCCAGGGTCACATCGCGGGTATTGGGACTGCAAACTTACATAATCTGGTGCCGGCAGAATGCATAACGCTTCTTACTTGCATTTGTCTGCTCTCGCCAAGGAGCCCGAAGGATTCAGGCGACAACGTCCAACCATTCTGAGGCGTCAAATATACTTATGCGTCGGAGCACAACCTCACAAAGATCTCAAGAGAGTGCAACACCGCATCTCAATGGCGTCAACTAGTGGAGTTCAGGAAACACAATGCAAGGCAATATGCTCAGCATCCACGCTCCAGGAGACCGCCGTGGCTCCCATGAGCATGCCGATGGTAGGACATCAGTTAGCCGCCTCGGGAATTGCGAGCCGCCACAGCCGCGCGTCAGTACAAAATGACGACTGGATCCGATATAAGCCTTTGTTGAGGAGATTATACATGGATGAGAAGAAGACGCTTTCCGAAGTGATGGAGTATATGAAGACAGAGCACAGATTCAGCGCCTCGTCGGTCTATCCCCCAACAAACCTGGTAACGCTCAAGGCGCAGTTTACTAATACACATTTGCAGAACAAAGATGTTTAAAACGCGATTCATAGCCTGGGGCTGGCGGAAGAACATCAGACTCACCCCGGGCCTTGACCCAAAAGGGGTGAAGGATACACCCCAGGAGGACTCTGTCAGGCCAGGGACACGAGTCCGTCTAGCTAATGGACAGGTCGTCGATAGCTACCGACTTGAGAGACACCTCCGGCGCAAGAAAGTTTATGCAATGGTGCCGCTTGCTGAAGCGATTCGGCCGCCAGATTCTCATCACATCACCGAGGCAGTGTTCTCCTATACTCGCACCTACGTCTTTGGTCGGCACGAAGGGGAGATCAACAACCTGACCGAAGCGCTCAGTATCCTCACTCTTGACCAGCCGAGCACCGGTCGATGGTTTAATTTTACAACCGGGATCAACGACGCCATGAAACAAAAGAACCTGAGCCAGGCTCTTGTCCAGATGCGTAGAGCGCCTGAGGAGATCGCCGCTATGTTTCAATCTCATCCCAGTACCCTCATCTGCAACATTTTCATGTTGATCGTACAACTGAATCGTTATCCTGAAGCTGCCGGTCCTGATTCTGCGCAGTTCAAGGTGCTCCTCACATCTCTCCTCAAGTACGCGGCGTCTCTGGGATTTTCTGGCCCCCTAGGCCTACCAAGTTCTCATCCGCTACCGCATCTCATGCAAAGCCTAGCCTATGTCCCGCACAATGATCTGAGTGAGGTGGCAATCAGGGCGTGGAAAGTGACTTGCCAAGCATGGGCTGAACTGGCATTCGCCAGTTCCTTCTCAGCGATCGGCTCAAGATCACTTGCCACTTGGCTGCGTGTTGGAGACAAGGGCGAAATGGATGGCATGTGGTTCTTCAAGCTCATAGAGGGAATAGTTGACGAACAACTGATGGCCTACGAACAACTATATGGAAAACGTGACTTTCGGTACCTCCAGGGCTTGCAGAGCAAGGCCGAGCTGCTGTCATATATTGACATGGCTAAGGGGGTGAATTGCTACCGAGACCCGAGAATCCAGGGGCTGTACGAGCAAATGCTGGCCCATGGGGCTCAAGGGTCCCTGAGAACTGTCGCTCTGAGATTTCTTGCGAAAGCGGACGTGGAGACAACACGGTAGAGAAGTTGGACATCAATTGTATTCAGTGACACGGACACGACACACTTAGTCAAGCTTTGTAATGGCGATTGAATACCACTGGCCACTGATTATTTACATGGGCAATTCCACCGCAGAAAGCAGCGGGCCGACACTCGAAGAGACCACCTAGACGTACATTGCATGTTCAAGTGTCAGTCCTATCTAGTCTGCCATTTTCCATGCTCTGGATAAAAGGTGATTACTCGCCCCGGTGGCCGCTCAAAAACTCCCGACGTTTCCAGTACGAGGACATACCCCAAAAGGCTGTGTGCAATTTACACGTGGGCATAAGTCACAATTCAAATAAAGCTCCAACGAACAATTTGTGGACAACTCCACCTATCCAACCCCTTCCCCTTCCCGGGCCCCAAACTGCGCATTATAGCTTTGAAAATAGCCCCCGTACCTTGTGGTAAATGTGAATCGCATGTGCTCCAAACTTAGTCGTCATCATCGTGGCCATTACCTGGGCAGCCCTTTCCGCCTCCCTTGCCGCCACCTCCTTTGTTGCCATTGCCAGTGCAAGCTCCGTTGCGGCAAACACCCCCGTTAGCACATTCGCTATTCCTATCACATGTCCCGTCCCGAGATCCCGGACAGGACCCAAAGATGCATCGAGTAGTGCAGCACTGGAAACCGCTGCCGCAGTCACCGTCAGCCTTACACTGACCCCACTGTTGACGTGACTCGATGGCACTGCCGAAGGGTTCCACAGCAAGTGATTGTGCTGTCCCTGACATGAGGGCGAGGGCCAAGGAGATGGTCGAGAAGAATTGCATTTTGCGGGAATTTGTTTGTGGATGCTCGATTATTTCAAGGTTTTGATTATATGTGGATAAGAAGAGTCTTTGACAACAGAGTAGTATCTCGTTGGTATTGTAGGATGGTTTGAGTTCCCATAGCTAGATCGTGAATGAGGAAGTGACGTTCAATTTATATTTATCCTTCCCACGGACTCTTTCACCTGCTTGAATCCGAATCAGGCGCAGATATTTGCCCAACATTCTTGTCCTGGCAACGCCGGATAGTAGCAGACCAAGAGCGCGCAGCTTGGCCAAGGAGAGCAATTATGCCATACAGTACCCAATAGAATAGAGAATACCAGGAAGTGGACGGCTGTACAAACTTCTCGTCGATGTCTTGGAGCAAACGTACATGCACTCCGTTCGAATTCGTTCCTGGATTCCCGGGACGAGAGCGAGCAGCGCGCCTTGCAATGTATCTCACTTCATGCCATGAAAGCCAGTGTCGGGGAAAGGTCCGCCGGGGCGAGTTCCATCTGATGTCTATAAGGCTCTGGATCGATCGTCATACAAGCTGCACAGAAACTGGGTTCGGTAAAAGATCAGCAAAGTTCCCCCGACATCCGAGTTTCCCGGCGTCGTCGACCCCAAGGTTGCACGAGGCATTTTGTCTTCGGACACTCGCTCAGTGAATGCCCGCCGATGACTGTTATACGTGTAAAGGTTGATATTGTGGACGATTCTTGGCAGACTTTAATTCTGGACGTCTATGCCTTTGCATCCGTGGTTGTTTGTTAGCTAGCAAAGTTCGGCCGCACATAGTGAAGTCTGTGCGTGATGTATTTCGGGCGCTTGCAAAGAAGGTACATGCATTGACAAGGCATGCGCTCACATCAGGCACCACCACCATCAAAACCAACGATTCGGACTGAACATCTCACCGAAAAGATTATAATCGTGACATGTGGCTCACAACGAATACGCAACCGATTAACGCAACCGAATCCGGCCCTCGGATATCTGGATATGCAAGACAGGCTCTATCATGCCAACTAAATCTACCTGCAGCTCCAAAGCATGATCAAACTCACGATTACTTCCAGAATCACAAAGACAAAAACCAGCTTTATTTTCACCAGAAAGATGAAACTGAAACATTACATCAGAATGAGATACAGTTGAGATGCACAAAGACTCCACATTAGCTAACAACCGTAAGCCCAGCTGTACCCATCAGGAAAACTAAGGCTCTCTGGTCCATCAGCATCGCTAGATCCATACGGCACATCCGTGATTATGTCGCCCTTGAACTGCACAAACATGTTGCAACCCCCGTAGGTTTGATCGTGAACACCACAGAACGCTTGCGACTCAGGAGGCGTCGAGCCAGTGACATCACATGACTGCAGCTGCACCGCGCCGCCAGTATATTTGACTGAATTTGGCGATGCTGGCACAATGGCAGTCACGCAGAGCCCGGATCGCCCATGGTAGAGATATCCGACAGTGTCGCAAAACTGTACACCAGCCGGAATACTGGTGGAGTAAAACCCGATATAGTCTCCGGTTGTGCGGTTTGTGTATCCAATGGATCCGATCGAGTCGGCTTCAAATCCGAAGTTTACGTTGCTCTCTGGTTCCGCAGGGACGGCTATGAGCGTGGCGGTGCCAATTGACGCGGGGAACGTGATCGAGTTGATTGGGAAACTTGACGGCTTTGACGTGCTCGACGTGCTTGAAGATGTAGGCGAGCCGCTAGAAGTCTGCGGACAGACACCACCCTTATTGTAGAAAGTGTTGCCTGATGATGGGACGGCTACCATATTGCCCTCAATGACATAATCATAGAGAATGCAAGCCGAAGTGGTATCAATACCGAAACTCAAGCAGTTTGTATTGGAATCGCAAAGCAAGAGACAGCGACTGTAGTTTGTTGCTGGGTAATATGCTTTTCATAGCAATAATTAGCGCCCAATGTGTGGTATGGCTTCTCAAGAACTAAAGCACTAACCTATGTTCAACCCATCCCTATCATATCCGTGGAAACCAGCACATATATGTGTCGCAGTAGGCGTTGCGCTCATCGATGCGCTGCTGCTGATTGTAATGCTGGCGGTGCTGGTAGTGCTGGTACCCATGCTACTGCTACTGCTAATCCTCTTGCTACTACTGATAATGATGCTGCTGCTTGGGGGGGCCAAAAGTGATTGTGAGATGCCTGTGTAGGATGCAAGTCCTCCGAGGTAGGTGGTTGGAGAAGGAGGCATATTGGAAATGCTTGTTCCTGACCGATTAGTCTCCGAGACACTTGTATTCGAGGAGCTTGTCCCCGAGTAGCTTGGTTTTGAGACGATTTCTGTTACTGAGACACGGCCACTATCATTTGTAACAATTTCAGTGCTCCTTGATATGATAGATGTGACGTTCATGAAAGTGACACTGGGAGAACGCGTGGTTGACCAGCTGGAAGTGATTCTAGATGTCGTTTGCGGATTTGTCGTAGAGGACAATAGATCTACAGCCGAGCTACTTGGGAAGGTCATGGATCTCATGCTACTGTTCGAATATAGAGAGCTTGTGAATGTTTTGTATGAAGTTATCGAGCTGAAGCTGATAGGGTTAGGCGAGGGTAAGAAAGATTGTGTACTGCTGGGCTGGTTTGTTGGAGAAAGGAACGATTGCCATGAGCTGGATTTTGCTGAAATGGATGTCGCTGGACTGGATGTTGTTGGACTAGATGTTGTTGAACTGCGTATTACTGGACTAGGCGTTGCTGGACTTGGTGTCGTTGAGCTGCGTGTTGCTGGACTGGATGTTGCTGGACTGGTTGTTGCTGGGCTGGTTGTTGCTGGGCTGGTTGTTGCTGGACTGGATCTTGTTGAACTGGATGTTGCTGGACTGGGTGTTGCTGAACTGAGGTCGGCAGAATCCCGTGACTGTAAAACGGAGTGAAGGCTGATGTGCTGACTTGATGCGGAAGGGTCCACCTCCAATGAGCCAAGAGTGGTCGAGCTGAAGCCCAGAGTGTCTTGCGACGATGAAAGGGAGCGAAGGCTGCTAGGCTGGATTTTTGGAGAGAACGATGACGGACTTGATGGAGATGACGGGCGAACCGTCGCTGAGCTAAAGCTAGAATAATCTTGGGTGGATTTGCTGGTTGAAATTGAGGGTGATTGCGACGACGAGCCAACTATGGCTGGACTGAAGCTGATAGTTGCTTGCGATGGTAGATTGCAGGGAAGACTGCCGCCATTGCTAATAGTCGTGAAGATTGACTTGAATGATGAAGCAGTTATGGTAGTTGCTTGCGATGGCAGACTAGATGGAAGACTGCTGGTATTGCTAACAGTGGTGAAGGTTGACTCGAACGATGAAGCAATTATGGCTGAGTTGGAGCCGGAAGGATGTTCCGTGGACCGGCTAATCGCAGAGAAGGATAATTGCGACGAAGCGCTAAGTGTAGCCGAGCCAAAGCTGACTGAGCCTCGCGAGGGTAGGACAGACTGCGTACTACTAGACTGCTTTATCGTAGAGGGAGGTAACCGGGATGATGAGCTAACTATGGCCCGACTATGGGTGGAGTTGACACCGACCGAATAGCTTCTTGTGGTGCTGCCAACTTGAAGAGAGGTTTTTGGAGTTCTTTGAGTGGCGCTCAGCGACAACGTAGAAGTATTGAGCACCTTTGAAGCACTACTCAAGATGGCATCTACACTGCTTTCTAGCCCTGAAGAGAATACAGAAGCAGGTGACGACTGGGCGTTCAAGGTGGACAACATATTGGACGTGATGGAAGGCGGATTTTGCAGCCCAGGGCAATCGGATACTATATATGACATGATCAGACGCAATCGTGAAATAGCTTTTAATGTCAAGCAGAATATTAGGAAGCGAGTATTTCCAGAAGTTTCTCAATGATTGAAAGTGATGTAGGTATTAATTGTGAGCAAATATGAGCTTGGCAACCAAGGGAAAACCTACATGAAGTAAAAGACAGCGTCACATTAATGCACCCTGCAGGGGCGACATCAAAGTAAATATACATCGTGTTGTCCAAAAGGCAAAAAGACGCTGTGTTTCTTGGGAACCGCAAATTACTCCACAAAAGTACGGCGTCCGCGAAGTACAACGTGGTAGAAATAGGCCCAGGCCCACCAGCCCTAAGTAGAGGCTGAGGCATTATGGGTTCCGAAACTGAGATGACGAGTCCATTTCTAAAAAGCCGGCCGTCTATGAGTCGAAATTGGGCCCCTTGTTCACAGCGGGGGCTACTGGAGGATCCGTCCTCTAGGTAAACTTCTGAATTCACTCGTCTCTTGCGACGGGGCGAGGACTGCGGGTCGCTGATTTGAATTTGCAAGAGGAAGGGCTCTGGGACGGTTGTTGTGACCGTGCTGAGGATACATTACTTAGACACTAGTTTACACAAAGTGCAGCAAAAGATTATATAATGGCGAAGAGATATTTACCTTGGAGCAGCGGACGATGCACTCGTAGAAGTCAGGGAGAAGTCGGACTTTGATGCGATGGCATTCAAACTAACGCTCGAAGTCCTGTCCGCAGGGCTAGACGATGAGGTAGGAACAGGCGAAACTTGGACTGTAGGCCAGCCGATATCTCTTGTGGACTGCCCGATCGAGACGGATGGTGGCTTGACGCATCCTCTACGGCGAACGTTAGGAGGGGACGCATTGGTGAGGACCGCGAAGAGACAGAGACTGGCAAGGAACATGTTGACCCTTAATGCTTGGCCCAAAGAACATTAACGAAGAAACATATGTTGAACATATTTACCACAGCTTTTCCAGCATTCACATGGGCTTTCAGTTGATCATAGAAAGTAGTGCTCTTTTACATTGGAAGTTGCACAGGACGCGACCGGTGTCTTTCCTTGGGTCTATTTGGCATGCAAATTTGTTTTTTTTTTTTCGCTCGAAGACATGTGCAATTATTGGTGGCAGTCGATGGCTCTGCGCCACCTACGATAGAATATAGGTCATTATAGGTCGTGGTGTGGCGGAAACATTCCACTGTATCAAAATGTGAGCCGTCTATACGACTTGCAGCGGCATTCCGGCATTTTATGGCCCTCGTAAGACAGTATTTGATTTTGAAATTGAAGTCTGCGCTCCATTCAGCCATACACTAATCACGTTGAAAAGACGGGGCAGTGACTCTCTTTGCTCTGTCCACAAGCAGGTTTTGTGCGCGTACGCGTACAGCTAAGATATGAGGCAAGCATTTATTCGAATCCTGAGGAAGTAAACATTGTGCGACGCCGAATTACCCTCTTATTTTCTCCGAGAATCATCTTGGACAGCCTTCATCCGCAGACCTCTTGAGCATTGTACGATGATCAGTGGCCGTCGGTTAGTGGTGTTGTCCCGGGGCTGTGGTCCTCCCTTGACAACCGGATCACGACAGCGCGCGCATGTGAAGAGATGACTTGGACTATTTGAGTCTCTGACCGCTTGATAAATCTCATACCAACGTGATGCTTTGATATTCATGGACCAGAGAGCATTCGAAGGGACATTTTTAGATACAGGCTGAAGCATTTTTAGACAGGGGTTGATCGGTGATGCCGCGGTGGGTGAGTGTCTGACCCGGGGCGCGCGGGGGGATCGGGTAACAGCACAACGTTGAACAACGCCAACCTGGATGTTCACTTGATTCAGCAACCAATTGTCGTGACGAGGCAAGACAAGGTAGTTACGATGGGGAGGGCAGAAAGGTATCGAATTCCGCGCAAGCACACCGATCATGTTAGCAGGTTGTCGAAGGCTGAAAGCTGAAGGTTGAGGCGCTTCTCAAGACGCGCGAGACGCGCTGTCACGGGCAGATGCGACCAGGTTCAAGGCCCCGCTTGATGTCACCTCAGTCACTAAAAGCTTAAATCGAGCTGCTGAGTTCTGGAGACGGGCGGCGCGGCGGATTGGTGGCGGGAAGGACACAACGGCCAAGCCAGAGCCGACAGGAACACAGGACGACAGAACGGCCCCAGGACATTGCGGTCCGGGGCCAGGACCCAGCAGGGGCTGGGGCGCCGAGGGGGCCTTGGGAGCCCGTGCGGTCAAAGTCAAAGTCGAAGTGTGGCGTAGGCGTCTATTTAAAGCATGCCGAGATGCGAGAAGCATAGCAGAAGAGAGGCAGAGCAGCGGGTGCCATGGCTGTTGACGACGAGGACGAGACAATACAAGCTGTGCTATGGTGCGATGCCGCGCGATGTGATACGAAGTGATGTGATCCGATGTGCTGTGAAGTCATGCAGTGCCTATACGATGCTGTGCCAGCGAGGTTGTCGATGTTTTATGACATCCAAGTGTGTAGGTAGTCTGTACGTATATGAATAAAGTCGCACAGCATCACCGACGCCTAGGTAGTCTGCTTGGTAGTCTGCTTGACTCGTTAGAGGATTTCACAAGCTTTTGACGGCTCCAACCGTGTTTAATGGCATGACGAGGGCGCAGACGGGAATCTGCGAGGGCTGAAGTGGTCGCATGGACATGCATGAAGTTTCAGGGTCCAGACGCCAAAGTGGTGCAGAGCTGGCGGGTGGCTGGCGCCAGCCGAGGAGACGACCCAGGACAAGAACAGGGACAGGGACAGGGAGGGGGGGGGCAGAGACGAAGGAGAAGAAGCAGTGCAAAGTGCCAGCGCAGAGAGTGTTGGATTCCATGGTAGACGACCACACAGTAACAGTAGACTAGTTGCCGTAAGGTCTACAAGGGGAGACGACAGTTCATCATCAGCCATCCTCGTTTTCCTTCTTATCAGTATGATTGTTATCATCATTATTGCCATCAGCTTGCTCTGCTTGGCCAGCACAGCCTCAACCACGTAGTCTATTGCATGTACACGCAGCGCAGTAGATGACCAAGATAGACAGACAGACATACACGCCCCCCTCGACCAAGATCCTATGACTGTCTTGGCCTCTTGATGCTGACGACGACTGTACCGTCCATGTGCTCTGCTCTCTGCCCTGCTGTTTTCTGCCTTGGACTCTTCTCCTTCGCCTGCCACCTCAGTGATCAAGACATCAATCAAGTGATTATACACAGTTCACAACAGACTATAAGACGGGCAAGGTTACTCAGCATCTTCATCCCTCTCTTCTGATCAGGTATCTTTTCTGTGTCACTCAGTTCAGCCCAGCCAGAGAGACATACAGACAGCTGCCCAGCACCCTCCCTGCAGAAAGGCCGCCTGTGGGGTCCAGTTTTCAGTGGCTCCCCCTGACAGCCTGACACCCTGCTCCCCCCACCCCTTGCTTCCCAAGCTTAGGGATCTGCCGGCAGCCACAGCGGGCCTTATTACGCCAGTTACGCTCGCCTCGTCACACACACCCACCCTTTTTAGCGCCCAGTCGCCCCCCGAGACCACCTGTCGGCCTGTACAGTCCCCCCCAACGGCCCACTCCCACCGACCCGCGGCGTACGACGTCAAACCACGTTGTTGGAGACCTCAGACACAAAAGACCAGACGGACAGAACCACTGACTGGACTGGGATTGGACACTGTACCACCAAGTTTGGACCATCAGTTGAGCTGGGCTGAGGTGACTCGACTTTGGTTTGGGTTTTGGGTTGGTTTGTTGACGATTTTTGACTCGACATTTACACCGTACCCATCCACTCCTCGACTCGACGACGCCCACGATTCGATTCGAATTCCCAACCACAGGAGTTCCTGACCCAGCCCACCTGTCTATCATCTATCCACCTAAATACCCACACACCTTACTTACTTGCATGCAGCAGTGCAACCTTGACAGATACAGTACTCAGACATTCACGTGCTGCATGTTCATGTCGATGTTGAATGTCGCTGCTGCTGCTGCTGTTTGCTGTCAGCCTTACCTAATATACCATCGTGGGACCTCTGGAGCCGCTTTGCATTTGACATAGAGATCATCCTACCTATCACTCATTCATTCTTCCATCATCATCATCCTCGCCATTTCCAAGCGTGCAACATTTACTCTCTCTTCTCCCCCCTTTCCTGGCACAGAAACCATGGCCAACGTCGAGGCCAGGTCCCTCTCCGCGCTCAACCAAATCGCCGCTCATCCGCCTCAATATCCCATCAACCCCACAGAGCGCCATGAGACTCTCACTCTCTACATCTCCAGAGTCCCCGGATGTCGCGGTAAGCACTACCTCTCCCTTACCCAAAGGCGGGAATAGCATATCTGACGTCACTCGTAGACATAATACTGTCGACTTTCAAGCCGCAGAGGAAGAATGTCGGCGGTGATGATGTCGCCAACTCGTTCTACTACATTCACCTGGATACCGCTGGCGATGACATTCTGGCTCCGAAAGGCGCCGCCGCCGTCGAGAATGACCCGTCGAGGCCTAGTATGGAGTCCACCAGGACCCAGAAAATCGCCAGGAAACCTCTTCCATCCACCGCCAGAGTCCCTCACCTGCAGGACTCCCGCTCAGATGCCACTCTGAGACCATTGCCAGACGTTGCCACTCCTACTGAGCATGAGCAACTCAAGTACCCACCATTGGGCCTGTCCTCGAATGACAAGGAGAACGTGCTCCTCGGCGGAGAAGCTGCTGGCGCTGTCGACCCCTCTCATGTTGGCGGCCAGGTGCCTGCTCAACCTGTCCCAGCCCAACCTGCGCCAGCCAAGGTATCTACGGGTCAGCCTCAAGGCTCGGTACAAAGGAAGCCCCTGGGACCCCGCCCATTATCTATCGGTCCCCCCTCGCCCGGCAGAGAACCCCCTCCGTACGAGGCCACCCAACCTGCAGGTGTATTGAAGCCATCGACACCCCCGACACCCGACACGGCGCGGCCGAATCTTCCACCAAGACCGGAACCTGGGCCACTGCGACTTGACTCCCTGCCGCCCCAGACCTTTGACGAGATTCGCGAGACGCAGAGCCCAGCTGTCCGCAGCCCGGGCTTTCAGTCACCGTACACACCATCTCGCTCTCCGTCACCTCAGTCAAAACAGAAGCCGTTCACACCGTTCTCCCTGTCCATCATCCGCAGAGATCCTGTGACGGGTCACCAGTGGAACATTGGCAAGGTGTCATCCTTCCAGAGCACCATCATAGTTCCACAAGACCCAAACGACCCAGACTCGCCCAAGATTGCCCAGTATCCCAAGGGCTACCCCGCCATCAATGTGCACATCGAGACCAGTGGATATGCACGGTTTCGCCACTTCCCCACAGCGCTGCCAAAGATGACGGATCTCCCAAGGATGAGCTTGGACAGTGCACGCCCCGGATCGAGCGGCAGTGGCGTGACAAGGAACATGAAGGAGTTGGCGGCCAGCTTGCAGGCGCAGGCCGATCAGCACAAGAACCAGGACGACACTGAGGAGGGCTTCAGGAGACAAGTTGTCATGACTTACGGTAAGACGTGGACATCCAATCTTAAGGAGGCCTTCAGTGGCAAGAGGCGCGAACGGTCCTCTACCAACACCAGCGCGACCGACTCAGCTTGCAACGAGCCCCTCGAGCCTCCACGAGCAGGATGGCATCGGAGACATGACAGTGGCAATTCGACAACTTCCAACGATTCCATGTTCGGTTCGATGGTGCCAAACCCAGTCAACAACGATGCCCCCCACAACCACTATCACCACCAGCTCCACCATCACCATCACCACGCTGCTGAGGCGACAGTTGCTGCCGCAGCAACAAACCCCACAGGTGCAGCGACACCCAAAGCAGACGAGCCGATCATAACAGCCCGCCCCGGGGCCGGCCTCCGGCCGAAAGGCTACACCTTCGCCTCCCCGTGGGACGGGCGGTGCGACTTCCGGACCAGCAGCAACGGGCGGGCGCTTAAGTGCCAACATATCCGGAACACGACGTCACAAGGCTTCAACCCGCTCGTCGCAGCCCAGGCACTGCGCGACGCGGCCATGTCGGAGAGCAACGGCGGCGGTGGGCGGGGCCGGGCGCGGGGGATGAGCGCGTCCCTGCCGATGGGCGACACGGGCAACAGGGTGCCGGTCAGCGAGCTGAGGTTCAACCTGCCGTCGTCGGACCTGTTCAACTCAAAGGAAGACAGGGACCGTGCGGTGGCGGAGATGAAGGAGGGCCTGGGGCGGCTGCTGGTGAGAAGCCCGGGAGGTCACGAGTACGACGACGATGACGACGACAAGGAGGAGCCGATCTTTGACTTCTCGGGCCTCGGGAAGGAGAAGGCAGGTGGAGGGAACAGGGGCAAGAGGGCCAAGCTGGGCAAGCTCCTCGTGCACGACGAGGGGCTCAAGATGCTGGACCTTGTGGTTGCTGCGAATATGGGCATCTGGTGGCAGGCGTGGGAAAGGAGCTTCTAGTGAGAGGCGAGCAAGAAGACTAGTTGGTCGTGAGGTTTTGCATTGTCGATGTTTCTGGTTTAGGATCAATACCCCATCTCATCTTTCTGTTTGGATCTAATAGTAGTGATGGGAGTGGGTAGACACATGGTCTACGCTCAAGGCGAAGATGATTTTCTAGAGGGAGGCGAGCCAGCAGCGATGATAGAATAAGCGAGCGCCAGCAATGTGCAGCGAGTCTGTTTTGAATTGTCTATTTCCGTTCTCTCAAGCCCTGCATTGCTATTTGGATAATCACCAGCACCTTCCAATGATGCGGTCATGCAAAATCATCACAATAAATGTATTTATTTGGCACTTTAATCATGTTGACGGTGAAGTTGTGAGGTACAGTGTGCTTGGACTGAATACGCTAGATACTGTATGTAACGGTCATTGACTGGAGACCCACATCTACGGCCGTCCAGCCAACCAGGGCCGGCCGTTTGTAATCCCCCAGCAAAAAACAGCTCGAGCACCACGCCCAGAAGAGAATGTGCCACCGCCCGACGTCAAGCTCCGTCAATTGAAAGCTGGGCTCTCGATTTCGCCGCCAGACCGACCATCCATCTACACCAGGGCACCTCTCCACTCCGATCCCAACCGACCGACTCCCTCCGCCGACCGAGACGTTGCCCAATTGGCCTTCCGACTTGCCGCTCCCACCCTTGCCTCGACAGTCGCAAGCTGCCCCCAGAACAGCTCGGTGCCTCTGTTGACGACCCCCTCCCCCCCTTTGCCCTCGACACACAAAGACGACATCGACTCCGAGGCCCACGATGCTGTCCACATCAATAACAGCCCGGCATCTCGCCCGAGCGGCCACGACATCCTCCATCCTCCCCGCCACCACATCCCGCTTCGCCGCGCCGGCGGCGGCAGCAGCACAACTCGTCATCGCAAGACGGGGCTACGCGACGCCGCTGGGCCCGCCGCCCAAGGGCTTCCGGCAGGCGCCGGTCAAGAAGTGGGACGAGGAGGACGAGGGCACATTCACCAAGCTGGGCAAGTACTTCCTGATGACCGAGATGGCTCGGGGCATGTACGTGCTGCTGGAGCAGTTCTTCCGGCCACCGTAAGTTGGACCTCATCATAGCTGTTTCTCTGTTGGAATCATGGGTGGTATTGGGATATATATTCGATATGATAGTAGGGGGGCCGAAGAAGAGCCGGCAAGAGAGTGCTTCAATGAGGCTGCCGGAGGCCGGGGGTCGGGTGGCATCTACAGCCACGGCATCACCTGCGACATATTTACACACACGCACACACACGCACACACACGCACACGTAGGCAGCAGGTGGCTAACTCTCTCGGCACAGATACACAATCTACTATCCCTTCGAAAAGGGACCCATCTCCCCTCGCTTCCGTGGCGAGCACGCCCTACGGCGCTACCCATCGGGCGAGGAGCGCTGCATCGCCTGCAAGCTGTGCGAGGCAATCTGCCCGGCGCAGGCCATCACCATCGAGGCTGAGGAGCGGGCGGACGGCAGCCGTCGCACGACGCGCTATGATATCGACATGACCAAGTGTATCTACTGCGGCTTCTGCCAGGAGTCTTGCCCAGTTGATGCGATTGTGGAAAGCCCTAATGCTGAGTACTCGACCGAGACTCGCGAGGAGCTACTATACAACAAGGGTGAGTTGTATTCAGGCCTTGCTTTTCTTTTCTTTTTCTTATCCCCTCGAGGTTATTGAGGTCGCTTGCTGACACTGGTTCACAGAGAAATTGCTGGCGAACGGAGACAAGTGGGAGCCTGAGCTCGCAGCGCTCATTCGGGCAGATGCCCCCTACCGATAAGGGGTGTCGTCACGGGGCTCACGACGGCCAACTACACCTGCTGCGAGTGTTCAGGTAGCCTGGGTTGAAATGGTGGACTGCGCTAGATTCATGAGGATCTGGGAAAGAGATGTTACGATTTGAGACGGGGTGCACGCTCCAGTTTCTTTCACCATGGGGACGGCAGGGGAGGACGAGTGTAGACAAAACTCTGTATATGAAATCTATATCATCAAATGCTGCTGCATTCCCTTTGTTCAATACCAATCAGGTCCCAATGCTCTGCTCAATTTGTTTCTGTTTGTGTCTCTATCTCGCGATGTAGTCTTCCGACTCAAGTCAAGAGTCAAGTTCAAGTGGCGGATGGAACCGGAGCTTTTGCTACGCTCCCGTAGTCTCCCTACGTTGCACCTTAGGTAGGTGTACCTTACCCAGAGTGCTCATACTGTACTGTACGTAGACCACTAGTTCTGCAGAGAAGACTGCTGACATAACGGCGAGTGACCCAAGCTTCCCCCCAGCAACCCAGCAGTGCCGTCCCTCTTCTCTCATTCGCAAGCGAGAAATTTATCATCATCGACCCGGCCATTTGCTGCAGCACAGAACGGAGCTCCTCCCATCGACGACACCCGGCCCTGCCCTGCAATTGAATCCTCCCGACGACACCACCAGTCCAACCCCACACCCACCGTGATACCTCCATCCACACCGTCAATCGTCCGAACGAAAACCACAGTCAAAATGTTCCGCACAGCCGTCCTCCGATCCGCCGCCTCCGCCGCCGCGCGCAGGTCTGTCGTCGCCACCACCAGCCGCAGCTTCTCCTCCGTCGTCTCGAGACCTGCCCTCGCCAGCAAGGCCGTGGCCCCTATCTCGCGCGTCGCCAGCTGGACCACCGTCCGGTGCTATGCTGCCGGCTCGGGCTTGAGCAAGGAGGACGTTGAGGGCCGGATCACCAGCCTGCTCGCTGGTTTTGATAAGGTGCGTTCTTCGCAAGCGATGCGACACCGTCTTTCTTCAATGTGCTCCGACGGGGTTTTCGGGGTGTTATGGGCCCGCCCTGTCCTGCTTCTGAGATGCTGGTCGGGAATAAGCTTGCGTGTTTGAGCCCCGGCATGGGACAGGAAGGACTCTGGCTGCTGCTTTTGGGGCTTTGGCTAACAATTTGATGTCTTGCAGGTCAACGATCCTAGCAACGTATGTACCCTCGAGGAAGCAATGCGTCTTCTTGGAGAAGGTCTGCAGCCATAGGATATTTTGCGACTGACAAATTGGGTTCTCAATACAGATCAAGCCCACCGCACACTTCGCCAACGACCTGGGTCTGGACAGCTTGGACACTGTTGAGGTTGTGATGGCTATCGAGGAGGTATGACAGTCCTCCCTGCACGATATGGAGCTCAGCTACCGGTTGTGATCAAATTGGAGTTCGAGGCGCTGACGGGCATATAATGTAGGAGTTCAGCATTGAGATCCCCGACAAGGACGCAGATGCCATTCACTCCGGTAAGCAAACGCCCTCCTCATACCAAAAGTCCCAACTTCGGGCATCGGCTTGCAGTAGCCATGGCTTTTGGTGCACAGTGGTAGAACCCTAGCTAACCCGATTCTCCTCCCAAAGTCGACAAGGCCGTCGAGTACATCCTGAGCCAACCCGACGCTCACTAAATCCCGGGCTTGGCCTGGCCTGTCCTTTAAATTTTCGATACAAAAACAAATGTACTATACAACGGTGACAGACGGACAGACACCGACGCACGTGCACGACGCGTTCGACGCCACTCCGGGACGGGATGCTTCTAGACGGTGAAAGACAGCACTGGGCAAAGCTGCGGCCACGGCCGTGGACGCCACCTAGAGCTGGGGCAAATGGATAAGGATGGATGTCTTGTGTCAGATAAAGGCCAATGTGGAAATGATAAAAAGACCCAACGACGCGACGCATCTGAATCGAGAGGTGTGGTGATGTCTCTGCTGCGAGGCGGTCCCTATGGTTTGCTGTGTGTTACTGTGTGATGTGATTTGACTGGCGATGACGCAGAACGTTTCCCATCTTTGTTTGAGCTTTTTGCTCGACTCATCGAGGCGGCCCGCAACCTTTCTGGCTGGAGCTCCCACACGGGCCGTATTGATTTCTGGCCCAAATGAATCGCGCCGAGCAATCGCCTTGCGCCGGTGTGTATCATCCTTCCCTAGGGCCGTGATATCCAGGCAGTCACACAACGCCATTACCTATATGCTGTCTCCACCCTGTGTGGCCTTCAGAGCTTTACATTTAATTCATGACATGCCGGAACATGACGCCGACATGGTGATTTCCGTCTGGCCATCCAGCTTGATCTATCATGAGACTTACTTATCATCACTGCCACCACTCAGGTTCCCAGCCCGCAGTGGTCGGATTGGCTTGATGAGATGTGGGAATTGTAAGGGCTATAGCTACTTAGTTTCTCCAAGCAAGCAGTAATACAAATACTCTGCCGAGTAGTTTTGAATGACTTTAAGAGGCATGGGTAAAATACTATATCCGGGGTTCTTCAGTTCATGGTACTCAAATCGATACCAAAGATTGGGCTATGATGCAGTCCGCTCGACATGGCCAGCGACGAGATGGGTAACTTTACACGTTCCCGAGATATGCTGGTACATTAAGATGAAAGTGTCCGACAAGGAATAGATTAGAGATCAAAGCTTTGTCCGGTGAGAGACTACAATGGCGCTTTCTTGTGTGTGTCTATTGATAGGGTCACTATGTGCCGCAGCCCAACAAAGGTATTTCTATTCTTACCTACGCGTCTGCACAATGGCAGATAGAAATGCAATTGCACGTTTGCGCCGTAGAAATTGATAAATCCTAGGTTCTGAGTACAAATATTTTCGCCCGTTCACGCAGCTCTTCGACTGGATCGACGGCGTTTGTAATACAATTTCAACAACGACCAAAGAAATACAATAAGCCAGGCAGCTTCAACTTTTTCTTTCCTCTATTTTCCAATGATCAAGCGAGAGATGGTGACAGTACCAGACCCGAAGACACTTCCGCTTTTTGAATGGATAGACGAGCACGGACGTACACAGCCGCTACTCGGAACCCCTCCGTATCCTCGTGAAATCACAGACTATGTTATAGACTCGAACGACTGGCCTAGTGGCCAAGCCACTGTTAACACCGTTTTGGGTCGGAATACAAGTAATGCAACCTGTTATGTGGTAAGTACAGACCCAAAGCATGATAATAGAAGCATGCGTGTCATAATCGGTTTCTAACTATTAGCACTATAGTGTGGGCACGATGGTATTGCTTGCAGAGGACAACTGTGTATTGACTACTTCCACGACGTGATTGCCTATATCGGCAAGAACATGTGCGATATTAGAGATGCAGGAACCATGGGCAAAGGGGCATTTGCTAATCAGTTGATACCCAGAGGAACCATCATCGGTGAGTATCTTGGCAGGCTTCATCCTCTGATGACGCTGCATGGTGGTGATAGATACATCTTCTACTTCAACGAGGCCGCCGACGTATCAGCCTATCAGTATGGCAACATCACCCGCTTCGTGAACCATCACTGCAAGCCGAACATCACTGCGCAACTTGTGATGTACGGAAGGCGTCGTGTGATCGTTTACACTGCCAACCAGGATATCCAGACCGGTGACCAGGTCTTTGTCAGTTACGGGAGGGGGTACTTCGAATATTCCAAGACTTGGTGCAAGTGCGACAACGTCGAAGGGAACCACCTGCCGAGCGCGCCTCAACCGGCCTGGGCTCAGGATATGGAGACTTAGCACCCCGCAGCAGAGGCTCAGGACACAGGAAATAACGAGACGCAGGGAGAAAGACGAGAAACAGCTGTCAAAAGAGTACCAAGTGAAGCCGCCAGATCTACATAACCAACGAGAAGAGTAAGAATTGCTACAAGCAAGACTGCGAGGCGGAAGCGTCCGACAGGTTCAAGCACATTAACAAAGAACGCTGCAGTAGGTAAGCGGTGAGTATGTGTGCAAAGGCACTCTCTCTACCAGGGACAATTGAGTAGTGTCTAATCTGAAAGCCCTTGGTTATTGGTGACACTCGCTGGCAACACTGGATTGTTTCCTAACCTCAGAACTTGGCGCAACGGCTATGTATGTCGCCCTGAATAGGCTCGTGAAATGTTGGAGGCGGGGGAATTGAGACATTCGGGCAACCTTGGCCCACATGGAATAGCCATTCTGTCTGGAACAAGCCTATGTTCACATTCCACGCCATCCCGTCCCGCCCGGCTGTGGCTTAATTTTGAGACCAGAGCTCCGTTGTATGGAGTCCGACGTTGGATGCTGACTTATATCGGCTACTCCTGCCAGGTCCAACGGTATCTTCCACTTGAAAGACGATATTTTTTCAGCCAGCCTTTTACAAACTTGTCAGACACGAACTCCCTTGAACTGCACGGCGTCGATCTTGGGAGGTCTTGCTCGCGTTGATCGATGCCGGCAGTAGCTAGATGAAAGGGGTATGAGATGTTAGAGAGTCCAGAACGCACATATCATTTCCGTTTCAGTGCTATAACATCCTGTGTCCCTGAACTGAGCGCATGAAGTGCGATCGTGAGTCTTGCAAAGATCAGATCAAAGTGGCTTGATATACAAGACACTGATCCACATCAACATGCACCATGAAGCCAGCCTCTTTGTCGTAGACGGTTCTTGTGTGTATGCAAGTATATAAGAGCTCTGCATGTGCTCAATAATCCCAAGTGAACATCAGCAACGCCTTGGACATCTTTACCATCAGTCAATCGTTTCAATCTACAAGTCTGCATACCTGCAACACACAATCTTTCAAAGCCCTGCCCAAAATATCTACGGCCCATCATGGCGATCCTTAAGCTGCCTTTGGCACTGGCTGCTCTCATGATGCTCCGGAGCGTGGAGGCCGCTTGTGTCGAGGACCAATGTTACAGAGGTGAGAAAATTCAAAAGCACCTGATGTGTTATGCAAAAAGAATATATACTGATCACAGCCAATAGCCATGTACCAGAACCCTGCAGGCGTCGAGGAATGCCTTGCGCATTTTGTCACGACTGTCGTTCCCCCTCCATCGACAACCGTAGTGACCGTCACGTCCGGTTCTGGACCCATCACTACCCTCAGTGGCTCTTTCATCAGTGCTAGCACCATTGTCCCGTCCGAAGCAATCCCCACCTATATCGTGCGGGCTTGCTATGGAGATGTGAATTACCGCTTCGAGAGTGCTTGTTCGTGTATCGACGCTGGGCCCACCATCACCACGGCGCCACCGCCAGTCGTGACGAACACAGTTCTTGTCCCAGTCACCACAGAAGCCATCGTCATACCCAGCATCGAACCCAGCATCCTTCCCAGCATCCTTCCTAGCTTCGTTACTAGCTCCCTGCCTCCCTTCATCACACCACGACCACTACCAGTACTACCGACTTCACCTGGAGGCGGCGCTGTCGCCTCCTCCTCCCCGATATTGGTGGCCCCGGGCGTAGAGCCAGCTTGCCTTGCTGTCGGCGGGTCTCCCGTGCTTGTTACCATCCAGGTGGACGAGGTATTCGCAATGTCACTCACGGTCTCAGCTCCTGTGTTCTGCATAAACACTCCACCACCGCAGCAATCTTCGGAGTGCAACTGTGCTAGCACGCTACCCACTTCAGCACCATTCTCTTTCTCGTCCAGCTTTACGGGTCTTCCCATTTTGAACGCGACAAGTTCTAGTATCGATCTTCCTACCCCGACTCCATTTTCATTTACCTTGCCAACACTTTCCTTCCCAACTACTTCACCATTTGCGAATTTCACGAGCGCCGCGTCGGAGTCCGCAACTACATCTGGGGCAAATTCAACTACATCTGTGGAATCCACATCCACATCAGCGGAGTCCACGTCCGCGGAGTCCACATCGGCGGAATCTACATCGGCGGAATCAACTACATCAGTGGAATCGACGACTACATTCGAGTCTTCAACTTCATCGGAGACGCCATTCCTTGAAACAAGCACGTCGCTTCCCTTCCTCAATATCAGCACTAGCATTAGCAGTGAAAGCACTTCTTTCTCTTCGGAGCCCTCAATCACGGAGGCCCCCACGTCTTCCAGTCTCTCCTCCACATCGGTGTCGTCAAGTTCTTCTCCATCATCGGTGTCGTCAAGTTCTCCATCAGCGACCCCCTTTGTCCCAAGGGGGCCGACATTCAACATCAGAATCACAGGGGGAGCGTACGCTGGACAGTACATTTCAGTCGACGACCCAACCGGGGGCGGCGTTGTGAACAACGCCCCGTTCTTCCCCACCGACGACATCGACAACGCGGCCGAATGGACGCTGGACGCCGTGACGGGCATCATGTTCCAGGAGTTCGACGGCGCCTACTTCGGCACCTACTTCATGTTCGGCCTGCGCACGCAGTGGAGCCAGGTCCTGCTGGCGCCCGCGGACCAGGTCATCGCCTGGCACGAGACGGTCACGCCCTTCCGCGAGCCCTTCAAGTGCACCATCGACTACACCGCCGACATGCTGCTGACCTGCGGCTCGCGCGGCTGGACCCAGCTCATGGAGTCCGACTCCTGCGGCCTGTCCGTCATGCTGCCCCTGAGCGTCACCTTCCCCTCCGCCTGTGCCAACCCGCAGCCGCTGCTTATCCAGGCCGTCCCGGTCGTGCCGGATGATGAGGGGATATCGAAATAAGTGGGATGGATGAATGCACTGTTTGCGAGATCGATGTACGGGCAGTAGTTGACAGGATGAGGTTCTAGATAGATTGGCGAGACTTGGGTTGACGTATCATGCGTGATGTTGATTCCGAAGCGGCTCAAGCACATTAGTCTTGTACTAGCATAGCGCTTTAATACTGAGGTACCCTTGGTCAACTTACAAGCTGCAGTGATGCCTGAAACCCTGCCTGTCCACTACTTTTGTTGTCATTGGAATGCCAGTCTCAACTTCTGCCCTTTGAAGGGAGCAAAGGATTCTTTTGAGTTTTTCGTAACATAGTTCTTAAGCATATAATGAATTGAACATTAGCCGAGATTTTGTTGCGCTGGTGATGTCGAGACCATAAGGAATGGGCGTTTTTCAAATGGAGGCGGCACGAGTTCGGCTGATTCCTGTCACCTGTGAGACGTCGGCCAGGTCGAATGTAGCCTGTAGAAATTGACACTTGACATGAATTTTTGTATCAACAAGAATTAGTTTAGTATATCATGTAACTCAAACGCCTACCACCTGGGGCATCGGTACATAAGAGATTGCTTATGCACCGTAGTCAGACCAACGCCAGCCCATGCCCATGCCGCCGTCGCCGCCGAGCCAGAGACGCCGGATTTCGTCGCATAATTGTACACTTTGAATGGTACACACGTCTTAACAAGACGGTCCAAAACGCCTAAATCATTTCCTCATCCCTCTAATTCTCAACTTAGTACTCGTCCGTCGGAAGGACATCCATGTCCTCCTCCTCGCTCCCTTGGCTCTCTATGCCCATCATCAAAAATTCGTGCTCCAGTGCCTCGTCCGCATCGATCCTCTTGCTTGGATCCAACTCCATGCAGCGAGCGAGGAAGTCCAAGGCAATCCTCTCGTCATCGCTGAAAGGCTGTTTCTTTTCGTCACGCAGGGTGCTCCACATGATGATTTTGCCCAAGTCAAAGCCATTCTGCCCAATAGTGGGTATGCTAGTATCGAACATACAGCCATGCTGCTGCGCGGCTATGCGCATCCTTCTATGGCCGAAGATTGTTGCGATCTCGATCATAGCCTCGACATCGTCGGCCGAGTTGAAGAACGGGAACCGGCGTGACATAATCGTAAGCAGGATGACGCCGGCGGACCAGATGTCGAGCTTGCTGGTTTGCTCAGTGCATTTGAAGAGAACCTCGGGCGCACGGAACCCACGAGTGCCGGCACGGTTGGCCCTGCGAGATGGACGGGTATCATTCTTTGGGTAACCGTGATGTGGACCGCCATTGGCGAGAACGGCTGCTTTCAGACGTTGCCTCCGGACGGCCGGGTCTTCGTGGCAGTAGCAAGGCTTAGTATCCTCGCCTTCACGCTCTGCGAGACCAAAGTCTACAAGAACACCACGTTGCGTTGAAGGATCGTAGAGAAAGTTGGTAGGCTTGATATCTCGATGTATGATGTGGTTTCGATGAACAGCTGACAGGGCCGTGAAGAGCGAGCGCAGGTAGACGGCCATGTCGGGGATGGTCATGTTCCTAAAGTAGTCCCGGAAATCGTGGTGGCGGAAGTAGGGAAGGATGGCGATGACCTGGTCTGTACTTCGAAAAGCCGTGATCAGGGGACAGACGGCAGGGCAGTCGCGCAGGTCATGGAGGAGCTCGAGCTCGTTGAGGATTCGTGTAGGGGAGGACGTGACGTAGATCTTCTTGATGGCGACGAATCGTGACCGTGTGCGGTGCTGGCGAGCCGTGTGCGGTGGGAGCTGCGAGGCCATGTCGATTGTCGCAGAGCTGCTGCTGCGGTCGATGTGTCGCTTCAGGGGCGGCGGCGTCCACCTCTCGTTCTCCTTGTCGACATCCCATTTGTTCTCGTAGCGGTCGTACTGCAGGTCTTCAGCCTTGTAAACGGTGGAGAATGTGCCTGTGAAAAAGCAAAAGCAGCAGTCAGTATTGAGTGGCACGTGGAAACATGAGGACTGGGCGCTACATACCTTCTCCGATCCTCTTGATGAGCTTGTACTTGCGCCTGAAGCCGGGGAAGGCGTCTTGAAGCCTTCTCATATCATCGTCTAATATTTCTTCTTCCTCTGACTCGTCCTCATCTTCGTCCTCTTCGTCAAGCTCAGGTTCCTCCTCGTCCTGATCATTTCCCTGCGCCTGTTCTTGACCCTGTTCTTGATCGTGTTCCTGGTCTTCTTCGTCTGCATAGTCCTCTTCCTCCCTGCCACCAGCTGCATCCGTGTTCATCTCGGTGTCTTCTGTCGAGGGGCCATCTTGGTGGATCTGGAAATCATCTGGCTGTCGGCGGCGGACAGCAGCTGACATGATTGAGTGGCAGTGAAGGAGAGAGGGCGGAGGGAGGCCAAAGGAAGAGGGAAAAGGTGATGCTAAGTCGGCGAAGCGGCTCCTAATGGACGCGCCAGGAAGACACACCAGTGATTCGAATTGCCAGGCAGGAGGGGCCCAGACGTGTGTAAATGTCCAATTGACGACTGACGAGGGCTTGAGATGGTCAATGGCAAGGATGGGGCTCGGAATACCGGTGTTGGCAGCCTGCAGGGAGGGTGGTGCTTTCGATTGACGCGGCTGTACGCAGTATCTTGCAGGGCTGGAAAATTGGCGGGGTACCGATGCGCACCACACGCGTCTGCTTTAGCAGCAACCCACCCGCGCATTGGCCCCAAACAAAACAAAGCTCTGAAGTGGGCAGCCCGTTGCCCAGCACCACCCACGTCCACAAGTGCCACCCCCCCTCCACCCGCGCAGACTCGACCCCTGTCAACACCCGCATCAACAACAATCTGCGGGCGAGAGAGACAGAGAAAGACAGGCCCACTGCACCGAGCCGAGTCGCACGCAACATTCCGATTTCGTCTTTGCATCTTCAACGTTGCTGTCGCCTCGAATGTCGCACGAGCTGTGACCACGTCGCCGTGTCTGGAGCTCCACGGCACCTTTCCATACACTTGTCGCAACCTTGTTCCTTACTTTTTCTGTCCACTGTTGTTTCTCTTTCACGATACCCAGCCGACGAGACGAGACGAGACGAGACGAGCCTGTCTGAACAGGCGACCGGGCGATCAAGATGGACAACGTCAACTTCGACATCAACGAGGCGCTCAAGCTCTACATGAGCGACCCTGCCACCATCCCCACCGAGCAGGCAGATGGCGCATTGTTCGACTGCGAGAACGACCCAGAGAGCCTGACCAACGGCATCATCAACCCCGTCCTCAACCCCATAATCGACGCTGTCGCCGGGAACCCCGATGCAATCACTCGCAGCGCGCACTTCGACTCACTGCAGTTCCTTCTCAAGTGCGCCCCCATTTCCCTTTCCCCCTCAACTTCCCTCATCAGCACTGCGTCTGCGTCTGCGTCTTCGCGCTCCAAGCGGAAGAGCACGCGTCCTTTCGCAGATACATCCTGTACCGATCCTACTCTAGAGCAGGCTCCAGACCCGGACCCGAAACCAGATCTATGTCCAGATTTAGACCCAGAACCAGACCCAGACCCAGACCCAGGACGAGACCCAAGCATACCTATTGCAGCCCTGCAGGAACGTGTTTCTAAGCTTTTCCAACTCTCTAGATATACCTCATTCCTTCCTACACATGCGCTTTCCAAGGTCTTTGACCTGATCACTTCCGGCTTGTCCACCGAGGCCGACATCATCCACAACGACCTCGAGTCCGACGAGCAGGACCTCCTCTCCCACCACAAACAGCTCCTCGAGATCTATGGCTTCCTTTTGCAATGGACCATCTCTTGCGTCGAGACCAAGGCAGCGGAGAAGTCGTCAACGGCACCTATAGCTCGAGGCAGGAAACCCAAGGGCAAGAAGTCTGCCGCGGGAGACAAGGACGCCCACTGGGACAGTGCTGCTCAGCTACAGATAGCCCTCGACACGATGTGCAAGGTTCTGCGGTTGAAACTGGGCAAGATCTTCTTGACAACATCCGAACGAGACACCTTCATCGGCCTGATCACCCGTCCGGTCTACCTGATCCTTGAGAGCGAGCAACGAATCAAGAACACCACGATCCGCATGCACGCCTTCAAGGTGCTTTGTATCGCCGTCAAGCACCACGGCCATGGCTATGGTGAGAATCTCCATAAAGGCGGTGGGGGTGGCGGCGTTAAAGTTGCTGACTTTGTCTACTAGCCGCACAAATCTCGATTGTCCAGAATCTGACCTACTTCGAGCACCTGTCCGAGCCGATGGCTGAGTTCCTACACATCCTGGCAGAGCAATACGACTACCCTCAGCTCGGGGAAGAAGTACTGCGTGAGCTCAGTAACAAGGAGTTCAACAGTAATGACACCCGGGGCCCCAAGTCTGTCTCTACCTTCATGGTCAAGTTGTCCGAGCTGGCACCGAGGCTGGTCATTAAGCAAATGACGATGCTTGCTAAGCAGCTGGACAGCGAGGTATGTGTTCCCAGGCCCTGTTCCACTGATCGTATATTATGGAGCTGACCAACCCAGTCTTACACACTTCGATGCGCCCTCGTTGAGGTATGCGGCAACATGCTTGTCTACCTGAGTAAACAAGAAGAACGGGGAGAGAACTACAAGTCGCAGCTGAATGCCTTCTTCGACGTCCTGGAGGAGCGATTCCTCGACATCAACCCCTATTGTCGTTGTAGGGCGATCCAGGTCTACGTGAAGCTCTGCGACCTCCAACAAAAATTCCCCAAGAGGAGGCAGAAGGCGGCTGAGCTGGCGTGTCGAAGTCTCGAAGACAAAAGCAGCAACGTCAGAAGGAATGCCATCAAGCTGTTGGGATGCCTCATCAAGACACATCCGTTTACTGTTATGCATGGTCACCAGCTGGCTCGGAAAGACTGGCAGGATCGCCTCGACAAGGTCGACCAGGAGCTGGATGCCTTGAAGCCCCCGGCCGGAGCACCTGACATGGACAGCCAGGGCAGAGCTGATGTCACCGTGGATGAACAGCTGCTGGACGAGGCGACGCAAGTCGAGCCGTCCCCGCAAAAGAATGACCCTGCCGAAATGACCGAGGAAGAGAAGCTCGCTGCCATCCAGAAAGTCCAGGCGGACGCTGCGACCTCGGAAGCCATCGAGAAACTCACCCTGACCCGACGGTACTACACGGAAGCACTCAAGTTTATCGATGTCCTGCATGAAGCAACTGGTACCGTCTGCCAGTTGCTTGGATCCAAGAACAAGAGCGAGGTGATCGAGGCCATGGACTACTTCGAGGTTGGCGACGCCTACAACATCGAGCAGAACAAAGTGGGCATCCGCCGAATGCTAAGATTGATCTGGACCAAGGGCAACAGTGACGAAGGCAAGGGCGTCCAGGCACATCTTATTGAGTGCTACAAGCGGCTGTTCTTTGAGGCCCCGGACTCATTCAGTCCCAACGATGCTGCCAATTTTGTTGCGCGGAACATGATCAGTCTGACCTTTGGAGCTACGCCGGCAGAGCTGACATCGCTCGAGCAGCTCCTCGCGACCATGATGAAGCAGGGTATGATCCCCGATCTCGTCATCTCGAAACTCTGGCAGGTCTACGGCGTGCAGAAACGTGAGATCTCCAGGACGCAGAGGAGAGGTGCCATCATTGTGCTAGGCATGTTGGCGACTGCTAGCCCTGAAATCGTGGTCAGTGACATGGAGACCATGCTTCGCACCGGTCTTGGGCCGCATGGGCGTGGTGATCTTCAGCTCGCCAAATATACGTGCATCGCGCTCCGTCGCTTGAATCCTACTGGTCGACAGGCAAAGGAATCCGGCGTGAAGTTTTCGCGACTTCCAAATCAACACGCCGTCCTCCAAAAACTTGCTGCTATCACAGATGTTCCCTCCCAGAGCGAGGAATGGTACGGCGTTGCTGAGCAGGCCATCAATGCGATCTATGCCATCTCGAAGCATCCCGATGTGCTTTGCTCCGAGATCATCCGCCACAAGACGAAAGCAGTATTTACTGGTCGCGCTCGGTCGAACTCCAACGACCGGCCTACGTCAAGAGACTCGCACAAATCATCACAAAGCAGACAATCGGCCAAGATCGAGGCGGAAGAAGGTGAGGACGGTATCGGTGCTGAGCCTACTATTATGGCCCCAACGCAACAGCAGCCAGCCACGCAGCAGCCGGCCACGCAACCAGAGAATGCAAAGGTGAAGCGCGACAACGCCATTGCACTGTCTGAGCTTCTGTTTATCGTGGGCCACGTAGCTATCAAGCAGATCGTTCACCTTGAGCTATGCGAGCTGGACTTCAAGCGCCGCAAGCAAGAAAAGGAGAAGGCCGTTGCAGCTGAAAAGGCAGCCGAGGCCGAGTCGCGCCGCAACAGCAGGAACAACCGCGCATCAACCATAGGCACCGTGGCCGGCAAGGATAAGGATGAGCCTGAGGACGAACTGGACCTCATTGGTGGCACGACCGAAGACGACTTCACCGAAGCCATGCTGCATATCCGCGAGCGGGAGCTCCTCTATGGCCCTGAATCCCTCCTAGCCCTGTATGGGCCACTTGTCAGCGAAATCTGCGCGAACAATACCAGATACAAGGACAAGGGCCTGCAAGCGGCTGCCACATTATGTCTGGCTAAGCTGATGTGCGTCAGCGCCGAGTATTGTGAGGCCAACCTGCCTTTGCTGATCACCATTATGGAGCGTTCCCCTGACGCGACTGTGAGGTCCAACGCTGTCATCGCCCTGGGCGACATGGCAGTCTGCTTCAATCATCTCATCGACGAGAACACGGATTTCTTATACCGCCGACTTGCCGATAAGGAGGCCTCGGTCAAGCGTACGTGTTTGATGACGCTGACCTTCCTCATCCTGGCTGGACAGGTGAAGGTGAAGGGTCAGCTGGGTGAGATGGCTAAGTGCTTGGAGGATGAGGACAAGCGCATCGCAGACCTGGCTAGGATGTTCTTCACAGAGTTGTCTACTAAAGACAACGCGGTGTACAACCACTTTGTTGATATGTTCTCGTTGCTGTCGGCCGAGAAAGCGCTCGCGGAAGAGAGCTTCAGGCGCATTGTCAAGTTCCTGCTTGGGTTTGTGGAGAAGGTAAGCCAAAAATGCCCCATGATACTGGCCGTGACACGCGGACTTCAGAGACCTTGGATTAGATTAGCCCGCTAATACGCATCTTAGGACAAACATGCCAAGCAGCTCGCGGACAAGCTGGCGGCCCGTCTGCCACGCTGCGAGTCAGAGCGCCAGTGGAACGATGTCGCCTTCGCGCTTGGGCTGTTGCAGCACAAGAACGAGGATATCACCAAGCTGGTTTCGGAGGGCTTCAAGATTGTTCAGGCGTCGGCCTAGAAAGCTGACCTCCCTTCGCGATGAACATGGCTAGCGACATGCCCTTGTTGTTTCCTTCCGAGGTCAACAGATGCGTTTCCAGTGTATAAGAAACCGGTCTTAAAGGAATGGCATAAAGGTTGAGGAGTTTGCGGTTCGATTTAGCACTGGGTTGATTGATGGTGTGGTTTTCTCATGTTTGTGGTTTGGGTAGATGATACTCTATGCTTTCACGAAGTAATGCACCTGGCACATATCAATAGCACCGTGGATATTGGTTGTTTGACTCTAAATCGAGGCATTCGAGCCATCTTCCGTGACGTTGAACCTGCCTCTTTGATTCTCTTTTGTTTGGTCGTGATGAACCATACCATATCTACAGCTCTATTCCTGACTGGCACACTATCTCGACTGTTGAGCCCATCCGTTGAGCACACAGCTAAAGGGCCTTGAATCGGAAAATACGCCCGCCACCTTCCCTTCGCCTTCGTCCTCGCTCTCCTCTCCACAGCCCAGTCAACGCTTACTTTGACTTCTCTGGTGTGATGGCAAACGTAGGCTTGACGAATCTGTCGTTGTTGTACACCTTGAAGTTCTCGCCGCCCATCAGGTCGCGCTCGCGCTGCTGGTCGGCCAGGTGGCGGCGCACTTGGTCGCGGTCTTCTTCGGCTTGCAGGACGGGGATCAGGTGGATGCGGGACCACATCTTCTCGCGGGCGAGCTCGCTGTGTTTTGCCGGGTCTGTATCAGCCATGACTGCTCTACGAGTCTACCGAGAGCCCAAATTGACGTGACAGTGGAACTGGGATTGGAGACTCACCGTTGTTCCCTTGCACCCTTGCCGAACTGGTACCATCCGTAGAGCATCACGCCGCCGCCGATGGCGAGAAGTGTGGCGGGCTTGAAGCCACGTGCGGGCAAGTGTCGCTATTATAAGCAGTGCAAGTCAGCAATCTCGTCCCTAGACAGTTTATTATGCGTAATGCGTGACCATCGAGCACGAGAACGGGCATCATGTGCAAGCAGCCAGTTGCAGTCCTCTCGCGTGGAACCGGCCGCCCTCCTGGGCCGGCTTTGGGGAGGCTCCACAACTTTGCGACTTGTTCTGTGCCATCAAGGTTGTTGGATAGGTGATATGGCTGGGCTCCTCATCCTCAAATCGCACCCTCCACTGGCGTGCTTATCCGGTACGCATGTTCCAACGTCTGGGCCCTCCGAGCAGAACGATCTTTGGCCAGCTATTTCTTGCCATGTTGCAATCTTCCATTGCTGTCATGCCACCAGCCATGCTCGCTCGTATGTACAGCGCTGGCAGTCGTATGCGCGGTAGTCGTCCTGCTCGGCCAGTGCCCTCTGTCCTAAGCTCCTCCCAAGCCCAAGCTACCATCCACCAATTCTCGGGCCATCGGCGCCATATCGAGGCATGGTGATATGCAGAAGGGGCGGAAGGCGTAGCGCATTCGTAGAGATATCATCTTACCTTGTACTGGACGGCGTCGTACCCGCCAATTGGGGGCATGTCCTGAGGCATGGTGGGCTGTTGTTTGGTGGTCGGGTTGGCCGACCGATCCTGGGGTTTCGTTTGCCTTCTTTGGGTTGCAGAGTTCGCCGCGCCGGTCGATTGGGGAGCGCCGCCGCGGTGGTCAGGACGTGGTCTCGGGGTGGTCGGAGGTGGACGTGGAGGTTGAGGTTAGGTCGAAGATGTTGATTGTCGGAGGGAATGCGATGCGGCTCAATTGCTTGCATTCAACACGGGCTGGATTGGTCGGAGCTCTGGGCAGTGGAGGTGCGGGTGGGATTGAAATGCTTATGTAATACCCCATATCCCATCCATGTGCTCACCATAGCTACAGCATGGGCAGGGTCAGCCTCGATATTTCTTGTCTGCCTACCCAGATCTCCCCTCTCGGTACTTTAAATGCTACTACTCTTAGACGCTTTCTTCAAGCCAAAGTTGATACATCAGGCCTCTGTAGTTGGTCTGACTTTTGGTTGTGACATAGATTCTAATTCATTCGGCTAATCAAGTATCGCTAGAGAAAACCCCCCTCCGTAAATGCAAACCTGTGATTCCACAGTCCCTTATCCCTATAATGACCGCCTTTAGACCTTCACAAAGGTGGACTCGGTAGGCGTCGGAGGCGTAGACGACCGTCCTCGTGCCAGCCTGGCGTTGCGCGCCTTGGAGTTGAGCGGCGAGATCCAGGGCACCTAGCCCTTCTCTGCGAGCGCCTCTTGCTCTTCCTTGTCCAGCTCAGCCATCAGATCCGCCTCGTCGATATCGTCCAGGTCCTCGTTGCCGCCTCCGTCCGTCTCCAGGAGGTCCACCTCCTCATCCTCGTCCCCGCCAATATCACCTCCTCCACCGCTGCCATTTGCCGTCGTGGCCTCGGCTGTTGGTGCTTGCGGCTCCGACTCGGGCTCGTATGCCGACCGCAGCTTGCTGCCTCCTTGTGACCGCGACATCTTCAGCTTCTTTGCCAGCGCAGAACCGCTGCTTTCCACATCTCTCTCGCCTTCCGTGTTGCCATCACCGTGTTTTCGCTTGGAGCCGGGCGACGCGCCGTTGACTGCCTCACCTTTGGCTCCGCTCGCTCTTGACTCCGTGTCACTCGCGGTCTCCGAGGTCGTGCTGTTGTTGTCCTCAAACTCAGAATCCGACTGGCGGCCTCCATCTTCCGAATTGCCGTCTTCGTTGTCTTCGTCGCCGTCGTCTTCTTCCATAAAGGCCGCCAGTTCCTCATCGGCCTCGTCGAAATCAAATGTCTTGAGCTCATCGATGGGGCTGCGCGGGTCAAGCTCGTCCTCCTCGTCCGCGCTATCAAGCTCGTCCACGCCGGCCCCGCCGTTTTGCATGACGGTGTCGATCGCCTCCGGGCTGTTGCCACCCTCGCCCTTGCCAGGCAAGACCAGGGGCGCCAAGCCTCCCCGGTCGGCAGGGTGCAGGTCCAGCAGGTACGGTGTCTCGTCCAGTTCCTCCCACTGGCTGATTGAGTCCTGTAGCCAGTTCTGGTTGACGATCTTGATGGTCGGTATCCTGACTGCCTCGCGCACCTTGGCCGTCCGCGGCCGAAGGAGGCTGACTACCAGGTGTGTGATTGCAGGGTGTATTCGGTCTTCCAATATCGCGCCAAAACTCTTTACTTGCAGGGCGATCTCGTGGTTCCACTTGTCCACGTTGTTGGGCACGATGCCGCTGAGCACGATGCGTGTGCCCCGCAGAACCTCGTGCTTCAGCTCGTCGAGTATATTGCCCACGTCGGGTATTACACGAGTGTTCTCGCGGGTCTCGTAGGCCTCGTAGTATTTCTCGTGTAGGTTCGTCAAGTGTTTTTCTAGGTAAATCAGCTCGGCGTCATCGTCGAGAAGGACGTGATGTCGCTGGTGCGACGGCGTCGTCTGGCCGCCTTCGGGGCTTTCGCTCTCCACGCCGGCCTTCTCGGCCTCCTCGTCGTCCTTGTCAAGCTTCTCCTGCATGTGTAGCAGAGGCCGGTCAGTCAACTGCTTCTCCAAAGCCCGCTCCTGCTCTTCGCTCTGTGCTTTCAGCAGTGCAGCTTCGTCAACAGCGTTTGTGCCGGCCGGGGCCAGGGCCGGGGCCGTCGCTGTCGCTGCTGTCGCGGCTGTGGCTTTCGCTGCTGGGTCGCCCTCGGCGTTCAGCTTCACATCACCGTTCTGCGAAGGCGTTTCTTGGACGGCCTCTGGGGCTGGAGTCTGGTCCTGGCGCTTGGGCAGAAAACTAGAGTTGATATCACCAGTGCCTTTGAAGAAGTCGTAGGGCACGACCTTGATCAGATTGCGCCTGTTGTTGGGCCAAACATCGGCACGGTCATCAATGACGACAACCATGTTGGTCGAGACGGGGAATAGCCGCTGCAGACTCTTGGCAGTCATGTTGCCATTCTCGTCCCGGCTGATGATACGGTCGCCAAAGAGCTTCTTGTCAGGGTCTACGATTCTGGCGATGTTCATAGCATATGCTCGTGTGCCCATGGTGTAGACATGTAGCTCGTAAAGCTTGGCGATGTTGGCGAGGAACTGTCGTAGGTTGGGGCGCATTTTGATGTAGTAGGAACAGCCACTGGCCATGCCGCGGGGGCCGTCGTCGTTGAGCTGGAAGCTCTGGACATCCTTGACGGCGTCATGATTTGGGTTCGTCGGATCGTTCTGCCACTCTCCAACAGTAGGATCTATGCAGGCGTGGATGATGGTCTGGTCCAGGTCGACGACCAGGCTCAGCTTCCGGTGCTCGAGCAGACGTTTCTGCTGCAGCAGCTCGGTCTCGGCAGCGCGGTCGAGGCTGACGGTCAACTTGACGTTGTCGTGGATCATCTGGACTGGGGCACGGGCGGTGTCGAGCTGGGTGGTGTAGAAGTCAATCTCGTCGGTGCTCTTGCCGCAGATAAGACACATGCCACCATATTGATTGTCGTGTATGCAGGTCTCCTCAATGCGGACGCAGGGGAGGCTACGGGGAATGACTTGGCCGACGCGGATGTCCCAGGACTTTAGGGTTCCGTTGGTAGGGCAGGGCCATGAGGCAAAGCCAGTCTGCTCCTCCTGGCGAATGTCGCCCGTGATCTGGTCGCCAACCTCCCTCTTGTACTTGTACGAGAACTCCATGGCATTGGAGCCCTTCTTGACCTCATCGCCGGGATTGTAGATCAGCCTGGTGATGGTTATGGGATACCGGAGGTGAGGACCCAATGGGAACTCTGTGACGGAACCCATGGTCGAGGATGGGGTGGGTGTTGGGGAGAGATCAGGGCAGGATCTGGGACAGCAGCGAGGTTAGTAGCTGCGGGACTGCACGAGACACAGAGCCTGGCGAGGTCCTGACAGGCAGTGGTGTCTGGAAAGGCGAGGGAGGGATCAAGCTCACAAAAATGGTCGGGTCAACTGCTTTCTAGCTGGAAAAAGTGTGGTCGCGTTGGATGGAGGATGGAGATGGGGAGGCAGCGATTAAGCTTCCCATGGCAGACAGAACGGGGGAGGTGTGAGGCTCGAGGGGCTACTCTGGAGGGCTGCACAAGTGGAGGTCCAGAGGAGGAGCTGGTGCGACAGGCTGGAGAGTGGGTTCTGGTGTCAATTGGGGATGGCGATGGCTGCGAAGGTGTCGACTTTGGGAGTGAGGATGTTGGAGGAACGAGGTGCGATGCGAATGCGCTGCAGCGATGCGATGCGATGGGTCAAGGCCAAAAGAAGCTTGGGCCACACCCTGGTGGAAGGTGGACATAAGAGGTGGAGAGCGGTACCTTGGACGGCGGTTGACAAAGCACCTATTGGTGCAGTAGTGTGGTGGTACCTCTATGACACCCCCAAGGTCCAAAGTACCCAGGTACCCGCGACCCCAACGGGTGCGGATGGGTGCCAAATGGGTGCAAATGGGTGGTGGGCTGGAGGTCCAGAGCTCCCTGCCTAGCGTCGGCAGCTAGCCGTGACAGGCCAATGGCAGCTCGAGAATGGCAGGCTCCAGAAAGTGGGGCACGTCCGCCTTCGTCAAGAGTGAGTTCGCTCGCCGTCCACACAAGGAAAAGGGTCCTTGGGATTTCTGCACCTCTTGAGCCTTAGGACCTAGGATGGGATGTCGAGGACCAGGAGAGTGAATGCTCAGTGTGGGTGCTGAGCTTTTGATCGACTGGAGCTCAACTCGTCGAGGGAGGCGTCCAAGGCCTAGCCTATGCTGGAGAAGTCAACTAGGTGAATGATGAGGCTGGGAACGTAAGTGGGCCCGTCTTCTGCCAGTTCTTGGGTTCAAAAACAATTTGTTTTCTTGGGTGGCGTGCACAATGGACGATTGCAGCTGCAGCCTCAGCCTCAGCTTCTGCATGATGAAGCTGCAGTGCCGTGTAGCTCTTGCAGCGCAGTATACACGTATGTACAGTACATATTGGAATAGGCATCATACCTAGGATGGGGCTCTGCTCACCTGTGGGCTTTGTGGGCTTGCGGGAAACAATAATAACGTGGTATGGATCGTGGGTGATAGGTCGGAAGGGTCATCCGAAGAACCTGGGCGACATGCCACTCCAGACCTGGCCTGACCTGGCCACGCGATATTGCTGATTTTACTGTGTAGTTTGCAGTAATCCCCCGTGGGCTTCTGACTGGTGAACTTTGAATCACTGGGTGAGTCAGTGTCTTCCTACAGTCGACAAGTAAGGTGATGCGCCATTTGGTACTGTAGGCCAGACCTTGCTGCGTGCATAGCAACTTGGACACATTGGACTTGGACTTGGGGGGTGGGAACCTTGGGAAGATCATCACATACCTTTAGATTCTACAGTACCACAAGTACCTAGGCAGATTATTCATCAACGACCAGTCAACCGATCACTAAGTCAGGCAGTCAATCAGTCAATCACTTCGATATTGTGGATAGCGTCACTTGGCTGCGGCGCGTGTTTTCCCACCCGGCTGGGTTCAGTTCAGAGGCGGGAGACTGGCGCCCTTTTTGTACTTTTGTACCTGGGGGGCCGACCCTCTTTTTCCGGAGCTGCCCATGTGCATTCATGTGCATTGTGCAGCGCATTCATGGGTGACGCGAGACGCCACTCCGCAATCCCATTCCTTGCCGTTTGCGGGGTTGTCATCAGTCTGTCCCTGCCCAGGTACACCATCCTGTCGCCCAGACTGCTGCTGTATCTAATTCACTTGCACTGCATGCTGTACCTAATCAAACATATTGTGGCTGCTCGACTGTGGCTCGCGTACGATACACATATAAACAATATGGCCTAGGTGTGTAGCATATTTACACAGCTGTGATATGACTTCAACTTCTGCTGCACAAACGGCCTACATGTGTTGACCTAGGTATGTGTATTTCCGGACGATCTTGCTATCCCTACTGTCGCGCCACTCCCACCCACACTCTCAACGGCATCCAGTATACTAGTCGAGCCATGCGGGCTGGCAGGCAAAGTGCTCTCTGACGGCATTTCCCCATGTATCTTGTTATTGATCTTCACATCCTGCGGGCTGACAACCCCCCTGCAGGACCTGGACTTTGGAGCTCACTTGGTGGGCTGACAACCGCATCTCTCTGTCTGTTGCTCCACCGTCTCCTGATATTCGCCTCCAAGGGCTAGACCCTTTTGTCACCGTATTCTTCTCTGTGATTGCTCTTCATCTCTCAATTGCCTTCCCTCGATTGTTTCCGCGTTTCAATTTCTCCTCCCTTCAGCATAATTGCACCTGATGTCGACCTAGCTGTGAACCGAGTCGCCACAAGGCGCAAAAGTCCTCCTCACGGCGTTCAGGCTGTCTGCGACAATGTGATCACCGCGCACATGGCGTTGCAAGCCATGAAAGCTGCATTGCAGTCGGCGATGGGGACTGGGACTGCGGATCCGTAAACCGTACCAACCCTGGCTCCGGCCGCACTGTAACAGGCTGCGAGCACAGCGGAACACCCAGCTTGGCATATACTGTAGGCGTTCGGGCCGGCTATGATTGCGATGGCCAGCGGAAGAGCCGCGATGATGGTTCTGGTGAACCGCATAGTGATAATGACCATGATGGAGTCTGATGACTGTTGTTATCTTGGATAATTGGAGACTGTGCAGTGTTTGAATGGTGTTGATGATGTTTTGGGTGTTTTCGAGTTGAGTTTTCCGTGATCCATGGTCGAGATCGACGTCGTTTTATATGATACGCGTTGTCTGGAAGTCTCAACATCCTTTGTGATCCCGAAACTTCAAAATCATAGGAGGCCATTGTTAGACTGTGTTTGACTGTGACACGCAGTCAAGTTCAATGCTGCATGGTTGATGGGGAGCACAATCCCTTGTCCGCCATCTGCGATGCGTCTTGCCGGTTCAAGGCCACCAGGAAGCCCTCAAAATTCCGTTCCAGGTAGCCGGAACACTTGTATTGCAAGATGGGAATACGAAGTGTTGTATTTCGAGCCCAGAAGTTTCTGCTTAGACTTCAACTCGCTCGACCGAGAAGCTCAGCTTTTTCTAAGGTTCGCGAATGTTCCCGAATCCTTTCTGGAAAGCATCCGCGCATATACTCGGCTCCTTTGCTGCTACGACTCTGTACTCATATCCATATTTGTCCATTCCAGACAGCCAGTATGAACGTGCGCGAAACGCGGGGCTATTCATATCTTCCGTAGTGGATTGCCTGATGTATCAAAGCCTGAAAGCTCGCCTTTGCCTGTTTGATAATTCCACTTTGATAGTGTGCACTGGCTAATTCCGAATGAGAAAGACCGAAATATCCTCCTCGGAAAAACGTCACTCTGAAAATCCTCATGAGGCAAATTCAAGCTACTACAACGCGTAAAGCAACTATGATTAAAAGGCTCTAAGTGACCTATTTGTCTACGCAGGGCCTCAATTACCGTCAACAATTAGAAGGTACAACAAACCCATTCACTCTCGTCTCCGATCCAGACCCCCTGACAGCATCCTGCCCAAACCCTCGTTTGGCAAAGCCTTTCCAGATGGCGCACTGGTTAGTGCCCCCAGAAAGAACACGATCGGCTTGGAGCAGCGCGTCGCGCGCCTGCAAATGGTTCGCGGAGCAAGGCATCAGGGCATCACTGTCCAGGATTAATTTGAGCAGGAGATAGCGCGCCCCCTGTGGTAGCCCATCCGCACCCAGCGTCACCTTGTCCACGTCTCCTATACCGTAGGTATCGACTAGGTTCCAGAAAACCTCGTACAGGGCCGTAGCCCACACGGTGGCCAGGTCGAAGCCGCCGCTACTGCTCAAAACGTTCAGCGACTCGAAGGTGAGAGGCGTGGTCTGCAGGCTGGTCGAGATGTAGTGAGATCTGAGGCCGATCGGCGCGCCAGTCGCCCAGTCCGCGATGGTATAATCAGTGTTTCGGGTGTCTCCAGCCTTGACACGAAGGAGCGTTGGCACGAAGTCAGAGAAGCCCTCGTTTAATGAAAGACCGTCAGTTGTGCCGCTCGAGAGGCAGCCGGAGATGGTTGGCCCGCCGACCAGACGCACCGTCACGCCGTGCATGTATTCGTGAAGGAGAACCGTCGAATCGAACACAGAGTCCCGGTACGGAGTACCGGCACCCGTCCACACGCCCATGGTTAGGCGAGGGCTGCTCCCGTCGGCTGGCGTTGTCATCGTAGCGGAACCAGTCGAGCTTTGGACTATAATTTGCACAGGGTCGCCGCCGAGTCCACCTTTGCCGTTGTTTGACACCTGAAAATTCCCCGCCGTCTCGGTGAAACCCAGGGTGTAAAGGATGTCGTGGAATTTGTTGACGGTGTAGAAAGCCTGGGTGGCCGATGCGTTCACATATGATTGCCAGTCAGTGGTAGAGGGAGAATACGGGTAGGAGAAGGCAAGTGAGGGTGAATCGGGAACGCTGCTTGTTGAATCTCCAATAGTAACATATGCGTTGTTTCCACTCAAGGTCGTGTAACTCTGGTTGCCATCTGAGTGCCAGCCAAATGGCGATGACAGCTTATCCTCCGGGTTGGCAATAAGCTCACGAGAGCCTTCGTCGGGGTTCATTGTACCCCACGGGCTATTGTTGAGTGATCAGTCTTTAGAGGCTTTGCATCAGCTAGAAGGGCATTGTAAGAACTCACAAAGCTTCGTAAGTAGCACCATTTGTGTGTTCAACGGCTCCTACAACCTCGTTCCCAGAAGCAGCGTCAATGTAGGACATGAGCCAGTCCGACCCGAAGTCCGTCTCTATTCGCCAGGTGAGGATGAGCGAGGCGTTTCTGTTGACATATACCAACTTTGCTGTTGGGTCTGCCACACAGCCCTTGGTCAACTTGATAGTGTAGCTCTCGAATAGGCCGTCGATCTTTTCTACAGCTGCACCAGCACCATCTTCAATAGGAAGATTGAGAAGCTTGACAGCGTTCTCGAACGCTTCTAGAGGAGTTACGGTATTTTCACTCTTTCTCGCAACCTTTGGTGTGGGGGAGGCATCCGAGTGGAACGAGTGTCCGTAGGAAAGCACAGTTCCGTTCTCCAATATCTAGATTTGACATGTCAATTATTCATTCAAACATGGTACGAATCTGTCAGTTTGCGAAGTAGACCTGCAACTTACGTTGACGTTAAAATAGGCAGTATCAATATCAATTCCGTCCACCATCTGCTGGAAGTGAACATGGCCCACTCCATTGGTCCCAATATAATAGCCATCTTCGATGCGCAAGCTTGCGCTTGGTACGACCTTTTGCACTCGCAGCGTTGCGGCTTGGACGTAGTAGGGGACTGTCCCATTCGCAAGATCATTTGCATGTGGATCCGCATTCCATTCCTGACGCTTGGTGGGAGAAGAGTCGCCGCTCTCGTCAAGAGTCGTGAATGTGGAGACAGTGTTCAGGCGTTGACTACTAAGTAAAGCCGCTCTTTTGTCCACTCGCGAGGCATTTCTGGGGGAGGGACGTGCAGCAGCGAGGCTAATAGCAACAGAAAGCCAGAAGAGACAATTCGAAAGCATTTTGGCGGCGGGCCGGGATGGCGCGTGAGAAGCTACGAAATTGCCAGAGCATTGACTAGGGAAAGGAGTCTCGTCTTCAATGATGAAGCCTTTTTAATACAGCATTTCACCGGTATGTTTGCAGGGTTGTAGCTAAACGTTGTGACTGACGATATCGGTAGCGAAGCAGGCATCGCATCTAATGACCTACCTAATCCGGATCTTAGCAGCGGCCAAGGTTGTATGCATTTGCTTGGCCAGCAGCACCACGAAGTGACTAGTCTAATCAGAGACTATTGTAAACATAGATGTTTGTGCCAAGCCCATAAATGTGGATCTCCTGGTGGTCAAGAACAAGAGCCCGTTCTCGAAAGCCTTCATTCTCTAGCGGGCGGGCACAGAATGACCAACCACCTGTCCTCGTACCTGTTTTTGCGAAAGAAGAGACTGGCTGGATTTCTGGCAGACATGCCTCTTGTACTTGGATTTGCAATATAAAAAGCGACAAAACAAGTGGTCACAGTTCCATCCGTGATATCACTTTCATCATTGCGAATGAAGTTTGATCGGAAAGGTTGAGACTGAAGACCAAACACGCAACACGATGATGACGACTCGGCTTGCGCTGACAGTGTAATCATTTGAGATGGCATATTGAAGAAAGCTTCCGAGGCAATGCGAACGTTGGCGCAGACAAAGAAGATGTATAACAGAGCGAAACAGCATTGCTGTGTGGACTTGCTGGACCAGCAGCAGCGACCAAGTCTTGCAGGAAAGATGCAGCGTGAGGCTTGCGCCGTGGATAAGCTACACATGAGAGGCGGAGGTCTCTAGCACAGGGATAGAATGTCAAATTGAGCTTCAAGAACAAGTATAGAATAATGAAAAGAGTATAAAGGCGGCTTTGCGTAGCACGCCTGCGCGATGTGAGCAGATGGATAGAGTAGTGATTGTTCGGGGGGAGGGGGTTCGCCAACAAGTGGTGGAACTAGGGTTAGGGTGGGAGGTTGACCTAGCCGAACTTGGCCAAAGATTGAAGTCTCAAGCTACAACCCGAACCCGTTTTCTGAGCACGACTTGCAAACAACATTCATCCTCGTGTGCGGAGGACTTCGTACTCATTCAGTCATTCTTGGAGACGCCTGTGATGACGCCGACTGGCCTGCAGCGTAATACCTATGTCCTGACTTGCCTTTCCCCAAGATCCACATTGGGCGACACGCGCTCCTATCAACCATGAATTCTGATGTCGATGCTTCAATTGCGGCCCAGCGGGATGAAACCAATTTTCACCACCCATACTCGCCCTATGACGTCCAACTTGAATTCATGAAAGCAGCATATGATGTTCTCGCGCGTGGCTCAGGCCAGATAGGAATCCTCGAAAGTCCAACGGGCACAGGAAAATCGCTATCGCTTATTTGTGCGTCAATGACTTGGCTGCGAGACTTCAAGAGACGCGCCTTCACAGCTTCAATGCAGATCGATCCCAAGGAGGCCGAGGGCGAGCCCGACTGGATAATCGAGCAGATGTTGCGGCGCAAAAGAAACGAGCTCGTGGCAAAATGGGAGGAACGTGAGGCGCGGCTGGAAAAGATCCGCCAACAGGAAAAGGATACAGAAGCACGCGCAAGCAAGCGGCGCCGTATCGACCGATCGGAATTAAAACCAAGATCACGGGTAGTAGATGAGGAAGAAGCCGAATTCCTTATCGATGATTGGGAAGATGGCGGCGACGCTCGAGCTTCGGATGAAAAGGATGCTCTCGACGGGTTGAGCAAGGAGACAAGAGCACTGCTGGACAATATTGGAATGGGAGGAGCACGAAAGGTGGATACTGATGATGAACCATTTGAGGATGAGATCAAAGTGGGTTTCTCCAGAAAAACAGCACTTTCACCATCACTAACGGCTCCTGCAGATTTACTACGCTTCAAGGACTCACTCTCAACTGACGCAGTTCATATCGGAGTTGCGTCGTCCCATCTTCCCTTCATCCTTGCCCACGGATTTGATGGTCCAACATCCTGAGGATGAGTTGCCAGGGCATGAACCTGTAAAACAGATCCCTCTTTCCTCACGGCAAAAGCTCTGCATCAATCCGGCCGTATCAAAACTCGGATCCGTAGCCGCCATCAACGACAAGTGCAGCGAATTGCAGAAGCCCAATTCAAAAGACAAATGTGCATATCTTCCAAACTCTGAGAATCTAACTGAAACACACCGATTCAGGGATGCAGCTCTGGCAACCCTTCCTGATATCGAGGACCTCTCCGACATGGGAAGATCTCATCAAGTGTGTCCTTACTACGCCTCACGTTCAGCAATACCTGCGGCTGAAATTATCACGTTACCTTATCCGCTGCTTTTGCAGGCAAGCGCTCGCGAGGCACTGGGGATACGACTCGAGGGGAATGTGGTGATTATCGACGAGGCACACAACGTCATGGACGCTGTTGCGAATGTCTATGCTGCACAGTTACAACTGAGTGAGCTGAGGAGGGCGCGGCAGATGCTGGGCGTATACTTCAAGAGATTCGGAAAGAAACTCAAGGGCGAAAACAGGATCATGGTGGCGCAAGTTGTTAAGGTTATCGACGGGCTGACTGAGTGGTCAACCACGGCTCTGTCTTCCCAGGTGAGCATATCAAACCTAACGGACCATGTCTGCGTTTCACTAACTCTAAGCAGAGTGTGCACGGAATTGTCGATCCTAACTCCTTACTTAAAAGCAAGGGGATTGATCAGATAAACATGTTCAAGCTGATCAAATACGTCCAAGAATCAAAGCTTGCATTCAAGGTCGAAAGCTATGCGGCCCACATCGAAGAGTCCGAAAGCTCGGATCCCTCAACCAAGCCGACTCACTCTAGCCCTGTCCTTCATGCTCTTATTTCTTTCATTGTTGCTCTCACAAACCCAGCCGATGAAGGGCGCATCTTTTATGAAAGAACCTCGGCTCCTCCTGATCTCAAGCTATCGTACTTGCTGCTGTCCCCAACACACGCCTTCTCATCTATTGCAACCTCCGCACGGGCAGTCATTCTCGCTGGAGGCACCATGTCCCCGTTCGAGGACTACAAGACGCACCTCTTCCCTTACTTGAAGCCTGACAAAATCACCACTCTCAGCTGTGGCCACGTCATACCCGATTCGAACCTTTGCGCCTGGACATTGGCATCTACGCGGCCCAGAAACACATTTCAAAATTCTGCTGCAGCCGATGCAACAAGCGGTGTGTTTGAATTCAGCTTCCAAAGGCGAAGTGATAAAGACACGATCAACAGGCTTGGCCAAGCACTGCTGAATATCTGCTCGGTAGTACCCGACGGCGTGGTCGTGTTTTTTCCCAGTTATGGCTACCTGGATGAAGTCATCGAGGTTTGGAAAGCACCGCCAACGACCGATGGCGGCAAGTCATTGTGGGACCGATTCCAAGCCAAGAAAGCTCTGTTTAGGGAAAGCAAAGGCGGGTCCAGTGACGAAGTTCTGGCGGGATACAGCGAAGCCATACTAGGAGACAGTCAACCGAAAGATCAAAAGCATGCCAAAGGCGCGCTACTTCTAAGCGTTGTTGGTGGTAAGATGTCCGAGGGCATAAACTTCTCTGACCGCCTCGGTCGGTGTGTTGTCATTATAGGTCTCCCATATCCCAACATCAACAGCCCTGAGTGGAAGGCACGGATTGAGTACCTCGAGTCATCCACTGCCACTCGCTTAATGCAGGCTTCACCAACAATGTCGAAAGCACAAGCATCGCAGGAGGCCAAGCAGGCTGCGCGGGACTTCTACGAAAATGCATGTATGCGTGCTGTCAACCAAAGCATTGGACGCGCGATTCGACATAAGGGAGACTACGCTGCCATCGTGCTCATAGACCGCCGTTTCGGGACGGATCGGATTCGCAACAAACTGCCTGGGTGGATCAAAGGGCGACTTGTGCCTGGTGCAGAGGGGCAAGGTCTACAAGGGCTGATGGGGCGCTTAAACTTGTTTTTCAAAGCTAAGAAGTCTATCAATATGTAAGAAAATTGAGAGCTGTGTTTAGAATTGAGGACTTCGGAAAAGGTTCATGAAATTTTACAAATAAGCAAGTTTTAAAAGATTTTATAATATATCTTAAAACTTTATTGTTTATATACATCTAGAGTTCTAAGGTATGTAGGGACTGTTTGATGATAATATGCTTCGTTATTTATTACTTGCCAGTTTTAATGAACCTTGCCATTACTGCATTGCTGGATCTATTATTTCTTAGCCTTGGTATTGATCTCCTGATTCTGCATTGTTACCCGTCTTCTGCCCCTCTTTCTGTCACTCCTTTCGCGGCAGTTTACGTATAGGAGGCGGAACGAGTACGGAGAACCAGGGCCTGTCACTTTTCGTATTTGATACGACAATTCGACTTCATCCCCGCTCGACAATTTGGACCGACGTGACCAGTGAATCCCCCCAGTCGGAAGGCTGTATCCGCCCACACCATTCTCGTTGTCAATCAGTGTTCCAAGGGATCAGCACCTGGCTCGGTGAAATACCCCTTTCAATAGAACTCACATGACCTCATCCTTCAAGCGGAGTTTCCACCTACTACTTAAGTATGCGAAAGCGCTTGAGATATATATTCATTCGTTGCCGCAGGTAAATGCTAGTTGCACGCGTCTCTAGGCTTAAACTGAAAGTCTTGAGAAAACTTATTAATCCGTCAGTTTAAATCTTAGCCTGCGCGTTTGACCGTCATGGCTTTTCTGAACCTGTTTATATGCCTACTCAGTATATGCTCTGTATTGCACGTTGCATATGCAAACATCCTTTCGAGCGGTGACAATGGCACAATCCAGGACACACTACAATCCTACAACTGGAAACCAAGAGTGTTCATTTTGTCAGATATCTTGAACGAACCAGATGATTCCATGTCACTCGTACGATACATGCTATATTCCAACGAATTTGAGACGAAGGGACTGTGCGCTACGACATCGTGGTGGCTTAAGAACACGACTCACCCCGAGGAGATGAGAACTATTGTCCGGGCTTACGGAGACGTGGTTAATAACCTGAATCAACACGTCCATCCAAAGGCACAATATCAGAGTGCAGAAAATCTTCTCCAGCTAGTTACATCCGGCCCAGCAGTGAGTTTCCATCTTCTTTTTTCTCTCCCTAGAAACTATTCTCCTAGGATAAAGAAAAGGGGAAAGGCTAAGACTGATTCAATCTTCTTTTGATCATGTTCCTGACAGTTGACCACTGATAGACACTCGGACTCGCTGCTCTTAACGAGACGATTAGCGAAGGTGCGCAACGCATTATTTCCAGTCTTCAAGAGTCGGAGGAGCCTCTCTTCATTTCTGCTTGGGGTGGCACCAATACGCTTGCTCAATCACTATACCATATGGACAACACGATGTCGGTCGCTGAGGCAAAAGAATTGCGGTCACGCATCAGGCTCTACGCAATATCCGATCAGGATGATACAGGAGCTTGGATGCGAGCTCGCTATCCTGATATGTTCTACATCGTTTCCGTGCACGCATGGAACGAGTACCCGGCCGCTACATGGCCCGGTATCAACGTTGCAGATTGCGCATGCGTTGCAAACGAGACTGTGTTGAACCCGTGGCTTGATGCGAATATAAGACTTGGACCCCTCGGCCGAGTATCCTCAAATCGAGTTCGGTATGGAAGGCGATACCCCTAGCTTCTTATGGCTTGTTCAAAACGGTCTGATCTATCGCGACCGCATTGACTGGGGTACCTGGGGTGGCAGATATAATCTACCGCAAGCCCCAAGCCATTTTGCAGAGCAAAGTACTGCCAAACACTTCGTGAACACGATTGATAGCGCGATAGGTGCTGACGGCAATACTTGGGCTACAAATCAGGCGTCTATCTGGCGGTGGCGATCAGCGTCCCAAGACGACTTCGCAGCTCGCATGCAATGGACTTTGACACAGGATTTTACCCAGGTATCACACCAACCGGTTCTGAATGTCAACGGTCATCAAGGCCCGGACCCGTTGTTTCTCAACGTCACAGCAAATCAAACTTATACATTCAGTGCCAATTTGACCTACGACCCAGACCACCCGGCAGACAACAGCAGACTAGGTTTTCTATGGATTATATACCCCGAGCCAACAACGTTCCTGCCGGATTATCTGGACGTCCAACTGAAAGCAATCAATGGACCTGCAGGAAATGCATCAGACCTGAACGACGCGGGATTTGCGCACGTTGCGGTAGGGAGAGAAGTTCAGATCACCGCACCGGCACCATGGACTAACCCATATACCGGCCTTTTGACCGACTTTCACCTCCTCTTACAAGTCACAAACAACGCTGGTCCTTATCCAATCAGAAGATATATGAGAATTGTCTGTGAATATGTCAACCCCTGATGAGACTAGAAGGACCTTACGTCGGAGCTGTGATCGCGCACGTAGCTATTAAGGAGACAGTCGGGGCAAGGGAGGGGTACCTCAGACTAATGCTGACCTCTGTGCTGGGACTTTGGCGATCCGACAATTGGTTTATCAATAGTTGAATATCATATCAAGCCCCAATGTTGTGCACATATCCATGTCGTCTTCTGCCAAGGAGATATGCATGTATTCGAGTTGAGCGTGGCACATTTCATGATGCTTAGTATATACAGATCTGTGAGCAATCCATGGCGTAAGAGAAGTCTGAAATCTGTGTGCACGACAAATGTCATCGTTAAGTTTATTGATACGCTTCATCAGATCTGCATTCTGATGATACATACTAGGCCTATGATCAATTTACACCTTGCTCCTATCAAAGCTGCCAGCTTCCTTGGGGCTCACAATCTCTAGAATGGAATCAAAGCCAGGCACAGGGCTCCTCGGCGGCAGGCGCCATGTAACCCTAAGGTCATTTCTGAAGTCTGATGAGCCTGATTCCAAAGGTACCCGTCCACCAGTAGCGTACGTATGTGTCCGAGTCATCGCGTCCGCAAAAGAGTCCAGATCATGGTAACTTGTCAGTTCCACCTCATCATTTGCCACATCATGTCTGGTGTCTCCCGTCACACCGGTGGTTGCGGTTCTTGCAGTCCTTCCAGTCCTAGCGGTGGATGACGATATCGATGTTAACTTCCTGAGCCATTCCATGTGGACCCACCCAGGATAATGCTCTGCGTCCTGGCTACCTCGTGTATCAGTTCTCGTGGGAAATAGCCCGCGGAAGGCCTTCTGGAGAACAGGTCGGACAAGTGGGAGACTGACTGAGAGGCGTCAGAAAAGGATTGAACCTTGAGGCGTGAGTCCGGATTACTTCAACTCACTTGCAACGATGGCCATGTTGATCTCGATTTGGCCCCATAGTGCCGGAGGCGCCGTATTGCTGGAAGTGAAGAAGGACGTTAGCAAGTTTTGTGCAGATTTTGTCTTGGACCAAAGAGCCGTACAGGACTCATACCAAGAGACAAAATTCTGGTCTTCCACTTACTACAGGACCTCTATCGAAGCGTCGGTATGCAGGAACGCATAAAGTTGCGTCAGATTGACTATGGAAACGATGCATACAAAAGCTCCCGATGCGAAAATAGCTAGTACAGCTAGCTTCTCCCCGGTGGTCCTGAAAGTTAATTGTTGTATTTGGAAAATCGGCAGGCTGAAGATGGTGACGTCCAGAAAGGCATGAACAACAACAGTTCCAAATTCAAATTTTGCGTCATCGATAGGACAGACAGCATTGGGATATTTGGCTTTTCCCTCCCAAAATGCTTGGATAGGATAGCAATGAAAAAGGCCCAGAAACGTCCGACAGAGAAGCCAAATAATCGTGGCCACAAAGAGTGTGATGATAGGCAGGCGGATCCTGAAAAGGCTGAAAAGTCGCCAGTACAATGCAAGAATCGACAGCTTGGAGAATCCGAGCGAGTAGGCGTATGTGAACTCAAGAATGTAGAGATACAAAGTATTGTCACGGAAGATGACAGCCTGCGGGCGTGGAACATCAGCCAGTATTTTTCCGAGACCGTAATTCGTCCCTGATTATAATTGTTAGCCATTTCACTCTACACGATGTTTAGGAACCTACGGACAGCTGAACATGAGGCCGGAACAAATTGCTGCGAAAATCTGGATTCTTCTGTCAGCTTGGACGGTTGAAACGCATTGAACTTGCACTTTGTTCGTGAGTGGCCCAAAACTCACATAGGCTACGATACAGAAGTAGTCATCGATTCCAAGACGGACTCGAGTGAGATGGCGGGCATATAAACGGAGTGCCAGTGCGGCGGTGGCAGCGAAGAGTGTGACCGATATTCCGACATAACACTCGCCCTGTCGAGATGGCGCCATGACTTGACAACTCGTCAGACAACGCGAGGCTCGCGTGAAGTGCCCATTTCGTTGTCCTCCATGCGTTAACGCGACTGAGGTTTACGAAAACGGTGAGAAGAAATCCAATTCCGGGTTTCCCAAACAAGAATTACTTTGGAGGAGGGGGGAAACCAGAGCAAAAAGTCTGCTGTGCGCCAGCTGAACGTCACCACTTCAGCAAAGCGCTTGGGGCCGCGGTTGACAAAAGATTGAAGATCAATTTCATTATGGCCTGGCACAAGGTTTGGGTCTAGTGCGGAAAATATCTAGCTGGCAACATGGCTGCTGGGTTCAGCTTGCGCGCCACCAGCGCAGCAATGACCGCGACGTTACAATCAAACAAGCTCGGGGCTCTGACACGCTGCGAGTAAGTTTTTGTGCCAGGCGTTCGGGTCCTGTCTGCAGTCGGCACGCCGTGGTTCATTCTTCTCAGAAGAACCATGCAACGCGCGAAGTTTAATGCTTTTTCTTGACATGGGACAACGCCCACCGGAAGTCTGACCACTCAAGGTGACCGTACCGTCAAGAGGCTTTAGCTCACCGGCAGACGCGGAATGACCATTTTTCCAACAAAGCGACCATAATGCGAGGGATGTTGTTTGATATTCAATGTTGTGACAGCTATTTTGTCGAAAGGGAAAGTCAGACGAGCTCCTATACCGAGATATCATACTGGTATGGCTCGAATGGCAACACCATAGGAATCAATACTAGCAATATTTCGGCAGGTGCGGCTACTGAGAAATGTCTCTACGCTGGAAGAGGTTGTGGGCGTCGCAGTGGGATGGCATTGATCAGTCCAGCGCATGGTTGACAAGGTGTGAAGCGGTGCCTTGAGCCAGCCGGATCGGCTAATCAAGATCGCCTTGCATCGACATGCAATAAATATACGTTCCGCACTGACCCTGTTCCAAAATAGTCTCTGCTTTCCCCCAATACGCAGAACGATGTTCCCTGTGGTATTTCCTATTTCCCCGAGATTGGAGCCCTTCGCCCGATCCAATAAGCTACCAAGCTGGCCAGGTGTGCACCTTGGCCTGACAAATATTGATAGGTGAGCCGGTGTCCCCTTTGCCGCGTAGGTTTGTGGCCAAAAGCCGCTGCAATATATCACGCGAAGCACAAGCGCAACAAATGCTCCGCCATTGTACTCCAGTATTTCTCAGACTTTATGAGCAGCCCCGTGAGGCCTAAACCTCTTTCGGACCGAGATTGTACGCCAACTTGTTCGGATGCCCAGGGAAGTCGCGGCTCTACTGATGACCAACTGTCGTGAGTGAGAAGTGCCGGAACTAACCCAACAATGAATTCCATGTTGCTGCAAGAGCCCAAGAATTGTTTGAGATGTACTCAGGGCATCGGCTGACCTATGTGGTGGGCGTTCCTCGTACAAGAAACCCGAGCAAGGCCGTGAAGACCGGATGGAGCAGCAGGCGCTATGTGCTTTTGTGAGAGCACTCTGCTTACCTAAGAGCTTCAAGGGATTGTCCAGGCTGATGATGTGTCTTCCGCATTTCAGGAACACCAGTGCCTGCAGTCGCTGCGTCTGAATGTCCATGTGGAGAAATACACTAATTATTTTGAATTTGCTCTTCATTGCCCGCTAGGCGATTTCCAGTGAGATAAGGTACGAATAGAGCCGAGTATTTGCATTCACGACTCAGATTATCATGGCTCGCTAAGCAGGAGGGGCCTACTATTGGAAATGTCGGTCTCAACCAACCACGATGTCACAGCTGAGGGGATGACTATTCTCTTGAGCGTATGAAAACTGAGAAAACAGGCTAGAATGCACTTGAGGTATCGCGACTAGGTAGACGAGACGTTGGTGTCTAGCACACGGTGGCCATCGTCGGTGTGTGGGACACAAACCATTTCATAAACATGGCTGAAACCGCTTGGGCTGTGGCTACATTCATCACGAGAACTTGATATGGACCACTTGGGCGCCGGAGCGCAATCAATGAATGAGGATACTTTCCAGTCAGAATCCGCTGTGTCCGTCCAAAGTCCAAAGGTGGCGGGCTCAAGAGATGTAAAAATTCAAGTAGATAATTACTCATCCTCGTGATTGAAACAGCGCGCACCAGGCGAGACAAGCTGAAGGCAAAATCCTCAGGCCCACCGAGTGACCCGGGTGCGCAAGCTGATTCGCAATATCCAGGCACGCCAGGTACGCGCGCAATGTCACAGCATGGAGGAAGGGAGGCGAGTGACAGGCTGACAGGACTCAAGCCCACCCGGTTACACAAAGGCGAGATTCCCAGCTGAGCACGGCAAGGCTCTGGCTCTCTCCAGACAGCGACAATGCGTCATGTGTAGGTCATTAGAGTGCTGATGGAGGCTCCGTGTCACAAGGCGATGGAAAATCCGGGCTTGGTTTCTCTTGTGGGGGGGGGGGGGGGTGAGACGGGAGGAAAGTGGAAAGGGCCGGCCAGCATAATCATTGACAGCCGATTACATGTCGTATGTGCCACAACCACGTCTACTTGAAGAGATTGACAGCGGCTTGTGTTGCAGAAGATCAATGTGGCTGATGGATTGTTTGCTCCTCTGCTCCCAAGCTGGCGTTGGGAGTCGGGGGGCTGTGTTTCGGGGGAGGGGGGGTGGTTTGTTGTTGGTTGACGGAAGGAAGACGTTCCAGAGACGGTGGTGGGGCAGTGCGGAGCTATTGACCTGGGTTTGACTGACGGGGGGTCCGTCCTAACATCAACCATCACTCCCGCAGGGACGGATCAGCATCTGGCAATGCCACTTGGAAAGAAGGTCAATCGAAAGCGTTCAAAAGATCCCATTAATCTTCTGTATTGGTCATAAGTCTTCTTTGGGTCCATTGAAGGTCCATTGGAGGTGTCTAGCGCTGGTAAGGAACGCGTTGGATGCTGACGGCGATGCTATGATGTTAATGTCGGATACGTTGACAGGTGCCAGGCTGATGGCCCAAGCTCCTGGAAGCTCCAGGTGCAGCTGCTTACTGTTTGGGTCTGCAACGGTGACATCGTCGCGCGTCCCGCCCGCACCCCCCCCCCCCCTCCTTCATCAATCAGTCTGCGACCCAAGCCACCACACTCAGTGTCACGTCGTGCACCAAATGCTGTTTTCCCGCAGCTTCTTCTTCGAATCCTCCTGCCCAGATGCATACATACATGCGCTACATGCTTTCAGCTCCCAAAGGCTTGATCATGGGTTGCCTCCTTAACTCCCCTCAGGAACGCGCCGTTATTTCAGCAGAGCAGCGCAGCGCAGCGCAGCTCAGCTCCGTGCCAAGAGAGGCCTGATTTGAGACCGGGCATGTGGCCAGGAGGATCATCCCATCTTCTGCAGTGCAGGGGAACAGCCCGTGAGAGTGACCTCGAAACGTCCGCCACGATAACGGTCGGCTAGTTAGCAGAAGATGGCTCACAACGGGCACATACATCATCTGATCACGCATGCATGCGTCTGCGCGTTTATGAGCACCTCCAGGGCAGGTCTTGGACAGACGTGTCGCGCCTAGCAAATGGACAGACAGCCCGGCTTGATGGCTGCCTGCCTGCCTGCCTGAGTGTCCAGTAGCAGTGTAGAGGCTAGCCGCGATGCGTGCGCCGGCATGAGGAGTCATTCTCTTGAATCCGCATCACGAGACATTCCGACATGCATCATCCCATCCACCCTTCATGCCAGCTTGCATCTTTCTCTCGGCCAGTGTGTCCGCGTCAACACAAGCCGATGGTCTAAGCTCGGGACGAGCGAGGTGCCAGCCGTCGGCGGACCAGGTCGGCGGCGTCGTCTGAGCCACACCGTTCCGCTCCCGCAGGCGCGCAGCTGGACGGTGCGGCTGGCACGCAGCTTGGGCTCAATGCAAGGCCTTATTCCACTTCCGCTTCCCCTCGGTCTGTGTCACCGAGCTCCGCGTACTCACCTTGCTCTACCTCACCGTCGGATGCAGCATGTATACACGCCCACAGCCCCCCCCGGAGCGGAGCGAGTGCTTCAGGTTGCTGCATTCTCGGTGTGTGGCAGTGGTGTGATCCTTCCACCACCGGTCCCAATCACTACAGCTTGGCTACGCGGCGAGATGCTGAGGGGGGGAGGGTGAGGGTGAGGAGGACCCGCCAGGGCCTCTGTACGTGCCGCAGGCTTGCAGGTAGTGCCGCACTGCCATCGTCAAGTCAGCACATGAGGCCAAGTGGGCGTGTTGGTCCTGCTCCAGGCTGCCTTGAAACTGGGCTTAGCGCTCACCGGAGGAGCTACCAGGTAGTGCTGCTGCGCTGCGCTACTCTACTGTACATGGGTGCTGGAGCGCAGGACTGCTCAGGTCGACTTTTTCAACTTAAACGATGATGGCTGACGAAGCTAACACGCTCGCAGCCTCATAGTTGAGGGCTCCGAGTGTCACAACCAATTCTGCACTTTACAATCCCCTTCATGCGTACCGCCAGGCAGCGGTCCGCCATGATACAAAAACAATGGCTACCTTTGCCCACTTTTCGCTTTTTATTGCACGGTTGTATAAAGCAAGGCAAGCAATCACCGTGCCCGATTTTGCTGGCGTTCTCCATTCTCCTGTTGTTTGTCTCCGCCAACCATCACACCCTGCATCTTGGTCTGCAAGGCATTATCACGTCTCCCATCTACACCATAGGGCTGCAGCTAAGGCACATCCCGTCGCCTATCATACGTTCAACCTGAACAAGCCTCACTCGCCCAGGCAGTTCTTCGCAGAGGCATTGCTGCCCCACGATCGACACCCACTTCCAGTACCCACCTATCACACTGGCTCGGCACATTGAGATTATCGACGTCTTTATGCCGAGTGCCAGACCCCCGAGGCGAGCCGACTCGATGGCCGTTGGCAGCAGCAAACAATGTCGGGTCGTAGGCTGTGATAGGAAGCACGTCTACGACACCATTGGAGGGGCCAGGGTCTACTCAGCCTACTGTCAGGACCATACCTGCCAGGCCCCGAGGAACGAGAACACTCCATTCTGCATCAACCCGCGAGACTCATCCAACCGGTATTGCTCCTTCCACGGAAAATGCCGTGGCGGCCGAGGCTGCACGGCGCAGGCTTCCCGGTCTGAAAAGGAGCCTTTCCCTTATATCTGCCCTCATCACAGGTGCACCGAGAGACACTGCACCCGGCCAAGGCTCGGGCACCTCGATGTCTGTGAGGCGCATCTCACATGCGAGATCAGAGGATGCCGGCACCGCCCACAACCTGGCCGCCGCTTCTGCCATGCTCACTTGTGCGGCATGGTCCCCAATTGCATGCGTCCAGCTTTGCAGCCGGGAGCAGGCCATTGCGATGTGCACGTTCCTTGCGGCTTAGTCCGCGGTTGCCGACGTCTCCGTATGCGCTTTGCTGACGGCCGAGAGGCTGTCCACTGTGATGTTCACATCCCCTGTGCCAAATCGGGACAAGGCTGCCGCCAGATCGCCGCACCACGCAGTGACTTTTGCTTCGCACACAAATGCAGCCTTGAAGGATGCGTCAAAGGCAAGGAACACAGCTCGCACTATTGCAAACAACACACATGCCACAGCTCCAGCTGTCATCAGGCCAAATACGACATCCACAACCGGGACTCCAAGTACTGCTCCGCCCACGAGTGCTCCGTCGAGAAGTGTCTTCACGAAGCCAAAACGACAGGTGGCTTTTGCTCGGCCCATGCCTGCGCCCACGGCTCTTGTACTGCCGGGCAGTCATCATCCTCATTGTACTGCCGTGAACATTGCTGCCATCATAGTGGCTGTCACCACGAAGCTCTACACCGCAACGGCTTCTGCCGATCCCATGCTTGCATCGAGAAAGGGTGCAAGGAGTCTCGTTTAGGCGGCCGGGATCACATTCACCAATGCCTCGCACATTGGACAAAGGACGTCCGCAAGAACGCTGCTTCCGAGGTGGGACACCGGGCTGACCTCGAACGGTTCCAATTGGAAGAAGAGATCCGAGACCTTGAGCGTCGCGAATATCTACGCCAAACTGCAGAGCGTGAAGAACGAAAGCGGGCTGAAGAGGAGATCCGATACGCCGAACAAGTCAGGCAAGCCAAGGTTGAATTAGAAAAGAAGAGGCTAGCCGAGCATCTCGCAAAAGTGGAAGAAGAACGGCGACAACACGAGGCTAATGAGCGATTCGAGAAGAAGGTCGCTGCCCGGGTAGCCGCAGAGGAGGCTCGTCGGGACTTCGAGGCACGTGAGGCACAGAGAGCGGAGCGCGAGAAACAGCGCCGAGAAGAAGAAATCGCCCGCGTGGCCGTTGAACGCGAACGGGCAAGACAGGCCGCAGAGAGGATTGCCAGAGAAGATGACGAGGCACGACGAAGAGCTGCAGACGAAAGGTTTGCTGATGAGCTCAGAAGGGGACTACGTGCTAGGGAGCAACTCGAAGAGGACAGAAGGGCTGAGGAAGAGCAATTGAGGAGATTAAGGGATCGTGGAAGGAGGAGGGAGACTGCGTTCGACCATATCTGGTAACTCGAGTCAAAATGATTGGTTACATTTGTTTGGGATGGAAATGTTTATATCAGCGTAGATTCGTCCCTTGTTTTCGTATCTTTCAAGGGCTACATCTGTATATAGAAATCAGCATGCTTACATGTACCCAAATGACCCACCCTGTTTCTTCAAGAATACAACTCACTCCAGTGCCTGTAGACGGACCAGATAGCTATACTATAATACGTGGACGGCATTACAGGCAGAAAAGTGACGTTGGCCCGGCGCGTGCGTAGACAATATTTTCAACCGGGAGCAGCCGAATGCATGTCCACCGAAAAACTAAAGAGAGCATCAGACAATTCGCGATATGGATATAGCAATCGATATGTGTAGCATATACGGGGCTATGCCCTGTGCGCCTTCTGCTCGCGTTCGAAGGTACTATGCCTGTATGAATACATGATCGTAAATGAGCTGTATGGTCGTGCTCGTCTGATGGTGGAAGAAACTGTTTCCTCATTGAGTCAAGAGCTTGTCAATATTTTGACTGCTTTGGGCATTCTTACATGAGGAGCCGCCCTTTCTGACGACGACTTTTACGCAGGATCGGCGAGAAAATGTCTGTCTGAGCCGAGAAGCCTCCGCCGCTGGAGGATATTCTAGGCAATGTCTCGCTATACTGGCTCACGAGCAGCTTTCCCACTTCCATCTGGATATATCGCGAGGTACGTGTAACAGATGAGCGTCGAAAAAATGTCTTCATCCGCAATCATATCAATGCCCCAGTTCGATGAAGCTAACCCGACTTTCTGCGATTGCTTTGAGGCTGACAGAAGTTGATTCTGCAACAGAACATGGTGGGCTCCACGCCCAAGGACATCGCCGTAAGCTGGGGCCTCGACGAGGTCAAGATTCCTTTTGGGTTTTCGCATTTCCCCTACGAGATTGCCGCGTCACCCAAAAGTTGGGCCGAGTCCACTGGGAAGATTTCCTTCTTTAGGAACCATGATAAGACGAGTACTTAGCCCCTCCTTCTCCATTTTGCGGCCTGGCCAAATGGACTCTGAAGATGGCAGATGGGATTCAACGGCTGACAGCAGTGCTTCTCTTGTGTCCATAGGGAGGCCATTTTGCTGCCCTCGAGCAACCTGATCTTATGTGGCAGGACATTGTGGAGTTTGTGGACCATGTAAAGGCTGCTATGAAGGGATAGGTAGGTCCGTGGAAACTCAGGTGCTATACACTTAGGTCTCTATGTACCTAAGTATGTGAAAGCAACAGAGCAGTAGGTCATGGAGAATCAACTACTTTCCTTCCTATTTCTGACCACTGATCCAATTACAAGCAAGGATATGCCCAGCGTGATAACCCTCAGCTTCAGCAACTGCTACCTCATGACTCTAAGGAAACAATATGCGGATTAAATCTGTATCTGAACACTGCTGGGAGGTCAAACTCCACACCTTGATCAGCGGCGCTCTTAGCCCGATTCTTGGCCTGTGCATTCGCCTGGGCTGTCAATCCTCCCGGGCCATTGGACTTCGTTCAGACTTTTCCAAGCCGTGATATGCTGTTGAATTCTGTGGGTTGCTTTTACAAATAACTCCTTCCAACAGTTGAGCTTGCTCTGCTTACTATGAGAGTAATAAGACCCCGGTCCTGATTGCTGTCAAAGACATCACGCCCTGGTCTGCAAAGACGAGCCTCTGTCCTGGAGATATATAGACATCAGACGTAGCAAGTCAATCATGAGTCGCATGAGTCGTTATTGCGGCTTAGCACCCTCTTACCGCAAGGAGAGTCTTCTCGTTAGACCTTGAATCGGCCGGCAAGGGGGTCTAATGGTGACGCAGTGTAATACTGTTCTTCAAGTTCTAAAGCTGTCTGACTGACTCACGTAGCCGGGACTGCTACCAACCTCGAAATATTTCCAGCCTTTTTTTGTACAACTGCAGTGCATGATGATTGATCTCGATTGGTTCCCCCTAGGAGCTAAGTCGGTCCGCTACGTCAAGCTCGCGATATGGCCGGGGACTGTATTCTTTTGATTTATTCTTCTAGATATAAAGTTGAAATCATAGATCATCCTCGTCGTCGACGTCTTTAACGTTGTAGTCGTCGTCTGCCCTTATCCATCCTCCCTCCTAGATACTCATGGAGGTTTCCCCGTTCTCTTTCTATCCAAGGTTTGCGAGTTTTCCCTGGCCTGTTTTCCATTTAGACGGTGGATGGCGCATCGTTAGTGGCCGAGATGGTGGTGCGGCGTGTGTTGGTGATGGTGGTGGTGGTGGTGGTGTTGGAGGCGGGATTGAAGTCGGTGATGACGCGGATAGAACTGTAACGCGGCCTTATAAGTTACATTTCGATAGGTAAAGCCACGTAAAATAGAAAGGGTACAGTAAGAGCTGAGGAGTGACGTCGGAGAACTCAGAGAATATCATGGGAACGCTTTGCAATATGATGATTTAGGGGACGGAAATATGTGCAGCGATGATAGGGGGGGGGGGGGGTCGGCCCATTCATTACTGACTTGGGGCCGAGCTCGGCGAGTTTTGCGAGTTCGTGCTCCCTCTTTCGTCTTGCCCTTTTCTCCCGCAGCTGTACTAGAAGAAGGTTAATCAAGAATTCTCCAAGTACTGGAACCCGGGGCCTTGGTGCAGAATGGCGAATTCGAGAGGGTATATGCATAGGTCAGTTCATCATGGGATCATCGACAGTACTTGCAGCAAAACAGCACCAACGGCCACACAGAGCCAACCCAGAGGCCCACGGCTCCGCAAATACCTACGGCTAATCCAAGAATCGACGAAGCCTCCGGTGACAGAGACATGATAACATAAGGGGGTAGGGGCTGTCTAAAAATATATTCATTAATATTGGGTAACATAAGAGTAGGCTTTGAGGCAGAAACTGGTGGTAAAGGACGGAGATTATGAAGAGGCGAGAATGGGTGGCAGCAGTATGGAGGACTGACAGCGCTGCATTACAATGTTTGTTGACACAAAGCCTTGGTGTGTGGCAGCTTCCTCTGCAATCAGGCGTCACCATCACAACGTTCTAGTATGCACGCAGATACTGTGTATGATTAGTCTAAATATATATGCATGATATCTGCGTCTCTTGAGCCGAATCCCATTGTCGCCGTTGTATGAAGGGCAGCATCACTGTACAGAAATCGTGTATACTTAGGGAGACGCATCTAATAAATATCAAGATGCAATACCGAGCTTTCAGGGTCTCTGCGTCATGCATGAAATACAATTTGCTTGCTTCAGAGCCACTTTGTGTTTGCTTCAGAGCGGAGTGTTGTCGTGTGCTGAGGCCAACGTTCAGCTTGAGGTAGCACCTCGGCTTCTTGTGTAGCCCATGGACACATGTTACGAGACGTTACCTCGTAGAACCAGGGAATGTGGTTTGTGATGCGACATTTCCAAAGTGTTTTTGCTGATAATCAAGCATCTGGCAATTGAGAAATATCAAACATCAATTTCATTTCCCGGAAATTGTGCTTTTCTTTTCGAGACTCATTGCACTGCGTGGCTGGCCTGCCAGACGAGAAGTAAGTGCACACATTAGCCATAGATAGGAACGTCTCAACGGGCATAGAAGCAGACGGACATGCCAAACTCATGACTCCTTAATCACTCTTGAAACTGCGCACGTACGGGCTGGCGTAGCTGGTATATTCTCAAGACAAAAGGTCTTTGTTTCTAATGCGATGCGATGCTATAAACCCAACTTCCAATCGATTCCCACATATATGCACGTAAATACCTGGTCACCACACTCTCATGATGTCTTTATTAAGCCAATCTGCTTCATCCATGTCGCACATAATTCCGGCCATTTGGAGACAGGCAGATTCTCTGTGTCCAGGGCAAAGCCATGCGGAGCATCTGCAAAAACATGCAACTCGACTTGACCACCAGCTTGGGTCAGACTTTCCGCTAGACGGTAGGCATTAACCACTGGGACTACTGGGTCATTGCCTGAGTAGACGATGAAGGTCGGTGGCGCTGCGGCATCCAACTGTGCATCTGGTTGCAGGATATCGTAAAGCTCTTGCTTCTCCGGGGGCTCAAGGGGTGGTTTGTCCGCGACAACTGTCCGGCCCTTCGCGTTTGTCGATATAGGGCCGTAGCCGATAATGGCAAAATCGAGTTTCGGTGGCACTTCGGGAGACTGTGGGCTCCAAGTCAGGGGATATTTTGCAAGAAGGGCTGCGGCAAGATGGCCTCCTGAAGACAGGCCGCAGACTCCAATGCTGCCCCATTCATGTCCGATCAGTTCCCGACTCCATTGCTCAATCATGACTAAAGCGCGACGAGCATCGTCCACTGGTGCTTGAGGTAGCGTCTCGGCGTTTGGAAAGCGATGGACCAGAACGAAGGCGTAGAAGCCGAGACTGGCAAGCCATTTTGCGACGGCGATCCCCTCCCGTCCCACCATTAGCTGTAAATAGCCGCCGCCGCCGAGGATGAGAACGCTACGCGGCTTTGAAGTGTTTTCGGTCTTCGGCCCGAAACAGAAGAGCCAAGGAGAGGAGACACTCGTGACTACACCCGTCCCGATATCTCTGTCAGGTTGTTCAAGATTGAAATCATCCCCTGCATGGTTATCCCACAGTGGCTTGCCACCCTGAGCACCAAAAAGAGAGACTGCTGATTCGCCGGATATCGTGGGCATTTTCGATTGCCTTGAGCCAGTAGTAGAGATCGAGAAGACTTTGTTTGTATTGCACAAGTTTGCTCCCATGTGCGGTTGAAGCTTGCCAAAGCTTGTGTCTTAAGAGTCGTTACTTCGGCTCGTAATGTCCCGAGAGTCCGGGACGGTGGATCCCACTGATCAATCGTAAAGCAATTACCTGTCCACGGCGAATTCAAAGCGTCTCTTTTTTGAACATTTGTGTAATAAACACAACCGCTTCAGAATTAGGCCTGGGAGAAATGTGTGACAACATTTCTAGATCTTGGCCCCTCTTCGTTTTGTTGACACATCCTTACTGATCTAGAGCAAATTATGAATACCAAACAGTGAGAGCTTGATTAGCAACGACACAAGTTATTCAGCCAGACATTTCTGTGTACGATAGTGTTGCACACATGCTTTTGCGTCCTCTTGGCTATACTAGCTACTTATCGCGCCCGTGAACCTAGTCGGAAATCAAGTGTGACTGCCGCTCCTCCGCCAATTGGATCTGCACATCGTCGCACTGGAAGACATGACTTTTTGAGTGCCTGTGGAACCGACAAAGTCGTTCAAGTATGTAGGAGAGGTCTGTGATTAATGACACAGGGCACAGGGCACAATCTATTCCTGCGTTTTCTTAATGTGTTTGATCTTTCGTACGTTTCATGAGCTCCCAGGTAGCATTCAGCCGAGGACGTTGATAAACTGTGCGATTCATATAGCCTATATCAGTAGAGTATTTTTGGTCGATAGACGATATCCCTTATACAAGCAAGCCTGAGAGGCCGAAAATCCGTAAACCTTTGGGCCGACACCATTGACATGCCTAAGTTTTGTCTCTCAAGCCCATCTAGCAGCCAACCCCTCAGTTTCCCTTGCTCTTGCGTTGACATTGTCCATTTCGAACCCAGCAACGACCTTATACTTTGCACCGATGGAGTCAAGCTCATCCTTCGGAATGACATCGTACACGTTCTCGAACCCGCCAGGCGCCCTTTCCTCTGCGAGCTGTAAGACGTGGTCCGGACCATTTGCTCTGTTCGCGTATACTATTTTCGCTGTCGGCGAAAGTCTCGATTCCTGATATTTTGTCAAGGCTCCTGGCATGTCTTCGACATTTTCCAAAAAACACGAAGCCAACGTCTCGGCATCAATGATAGCTTGCGTGGCACCATTACTGCCGATGGGGTACATGGCATGCGCAGCGTCGCCCAACAAAGTCATCCTGCCGAAACTCCATCTTCCGACAGGCTCACGGTCACACATGGGGAACTCAAAGACTTTTTCTGTCGGCGCAATCAAATCTTCCACCATTCTGAGACCACCACAAGTCCACCCCTCGAACGGACCCTGGAATATGTTTTTGTCCACAGACTTGGTCCAGTCCGTGACGGGCGGAGTTGTATCCGGATCCCCCTCCTCGCGAACACGCAGCTCGGCGATCCAGTTGATCAGCGACTTTTCGTTCTTCAATCCGCGCCTGCCGATAGGATATGCAATGAACTTCTGGTTGGCGTGACCCGCCCATATCATGCTTGCACCAGTGAGATACGGTGTTCTCTCGGTGCATCCGCGCCACAGAATTCGCCCCGAGAAACGTGGTGGTCCTTCATCGGGATAGAGAAGGCGGCGAGCTGTGCTGTTGATGCCGTCAGCTGCGACAAGCACGGAGCCGGTCATGCTCGGAATCTCCAAGGGACCTTCAGCAAACTCTATGTTGGCACTTCCGGCCCCATTGACTGTTCGCGTAGGCCGTTCGCGGCGGACAAAATGTGCCTTAATGATATCTCCGTCGTCAGTCTGATCCCATGACCCCAGCGCGTGCCCTAGATGGATTCTCTCGTTGCCAAGGCGTTCCTTGACTGCATCCAACAACAGCAGTTGGAATTCGCCGCGATGGACGCTGAACTGCGGCACTGCATAGCCGGCATGTTTGCCTCGCGGTTCACTTAGGATACTGTTTCCGTGGCGATTGTAGAAGTTCAGCTCCTGGGTCTCGACGCCTATTCTCTCTAGAGCTGGTAAAAGACCGAGGTTCCGTAAAATGAGAACCGCTGACGGCTGGACGTTGATGCCCACGCCCAGGCTTGTTAAAGACGAGGCGGCTTCGAAGATATGGATGTCCGTGAAGCCGGCGGCGTGCAGTGTCAGGGCTGTGGTTAGGCCACCAATGCCAGCGCCTGCGATCAGAATGCGCGGCTGTAACCCTGGGCCATTACTACCCATGTTGCTGACGAACCACCAATGGTGAAGGGTGAGGGGTGAGAACAATGGATGAGGTAGCTGCAAAAGATCAATGTCGGCCACGAGTTCGACACATGCTTATTGATGGCAGCAATTTTTGCGCTTGAATTTTACCGCTTGAGTGGAGGTTGGCCTGCAAGGAACGTGCCGTCGGGGACAAGCGTCAGAATCATGCGTCTCTACCTGCGATTGCGGTCTGGGGCAGCTTGGGCCAGTTTAGGGTCGCCAAGAGCCATTTCCGATGGGAAAATTGTGGGGGTTGTGGAGTTCGAAAGTGCCGTTTGAAAGTGCCGTTCACGATCCGCTTGTCTGCGTAATTACTACACCTTACCAGGCTATTAGGAAAATCGAAGAGCAGCTGTCGATTAACTTGTCATTTCTACCCTGGGAAATATACGTAGACTATATTGTAGATGATTAGGGTTGATTTGCAGCCATGTTTTTGGATATTCTTTTCTTTTCTTTTCTTTTCAGTTCATTTCTCAGAAAGAAAGTAGAGGAAAATCTGTGTGTGAGGGTGAAATGGATTAAGTATGATTTGAGTCCCGAGTTGGATTAAATACGGCTATTTCTGGGTGACCATAATGCATCGGCGGCGCACGCAACAGTATAAGGCGTACGAATCTCCTCTCTCAAATGGGAAAAATGAGAAGAACAAACCAGCAAATAGAGTCTTGTCAGGCTGTGCATGCCACAAGGAAACTGGGCTGGAGTGTGCGAGCTTTAGGGTTTGATCCTTTTGCTCACCCAACCATTTTGCCTGTGAAGGAATGATCATCATTTATACCTGCGTTGACCCAGGTCAGCCGTGTTCATGTGAGTTGGACGCGTACCAAAAATAGACCAAAGGCTACTGCTCTGGGTAACACTGCATAGTGTCCCAGCCATACACACCAATGTATTCCTTAAGCGACGTCCCAATACATCACAGCCTGCAGTCTGGAATTCCAAATTTCACTTCAGGTTGTGATTTTGAAGGAGCCAGGGGCCGCTTCGCAAAAATCCAGCCTGCATCGGGATCGGCATCATCTCGGATTCGAATACCTCCAAACCTTTTCGCACACGTGGAGATGAAAATCTGGCGAACACCATTTATCCTGCCTCTGGCCAAAGCACTTCAGCTCGACTCTCATCTTCCTCCATTTTGCTTCAACGCACCCCAGGCCGTCACTTGAATTGTCTAAAAAATCGACCATCACGTTTACCGACAATGGCCACTACACCAGCCCCGAATAGTCTTGGTGCAGCCGTTGCCGCTGTGGCGTGGGTTTTCGCAGCTCTTGCAATTGTCACCGTTGCAGCACGCTTCTACGTCCGACTGAAAATCGTCAGAAAGCTGTTCAGGGATGATTATGTTATCCTAGTTACGTTTGTGAGTAAGGGCATAAGGTACTCACTGCTCCCACACAGCGTGAATCGATTATTAACCAACCAACATACGGGTCCAGACTTTTGCAATCATCAACAGTGCTTTCGTGACCATCTCGGTTTGGTGGGGCCTAGGTCATCACATAAGTGCATTGGTGTCTCATCCAGAGCGAGTCACCAACGCTGTCAAATGGATGTTCCTATCCGAGATATTTGCCATCATGTCGCCCGGATTCGGCCGTATATCATTTGCCTTCCTGCTACTCGGCCTGTTGCCACCGAGCGGCCCTAGAAGTTTGCGTCCGATGATTCTGTGGAGCATCATAGCCATACAATTCGTCGTCGATCTTGGTACAGTCATCATCAGCTTAGTCCAGTGCAGGCCCATTGTAGGATTTTGGGATAAGAGCATCGAAGCTGGCTGTTGGGATCCCCGTGTGCAACAATACGCGGGCTTTCTTCAGGGCTGTAAGGTTTTCAAGAATCTTCTCCGTTGAAGGGTCACTTCGGAACACTGATTCTCCTGAAGCCATTAGCTCAATTGTGGACCTAGCCCTGGCTCTATTCCCGCGAATTTATTCTGGAACTCCAACATGGAATGGAAGCAAAAAGTGGCCTTGAGCGCCGTCATGGGACTAAGCATCATGTAAGTCTGACCGACCATGCCTCGTCGATAAAAGCGAATGTCTGATTCCTGGATTTGCAGTGCCATGGTGGCGTCCATTGTCAGAACAGTAAAACTTCAGGCGATAACCGAGACAGACGACCAAACATGTCAGTACCCTATAAATAATAGTTGGTGTTCCCATGGAATGCAATCTGACCCGAGATCTGTAGATGCTATGGCAGAAGCAGCCATCTGGTGGACGTAAGTGACCTGAGACCGATACCCTCTCTGTACTTGAGCGTGGGGCTGGAATACAAGATCCCTCATTTGTGCTAACTACGTCCTTCTCTCAGAGTTGAAGCCTACCTTGTCCTACTAGCAGTCTCGATTCCGACCTTGCGTCCTATATTAAAAAGCAAGAAAACCGTCACTCCACGCGAGCTGGGAGGCCACCGAAATGGAGGCAAACCAGTTGGCTCAAAGGTATTGCGAGCTAGGGCTGGCAACAGCATCCTGACGGACAGCCATAATATGGCCCCGTTTGACAGATTATGGGAGCACAACACCTTCTTAAACGACATCAGTTGTGGTGATGACGGCAGTAGTGGCAAAGTTAATACGTATTGCATGGACCCTGTGAGTAAAGGTTGGCCAGGGGTCGCTGGAACTCGAGCCACAGACAATCAAATTCGAAAGGACATCACGGTTTCGGTCACTTTAGGCCACCAGAGTCCCGACGGTCATCATAAGAATAAGTTGGAATTGCTACAATAGCTACGGATGGAAGGACCATCGTATTGTTTGCATGTTACAACTCTTGTCTGAGAAGAGGTATCATGCCGGAAGTCCTGTTACGGGGCACTTCTGAAAAGTGCTTGACTTTCTGGCGACCACTCACCCCGGCTGCGTTGATGGCACAATCCAGCCGGCCAGAATTTCACACCAAGAAGTCTACCATAATCTGGACGAAGTCGTCGTCTTGGATGTCCAGTTCGCATGTAATGGTTCGAGAATGACCATTTTCCGTATACCTCATACTCTATTCGAATGAAGCCTTAATCGTTTCCGTGTTCAAGTCGGCGAAAATGACAAACTTGGCGCGGCAAGGGAGAAAGCAGCCTCCCAGTCGATGCTGCTGCCTGACTGTATGGAACGCCCTACTTAGTGTCTCATTTAGTTTACATATAAACTCTGAACTCATTCCGACTATGAGAGGGACGCCATCCAGTTTCGTGCTATTGATCATACTGGTGGTGGGCTACTAGATTTGGCCTTGCAAGGTTGATCATCCAACGTTGGGGTTGTAGCAACTTGGAGCCGTGGACAGGAAACTGGGCTCAGAAGTCATTAAAATATGCTTCAGATGAGGTAGTATGCATCCGACGGGATTCGTGAGTTATTTACTTGTACGTGCAGGTAAAGTCGTCAGAATCTGTAACCAAACACTAACAGGCACCAACAGGTACTAACGTCCCGCTTTTGTTTGGACGTGGCCAATACAATAAGAATGAAGATTAGGGCTTTTGACCTCTGACTTTCAAGTTGCTTCCATCGCGGACGGTCGTGAAATCGATTCGATGTACTATTCCCACAGAACCTTCATCTGTCTACAGCTGCGGAGATTCGTGGGACGTGACCTGAACAGTGAAATTGATGGTCTGCTTACCTATATATATATGTATATCTTGCTCAAGTGGTGCATGTAAGCTCGCTCAGACTACAGTATTCAGCGACTGAGAGGCCGTTCTGGGTGCATCGGGCTAGGTATTGAAGGTAAAGATATGGTGCAAGACTTAAGCAGCAATATTCACAGCTAAGGTCTCTGACATAGAGGATGTGACGTACTGTTTCACTGTGCGTTAGGCTCTCAGTCTTTGGCCCCTGATGCTTTCTTACTCGATTCTTGGTAGCACAATTGTGCTTGTCTCGCCTGGAAAGCTCATACCCCACGTCGCGGCCTTGCAACTGGCTGAGTGGAGAAGCATGAGTCTTGATGAGCCTGTCTACTAGTACCTTCCAAAGCTTGAGTTTCTCACCCTAGTCAACCGTGGTGGTGCTCCAGGTGATCAATCTCTCTTGTCCAGCAGACCAGGCAATGATGTACGCTACGTCGCCTGATACTCCATACAAGCGGCCTTTTAGATGTCGAGGTGAGGGCTTTGCATACCGATATAGCATCCACTGAACTCAACCACTGGACAAGAGGCTCAACAATAGCAGCAATGTTGTCAGACACATACAAGAGCACACTTTCGCCCCTGTCTCCATGATGACTTCGACCTGAGCACTACAAGCCAACGCTGATATCTGGAACAGACGCCAGAGGACGGTGGAATGAGACAGTGACAGGCTTCTACGGCTAAAGACGCATAGAAGGGTTTGACATGCAGCATGTCAGATTTTGGCGCAAATATTAGCGACCTGGTCTCATCGGTCCCAATACTGCTCGAACAGAAGCAACACGTCGACTTTGTATTTGCCGTCCAGCTCACGCCCTCGAGTGCGTCGATGAGCGGTCTGCGCGAGGGTCGTGGAAATTTCAGATTCTGTGCGGAAACAGCCTCAGCTGGGAGTGCAATACTCTTTATGAATTGGAGCGCAACGGTGTCGGAGAAAATGGGTTTCACTCCTGTTAACACTGCGCCTTGATCTGGCCTTAGCGCTTTAGCTTAGCGCGTTCACTGGATGGGCAGACGCAGCCAGTCACGACCGCGTCGACCAACTGACTGCCTGGGTTTGGGTCATCCCGATTCATATGGAGATCTCAGCCCCTGAGCTGTGACTCAAATGGCGAGCTTTCGAGAAAAGTCATAAACTTGTGTCTATACCCAACTCTCAAAGACTCACTCGAGCGCTTCTAAGTTTCTTCACAGTGACTACAATCATTCTGGCAGCATGGAAACACTCTCTGAAATCGCGAAGTTGCCAACCCGTGCAGCACCGACCCAGCTGAAAACTCCTAAAGGAACATTGGACTTCATAGGCTCTGACGTCAAGCTACGAAAGCAGATCTTGTTAGTTTCCCGCGCCCTGATGCAGCCGCTCTATGCATCACGCTGTCTCACTAATCGGCCCCGCAGTCAAGTCCTTAGCGAGATATTCGAACGTCACGGTGGCCAGGAACTTGACACACCCGTTTTTGAGCTCAAGGAAATCCTGTCAGGGAAGTATGGCGAAGATTCCAAGCTAATCTACGACCTGCAAGACCAGGGAGGCGAGCTGTGTTCCCTACGCTACGATCTCACGGTTCCCTTTGCTCGTTGGTTGGCAATGAACACCAACTTCGCCCAAGTGAGTCGATATCAAATCGCAAAGGTGTACCGGCGCGATCAACCGACCACATCACGTGGCAGATACCGCGAGTTCTACCAGTGCGATTATGACATTGCGGGCGAGTACGAGTCCATGACCTCCGACGCCGAGATCCTCTTGATAGTTGTTGAAGCATTTCAGGGGTTGAAAATGGACATAACGATCAAGATCAATCACAGGAGAATTCTGGACGGCATTTTTGCTGTTGCAGGAGTACCGGAGGACAAAATCCGACCCATCAGCTCGGCGGTGGATAAGCTCGACAAGTTACCATGGGACGAGGTGAAGCGGGAGATGGTCGAACAGAAGGGCCTCCCAGAATCCGTGGCCGACGAAATTGGCCATCTTGTCCGGAGCTGTGGCACCCTCGACGAGACTCTGGGTCTTCTCAGAGCGAATGAAAAATTGACAGCCAACGAGGATGTAAAAGCTGGGATCGATGATATGAGCCTTCTCTCCTCTTACTTACAGGCATACAAAATTGCCGACAAAGTCTCGTTCGACCTATCGCTCGCTCGTGGGCTCGACTACTACACGGGCATGATCTTCGAAGTGGTCACTTCTCTACTGGACACCAAAGAGGACAAGAAGGACAAACAGCCAGAGGTCGGCAGCATAGCAGCAGGCGGACGCTATGATGATTTGGTGGGCAGGTACTGTGACAGAGATGTTCCTTGTGTAGGCGTGTCATTTGGGGTGGAACGCATCTATATGATTCTCAACGCGCGCATGCCCAAGAGAAAGGGGGAGTCAGTCATCGCCCAGGATTTCGATGTTTATGTTGTCGCGGCAGGTGGTGGGGGCTTTTTGCTTGAGCGAATGGCGATCTGTGGCCAGCTGACAAAGGCCGGTGTCAGAGCCGCCTTCTTACGAAAAGCAAAACCAAGCTTGCGTTCACAATTCAACGCAGCTGAAAAGGCTCCTCTCACCGTCATTTTTGGACCGGATGAGCTTGCTGCTGGTAACGTGAGGCTGAAAGCCTCCACAGGCAGGGATACTAAACCCGGCTCAGAGAACCAGGGTGAGAAGGACCGCGGTCAACTGGTCGCCAGAGGTAATCTGGTAGAAGAGGTCAAGAAAGTATTACGAGGCATTTCTGGGAACATCGGACCTTGTCGTGGGAACCAGGGACATGCAGGTTGACCTATACGATAACTCTACCATGCTTGCATGGTAGTGGATACGTCCCGGTCATATTGGAACGGTTTGTAGCGCAAAACTATGGTGGGATCATCTTCCGTCGATGGTTGGCGTTGGGGGCATTGTCGGCGCGCGGGGAAACAGCTGGACTAAAGCCATGTTTCCAATTTGGATACAGACATTTGGTCTGTCATTCAGGGTTGCTTAGGTACATCGACAGAAGTGCGAGTAGCATCTCGTCCAATTGTTGATCAGTCTTTTCCATGACTACGCTTCTTGCGCTCGACAAATTCTGTTAGAATGTATCACCCACCAGCTGCAACTTGGCTGTTTGCAATCAGGTAAGCAAAGCTGCCGTCTTCATATAAACAGCAGAAGTGCACAATACGAAGTATTCACCGATCTGATCGCTGCTCGAATGCCTGCTGCCGCGGGCCCTTTAGCTTCGTGGTGGTTGCGACCACACAATCATCCAGAATGCTTCATCCGGTGTCTCGTGCCAAGTCAGTCCGCACGTGACAATTCCTCGCCATTCACATGAAGATGTTGTTGCCTTCGTCACCACGAGCCGAGTACTACGGTATAGCATGAAATGTCTTGCATCCAGTAGGCAGTCAACGAGAAACTCCTGCACATCAGTTTTGTTGGTGGCTGGACACCGCCGTTCATTATGCAGGTCGGTCGCTGCCGGGCCACAATCTGCCTAAGTAGTATGCCTTACGGGCGGGGAACACAAGGCGACAGTGACATCCACAGAAGAACGACTGATGGACTTCCGTTTTCGTCCATTGGCGAAGTGACAGATGGACTTCCACTTTCGTCCATTGGCGGGGTGACATGGACTTGGCACATCAGAAAGATCAGATTATGCGCTCAGCCAGGCCGCTCCGCGTCTGATCTTTTCCCAGGACGGCTTTGTGTTTATCCTTTGGTTCTCCTGCAACCAATCTCCCCTTTTGCTTTCGCTGATGTTGGCAAACCTTGTACCACCACGTCATGGCTTCTCGAATAGCGACACGCACACCAGTGAAAAACCGTTCTCTTTCGTGCTCTAGTATCTGTGTTGTATTATATCGGTGCTACTGCATGTGCTCGTAGGGTACAAGGGGGAATGAATAAGGCCGGAGACGTGGCTTCAAGACGTGAACCCTCTGTACTCTGGACGAAAATGCGAAGGTTAGTCTAAATAAGTGAATTGGAAGACCCCTGGGACTCTCTCGTAAATATAATATGATTGCAGTCTCTATGTCACTCATGAGCTGACCTTTCAAAATCTATAAAGGCACCAACGATTGACGGCTTTCCTCGGACTACTATTTGGAGAGTTGAAATAGAGAGTCGGACAGAGGAGAAAGACACCCCATAACCTCTTTCAAGATGTACTGCTTGGACATTCTCGCATCCTTGCTCTTGTTATGTGCTTCCCTTCAAGCGGCCCCTGCCCCTGCCCCTATTGCTGTCCTCCACGCCAGGCAGGCAGAACTACCCGGCTCGCTGGCTGGCGCGCAAAATGGTGAACCGCCCAGCTCGGTCGAAGATGCGAGAGCCAAGTTAACAGCTATTCTGGGCGGTGGGACAAAACCCTCCAATATCTACGACTTTGCCGCCCGCTTGGTGTCGAGCGGCCTGGTCACTGAGTCTGTCAGCGCGATCACCGGTCTGGTTCTCGGCGTCCTCACCGGGGAGAACAGCCACGATAACCATAACCCAGACCCGCCGACGCCAGTCTTCCCTCAGAAGGGAGAGTCGGATGCCCAGTACAGTGTTCAGGAAGCAACGCTGCGCAAGGCGATCTTCATGCCCAACGACTTCGACGCCAAGGACAAGGCCGGTCAGCAGCCCATCGTCCTCCTACCAGGCACTGGCAATACGGGATTTATCACCTTTCAGGGCAATTACATCAAACTCCTGACAGCCGACAATCGCTTCAACCCCGTGTGGGTTAACATCCCCGGCTATCTTCTTGACGACGCCCAGACCAATGCCGAGTACGCGGCCTACGCTATCAACTATATTGGGGCGATGACTGGAAAGAAACTGGGCGTTGTTGCCTGGTCGCAGGGCAACATCGATGCCCGTATGTATGAGCCTGTTTCCAAAGTAGTGCCTCACCTGTCTGCTTTCAAGCTTTATAGACGTCTCAATTTCGGCGCGTTTACAGTTCACTAACCGATAGTAGAGTGGGCTTACAAATACTGGCCGTCGACTATTGACGTGACTGCCGATCACATCGCGATCTCGGCCGATTACCACGGCACAATCGAGGCGAACCTGATCTACCCGCTAGGACTCCTCAACTCGAAGTCAGTGCTGCAGCAAAAATTTAACAGCGACTTCATCACCACCCTACGCGCCGGCGGCGGTGACTCGGCTTATGTGCCCACCACCAGCATCTATTCAGGTTTCATTGATGAGATCGTCGAGCCACAGTCGGGAGAACTCGCCTCGGCCTTCATTCAAGATATTCGCGGTGTCGGCGTCTCGAACAATGAGGTCCAAGTGCTCTGCAAGGGCACTGAGGCTGACGCGCTCTGCACTCACGAAGGTACCCTGTATAACCCTATCGGCTACGCTCTTGCTATTGACGCCCTGACGCATGACGGCCCCGGTGACTTTAATAGAATCGGTGCCGACGCCTGTAATACCTACCTCGCCCAGGGTCTTGACCAGGGAGACCTCGTCGTCACGGAAACCAGCATCCTAGTGGCAGCCGTGGCCCTAATCTTCGATAAACCTAAGCAATATACGGAGCCGGCGATTCAGGCGTACGCGAAGTAAGAATTCACGACTGTGAGAGGTCAATCTTGATGATCGTGAGGATAAAGTAGAGTATAATCATTGTCATAGGGGAAGTGAGGATTCTGTGGCATCAACTTAAGGGGACTATTTTGTTTATTTATTGATGTATAAAGTGCCAGCTACATACGGTATAGTTTGAATAACGAACATCCTCAAACAATAAGGTACAGTCCTTGTTTCTGTCTGACTTGTCCGAAACCATTCTATCCGCTTCCAGTATCCCTGTCGCCCTCTGGAGCTACACAAGTCACGTCTAACAACTCAGGATCGACATTTGAACATTCGTATACTGGAGCTTCTCCGCTGGGTACGTTGACAGATATGTTCTGCGCTACGATATTGCTGCAGCGCTGTCGTGGTGTGTAGTATTAGTAAAGGTTATCAAACGGGCATGCTTCCATTCCTGCTATTTACCCATGTGACTCGGCTCAAAGTTTGAACTTACATCTGACGCACTGCAAACGAGGGATCCGGCTTCCGGGTCCAACTTTGTTGATGTGGTGCCCCAAAAGTTCTTCATCGTTATATCGGAGATGGTCAAGTTGGCCTGCTAGTAAGTCAGTTGGAAGTCGGGTGGTTGGCATGACTGAGGGAACAGCCAAATGAGTTGAACAGACTGGAAATTCATTACACAGCGTCTGGTTTTTCTGCCCATAACACTGCGTGATAGTGATTGCCCTGTCGTTGTTATCATGATAGAAAGTATCGTAAGTCACGTTCCGCACACGGCCCAGCCCGCCACCACCATTCAGGAGGTCTTGGAACGCGGTTTCCACGCCGGGCCAGACCTTGATGCGGGCTGCGTCGCTGGCGTCAGCCATGGAGATGTTATAAATGTATAGATCCTCGACAATATCCGTCTGGCCCTTATACTGGCCAAGTGACCCCACGCTGATCCCGTGCGAGCCAGTGCAGTCGAGATTCTGCACGACGACGTTGGTACTGTTCGGCTTGAACGACACGCAATCATCCGTATTGATGATGACCGAGTCCTGGATGACGACGCGATCGGAGCGGTATGTATCCCAGCCGTCCGAATTTGCAATTTTTACCCCGCCGCTGCTGGCGGCTACGAGGTTCATGTTGCTGATGATGACATCTGTTGCGTTGGCGATCATGTTGAACCACTGTAGACAAGCAACCGTTTAGGCACTTCTGTGTTGACACATTGCGGGATAGAGCCGTCGTTGTGTCGCGCAACTCACATTTGGTGGATTGCGCATGCGCAGATTGGACATCGTCACGCCCTTTACTCCCTCGAGCACAAAAAGCATGGGTCTCAGCAGCTGGTTCCCCTCCGAGTTAGCCAATCGCTTATGCTGCTTCGTCAATGTGCAATTCGAAGCCTTACTGTGCTGTTCCTGGAGAGCTCCTCCCAGTATGTCTGACCACGACCGTTGATCACAGAACGATTGTTGCTCAGGTCACCGTAGATGTTGATATCCTCTCCCCCAATCTTCCAGAAAGAAGACATGTTCTGGAAGTCATACTTAAAGCTGTTACGTGCCCAGTAGTAAACATCACTGTCGTCGAAGGCCACTTCTCCGGTGATGATAATGTCCACATGCTGAAGGAAAGTGAGGTCTAGAGGTGATCCAATCAGGTATGATTGATCGAGGACAATTGTACCTCCACCGTTGCAATCTTGGAAAGCCTTGAAGATCCCGGGCGCGTCGTCGCGGGTCGTGCCGTTGGGCGATCCCGGCTGAACGTAGCAGTAGCGGCTCTCGTCCCTCGGTGGCGAGTAGGGGAACTCCTTGCCAGTATTATACGGAGCTGGGATAATACCCGGGCGCTTCGGAAGGGCTGAAATGCCATGGCGAAGTGGAATCGCAGCAAAAGACGGGGAGATAGCGATTGCGGCCATAGCCGCGAAAAGGGTGTTGAGGTGCATGGTTACCCTCTACATTCAACAATCCAAGGACGCTGGTCAGATTCGAGAGAGCTCCTTAGACAGAACTGGAAGACCTTCATAGCACCTGTCTCATTCAGATCATCCGCATGTATTTATGTTCATAGGACATGTCATGCACCTAAATGGTTCCCAACTGGCGTTTACGGATAAATTAATTGACGCCAAGAGTGTACTCGGTGTAAAGCATCCCGTGAACATGTGGGTAAACATGTGCTACATTCAAGAGCCGCTGGAAATGAAATCGGTCAGGCTCTCAACGGAACATGACATGTAATTGTAAGGAGATCTTATCAGTTGCCAAGTCTCAGCTCGCCTTAGATGCGTATGTTATTGATTCGTACCCCAAGCATGTTAGCTCTGCCAGCGCTTTGGCTATAACGCAGTTCTTGCAAGGACTATTATACCGTTTCTTTCCATCCATCTTCTCGCCGGTCTTCGAGGTTCAATATCTGTACCTCCACCCATTGTGACTGCCTCCCACACAACTGCAAATATCCTCCATGATGTACCGGGCCAAGTGACGTCTGTTACCCTTTGACTTGGATTATAACATCCAAAAATGGCTTTCACGTTTTGCTGACGAATTACAACCAAGCACTGCGAGCTGCGGACAGGTAATTGTATGGCCTTGATGCTCAAAAATGTATTCGAGTGGAAGGACCACATCCCCATTATCGGGATCGCCCAACTCGAGCAATTTAATGTGCCTCTCTTTGTCGCGCTCGCCTCTTCCGAGTTCGAGACACTTCATAGGACTGTATTGTTAGCATTGTGAGCTTTGCAACGTATATCGTAATCTGTTATGGCTAAGTTGTAACGTCAGAGGCGACTTCGGTACACGGAATTAAGCGACGGCAGCTCCACGGCCATTTTGCACCGCCGGCTTACCCCACGTATCACCGGCCTGTAAGTAGACTGTTCTGTGCATAATGTCTTTTCTCCCTAAACATAATGAGACGTTCTAGACATCGTCCTTAAAAATCAGAGAGCTCGACATGTTGTTTTGCGCGTCTCACCAAAAAGGATGGCTGACTTCGGGAGTCGGTGAAAGCTGTCCATCATGCTGCTCAGTCAGGGACATCGCACTCACGTCAAATTGATGTGTAATCCTCTGCACTTGATCAAGCGGCTTGGTGCGTTCGATTATAACTTAAAGCCTGACAATCTCTAGACATTAATAACAGCTACATTATTTTAAGATCTAAGCAACACCGTAGACAAACTGCGGAAAACAGCCTACACCCTAAGTGAGATCTGAACGGGAATGGATTTCTATGTAATGGTAATGGAATATTCCCCCCTCGGAGACCTGTGATAGCTGCGATCGACAGACCCGTGAGCTGAAACATCTGAGAAACCCCTGGTCCTTCAAGGACCATGTTCTTTGAGCCAATACCTAAAGGAATGCTCAATTCCCCCATTGTTGAGTTTGGTGCAGTGAAAGTACCTGACAAGCCGCTCGTACTGTTCGTCCAGCTTGTTGTAAAGCTCCCAAGTGGGGTCTCAAAGCCTGTCCGGATAGTCTTGAGACTGCCCAGTGCTGGGGCGACTTTCCAAGTTAGGCCTGCCGCTGAAGTCATTGTCAGGCCTCCCCCATAAAGTGTGAGCATCGAAGTAGGAGCAGTAGACCAGCCGTGCGCGTGGCTGACGCGAGGATCATAATTGTAAACTGGGTAGAGTGGAGTACCATCGGTCGCATACCCTTCGATAAACGTGCTATTTGTCATCCGTGGACCGTCAAGCATGTAGTCTGCCCACATGAACTCCATCAGATCTGTAGCATATTCCGAATGGCCAGCCATATAATGCGCCTGGATCTCGAACCCAGTCGTGAACGGAGATATCGTCTGACCAGCCTCAACTGCTGGCGCGCCATATGGAAGCACCCACCGTGCCTTCAGAGCATCGCTAACAGCCTCGGCTCGCGTACCGTTGGCGATACCAGCTATGACGGCCCATGAATTTCCGTCCTGCGGATAAGAGGGCGCCGAAGAGCTATCTTCAATAGTGTCGTTGTCACGATACAAGGATACCGACTTGTCCCAAAGAATATCATTCGCAGCCGTGGGGATGCCTGCCGCAAAGCTTTCCCATTGGCAAGCTTGAGAGCATTCCTCAATGTGTAATACAATATGGAATCGGCCTGCTTGTTTGTTAGAAGCTGTATATGCAATCAAGGATCTGTGAATTCAAACCTCGATATTATGACCCGACATACCGCTTCGAACCCAATCAGAAGTACTGGTCACGTTGGCCAGACCAGATGAGTCAATGAACTGCAGGAGATAATCGACTCCTAGCCGGTACCGGTCCCATAATGATGTGATGTAGTCCACATCACCAGTGAACATAAAGTAATCGTATACATCGTTGAGGGTGTGACAATGATATGTAAAACTCCATGCAAATAGTTGTGCCAATGGGTATCCCGCAGCAGGCAAACGGCCATCCGATTCTTGGTAGAGGAAGAGCGAGTCAAGTGCATTGCGGATAGGCTCAAGACTGGTTGTCGACACGAAGATGGAAGGGCCCGAAATGACGATATCCCCTGGCCATACGATCCGATCTCTCTTACCACCATCTAACAAAACACTAGTGCCGTCTGCACAAGCAAGATCATTTTGAATTGAATTAGAAGACAGCACTGGTGAGCTATGATTTACTCGCAAGAGTATAGTTATAAAACCACCCTGCCACTGGGGCACCCAATGCACCTCCGGTAGTGGGGTCTGCTGAACAGATTTGATTGGTATAGGCACCTGCATACCACACTCGATTCAACTTTTCGTTGTCGCTATGAAAATAAACAGTGTAGTCTGATGGGTCAGTCATTTCAGGGGATGTGCTCCAATAAACAGTAACGTTAGAGAGACTAATAGTTTCTGTCGAATTATGGACTATTGTGAGGTATCGGAAAGCTCCTCGTTGAAATTCGTGGCCGGCCTCGTAATGGCCTGGTGTTGTGTCGTTGAACCACTGAGGAAGATCGAACGCTCCATCAATTACAGCATCGCAGAACTGAGCGCTGATGTACATTGAGGACTCGCTGAACGTGAAGCCTATCGAATCGGTCGATCCCGAGACAGCGTCTACCTGGAAAGCAACCCTCCCAGCCACGTTTTTGCCGAAGTCCAGCGTAACGTAAGAGCCATTACCTGAAAATGAGGTTGAATGGCTATCCTGGAGCGTACTTCCCCTGGTATTCAGGAGGCCAGCAGCATTCTCAACGTTGCCGCCAGCCTGGTAAATAGAGACCGGGCTGATGACACGTGAGTTAGGCGCCAGAACGTATTCGTGAAACGGAACTTGTGCTGCAGCGGCCGCAAGCAGAAACAATGGCATATGAAACAAAACCGATTGACACTTCATTATGGCAGCAGTACCTTGAGATCGCGACTGAACAGACTCCAAGAAAAACAAGTCGCTCCTATTCACACATCTTAGGAAGAGTATTCTTAAATACAACTTGCAATTGTGCAGGATCCCCTATTTGAGCGTTATTTACGATGGACAGTACAACAGATTGCCTACCATATACCGATAGGTCGCTTGATACGAAAAACAGGGATGTATGTATCCAGCGGGAACGAAAATCAGTGATGTTTCTATTGCAGGCGGAATGACAAGTAGAAATGTTTTTACTATAGCGCGAGCGAGAAACAGGGGTGTCTATACGACAAGAACGAAAAATAAAATTGATCAGGCTGCTTTCATTTCCACAATGAAATTTAATAGATGTGATTGAAAGTCTGACAGCGAATCCTTGGGTAAAGTGGAAAGGAGCACTTATGAAATGAGGTTGGACAATCCTTACGTCGTCACTGTGCAGAGGCTCGATAGAGCTGTAAAAATTTATAGATTTTCTTTGAGGCTCGCTTTTTGAAAAGAAAAGCAGAGACAATGTAGCTGTGTACGTGAGCTTGAAGCTCTTCACAGGCAGTGGGCTGATAGGATAAGTTATCGATAAATGTCTTGATCATAGGGCTCTGTTGGCTTTCAGCTCTACAAACCTCACATTTATATGTTCAAAGTTCTTGATAATTATTTTACAATTAATTGAATCTTCACATTTGACTTATAGTCCGTCTTCTTCTATCATGCTGAGAACATAAAAATTTTACTAAGAAAGTCCCAAAATCGATCGCACAACTGACGATGGCAATAGATGTGGAAATCATTCAATGCTGGCTTCGCCAATAGATGGCTCGGAGACCTTTCTGACATGTTTCTGAATGCCAGCAGCAGGAAAGACTTATTTATTAGACTGGTTCTGGAAACCGTGGACTTGGGTATTCAAAATTGCCGATGAGCCCACGGCGGCACCTCGAGCGTCGCGCGACGCCTTGCTGAAGGATTTCTTGGGTCGTAAGGTGCCGCGGCCGGCCTCGGTTGTTCAAAAGACGAGTGGCGGGAGAGGTTCCGTGATGAAAACGAGCTTTCATGTGTCCTCGAACTCCTTGCTCGGGGCGAGAGCAATATTGGCGATGTGGGTGACGTGGGTGACGTGGGTGACGTGGGCGACGCTGGTGTTGCAGATGGAGCTGCCGAACCGCTAACACTGCAGGGGCCGCCGTCCCGAGAATCTCGCGAGCTGCCTGGTTCTTCCATAATGCTGTAGCGATCTTCGTCTTCGGCCATTCGATCGTTGCGCTGAGCTTCTCCTGGGATTCGCGGCCACGCCCCGGTCTTGAAATCACCGGCACCGAATGGGTCTTTTGCTGGGTTGCCGAAGTAGTTGCCCATTTTCCCTAGAGCGTTGGCAATCTTTCGTCGAGCCACCCATTCTCCCGTGGAATCTACGGTAGAACGCCTGGCTTCTGACCCAGGGCGGCTCTCTTGATGTTCTGGATAGGCTGTGTTGGCTTGCGGGGCTCCGCCTTCGTCTCTTATTCGGTCAGACTGCTCGCGACGATAGCAGTATGGACAATTGCCATGACCTGTTGCAGCTGCATTGGCGAGCTCGCCGTTACTGTCTGCAAGCCAGACGTAAAGCGAGCCCAGACCTGCCATCCCGGTTGCAAGAATTGTTGACCATTGGCCTGGAGAGGTAAGCCTAAGTCGGGGAAAGATAGGAACTACTTACCGATGTTGCTAATGGGTTCGGTGTGATACTTGACCTGAGGACTCCAAAAGTTGATCTCGCCGATGATAAGGACAGCTAGCCAAGCACCTCCGAATACAGGGACCTCAACTGCACTCAACAGAGACCTGATAGCCTGGTTGACGTCCTTCATGCCCTTCAAGGTGGCGCCGTTTGTTCCAGGAATGATGCTTCGATCCTCTGACTGTTCTTTCTCTGGAGCACCACGCCCTCGACGTGCCTTCCAATTTATTTCCAAAATCTTCTTCCACATGGAAACCAAGGACAGAATAGCGGGGACGCACTCGGCCGCAGCGAGGAACATGGCCATGCCAAATGGGAGCGTCGCTGGTTTGGGAACGACGTAGATCTCGCTGGTCGCACCCTGCCTCAGACCGGAGAATGGCCCGTTCATTTCAGAGCAAACAAGGCCGCATATGTCTTCATCTCCGTATGGAAATCTGCCGAGACTTGGAACTGGACTCGCTCCGCCAGTCTCGCACGGATGGGTATTGGAGCGATAGAATTCGACAGCCAAGCTCAACAGACCTGGTTTTGGTCAGTGGGTTGGTGCGCATGGGTGGCTGTTCAAGACGTCTCGATCTCACCCGACAGAATGAGGCCTGTCCACAGGAAGATGATGTTCCGTCCTGGGTCGTAGAAGAATGTTGATGACAACTTCACGGTCACGGGAGCCGCCAAGATGCCAATTGAGCAAAATTGCAAGGCTCCGTAGATATCCATGTCCGTGGCACCTAGATTGTGGACCCGTTATTAGGTTAAGTACTTGTTAGTTACTAGAAGAGGTCGAGTATCCTCTCCCACTCACCATCAACATGGAATGATGCTAAGACGATACCATGGATTGCTGCAACAGCGGGTACAAGCAGTGCAGCGGCTTGACAGACAGCCCGAATCCATTCTTCTTTTCGGGCAACCACACAGACGACAACGAGGATGTAGTATCTAACGCGTCGCATTAGTCTCCGCGCTAAGAAATAATTGGTCTCGCCACAAAGGTTGATAACAAGCATTTGCCAAGTCCCTCACTCGGACAAGTTGCCGATTTGCTAGGCATTAAAGGTGGAGAAACTACACTTGCAAGATCCGCTGCCCGAAACCATATTGACCTGACAGCGGCCAGGCGCAAACGACCTCGATGCAAGATCCGTTGATTTCGTCGCAAGAAGATGGTACACCGGTGTCATCGTCACGCTTGAGGAGGGTCTGCAGCAGCGCAGTCGGCACGAGGGGTGCCATAAGTGACGACCAAACCGGAGCCACTACAAGCCGCCGGGTGAAGTTGAACTTGGGAATCAGCCTTTCTTATGACATTTTCCACACTTATCGATTGTCATTCAGGGCAATGACCAAAGGAGCTGGGAATCAAGTGATAATTGAAACGTTGAAATGGAACAGTGGGCTCGGGCTCGTCCTCGTCCTCGTTCCTAATTTCCGCCGAGGTGAGAAACAGAAAAGGTTCCCGAGCATTCAATTCAAAGCTTTCAGCAAAAGAGCTGCCTCGGGCAGGTGCTCGCGTGATGGGGGGCGGCTCATACGTGTCCACATTGAGGCAAGGAATGCAGCCAACGGGGCAAAGAGAAACATTCAATAAGCAGATGCTGACATTTCCGGAGATGGCACAGCGCGTCGATGATGCATTCTCAGCTCCTACCAGCAGCAGTCGGGCGCTGGCTGACAAGAGCAAAGATGAGCACTGAGCTGGCACTGAGAGGAAGTGATTGGCTGCGAAACGCGTGAAAGAACTCTACAGCCTGTTGTACAACATGAAAAGGCGGGGTTGTCTTGGTCAGGAGAGAACATCAGGTTCTCTAGGGCTGACCTCGCCGGAGACCCAAGCAAGATTCTTCCCGCGTGTCTCCAACCCCCACCCTTTCTGGCGCTTTTTAACCCAGAGCCCGGACCTGGACTTGGACCTTGCCTTTTCAGATGGCAACACCAGGAAGCGTGGCACAGGAACTAATTAGCCTCATCTTAGCTTTGTGTTTGCAAACCAAGCCTTGATGCGTCATTCCGTGGTGGTTGAGCCTGCGACACAAGTTCGATCTGCACGATGAATCTCTCCGACGTCAGTATTGAGACTGATCAAATCAGAGAGTGGCGGTCCATCATAACCCTCATTGTCTTCCTTCTCGCCAGTAAGTATTTGGAATCACCCGCCTGTGTTTGCCCATGGATATATGTAGTATCACTGGGTTGGAATAGCACCACTAACAGGGAAGCACAGACATTGCCGTCTTGTTTCCTTTCCACATCCCGATTTATGTTCCCGGGCGACTCTGGCACGCTGCTCAGCAATTTCTCTGTGCTATACGTGTGATATCACCGAGGACCCACGGCTCTCACCATGAACCACACGACGGCAAGGCCAGAAAACTCGTGTGCAAGAGATTCCCCATGAATTCTGTTACGGCACCCCTCATTGCAGACCTCTTCCTCCTTGCCATTCTGGCCATTGGAAGAGACGAAGTCAAGGCTGGCACTCTTGGAGACAACGGCATTTTCCCCATCGACATCATGATATTCTTCATCACTTTAGCCTATATTGCAATTTCAATTGACGCGTCCGGTCTCATCAGGTATCTAGCCTTGAAGGTTCTGCAGTGGGGAGGTAAGGTCGGCCATAGGCTGTTCTTTTATTTATACGCCTTCTTCTTTAGCCTAGGCATTTTTATCGGCAATGATCCAATTATTTTGTCCGGTACAGCATTTTTGGCCTATATGACGCGAGTATCAAATAATATCAAACATCCCAGAGCCTGGATTTTCACTCAGTTCTCAATAGCCAACATTGCTTCAGCAATCCTCGTTTCATCAAACCCAACCAACCTTGTTCTCGCAGGAGCTTTTAATATCAAGTTTATCAATTATACCGCTAATATGGTGGTTCCTGTTATTGTTACTGCCGTTGTATTATTCCCCTTCCTGCTATACATCGTCTTTGCCAACGAGGGCCTTATCCCCGTATCTATCACAATGCGCGAGCTTCCAGCAGAGGCTAAGTTGAAACCTGCTGTCAACCCCAACATTCCAAACGCCAGAGGAATTGTAGACGATGAGGAGGAGGCCCACACAAACGACGACCAAGGCCAGCTTCTTTCTCTCGTCGAGATCATGAACCCTTTCCTGGACAAAGGAGGCGCAGCGTTTGGTGCCATCATCATGTCAGTGACGCTGATCACCGTCTTGGCTATCAACGCTGCCAGCGTTAAGGCGAAAAATGATGATCACTTTCAGGTCTTTTGGGTGACGCTACCGGCTGCCTTTGTTATGCTGTGCTGGGATCTCGCATTCGGGTGGATCCACCGTGAGGATACACGAGCAATCTCTCGCAGAGGACGACAAGAGGTTGAACGGGCTCGTAGGGAGAGAGCGTTGAGAGGAGATAGGATCACAGAGCACTTTGGAGGGAGACAGCTATCTACTGAGGGTGGCGTCGAGATGCTGTCGATAACACGCAGCCTCTCCAGAGAAGCTTGGCCTGAGATTCAAGTCCAGGATACCGACGCTGATACAAAGGACGGTGTGAAAGACCAAGGCTACGACATACAGCCTGTTAGTCCCGGGAGAGGACCCGCTCCTCTCCTCACGCTCACACCTGCTGGTCGGACAAGTGAGGCCAGCATCAGCCCGGCGCCTGAAGCAATTGCTCACCTGGCATCTTCCATGTCTACCACAGCGGGAAACGCAGCTGACAACAGCCGGCCATCAAGCAGTGACCCGACCGTTTTCGAGAAAAGAGACGATTTGCCTTGTGCTGAAGAATCCAGCTTTCCGGTGGAAGACGTCCTAATTTCGGGCATCGATGAATCCGCAAACAAGAATAAGAAATGCGAGCTGGACGAAAGTACAGTAAGCAACGGGAGGAATCACAGCCCGCCGACGCTCATCTCCCTCTGTAAAGACGGATACCGATGGTCGCAGGAGACGTTCCCAACCGTCATGGCCGTGATTTCACACCTGCCCTTCGCGCTTGTTCCGTTCGCCTTTTCAATGTTTGTCCTAGTCCAGGCACTCGTTACGAAAGGCTGGGTCTCGGTCTTTGCATATGGATGGGATCACTGGGTGCACAAAACGGGCACCATCGGCGCCATCGGTGGTATGGGCTTCCTTTCGGTGATCTTTTGCAATGTGAGTCTCCCTGAGACTATCAAGTGTTGTTCATATGTGCTTATTTTGGTGGCTTTTTAGTTCGCAGGAACTAATATTGGTACAACGATCTTTCTATCACGAGTTATTCAAGCCTGGCAGAGGATACATATGGAGCCTAATAGCAGCTATATCAGCGATCGGACATTTTGGGCGACTGTTTATACTATGGCGCTTGGTGTCAACTACGGCGCCTTCAGTACTGCCTTTAGCGCATCGTTGGCAGGGCTATTATGGCGGGACATCCTCAAAAGGAAGCACATTCATATCCGTAGGATGGAATTTGCCCGTGTCAACGTTCCAATCATAGCTATCGCCATGACCGTCGGCTGCACGGTTCTCGTGGGAGAGGTTTACATCATAAGAAAGGAAACACCTTACAGCCTGTAAATACGTTTTCAAAATGGCAGAAACGGCACTCGAAATACATATAGACAACTAGATAACGATAGTACTTTAAAGACATAATACCTAGGGAGCCTGATCTTAGCGGCAATGTTGATTATACGTTCCGGTCCCGAGCGCCATCATCGATGCCGACCCGGCGGCATTATATTATAGAACATCAAGGGCACATGACATCAGCAGAACACATTCTATCTTCCCTGGCAACCGCAGACAGGGAGCGCACTTTCGGTTTGCCCGGCTTGTTCTCGATTAGGCACAGACCGGATAATCTCCTGCGGCCTATACCTGGTCCGATGTTTAATTGTGAAACCCCTTCCCATCTATGTCTTACCTATTTTGGCAGATAAAATCAGCCTTGAGAATAAGTTCCGGTCCCCTTAACATGTAGGTTCTTGCCTTTCCATTGGTATTATTTTCCTTAGCGTACCGCGGGTCTTCTTACAGGATTGGCGGCTGCCAGATTAGAAAGTCTGTACCAGGTTCCACTACTAAGTCTTGTAATTGACACAGTTACACCTAAATGCCCCCCAAATATTGATGAACCATTTTACAAAGCCTCCTCCAACGAGTACGAAAAGTTTACGGGCCCAATTAGTCCGATCAGCTGTGCCTCCAACGATCCATACAACTCAGGCCACACGGCCCTCAATTTGTTCCACAGCGTTGTGGCAACGGTAATTTCGAGATCTTATTGATTCAATTGTCAATGAATGAATCGATCATTGGAATGTGACTGGCAGGAACTCACAATTCACACCATCAAGAACCAGATCCGTCACGTCGATAGGCTTGTTGCCGAACCAGTCGACTGAGGTGAGAACCTGGCCGTTGAGCCGCACGCCCCAGGTACCCTCCACGTGGCCTACTTCAAGAAGGACCCGAGTTGCCGAACTGGTTCCCTTGGTGAGAGAAATCGTGGTGGCATATTTGCCAATACCGCTGGCGTTGATGAGGCCGGTAATGTTGGGCCAAGCGGAGAGCTCAGTTAGGGTTATGGGGTCAAGGTTCTCTTTGACGGTGTCAGGTGAGTCTAGACCCATTTCGTTGACCTGGGCAGGACGCCAGTCTTGGACGCTGAGGATCCATTTAGAGGGCGAGGTTGAGGAGGGCAGCGAGGAAGGAGATAGGGTAATGTGCGTGCCATTGGATGTGGAGGCGCTACAGTTAGATTTTGAGGAAATGTAGATGGTCCCATCTCGGACGTAATTGTCGCAGTTTGTGGCCACGAGGGGATTGGTGGGATGGGATGCGCCGAAGTCGTTGTCGGGTCCCAAGCTGATACATTAAGTCAGCGATTATGCCTAGTCCCTGCTCCTGGCAGGGTAAATTGATTTGAAAAAGAGTTGAAATGGGAGGAGCTTAAGAGACATACTAAAATACAGCCACGGATGTGGGCTGTATGGTCGAATTTACCGAGACGTAGCCATCTGAGAAGGCGAACGCTGCCAGCGGGTTGACAGACCCACCCCACAGGTTGATTGACAATGGGTAGCCCTCACCCTCTAGCTCAAAACCACCATCAAATAGGTCATGACCGTTATTATAGACCCAGTACAGATACCCCGAGCCCATAGTGCGACGATATGTGATCAGGCTGGCGTTCTCCCTCGTGGAGTATCGCACAGAGGGTTGAACACCCAGCCTACTTAGGGCACTCGGAACCGCGGTCTTGTCGGAGACTGAAGTAGTAGTCGACAGGCTTAATATCTCAGATAGAAGGTCACTTAAGCGTTTGAGCTGGGCGGCGGTATCATTGCTGTAGGAAAAGGTTGCGTTGGGAAGCGGCTCGACAAGTACGACGGGCAGGCCATTCTGGGCGTAATCCAGCAGAAGCTTAGCAACGCTGGCGTCCATGGCCGGGCTATTTACCACCATGGCTTTGTAACTGGGTCCCAATGGTGCAAGACGTGCTTCGTCGACGGTGATGTTATGCCTGATGAGCAGCTCCGGTGTTGGGAACTGGTACGAGAATCCAGCCGCGTTCAGCGAATCGTCCGGCCACTCGCCATCGATGCCCCATGCGTCATTGAGGATAGCCACGTCGATGGAAGGGCCACCGTCTTGGAGTAATTTCTGCGCGTGGGCTAGGTAGCGGCTGGCATTGGTGGCGAACATCCACTGAGGCTGGCGTGGGCCCCAGGCGTCGGCGAAGCCGTTTGAGTTGGTGCCAAGGGGAGTAAATGCAGCGAAGCCTGGCCAGCGACTGTCCGGAGACGAGCTGTAGGGGAATCCATGGATGACAACTTGGCTGACCCCAGTAGACATATCCAGGTTGGCTGTGCTAAGAAGGAACTTCCATGTCATCCCGTAAGCTTTCCCCATGTACGCACCAAGTTCGTCCGAGAGGATCGTGGTAGATCCCCCAATGTCTCTGCCAGTGGCCAGAACGCGGAAGGCGTCAATATTGCCCTCAAACCCGAGCGACTCGCCCTCTGGGATATCCACCAGGCTTGCGGCGTAGGTGCTGTCGAAAGACGCGGTGTACGGCTGAACACGGAGTCTCATGCCAATACTGTTGGCCCAAGCCTTGAGTCCTCCCAGCCGATACTCGGTGTACAAATCCGACACTGTCTGGTAGAAGTCGTTCGTCACTTTATCGGAGATTTTAGTATCCCCCGAAAAGGAGTTCGTATCCTTGATAACGTAGAGTAGGAACGGAGACAGGTCGTAGCCCCGTCGGGTCTCGAACTCGTTGAGGAAGTTCAGCGTCCAGTACTGTTTGGTCTTGAGCTCGAGTGAGTCCTCGAAGATGGAGCCGTTGTTTCTACATTGAACTTTCCTTAGTGATTTTTAACCTGTTGAAAGTACATAGGCTGCGAATGATACCCTTGAAGCAGAAGGTATGGAAAATAGCTTACCGCGCGAGGCAGGCGCGTACATCAGTCGTCAAGACATGCTCGTCCCAGAACCTCACGCCAGCCTCCACGCCATCCTTGCTGAAGTGATCTACTATATAGGCTGGGAATGGATACGTAACCTTTGGGGCATCCACGTTTCCTTTCATGAAGATTAGTCAAGTTGTCAATCGGAATGTGAGGTGATAAGGTTCTTGCAACGAACCATCGTATATGTTTTGGATCTGGCCAGTGCCGCGTCCATATGCTGCGACCAGAATGTAGTCTCCGTCGCCAGGAGCCGTCCAAGAAATAGTGCTGTTGGTAACCCTGCTGGTAATGACCTGCACTGTCGACGGATCAAAGGCCACCGCCGACGTTGTTTCGTTGATCGATTTGACGCGGGCAAATAGGACTGCAGCTAGTTTCGGAGTCGCCACGACGTTCGGATTACCAGTCTCGTTTCCGGATGGTGCTGCGACGGGAATAGGCAGTGCTCCTGTATAAGTCTGACCACTCTGAACAAAGACCTGGCCGTGGACAAGCTCCTTCATGGTCTCGGGAGAGTCTGGAGTGTATCCAGGGAATCCTGTTGGCCAGTGCGGACCAAGAGTAAGGTCTAAGTGTCCACCAATGCTGGTCATTCCCATATCCAATAGTCAGCCTCAGAACTCCTTAAGGTCTCCCGAGGCAGGATCAAATATTCATACCTGTCAGCATGCTCACACGCAGCAGCCACACCTGCGTTCCATCTGCTCTGTGCCCAACCATAAACTTGAGGGTCCATCTGAACTTTGATGCTATCCTCGACGTCCCCAACCTCAGCGCCTCCAAATCCAGCGTCGATCATGGCCACGATCTCAGATTGGACCTCTGCTGGCTCGATCCAGCCACCAGGCCACCACCACCTGAACCTTGGCGACTGGTAGGGCGATGGACCTCCGATTGCACCTACACCTGCATCTGTGTCACCGGGCTTGAGGTAACTCACCGCCCCAGTAGCAGAGTGCAGCAGGAGAAAAACAGCCAACCCGATTCCCAGGACCATGTTGAATGAATAACGAAAGCCCACAAACGTAAGAGGTATAGGCTCGTGTTGTGTTCTTGTTGAGGCTGGCTGCCAGTCTCCTGGGGTAGGGAAGCCCCCGTAATGTTACTGCCGTATTTATACATGTGGTTGAGACCTTGTTCGTAGTGTTTGTAAGAAAGAAACCAAGATATAGATTGCACGAAATCCCAACACCCCAGCGCGACAGATTGTCCTCTCGGTCCTCTTTCGCGCGACATAGCGGTTCAATAAAGTCTGACCTGAAGCTTACGTACGCGTATAGGGTCCCAGTAATACTACTTTATATTCACTTAGAAGTACAGGTTGTATTCACTCCTATTTTGTCTGGGGATGACGTATATCCCTCGGGTGTGGAGTAAAACTTTCGGCTTTAATACTACCGTAAACAGTTGTATCTAAGTTGAAACCACATGTATTATATCTCAGAGTCGCGGGTCAATTACCTGCGAAGGCGACGCCATCAGTACACGTAAGATCCTTTGGTGTCGGGAAAGGGTGAAGTGAGGAACTCGGCGAGTGGTCATGTTAGAAGTCGTTGTGAAGCACACTTCCCCATATTACCCCAGTTCCCCACACCTTCCCCAGAACTGAGATCGACTTTCCACCAAGGCGTCCTCAGCAAACCATCCCAAGACTCCGCCTTTCCGGCAAGTAACACCGGCAGAACAAGTGAACTCTCATCTTCGATTTCGGGTTGCCATTTTGGGGGTTGCAATAAGACCGTGTGCTCAGAACTCATGAGACTAGAACGTCTCACAGTAGCAGATCACAACAACTACTTCGCGAGCTCCTGGCGCAGGCACACCGGAACACAATTTTTCCTAACCAAGGCAACCCATGGTTTTCTGTAAGCTATGCTGTGTAGGGCTTTGCGCCAGTCAGAACCGTCAAGCAGCTGCCGGGACCAGAGAGCTACCTACCCCTTTCCCTGGCTGAGCGTTTTGAAGTGCTCGCAGGAGATGTATTCGTATGCCTCACTCGTCAGAACCATACACATAACCAGGATGTCTAGGTCTTGCCTAAGTAGGTCGTTGACGCGAAAACTAGATTTGCTGTGGAACCTTTTGAAAAGGATCAGATCCTCCTGGTCCCTGGTCCCTGGTCCCGGGCACTCAGTCGCTGGCATCCCCTCGCGCCTCTGACGCAGTCTTTGGGCTTCGAACATTGCTACGTGGGCCATGCTGAAATCCGTGTGTTGACCGAAAGCCTCGATTAGACGATAGCAAAATTTCTCGGTTCTCGGGAGCCCGCAAAATCCTCCAGCGTCAGGGGGTCGTGATACCATGCCGTGAGTCGTCGTAAGTGGAGATGCTGACAAGAGTATATTTATCATTTCCCTTAATACAAGGCCGTCAAGCAGATGGGATCTCAACTGAAACCATCACCATCCCGCCGTACTGAGATGAGGGATTTTACAGGTGGATATATGATAACACGCCATCCGCGGTTCAGATCTCAGATGCTTCGGCCAGCTCATCATTGGTCTTCTGTGGGACGACTACGAAGTGGCCTGCGTGCCCAAGCCAGGCCGATCATGACAGGCCCCTCAATAATATGGTAGGGACAGCCAATGCGACATTGTAGGGGCTTTCCTGGGCGTTGAGCTGGTGTTCCCAGCAGTCCCATACAGTCGGAGGCGCACTAGATTATTAACCGCGTTAGTACGTTGCCATAAGTTCCCAAAGATGAAGCGACCAGTCTCCCCGGCTGCCAACTATGTTTTACTTACTGGTTGGCCTTTGGCTAGGAAAGCACGCAGGCGGTTAGTGCTGTCTGCTGAGAAATTGGGAATCTAATTCATCACACTAACAATGCAGTTCTTTTGAGTGGCGAGCGCTCTCAAGAACCCGGTTGCTTCGATGGTAGCCATGGAGCTAAGCAACTGTGAATTATTTTTGTATCGTAGAAATATAAAATAGAGGAATATAAATCTTTTAATTAAAGTAAAATTTAGATAGAACGAGGAACCTTCGATTCATATTGAACCACCATTGAACTGACTATTTTATTTAGATCGCCCCGTTTTATAAGCATTTTGAAATTCTGTTAGTCTTTCAATGTTGTCTCAATCAGGGCTGTCATTGTCACAGAGGCCTTTTCTAGTGTTATATAAGAAGCCGAGTGAAGAATAATACAGCGATCCTCTTAGTCTTCAACTAATAATACATTAGTATTCAGTTAATATCTATACCATCCTCTTAATCGCTGGCATCCGGGGTTCGCGGAAGGCTTTCGTAAAAAACTTTAAACAGGCGGGAGGCGTAGGACACATCCGTTGGCACAAGACATCAACAATTCATAAACAATTTGTTCAGTTGGGAAGCAGCCTTCAACCCAAGCCGCCAGGGGTACCGTGACTCGGGTCGGATTGCATGGCCACAGCATAGAACTGCATCTGGTCATGCTAGTTGAGAAAGGACTCGGACAATTTATGTCGTTTTTAGCTAATTGGATCTTACAAGGAAGCCACAGTCCTTCATAATCCTGCATAAACAGGCGCCACGCCCGTCCAACAGTGATGTTGGACCAAAGCCTGGACCATTACAACTATCCTGATGCCACCCTGTCTGGGTCATTCTGACATATGCTCAACGCTGCCGGTTGCTCCGCCGCCCAGACCCAGTCTCTCGTTTGATAGGCAAACAGGCTAGATAGCAAGACTGATAAGCACGGCAGCAACACAGGCATGCTACGCATCCAACATGAAATACAAGATTATTCTAAACCTGCAGTAGACACGCTCTGTAAGCTTGTCCGCCACTACAATTCACCTTTTCATACAGTTCCTCGCCAAAAAACTAGCAGCCATCGAGAAAGTCCCAGAGAGCCAGCACAAAATGGGGCTCCAGCTCCGCCGGCGGCTAGAGCTCCGCTCCGAGGGCGACCAATACGGCACAGATGGGAGCCGCATCTCAAACAAAGACCTGGATCCTGTGCCACGGGACTCGCCACAGAGGACGTGGGGATGGCCCAGCCTGCTCGGGTTTTGGATCGCAGAGGCCTTCTCTATCTCGATGTATCAGGGTGAGTAGCTCAGGACTAGCATGCATGTACTGACATGCACGAATGACCTATGCGAGAGAACAGGTCAAAATCCGCTAACGACTCCTTTCGAAAACACAAAGTGTCGTCTACATCTGTCTCCAAAGGCCTCAACCCCGGCCTCGCTATCTTGGCCGTCTTTGTCGGGCACTGCCTCGTCTGCGTGCCAGCCATGCTCGACGGCTATGTCGGCTGCGTGCTGGGAATCAATTTCCCCGTCCTGACTCGGGCCTCATTCGGCATGCGCGGCTCCTACCTCGCCGTCTTTATCCGTGGCGTAGTTGCATGTATTTGGTTTGGAACTCAGTCCTTCCAGGGCGGGCAGTGCCTCGCCGTCATGATCTCGGCCATCTGGCCGCAGTTCGACAACATGCCCAACCACCTGCCTGCGTCTGCCCATGTCACTAGTGCAGAGCTTCTGTGCTTCTTCCTCTTTATCTTTATCCAGCTGCCGCTGCTGTGGTTGCACGTCAGCACTCTGCGGTACATGTTCATGGCCAAGACGCTCATCATGCCTGTGTTTGGCCTAACGCTGTTCACTTGGGCCCTCGTTGCAGGTAACAACTCTTTTCCGGCACGACAAATTAAAAGACTAAACTGACAGCCGGACAATAGCCAATGGATTCGGCCCAACCTTCTCGAAACCCACCCACATCAGCGACGGCACCCCGGTTGTGGTAGTATTCTTTCAGTGCGTCACCTCCGCCATCGGGCCCAAGGCCACCCTTGCCCTCAATATGCCCGACTTCACGCGCTACGCGGCCTCTCCCCGGCATGTACTCTGGGCCCAGGCTGTAGGCCTTCTCGTGCTTGTGACCATGTGCGGCGTCGTCGGCGCCACCGTGTCTTCGGCGTGCGAGGTCATCTATGGCCGCGTCACCTGGAACCCGCTCGAGGTCGCCCGGCTGTGGGACAACCGCGCTGCACAGTTTTTCGCTGGGCTCTTCTGGGCTTTCGCCGTGGTGGGAACAAATATCAGTGCCAACTCGGTGAGCTTTGGGAACGACCTTAGCTTGTGGTTTCCCCGGTACGTCAACAATCGGCGTGGAGCCTACGTCTGCGCCGTGCTGGGCGTATGCACTATGCCGTGGTACATTCAGTATAGGTATGAAGCTCTGGGTGAGATATTTCCCGTAGTTGAGAGGCCCGTGGCTGACCATTTCTATCAGCGCGACATCTTTTTCTTCGTTCCTCGGCGGGTACTCACTCTTTCTGGGCTCCGTTGCGGGCATCATCGTCTGCGACTATTGGGTCTGTCGGGCCAGGAGCCTTAGAATATCCTCGTTGTACGATCCAAAAGGGACCCATTATTACACTATGGGGGTCAATCCCCGCGCCATCATCGCGTTCATCTTTGGTATCGTGCCGAATATGCCTGGGTTGGCCGTAGCCTGCGGTGGCAAGGGCATCCCAAAACAGGCCACATACCTATACAGCCTCAGCTGGCTGGTCAGCACCCTGGTTTCAGCGTCCACATACTGGCTGTGTTGGAAAGTGTGGCCTTTTCCAATTGATCAGAAGCATGAAGTGTGTATCGAGGGCCAGGCGCCGAAGTTCCAAGGAAAAGAGCCAGAGCAGATTGATGTTGATAAGCTAGAAATCGCTTGATGGAGTGATTATATAAACGAATTCAATTCTATTATTGGAGAAAAATCGATTATATAAGTTCCATTTGGTTTGTTCGAAAGACCCCTTCAATTAAAGTATAACGAAACCGAAGTATAGTTTCGTTACTGGTCTCTAATTGGGAACTAGTTGGATTCAGCAAAGCCATTTCATACTGAGGAAAGTCTCTTTCGGGACTGTTGCTGATATAATACATATGGCACAAGAGTAGCAACACGACGCGCATTTTCGAAATCTGGACTTCTCTGTTCTTGTCCATCCATATGATACCTGGTAGGATGTGCTCCAGTCATGTAACCAGCAATTTTCCTCCAATAGTGCTCAAACTCAGCATGTCGTTCACGAGTACATTCGCATCAATGTTTCTTGGTATGACATTAGGGTTCAGATTGTCAACATCCAGCAATCGAGATGAACAGTAGTACGGGAGACGACGGCATCAAACGATCTAAGCCACGAGCTGCACGCCAGGGCTGGTGTGCTTGTGACATATTAACTTCTAGGGTTGGCTAGGGTTGGTCAGGACAGTGCACGGGGTCATCAACGATGATGAAGAAATCCTACTTGTGGATGGCTTAATGGCGATAATTGTGGCACTTGAATTGCGATCCTTCGCTCAGAGACAGGCAAAACTATTCTCTGCTGAAGGTTTCCGACTAACAAGTACATATGTTGGGGTTGCACGTCCCTCCGCATGAAGTATCGCAGAGCTTAACAAATGTGGGCGTCTGGATCTGGATGGTGAACTCTCCGGCATGGTTGCTGACTCCGTCGATCGTCTTGTCGATGCTATACCAAGCCCATTGAAAAGTTGAACCCTGAGACCACTCTTCAACGATGTCCTCCCGCACCGCGAGCCAAACATTCAAGATATCGGCGCCAGCGTCCACCCAGGTGGCAGTCGTGTTCGGTGTCACTGTCGAGTATGAGATGTAAAAGCCCTTGACACCCGATGCTGTGTCGAGATACAGAGCACCGGAACTCCAGACCGTCTGGCCCTCATAGAATGGACCGGCACTGTATCTGCAATAGAATTAGCTGATGATTCCTTCTTTCGTGGGGCATAGCTGCCACAAATTGCCTTGTACTGACTGTGGGGGAAAGAGTGAGTCAAATCGCGCCAGGCTCGATTCGAGATCAGCCACAGAAAGCCCGGCACATTGGGCGGACGTTCCCGTCGAGTTGAAGTGGTATGATGTGCCGTCTTCTGCGCCGGTGACTGTTCCCTCGGATCTCTTAATCCCTATGTGGCTTGAGCCTAGAATGGCAGCGGCGACGAGACTTGTCGTGGAGATGGTTGGGACCAAAGCTTTCCAGAAGAACATCTTAGCGGCTTGGCGATTTCGGATGGGACTTGTTTCAGGGTAGGAGCCAAATTATGCAGATTCTTGACCAGCAATTTCTCTGGACGAAGTGCAGAGATTTTATACTGAGCAGTTCCTGTCGTCAATAATTACATAAGTGACGCTGTTGCCAAGCACATAAATCCTAATCCTACCTCGTATTGGGATTTAGTCTGCTGAAATTTGCAGTTCAGCTTCCCGTGCTTCCGTGCCGGGCGGTGAACTCCGCTCAGCTAAATCAGGTCAAGACTCATCGGATGTGCAGCCAGTGGCGTGAAATTCAGTCAGCACTACGCAGCGGTACGCATACGCTGTACTGAAATACGAGGCCTCCTTTAGCCGTGCATCTCTCAGCAACTACAAGAATCATTTCATACATATTTTGTGTTAAATCAGCTTTGGAAGCTGGGGTTGTATGTTGTTGCTTGGTTGAAAAATTGGAATCCTCAATGGACGAAAGCCAACAATGTTGGGACTGTAAAACGAATGCAATGAAAATAATAGTAATGATTGAACGTTTTAAGGTAAAGACCTGTCTCGCGGCTAAAACGAACAATTCTTGACGACTAAGCGTGCCCCTGTCCCTTTTCATTGTCCTTGGTTTGGAGGTGGGGGGGGGGGGAGGCCTCAGGGGCGCGCGAGTGTTATGGTTAGAGGTTAAACTACGCCAGAAGACATCATAAACAATACTAACGCTCGAATAATTCCCGTGTCCTCCTCTGTGCTGACCTTAGCGCTGAGGTTGAGAGGAGCTCCATAAGGCGCTCGGCTGCTTTCTTTTAATTATTGTCAATCTGGACATATGCTGTGTTACATGGCTAGGTCAAATGACATCGGAATCCTGGCGAGTTTTATCCTCTTCGTGAATTAAATATATGAGGAGACTTAATGTTACTTACTCTTCGACCGTGACCTTTGCAAAACGCATGTTGGCGGTTCAGGTAATATAGTTCTTAGCGATGTCTTTGGTGATGGGGGAACGTGTTGATCAGTTCCTTGTCATCGAGAAAACCTAAGACGGCAACTGATTCTTTTAATCTTGGCCACGCCAGGCCCTGACTCGTTACTTTCCTTAAAATGCAAAGCACGGTCAAATTTGCAGTTACCTTGAGATTGTGGTGAGCTAACGCACTCACGATCATCGTTAGCATTTTGGATGCAGATGCTGGCAGTAAAGACTGAAAGATGGCAATCGTTAACTGACTGGAACATTTTTGCGCGACTGGTGACTCGGGATAGGCATTGGTGAAAGTGGAGAGAGATTTTGTGCACGCAATATTGCTGTGCTTGTCTATTCAAGTATCTCCCAATGGACTCTCTCAGGCTTAATCCATCTCGCTGCACAGCATCACAGGCACATGGACATGCAAGGAGTACATATAAGCAGTAATTCTTGAGCTTATGAGATATTGTATAACTAAATTACATGAAGAAAAGATATGAAAGTATAAACAAAACAAAATCTATTTAATCTTAATATTCTGAAATCTTTTGCTATCCAATTTGTTACAATGCTCTCTAATAATAAAGTCGAGATGACAGGATGACCCTTTATGCGCCAGACTAACATGTCTGCCCCGACGCCGCTATCTCTACAGCTTTTGCTGAATAGTTGAGAGTAGTAATTGGCTCCAGAACTTCGATGATGTTCCAAATCTTCTTGCCGTCTTCGGTAAAGTCCCAGAACCAAGACACCTCCACCAGATACTCGTCCGTGCCGCACAGGCTAACTCTGTACTCCGAGAAAGCAGACGCCTTAAGGTTTCGCACATCTATCGACGTGAAGAGCACGGTCCAGTTAGCTGTCTGTGTGACGGACAGCTCGCTGGCTATGCCGGCCTCGTATGCGGTATTGTTGAAAAAGAAGTCCCGCGGGAACCCAAGAGCGTCAGTGAAGGTGTAGGGGCGCAGGTAACGGCGGCAGCCTGGCGTGAGGGTGTTGGAGAGCACTGACGGCCCGTCATCGGGCGCCCGGTCGTAGTCGGCGAAGAAGGTCTGGATAGTGCTCGCCATGGCGGCGTACAGATTGCTTGGCTTCACCATTTCCGGGACAGATTTAGTGGATCCGTTCCCGCGGGGGGGGGGGGGCTGTCTGGGGAAACAGAATGAGATGAGAGGAGAGGCAGCGCAACGACCGACCGACGAGGAAGGTAGGAAAACATTGTCGGCCGTGGACGTCCGTTGCCGGTGAGGAGGCGGCATCGTGCTCGCTTTTTAAACTATTTTCTTACATGCCTGTTGAAGGATTGGAGAGCTTGGCAGCGCAGGCAGGGTTGCAACGGCACTTTTTTCTTGCATGCTTGCAAACCCTTGCTAGAGTGACTGAATACCACCAGGGTCCCAGGTCCTGAGTGCTACTGTGTAATTACCGTGGAAAGATACCACACCCGCTTTGTCAAGGTGTCGGGCCGTCTTTTGGTCACTGAAAACAGAATTCTCCTCAGGAAAGTGCAGAAGATATACATGGTGTCATTTCTTGGCCTCACACTTGAACACTAGTGAGGCTTTTCGGCTACCATCATCAGATTCCTCGGTGAGATCTTATACTCAAAGATGGGAACAATGTCCACGTTGCGAGCTCCATGCTCGACGAGAAACCAGTAACGATCAAGAGCAATAATGCTCTCAATTACTTTACAGCATAGCACACTCAATGTCCACAGAATGGATATCCTGCCCTCATTGCTCGCGTACCGAGTCTCATACTCGGCAATGTCCATCTTCGAAATCGTATCCTGTTCGACACCCAGACATTCCATCGCACGTCTTGTGAAGCTCTCGAAGTTGGCCAAATCGCTCTTCCTAGTGCCCCAGTTTGGCTTGTCGTTGATTTGAATACCCTTATCATGAAACATCTTCTCCAATAAAGACCGGTAGAACTGCTTCCTGGAATATATCGACTTGGGCTTTGTCAAGTCTGTCCTCGCCCAATTGTTAGGGGCCTGGCAGCTCGCCATTAATGCCGTGGATGTCAGTGTCACGTTCCGCTTCCTCAGCCGCTCACTGATAGGAAAGCCATCCGGGTAGCTGTCTGAGCGCATCACGATGTGGTTATAGCAGCATCCAACGGCTCCCAGGTGAGTAATGGAGAGGCATGTGGCGAAGTACCTAAGCATGTGCTCGGACAGATTGCCGCAGGCGTGAAGTCCCACAAGTAGGCATTTCTGCCCACTCGCCCAAGCATCTATCTCTGAGGCCAGTGTTATTGAGCTGTCAATGTATCGAACAAGATGCTGCATCCTGTCTTGTGTGATACCGAGAGAGGTGGCAAAGGCCTTTGATCCGGCTATCTGAGATTCACTGCCATCGATTGCCAGGACACGGAGAGACGGGAACAGGTACGCAAGCGTGTTGGAGAGATAGCCCTGCCCGGAACCCATATCAATGACGTGAGTGATGCCGCTCGCTTGGCAGATGGAATGGATGTAAGGCGCCGCAACAGACACCTCGTTGAGTTTCTTTGTCTCCATGTGGTTGGTGAGAACTTCGGGAAGGGTCAAAACTGGCCCTTTACGCTGACTTCGAGGCAAAGAGACCGACTTTAGCTTCTCCAGCCATGATACAAGCCCCCCCGGCCGGCTCAGAGCGCTCTCGTAGCCAACAGACTGACGCGCGCGTTCATCTTCGTCGATACTGTCAATCATATCTCGCTGTGCGACTCGAGAATCTGAGAGTGAGTCCCAATAATTGGTCCATTCTGCTGGAAGCTTGCTCCAGGCATCGTTGATGAATGCATCATTCACGTGGACGCCGCCTGTGATCTGGCGCACCAGTGGAGATTGGATAAAATCGATAAGGTCATCAGTCAACTGCTCGATGCTGTTATAAGATCGAGGCAGGACAGGCGCTTGCATCTTCTGCCACGTACTCAAAACTTAGCGCGGGTAAAACTGGTAGGGTGGAGATCACCAAATTTGACATACCATTGGAAGACTGCCGGGTGCAAGTTAAGGCTGGGTGGCTGTGGGCTAGGGCGGTTGGTCCCTGCAGGCTCCCATGTGGGTCCCTGCAGAAGCCCCCTTATCGATAAGGCCCGCCTGCCTCTGGGAGCTTTTAAAACAGTGCCATTGCGGGTAAAGAAAATATGTTGACGCCAAAGGTTTAGAATTACTAGAGAATCTTCAAATCCTTCTCGCACGCCAACAATGGCTCGATACTTTGCGCAACAGCGCGCTGGCCACTACAAGTTCTCACCGGGCCGATGCGGAAACAGAAGATGGATCTTTATAAGGGAGGATATCAAAGGTTCACCTGAATTGCCATTTTACTGAGATGTGAGATCAGACTGCTTTGGTTATGCAGCCAACTGGAACAAACCCGTACTGGCCGGCTTCGTCTGAGCCGCCACCTAGCCGCGGGCAAACCAGCGAGCAATGAAGTCTGCACGTACCCTCCCCTCCTCCCCCTTTTGTACTTTTTCTCTCATTTTTCTCTCTCTGTTTTGGTTTAAGAAAACTATGGCTTCCTGCAGCTTTGTGAGTTTGCCGACAGCGGTGAGGGAAATCGATGGACCGTGCAATTGCATTGCATGCTAAATACGTTCCAAATATTGAAAGTCTCTGATCCAAGACTCGGAATAGCACAGAGCAACATTAATCCCAGGAAAGGCGACACGAAACTACTTGTTCCAGCTTGAGTCAATATCTCGGGCCTCCGAGACATAATTTCCATGCCTTGTTCTGCTGGTCGTTTTGATCCGAAACGCGTACTGCGCGGCCTGGCCGCTTTGATAAGGACAAGGCGCAACGTACAGTGAGTCTCTATAGGTTCTCGACGAGCCTTCCAATTGTTGTTAGAAGAAAGATCATCGATATGGAGCTAGCTGAGTAGTGGGTCGGAGCAAAGTCTGCCGGGTCTACTCAGGCACCTCTCCTTTTCCTCGTTGACAAAAAACGTGGCCTGCTGTGTGAAAACCGAGAGCGCCCACATGCCACCTTCATGCTCAATCATTTTCTTCGATGCAAGTGTTCTTGCTTCAAGATGTCACCCAGCTTCAGACATCAGCCATGGCAGTCCTGCGAAGACAGCATAATCTATTTTAGGTCAAAAGACGACTTCCATAATATCTGCCTTGTAATGGATGGCTTAAACTCAGATACTTGTGGCTATTGGGTCTTGAATTTTAGTTTGCGTACATAGCCAGCGCAAGGACAATCGTTGTATCATGCCCTTGACTTGATGAAGTAGTTCAAGACCCACCCGAAGAAGTCGTGTTGTTACGCTCGGGCAAGATTAATCCTATTGCCAAGCCAAATGCTTTGCTGTCTGTAGCTGACAACAAAAAGAGCCGAACCTGGCCGCACCCCTGGCCAGCCCAGCTGGCCCGTACCATCAAGATAGCCTTTTCGAATTCCTTTGATAAGAGGCGCATAAACTGAGAAAATTGAGAACAGGAACCGTGCTAACGAATGAAGTGTATTCACCGTTACAAATAAAAACAGAATCACAGATTTCATAAGCATGCATTGTCCTATCGTCCTGTTGCTTTGCCTTAGATCCGTTTAGAAACCCGGACATTCATATCTGTCTGTCTCCAAAGTATATAGGAATCTTCTCTAAATGGTCTCGACGGGTTGATGAGTTGGAAATCAAACTCCCGCAAAAGCTGAGCAAGTTGAACTGGTTAGAAACTGTTATATCACGATGATGATGGGCATACTTACCTCGAAGTAAATCTTATGGAGCTCAGTGTACGCCACGACCTTCCCCGCGCACATCCACCGACCCCCTCCGAAGTGAATGTCGATAGTCCGGTCCATTTGCAGTCTCTGAGCATCGTTGCACTCAAGCCAACGTTCCGGCCGAAACACTTCCACGTCCGCACCGAAAATGTCCCTTCTTCTCATCATTGAAAACGAATTGTGCCCAACAGCCGTGCCCTCGGGGATGAACAGGCCGTTGATCGTGTCGCCGCCAGGTGGGACACTCTTATAATGACCATAGGGCGCGGGAGGACGCATTCTGATGCCTTCGACAATGACGGCCTGCGATTGTGTGAGCACAACTCATCCTCTGCCATTAATCTTCAAGCTCAAGTAATACCACCTACCTGTAAATACGGCAGCTTTTTCGCCTCCTCTACAGTTATAGGCGACGATGCTACACCAGCCCTGATTGCGTCTTGTATTTGCTCCTTGAGCTTTTGATATACGCGAGGAGAGGTCATTAGATAGCCCATTGTGCTTCTAATGATAGTTGAGCTGGTCTCCGCCCCAGCGACCAGTTGAAGCGGGGCTTCGGCTATGGCTGATTTCTTTTCAACTCCATGGCGCATAAAGGAGCTCTATAGTCTCCATCAGCTCCGTGTATCCTCAAATTATTAGGATTGCAGATGGAACTCGAGCAGGATCGTTTGACACTCAGGCCGTGAGCGCCACTCGAAGCACTTACCAACATATCTCCGTGATTCTGCTCACCGCTCTCGAATCGCTTTTCAATTATGTCGCGGGAAATTCTACAGCAAGTTCGGTTAGATGCAAGTTAAAATTGACGTGTGTTGATGTGTTGTTGCCACGTACCTCATCAGCCGTCCCATACCGGACTTATCTGAGAACTTCGGTTTGAACGCAGCTCCCACGACGGTATTGGAAAAGTAACGCAGGAAAGGGATCTCAGAGAAGAGCCCGGTCACCAATAACAATTGGTCTAGAGAGTTTGTGTAATTGTATAAGTCGCCTTCAGCGTCCAAGAATCCAAATGCCTCCCCGTACGATAGGTCGGTAATGACATCCAAGGTGAAGTAGTACGCGACACGGGCGAGATCCACAGGATTGAGGTTGTCGCCTTCGGACAAATATCGTTGGCGGAGAACATTTTTCAAATGTACGATCTTCGCCTCGACCTTCTTCTCCATATCCATTTGATCACGACCAGCGTAACCAGCAGCCATCTGGGCTTTGACCTTATCGTGTGGTCCTGCTTCCAGAATGGTTGCTAGGTTGTCAGCCTCGGGGCTCAATCTGAGGCTGACCCACCATTCATCTCTGTTGTATTGGCTCCTAGCAGCTGAGATTTGGCGGAGGGTTTCTGGATCATCTGTCAAAAGGTAGTTTGGTCCCACTCTTACCAGACGCCCGTAATCTTGTATTTCCAATAGAGCAGGGGCGATGTGTGCTCTGAGAAGTTGCTTGACAATCCATAAGGAGGAGAAGGAGGCTAGGAAGGGACCAGGGACGTGGGAAAGCCGGTACCAAGCCTTGAATGTGGAAACGAAGCACCAAGTGATAACAGTAGTACCTGCAAGGACGAGGAGCATAGTTATATGTAGGCTTGGTAGGCCCACGTCCAATAATGCCATCTTTGAAGACAAATTCAAGAAATAGCAAGAATAGTATATTCAAGTAATCCAGACTGAGCTCAAGGAGAAGGTCGGGAGCGATGTTTAGGTTTTGGTGCAGGGACAGAACGTGTAGGAGCGGGGTTGTTGGTTCTCAAATGGATTCACAAGGGGAGTACAGTCTGTTTCCTAAATATTTTAATAGAAGCACTCCGAACCGCCATCTCCCGCGCCTGCAGGAGACTAGTCAGCTTGACCAACAACTCGACAATGACAATAGGTGGGCCGGGTGTCCACTTGGGGCGGAAAGGTAGTAGCGCATATGCAGGCAAGCGGAGAGGAGGGGATGATATCCGTTCTATCACTTTACTGCTCGAGAAAGTCTCAAGTCTCAAGTCTCTCATGTTATTGGGTCGTGGACTTGGCCAGTACTGTGCGAATTAGCACTCTTAACTTAGGAGAGGGAGAGGTTGTTGATCACGCTTAAGAGTCTTTAGTAAGCAACACGGGCTTCAGTCCACCCGGTGTCACTGCATGTCTAAGATAAGTTAAAACTTCGTAAAGGTTGTTGTTCCAAGTTGTGTGTTGTAAGAGTTATATATTTATAGGGAGAATAAATTAAAGATTTTAGATTAAAAGAAATCACAATAATAGTAAAATAAAAGAGATATATGAATAGCTGTATAGCCTTTTATTTTGTATAGCTAAGCTTACTAATCTCTTATTTAAAAAAGAGATGGTTTTAAATAAAGTTGCTACGGTAATATGCTGCGGATGGCCAGTTTGAAAGATTGAGGCTCTCGAGACTTAGCCTGCCTCTTGTTACTTCCATTGCAAATACTACCAAAACTTATATATGCTCAAGTCCCTTATACAACAAGAGGTCGCACTAATTGCAGACTTGTTATGCTGACCGCTTGGGACCTCTGTTTTGACTTCAAAGAGATGAGCCAGGTCGTGACGAATGATTCAGCCCTTACTTGCCCCCAAAACTGCCTTCTACCAGGTACTCATGTCGAAAGTTGCTGATTAGTGCAGTCCTCCCCCACCCCAACACTATCCCGGGGGTGGGGACGGGTTCTATGGCGCACAGGATCTCATACCATGTATTCAATGTGCATCTATGTAACACAAATAAGTAGTCTGGATGCGGGGACACGTGTGAAGTCGCCTCATGATTACTGGCGTGCTGTTGAAATATCGGCTTATAAATCCCAGCGCACCTATTCGACCGGTCTCGAAGCTTTCTGCGCCGTCCAGCACACCCATACTAACCCCAACTCTCATCAGTACACTGTATACTTGGGCGAGAGCACAGGAGCACAGGAGCATAGACATTTGAAACTATACACCAGCCTTTTAAACACGGCGAATGAGCCCTCAGAATGGTTGCAATGCCTACAAGTAGCTTATCGGTCGTCGTCATCGGCGGTGGCATCGGCGGGCTAACATCGGCCATTGCAATGAGGAAGGCCGGGCACAAAGTAACAGTCAGGGCACTCAGCAATACCTTTCCTTCTCCTACAATATAGTAGTGACCTGCACTCGCGAGTGCTTACATGATCTCAAACAGGTTTTCGAGAAGTACAGCTTGTCAGGTGAAGTTGGAGCTGCCGTTGGGCTCGGGTTAAACTCGCTGGAATATTTGCAAAGCCTTGGCTTTAATAATGCTAGAGCGAAGGTTTGTAGAGGTAAGTGGTATAATAGTATTGCGACTTGGTCTCCTCTTACCTAAGAATCAACCCTGTAGACGCTTTTCTTTACAGCTGTGGTCACCGGCTAACCAAGGATCCTGGTGTGAACCTGGCTACTAGCGAAGAACTCACAGATCCTCGATGGGAGGACATTGGAGTTGCTGCAAGTCTTGCAGGTAGAGGAATCTATAGGCGGCACAGTCTATCGACCTGATCTGCACCAGGAGTTGAGGCATGTGGCAGAGTCGCCACCGTCGAACAATGACGGTGGTGGAGATACCCCGAACCTGCCGTGCCGCCTTTCTGAATATACAGAGGTAGTCAGCATCGAGCCGGAGCAAGGCATCGTCTACCTGGCCGACGGTTCGCAAACCAAGGCAGACCTCATAATCGCCGCCGACGGTGTCCACTCGTCCGCAATGACCGTCATCCTGGGCGAGCCCTCCCCAGCTCTGCGGAGCAGCACCACGGCCGTCCGCGCCGTGATCCCCATCGCGAAACTGCAGCATAACCCCTTCGCACGGGTCATGGCCGACGTTCCTGGCCGTGGTACATTCAGTGTGGCGCCCGATCGCAAGCGGTACCTGCTCGGGTACTGGTGCCATGACTTCGAGTACCTCAATCTCGTCCTCTACGCCCTCGAGGATATACCGGGGATGGCGATCCACACGATGCGTGATGAGACAACCCCGGAGCATGTGGCGGCTGCCCTTAACGAGTTCCATCCTGACCTTGGGACGGTCTGTGACCACCTGGTGGGTGTTCTGCCTGTGTGGCGACTTTACACACGACCACCTGCTGCCCGATACAGCCGCGGCCGTCTTGTCGCCATTGGTGATGCAGCACATGCCATGTTATCGGTTCGTCATGTTTACACTTGATTGCCTCTCGTTTATCAGTAGATGGCGATGTGGCTGGTTGAAGTACCACTACTCACTGCGAGGCGCAAGATATCGGCTGAACACGTTTATTGTATAGCACATGGGCCAAGGTGCCAACTCTGCCATTCTTGATGCTGCGGCTCTCGGCACTCTCTTTGGAGACCTACCAGATCGATCAACGGAAACCATCTCTTACCGACTTCGCCTCTTCAACGAGATCCGAGTTCCACACAATTCAGCCGTTCAACTATGGTCGGAAATACCAATGTTTGATCTACCCACAAAGAGAAATGTTGATATTGAGGCATTATTGCCAGACCTCAAGCTCCCCGGTGAGTCCGCACGATGTTCTGCTGCTGGGGAAGTTTTCTAACCCGACAAAGAGACAACTCAAGAACTTGTAAATTTCTTGCAACGGTATGATGTTGTGGGTGTGTGCAGAGAAAAGCTTCAAGCTTCGGAGAAACCCGACCACAGGGCAGAATAGAATCAAGTTAATTCTTTGCATACCAGGATGCTAGGCGGCTAGTTGCTTGTTATCGTAACCAACCGACTTCTGTTAAGTTGGCTGTATGTCCCAGTGCGCCACAAAAGCGCTGCGTTCACTTTCGAGCTATGGCCAGACCTATTCACATTCCATTCACATCGGAAATGAATTTTATATACATTGTACAAGACTCCAGCTTGCCGCGAAATAACATCTAGTCCTTCTCAAGAGCAGCGTTTACCAACTCGTTGAAATTCTATTACCAAGTTAGTGCCGTAATCGTGTTACTGCTAAGTAAGGTACTCACAGGTGTGCCAAAACCAGTGACAGCATCCCAGCCAGCCTGAGCTGGGAACCCGGTAGTATTGCAACCATAGCTTGAGCCGATGGTGATGTCGGTAAAGGTCTTGTAAGCCTCCTTGTACAACCAAGGATTGATGAAGCCCAATGTTGGCTTGCCCGCGGCAATGAGGGCATCGTTGACTAGAGCCAGGATGCCCGCGACGGTGGGCGACGAAGCGCTTGTTCCTCCGACGCGGATGATGCTGCCGGCATAGACGATAACGTCGAGGTTACCCTGCGCTGAGATATCGGGATAGGCACGGCCGCTCTTGTTGTACAGCCCGTCATACGTGCCGTTCAAACTGGCGATGTACTTGTTGACGGTCGACGCCTGGTACTCGGGCTGTGCAAAGTAGTTGCTGAATCCAGCCCCCGAGGCGAAGCGGGTGACGGCTGTCTCGGGCGTGAAGTTGGCGGTGGCACCGATAGACGTGACCCATGGGCACGACGTGGGGAAGTCAGGCGTGAATTTGTAGGTGTTCTTGCCGTCATTACTATAACAATCACCGGATGATCCAACACCGGCATCTCCAGACGAGACTAAGTAGGTGACTCCGCGGGCGCCAAGCTGCGCAAAGCCCGAACAAACCCTCTCGGCGTAAGACTGTGGCACGGTCTGCTCGTCGTCGCCATAAGATGAGCTGAAGACATTTGGGATATCGTCTTGTGCAAGGATATAATTTAGGAAAGCCAGGTACGGTTCGTTGGTGTCTGTTGGGGTGCTCAGGGAGGGGATGAATGGTGGGCTTCCGCCCGTATTGTACGCAAACAGAGGCGTCGGAGAGCTGACGCCAAGGACCAGTTGAGCATCAAGGTTGCCTTCGACGTCGCTACCCGCGTCAACAAAAACAGAGGTGTTAGGGCCTTGGTAGTTTGGCCCGTCATCGATGATGATGAACTCAAACTCGTCGGCGGCAGCGACGGCGTCTGGGCGGAATGTCTGTAGGAAGGTCTTGGCATCGTCACGCCGACTTGTCTCATTGAGATAATTGTTGATGGCAATCGAATTGTTGTCAGCAGCCTGTGCAGTGTAGTTGATCGTGCCATAGACTGTGCGTAGGCAGTTGAGGGTGACAAAACTGGCGTTGCAGATTGCCGAGATATTGGCGGTCCCGCTTGCTAGCTGAGATGCAGGTTGCTGTTTGTACTTGAACTGGCCTGTATGCTCCCACCAGGTCAACTCCTGCTCGGACAAGTCAAACCTGACAGGCTTGTGCTCAGGCTTGGGCGTCAGGAACGAAGTCGTGGGTTGGACGACATCAATATGCTTATGAAGGTGCAGTGGCAGCGACCATTCTGTCGCGCGGTTGGCAATGTGGCCCCTGTCATGTTCATACTTCGAGTAAGTTGTCTGAAGTAACTCCTCGGCTTTTGAAATGGGCACAATGATGGAGATCCAGTCCTGAGCAGGCGAGTAAGCGATATCTCCGACGCCGTGTCCCTCGAGCCACCGGTGGACGCTGTCGATAGTCTGGTTTGTTGGGCGGACAATATCGGTGATCTCGTCGACAGACAAATGCTGGCCGTAGCGAGCATGGTCGGGGTCCGAGATCTCAAGTAGGTGTTGCTCGATAGCACCCTTGTTGCTCTGCTTTAGACCGATCTGGAGATTGATGATGTCGGATTTGTCTGCCGGGCCAAGACTCGTCCAAGACTTGGGGACGTAACGTCGCTCCTTGATGGCATAGTTGGTCGACGGAGAATCAGACGGCAGAGCTGTAGCGCCGATGACTATGGCGCCCAAGCCTACACAGAGCTTGGCCAGAGACATTGTGAGTAGTCAGGTCGTCGAACTTGGAACAAGGTACTCGCCCGGATGGGACTGACCTATCTGACCTTGGCGTCAGTGAGGAGCGACTGATATACATACGTTCAGACAGTGAATGACGCTGTTCGAGCTCCAAGCACTCATTGCCAACATAATGTCGTGCTCTTGATAGCGCAATCGGTCGTGTGCCCGAAGTAGAAGGTGATACCATTTTCCTGCACTCCTTGTGGATGTCGATCATCTCTTGTTTTTGTCGCTTAATTAGGCCTCCCGAGGTCTCCACTTATCACCGTATCATCGCTAACGACGCACAGACTGGGTGCGCACTAGACGCTAGCCTGATATAGCAGGTGTATATTCTACGGTATTGAATGAATGACGTTTGCAGAGCGAACTCGGTAGGGGTAGTCGCAGGTCCTCTCCAAGCATTGGCTGTACAGTAGTGGCCGTTGTGGGTGTCCTGATCTTGCCTCCTACAGCACTGTAGAGACCAGTCTCGTAGGCGGTAGGTCAGCATCGCAGCATCGGTGCCACGCGTACCCTGCCCGGCAAAGTGGGCGGTGGGCAAGCACGGCAAGGTAACACAACAGGTGGGGAGATGCCCAAGGCGCGCACGTCTGTAGCAGTCATATTAACCTGAGTGTCACGACCTGACAGGAATCGGGCCAACCAAGCCTAGCATATGAACATGTGGAGTAAACTTCCTTGTTTTTTCAAGAGTGCAGATATCGCTCTTCCAACAATTTGACCCATTCCTTTATGGTCACTTGCTTCTCCCCCAGGCGAACCATCATATCCATGCCTGCATTCTTGGCTTTGTTGGCACACTCCTCTGAGAAAATCAAAAAGCTATGTTTCTCTCCACACTCCAAGCTCGACCTGCTGAACTGACCTAGGCTGCCGTAGCAGCAACTTCCCAACTGGACGTCGGCGCAATCTTTACATATATATATGCTTTGAAAGTCTTCCGGCCAAGACCTATTGCAATTGCCATCGCAGCTGAAACCGGACCAACGCGCTTCTCCCTGCTTGGTCAAATTGTATAGAAGACCACAAGCTGCTAAAGCATGCTTGTTGTCGTTCACGGCCTTCAATGATTCGAGTAGCACCAAGCAACCTTGCCAGTCATTATGTGCAACATCGTCTGATAGCAGTCTTATTCCAGATGTGATCGACTCCTGGATCTGTCGATGTGATTTATCAATTTGACCATCAAGGTTGTAGAGTCGTGCGATTGCATGGTCTAGAAAGGTGTCAGGTGATCCATGTGAGGCCATATCGATACGTTTCCGCCGATTGATCTGTTCCAGCAGTTCAAGACGTTTGCGGACAAAAGCACTGCCTTTCTTGAACGTGCTAGTGTAGCTCGAAGCAAGCATACCGGCTACGCGTTCTGTGATTGTGCGTGCGATGTGGATGTAGTTCGCATCCTCTTTGTTCGGCTTCGGAAGTCCCAAGAACATGTTGGCATCGTCCTCCCATATTCTCAAACACTCTTCTTTGTGCACCAACTCGCTCTCCGATGCCTTCAAGTATAGTCTGCAGCCAAGACTGACGCCTTTGCGCGCCCGTACCTTGTCCTTCCGCGGGCTCTGATAATGCTGAGCGAGGCCGAGATAGAATCGCAGATCGTACCAAATTGCGCAACTCTTTTCTGCTGCCTGGATAGATTCCTTGTAGATGATCTTCAAGTCTTCTGGCTCCTTTCGATAACAATTGACAAGGTTTCGGTGGAAATCCAATTTTGTGGCGTGATTATGTAGGAGGCCAGTCATAACCGTGATCCCAGGCTGTCGCTGCGGCAACTGTCTCTTGGAGAGATCATCATACAGCTCACGCTGAACTTTCTCGTCTGAGCCCATGGTACCAATTAAGGTGTCAATGAGGGCATAGTGATCAGGAAATACTTCGAGAAGTTTCTCGCAAGAATTTTTGAATCGCCGCGTGCGTGCCACCGTAACTTCGCTAGGTGCAAGTTGAAGTGTCCGCCAATGAAATTGTAGGATGTTCCCCAACTCATGAGGTCGTTCTTGACGAGATCCACTCGGAGGATGTCCAAGAATGATCAAAATCTTGTCGCAATGCCGCAGGGCTTCCAAAATCCTGTTCTCGTTTACCAGTGCCTGTGCAAGGTACCAGTGTACTGTCCAATTCGCATCGTCTCTCTCAAGAAGGTTCTTGCTCTGTTCGATTACTTGATGGTAATCTTCGTAGTAGAGAATCGTCTCCAAAGCCCGCATTTCTGCAAGTTGTAAGGAACTCGAATGCGTGTCTGCCGGCCAATATTCCTCCTTGAAAGCAATACGCTTCACTTCAGCAACCTTCGCGCCAACATCATCTCGCTCGTACTGGAGTTTCCCAGCCTGTGTATCAGTGTTAGTCTTTTTGCTCTTTTTTGAACGCTTTGGCTGAGGGCTGCCGATATATTCACTCACTTGCTTATGGCAAGCAGCCAACTGTTCAAACGCCTTCCCGACGGAGCACTGCTTGTCCTGTAACCATTGATCTACCAGGACTTTGATGGGTGTCGCCAGAAGTTCTTGCCGTTCTATCGACTTATCAGGCTCCATTTGACTTACCCAGTCTAAGGTCGTCTCGACCGCACTTTTCAACCAGTTAGAAAATCGGTCACTGTCACCCCAGTCTTGACTCAACCACAGCTTGATAGCATGCTGACCCGTGAAGAGGGATTGCAGCATCTCACAGATTTGTGATTCTCTCCTCGAACTACCAGAATCTGGCTCGTGGTCGATTTTGCTGATATGCCAGAAAACATTCTTTATGGCGTAGTCGCGAAGAGAATCGTTGGCTGAATTTTCTGTTTCTTCAGAAGCCTGAAGCGATCTCAACAGGGAGCACGCGATTCTTGTGTGACCGTCGGAGCTCCCGAAGCCAATGAAGTTGCGATAAGTGGCTGGGCTGCTCAGTCTCGTAGATTCCATGCCATAGCGGCTGGCGGTCCATGTGCCTGGCCCTGAATCGATCTGTCCCGCAGAGCAGAAAGCGAAGAACTTGTCGAAATCGAATCTCCGGTACAGATCATCCCCACACACGAAGACTAAGGCATTTCTCACTATATCAATTTCTGACTTGTGGATCTTCTGTGTGCCACCGATGCCATTGATGTTTGGGCCCCCAGCACCATCTTCACTCCCTGTGTCAATAGGTCCTGTGTGATTCTCGGCGCTTGGCTCAAAGAAGAATGATGGGATTATTCTCTGTTCACATTCCAAGAAAAAGTTTAGGGTGGTTTCGGAAAATAGAATATCTTCGGAGACGCTCAGGAGTTGCCCATAGTATCGGAACCTGTCTCTCAGTTCATCCTCGTCTGGGGCCGGTCTACCTTCTCTTCGAAGCCCTAGAATTCCCCGAATCTGAGTCAATGTAGGCCATTGTTTCATCAAGACAATGCATGCAATGATTTCATTCAAGTCTTCAATTTCGTCGTCATTGAGCCTCTGATTGAGTGTTTGAATGTGAGCCGGAATCATTCGCTTGTAGTTGTCCAGGTAGTTATCGAGGCGTCTGTCGAACTCATCGAGGCTGGAACGTCTCTCTGGATCACTAATGTCTCGAAACAAGGCTGACAACATTCCGATATTTCCATTGGAATGGTGAAGCAGCTTTTCCTTGAGTCTCCATGGCCACTTCAAGTCTTTGGCGTTTTGGGTGCTGTCGAAGCCGTAGCATATCCAACCCAGTTTCTTGTCAATAAATGCATTAGCCATGTCTTGGCAATAGTCGGCCAGATTGATCCAGGAGACTGCTTTCTGCTCCTCCTCAGGGATACGCTCGGCAATATAGCTCTCTCTGCAACTCAAGAGTAGTCGAATATCCAAGCCGCCTTTGCTTGGTTTGCTAACCTGTCGTATGATTTCACGCAGTGCGGTGCGCGTCTTCTCTTCCATTTGCTGGTCATCTGAATGGATTTGATCTATGCCGTCGAGGATGATGAAGATGGATTGGCGACCAGTCCTTGGCATATAACTTGCAAGCCACTGCTGCCAAAGCTTGTCGTCCCTATCAGGTCTGAAATGGCATTGCGTTGATAAGTGTCCTTGGTAACATGGATTGGTTTGGCCAAATTGCCATGCAATTGACATTAATGCATCAGTGAGTCGAACTCCTGTCTTTGACTTATCCCCAAGCATCGGATTTCCTGGGACGGGTTTGAAGAAGAAGTAGCACATTGCTGGAGTGGGTCCTTTAGCTGTTGGAAAACCCACATGCACCTGATCCCGAAGCCTTTCGATTGCCTCCGAACAGATGCTGCTCTTGCCCGACCCATCATGCCGTGATTGGATGATCAGGATACGTTTACCACTCGAGCTGCCAAGATTGCTCCATTCTTTGAAGGCTGGATCATTTTGCAACCACGTTGCCGCTTCCGACACGAAACCCTGTCGGTAATGGTGGAATGCGGAATCGACCCAGGTCCTCCAGAAATCCGTCTGCTGACATGGTAGCGATTGGATGATCCGACTTCGATCATCTTGATGAACTTGGCTGCTTTGCAAAGCAGTGATTGCCTCATAGACGTCGTCACTCTTCAAGTTACGCGCCACGCTTGTCAACTTGTCGATGTGTTTAAGGTTGTCCATGATGCCATAGTCAGACTTTACTACTGCTCGAGCAGCTAGAATCAAATGTGGCAATGGATTTCGGGATAATTTGGCCTTCTTGATCTTATCGTATGAGATGCATATTTGAAGGAAGTCGCGGATGATGCCGAGTAGTGCATTATTGAGGTCGTTGCTAATTCCGCCTCGGGTCGTCGTGGCCACATTCCAAGTTCTCCTCACCATTTGCAGGCTGGTACTGAGTCTTTTAATAATATCAAGAATATTAGGAAGCCTGAAAAAAGTACGGTACGTCTTGACAATCTCAAATAAAATTTCCAGCCCTGAGACGCACACAGACCCCGCAGGGAACACCTGACAAGCCATTTTAGCAGTGGTGCAATCCAAAAAAGATTCGACGGAGCTCGTACCGATGGCTTAGCGGAGGCAACCAGCTTTGAAAGCTGGACACAGCAGTCTAGGACTTGGCAAAACTTGTCCCCGGTTGTTGTGATATCGCGTTCTCCCCTGATAGTTTGGCGTAACTTGTCATGCTGTTCGGCGAAGTTACCGTCTACAGGCTTGCCAGTGATCTCGTGAAATATTTGTGCGGCCTTTTCGAAGCCCTCTGGTACAGTGATTGGCGCTTCCATGATAACAAAGATATTGAGCAGATCATCTGTCTCCGTGACAGTGGTGATGCAGGAAGTTTAGGGATCAGAGGAAGCGAAATAAAGGCCAAATGTTTTCAGTTCTTTTAAAGTCGATCAAAAAGACGCTACGCGCCATTGACAAGAAGTTTGGGATAAACCAATAAGTTCGTCAGGTAGTTAAACACTTAATCATTCGACATGCGTTTATGCACTATTTTATGTTCACATGCACTTATCGTGGTCCATGATGGACATCTGAAGAGCTTAATCGAGATCATGTTCTTTTTCAGGTTAGTGGAATTCAATATACCGCCACATATTGTCTATATCTATCAAAAGCAAAACATTGGTGAGAGCACGTCTGTGTTACCATCAACTTCTACGGGCCCAGATTAATTGATTGGTTGATCGAGTGGCTGATTGCTTGAGACACTCATTCTTTTGAATCCTACCCCAGAGTCTGTTTCCGCAACTGGATTTCATCTGGGACATCTTGGAGCTGTGCCACTCAGAGGATGTACTGTTCATATCCGAGCTCACCACTTATGTGCAGCATGAGCTCGCGCTTCTGCGTCAGTCCGGGACAGACACGTTTCTTGGACAAATCCCGAGCTGGCTTCCTGTAGGATGGTGTGTGCGAAGATCTGTGGATCGTTTATAGTACCTGGCAACTTCTGGGTCTGTCCTTGATCTTGCCGCTCCCTTTCGTATCGATTTGCATGTAGCACAGTCTAGAGTCCCATCTCTCCCGACTTCGCATGGCACGTCCACTCCACTTTCAATATGCCGAGTAGACGCCAGTCTCTTGACCTGCGTGATGACTCAGGTTGTGATGAGGAACATCAGCGAGACATGGATGTGGGATATTATACAATTGCTGTCATCTGATGCAACTGCTGTCATCTGATGCAACTGGTGTCTCTGATACAACTGCTGTCATTTGACACAACTGCTGTTATCTGATCCAAATGCTGTCATCTGATACAACTGCTGTTAATGACTCCAACGCTAGCTGTGATGTCTCATCCTATTCTTGAGGACGACGAACTTGAGGGCGAGTTCGAGGAAGGCGCTTCAGAACCTGTGAATATCCAGAATCAGACAAAGGTGATCGAGGACCAGATCCGTCAGTTCGAGAAGAAGTGCGAGTGGGAGCTGGCTACGGAAGACGACGAAACGCTCTTTGACGGAAATCAAAAGCCTGTCGAATAGTACAAGAGAAGGCTTCGGGAGCTGGACGAGAAGGCGTACGATCACAAAGAATACAAAGCGGATACGGGCGCGGTGCTCTATAAGATGCAGGAGAACTAGGTAGAGTGAATGTCACTCTCACTTCCAGTCGTCCTTCTCGCGCTCACGCACGCCACTCTAACTATCGTGCGAGGGTCCTTGGCAAGGACTGGAAGATTGCTTTGCAACGTATCGAATTCAGAGAAATCTACGACTTCCTGGCTCGGATCTTGAGTCATTGGACCGGACAAGTCGTCGTGCCAATGTATGCAATGTTGACCTACTTGCAGTATCAAAATACTACCCCTACCCGTAGGACATCCCTATTTGCTGGATGGACGTGAGGTACCTCAACGTGAGAACGCTTGATTATTAAGCACATAGAACAGCATGTTTAACGACAATTCGTCTTTAGTTGGTTCTCACTAAGGCTCTGCTGGCTGGGCTTGCCCTCTTCTTTCCCAAAGCAGCCATGTTTCTTTTTTACCTTAAACTCTTTTCTGTCAAGGAAACTAACAGAATCGGCTTTAAAATTGGCCTAGTAATCGCCTTCCTGGTATACTTTACCCTAAATCTATCTCTCTGTTATTAAAACACTCTACACATTGGACAGACTTGGGAGGAATCAATATTGTCGGCTTTTCTAACGAAAGGCATTCTAATTGAAATTGCTATTAGTGCCACGTTTGTTATATTAGATATTTATACTTTTATTCTACCCCTGCCAATTGTTTTTTCTCTTAACATAACCCTGTTGAAACAAATCCAGGTACCAACATTTTTTGCGACAGCGTTTATGTAAGCTATTGTATTTCTACTACAGTATTGCAAGAGTGCTAACTGAGTCTAAGGGTATTGTGGCCGGTGTTATTTGCTTTGTATTTCGAGTAAAACTGCTCGGAATGCAGGACAGCGGTTGGCGGACGGGCCAGATTGCTATTATAATGTTAGCATGCCTTAAACTATTCACATCATCCCACTACACAAACTCCTAGAAGCTGAGTGTCGTTCGTTGGAAACTAGAATCGTTGAAAATAACATTGCCATCATAGTCGGATCAATGCCTGCCTTTGTTAAGTTTCTTCGAGTTCACCTGTCCGAAACTGCTTTCTACAAGTCGATCCGATCCAGACTCACTAGCAACAGTAGAGGAAGCAAAAGTCGTATTTACAACTCCAACTGGGAGAATTGGAGGCAGAAGCCAGCGCTGGAATTTTTTGGTTCCCCTTAAAAGCAGCAGCCACGGTGGCACGAGCTCTTAGACTCAGCAATCGCAAGCGGGTATCGCTAAGGCCAACGAGATTTGGGGCCCGATCCTGTCCAATGTCTCGAGTCTCCCAGGAATGACGCCTTTCCAAACCCGGTCATTCGAATTCCGTAGCTACAGGGAGTTCTTCGAAGGCACATATGGAACACTAGTTCCTCAACCTACAACAGTCGACTATCGTTATGATCGTGGAATCATTCTTTACGACAGCTGGCTAGTGAGCGCTGAACATTTAAGCGGTCTAAACATAACGGAGGTATTGGCTGAGATGGAGGGCAGTATTGGTGTCCAGATAATATCGCCTGGTGACTGTCTGGATAATGGGAGTGCGGTCTCGGCAAATCCAGGACGAGGGAGAGCAGCCGCACTTATTATTGCAAACAAGACCAATACTATAAAGGCTGCTGGCTAAAGACGACTAGCTCCCGATATAGGCAAGTATATTAGCGAGGCTAGTATTACTAAGCCTAATTGGTCGTCTTCCTTCTGGGGTACCAACTATCCGCGGTTGTCGGAACTGAAGCAAAAATACGACCCCGACATGCTAGACTATTTTGGATCAGCCACGGCATCAATGCGGACTACATTCATGTTGTCCATGGCCGAGCATGTATGGTCGACTCGACTCCTCCCGCACCAAGTGAATACGCACCTTTGACAGAATGGCGTTTCTCTGCAAATTTAACCACGGATGGCGAAGTTCTGTTCGGACATCAGGAGCTGACAGGATAAATTTTTCCTGGCCCCGGAACAGAGCTTGGGCTCCCTGCCGTGCCTTAGATCGGCTGAGTAGTTCCTTGTGTCTGCAGTATGTAACTGCATGTGAAGAAATCTCATAAAGGACAGGGCATACTCTGCTCACAAAATTTTGTCGCCATGGAGCTTTGAAACCTACAGCAGAAATTGATTGCAAATCATTACTATCCGCACATATACACCTATCTAGCTCACCAGGCATGATATCGTTCTGTTCCCAGCCCTGTTTCCACCTTCACTCATTAATTTCGATTGGCATGATTTGGCGAGCTCATTCCCTTCATGACATTGCAACCAAATAGTTTCTATGTGTTTGTGCGTGTGTGTGTATGAAGGAAGAGACTGATCGCAGACAGAGAGAGTTGGTAAAAAGCAACCTGATTCTTAATAAGCAGCAGTAGTGGTACTCTGCACAACATATCGCGCGGTCCCCTCATGGTTCAGCAACTCGGCGTCGTGACTAAACAGCCACTTGCGGCGGTCGTCGTAGCCCCAGAAGATGGGGTTTTGTTCGTTGCTGATCTTAATCTTCTCGTCACGCTCCCGCTGCTCGGTGCCGTCCTCGATATGCAGGATGTACTGGTGCTCACGCGTCTTGGCCTGGATGAGAGAAGCACGGGGCATGCGGATCTCTTCGTAGCACTTCAGGCTCTCTTTGAGGGGGATATCGAGAGCGAGGCATTGCCGAAGAACGGCGGCGTCCTCGAAACACTGCGCAGCACCCTGCGCCAGATAGGGAAGCATGGGATGACAGCTATCGCCGAGCAAGACGACTTTGCCAGAAGGGTGAACCCAGCGAGTGAGATTGGGCAAGTCGCAGAGACGCCACTTCATGAATTCGCCTGTGAGTTCGCAAAGCTTCCGGACACGGGGCTCCCACTTAGAGAAACGGCTGCACAATTCGCGGTTGTCGCCCTTGACAACCCAGACCTCGTCGGTCGTTTCGTTGTACGAGGTGGCACAGACGACAACATTGTACATCTCGCCGTTGCGGATCGGGTAGCCGACCAGGTGGGCGTCGGGGCCACAGCATGATGTTGTGCAGGGATCGTTGATGAGGTCGGCCAAGTCATTGTCGGCCAGAAGCTTGTCTCCTGGAATCAAGATGCGGTAGGCAACATCGCCAGTATCACGAGGGATGTCGGGTCGGCCGGTCAGCAGCGGACGGGCGACCGACTTGATGCCGTCCGCGCAGATGACGAGGTCGGCAGCGAAGACTTCGTCGTTCTCAGTGGTGGCACTCGGAGCTTCAAAGTCATACGATACGACGCGCTTGTTGTTGAGGATTTCAACCCCGGCCCTTTGGGCGGCCTCGAGAAGGGCGGCGTGCAGGTCGGCACGGTGAACCAGATAGTAAGGAGCGCCGTAGGTCTCGACAATATTTTCAAAGGGCAGATTGACCATCGTGGAGCCGTCTTCCCACCGAATAAAATGATAACGGCTTGAAGTCGACTTCTTCATGCTCTCAACGTCAACGCTCCAGCGCATCAACAGACGACTCGAGTTTGGGGGGACACGAATACCCGCGCCAGCCTTCATGAAGGTTTGTCAATGACTAGGTCACGGCCATGAATCAGGTGAGGGAATTGGATGCTAACCTCTGCAAACTCAGGGGCAGCGTCAATAACGCGGACTGAGTGGCCATCAGTTTGCAGGGTTAAGGCGGTGGCAAGACCGCCGAGGCCACCTCCGACCACGAGGACGTTGAGAGACCGTGCTACTTGAGGCATCTTTACAAACGTCAAAAATACGAACCCCCTTTGTTTGATTGGAGCTGAAATACGGCAGTAGAGAGAGAGGGCAGGTTAGGACGAGGTGTGACATGCAATATTAGAGGGTTTATCCATGCCCGCAAGGACGAATTATGAGAATCATTAATTCAGGCTTATCTGATCGCAAGATTTTGCAGGTTCAAATTGCAGACCCGATGCCCCCTCACATATTGGAAGCACGATTCCTTGGAGTCACACATCCAGGTTTCCCCACTCCCATCGCTTATTCATCGCCAGTACTCGATTATCTCCAGGCGCGAGGCAGTACCGTCTTACCTTGCAACTCTTACGGATGACCAAGAGATGAACCCCAACTCTTTCAGCCGTGGCAAAATGCGGAGATGATGGAAGACACTACGCGTCCAAATCATTCTTCATCTCTTTAGTTTTCCTCCGAGTTGAGCACATAGTAGGCTGATGCTTAGGGTTGATCATTTGTTCCTTTAGCTCCAGAAAGATCTGTCACTTAGCTTTACCTCCTTTTCGTCTTTCTTCTGTCTTTCTTACTCCCACGAGCTGCTGCGCTGTTCCCTGTGACGACCCTAACGACCCAGCCCCAACGGCCTTCTCTGGGCCTTTCGACCGTCGAGAAGCAAGGCATTCATCATGTCGAAAGCGCTGCCGCTGATGGATCCGACGACCAACATTGAAACCGATCCGGTTGAGGCCAAGAGAATTCTGCACAAGGTTGACTGGCGCGTCATCCCTTTGCTACAGTTTCTCTACATGCTGACTTTCCTCGACCGAGTCAACATTGGAAACGCTCGACTCTGGAACTTGGAGAAAGACCTGGGTATGAGCGGCTACCAGTACAACATTGTCGTACTTGGTGAGTTTACAGCTTTGCACGCACACCATTTTCATCAACGAAAAGACATAAACTAAGCCATATACAGTTTTCTACATTCCTTACATTATCCTTGAACTGCCTGCGAACTATGTATTCAACCGTGTCGAGCCTCGCAAGTTTATAGGTGTCATCATCTTCGGATGGGGCTGTAAGAGCAACCTCTCTCTCATCCCATTCCCAAGTCCAAGTCATCCTTGTGGTTCAGCTATCACTTTTCAGTAGAGCCGCACTGATCTACATTGCCTTTTGTGCTCGGTTTCCAATCCAGCAGACAGATCAGTATGCCTTTCGGCCAATAGCCACCTTTTCACACTAGTGAATTTGGGAAAGCCCGTGGGAGTACTATTTCGCAGTCCAGCCGTATTCACGAAATCGGATGGATTTTCCCACTCTGCTGAAACACCCAAGGCTAACATCTCTCGTACAACCATGATAGTGACCACCACTTTTGCTGGATTCTGCCACAACTTTGCGGGCCTGCTTGTTTCTCGTATTTTCGTCGGCATTTTCGAGTCTGGCATGTTTCCCGGCTGCATGTATTTGATTTCTGGCTGGTACAAGCGGCACGAGCTGCTTACACGTATGGCCTTTTTTTTCGTTGCCAACGACATCGCCGGCACCATCTCGGGCCTCCTGGGCGCCGGTTTGGGCTCGCTCGACGGTGTGCGTGGCATCTCGGGATGGCAATGGATCTTTTTCACGGAGGGAACTGTCACATGCCTGGCGGCCTTGCTCGCCTGGATCTATGTCCCTCCCTTCCCAGAGAACAGCACCTTTCTCACAGAGTCCGAGAAGCAATGGGTCATTTGCAGACTGCAGACCGACAATCGTGGCATGTCTCACGAGAATATGACAATCAAGGGCGTCGTCAACTCGCTAAAGGACTGGAAGGTCCTCAGCAGCGGCGTGCTGTACTTGGCTGTCTGCACAACTGCCTACGCTATCTCTGTCTTCCAGCCCACCATCTTGCGTACCTTTGGCTGGGGCGACCTGAAATCGAACCTGCTGTCTGCGCCGCCTCGTGTTGCCTCGGGCATTGTCTCGGTTGCTCTTGGGATCTGGTCCGACCGGATCCAAAAACGAGGCATTTTCTGCGTCTTCGGCTTTTCTCTTAGCATCATAGGTCTGTTGCTTGTTATGTTCTTAACTGGCGCGATAAGATACATCGGTATCTATTTTGCTGCTATTGGCATCTATATTGTTCAGCCTCTCTCGATTTCTTGGTGGTAAGCTTGCCGCATAGTAAGCCATTCCCATGCGTTGATACCATCTCAGTAACACGTCGTTTCAACTTAGTGCAAATCAAGTCACGAGCTCGACGAAGCGAGGTACCATTGCTGCTTATGCCGGATCAGTTGGCCAGCTGGGTGGCATTATCTCAGCTGTCGTCTTCCCCTTCAAGGACGGGCCCCAGTACGTTCCCGGTATTTCTACATGCATTGCGTTCCAAGTCTTAGGTATTATTGCCGCCGCCAACATGTGGATCTGCTGTGCATACGAGAACAGGCAGCGCGATCTTGGCAATCGAGACTATCTCCGTCAGCTGCCTCAGGAGGAACAGGACAAGCTTGGCGAGAGACACCCTGACTTCCGCTATATTTTATAAGATTCATACGTTATGCGCAACTTTAAAAACCTTAAGCCTATGTTGATAATGATATTGTAGTGTCAAGGGTGAGATTAATAATCGTATCCGTGTGAGAGAATAAAATCTAATCCTTCCTCATAAAGGAATCTTGGCCAACATCCTAAAGCGAGCTCACTTTCGTCGAGTCACCAGAATAGGAGAGTGGCTTTATTATAACATACACTATAAGAAGCGAACTTTAAGTCCAGTTCTAAGAGCACAGAACGAAGTCATAGAGTTTTATTCACACTTGTTCGACTCAGTGATAACCGAATAGCCAGCTAAATTTTATTAACTTAATTAGTTTTAATCTTTCTTTCCATCCTAGTTGGTAGGGCAGCATTGTTCTCTCGAAAGACACGAATGTATTTGAGTATATTAGCCTGTTCCTTGAGACGAGTCTTAAAATATCCAAAAGTTTAGGGAGGCGCTTTCTTAGTTAGTCCTGGTAGATTTATATGGATACTTGCGGAAAAGAAAGTATAAGCAGATATAAATAACAGCTCCAATCGCGAAAATAGCAGAATATACCGAGAAGCCCATGACGTATCCTGGGGCTTTTGATGATGTGAGGATGTATGTTCCATATAGCTGAGCTAGGTTGCCCATGCCGTTGATGATAGCGAGACAAATCGCACGAACCTCTGGCTCCACCGGTCCAAGAACTGTGCTAGTGTAAGACAGAGACAGTGCATTTGCTGACCAGCCCGCAGTGTTGATGAAGCACAGGAAGACGTATCGAGCGGCAGGGGAGGTGATCCCAGCAGAAAGAGCTGAAAAGAAACACCCAAAAAAGAGCAGAACAGCCGAGGTGAAGATGGCACGGTAGGAGGGTAGCTTGTCGGCAATGATGGAAAGCATGACAGCAATCACAAGAGCAACACCGTAGAATGGCGCGGTCATGTATCTACCGGTGTTAGTAACTAGTTTGTGAGCGAGATGTTCAAGTGAACTTACTGGGCATTTATTCTGTTATAACCAAGTTGTGCGGCGAAGGTAGGATAGAAATAAGCTAGGGATATGGATCCGATAATGACCATGTAACCTAGCGTCAATGGAATGATCCTCCAGTTGGTGGCAGCGGCTTTGAAAGCTGCCAAATGGCCTAGACCATGCTCAATCCCATCATTACGACTGGTGATACCGTCGGCACGAAGACGAGCATAAGCCAGCTGGCGTTCTTCAGGCCTCAGTCGCTTCGAGTTTAGAGGATAGTCGAGAAGTGCAAAGGGAACAATGAATGCGACAGCAACAGTAATGACACCCTCTATGATGAAAAGCCACCTCCAGGCTGCCATGCCCAGCTTACCGTCCAGACCACTGGTAATGGCGCCAGCAAGGACGCTTCCAAAAGCGCTAGACATGATACCAGCGCTGAGGAAGACAACAAGTCGTTTTGATTGCTCCCGCTTTCGATACCAACTCGAGATGATGAATATGACTGCAGGCTGTAAAGATATCACCAAAGTTGTTCTGACAATATAAAGAGGGGCAATTGGACGTACACTGAACCCTGCTTCAGCAATTCCAAGCAGGAATCTAAGACCGACAAGCTGTTTCCAAGTTTGTGCAGCTGCGATAGTGGCACAGCTAGTACCCCAGAAGATCATGAGGGCGGGTATAAAGAGGGATGGTCGAGACCTGGCCAGGATCATGTTGGAGGGAACCTCGGCGATGACATAGCCAACTTGAAAAAGAACGACGACTAGATAATAGCGACTGTCAGATAATTCAAGGTCGTCACCCATACCAGCTACTCGAGCATTTCCAATGTTAGATCTGTCCTATATATATTATCACTATCACGGTTTAGTAAAGAGCAGTGATGCGTAGATCGACTGACCATGTATGATAAAAGATAGAGAAGCCAAATTGTTGGGAGAAGGCACATGTCGATCTTGCGAAGCAGTTTCTTCTCCGCTTCGGTTTCCTCTTTGAACGTGGAGTCGTCTATGACAGCAGGATGTTGATATGTTGCAGCATCTTTTACTGTAGAAAGTGTCTCGTGCTCGTTGAGCGAAGTGGCCGTCGACCTGATTTTCGCAGCCATAATTTAACAACTGGTTTACTAATCGTGTAGGTAGGATGATACTTTGGACAGGAGTTAGAAGAGAAGGTGACGGAACGAAATAATCTGAGAAATGAGGAAGGGGGTATATAATGATCAACAATCCCAAAGAGGCCACGCGCTAGTCGGAATTGGCTGACTGCAGCGCTCTCATGCGAGCCATGCGAAACGGGATGAAAAGAGTGCCGGCCCTTTTCTCAAGAACGTTGAAGATCAGCCGTTAACATAGTCCGGGGCCCCAATGTTCAGTCTGTGGGACCAGATGCCCAGACCTTTCCCCTCACTATAAAAAGGAAGTTCATGTGGGCTCCGGGCGAAGCGCCGATGTTACCAAACACAGTCAGATAAAGTCGGCTTCAACCTGTGTCTTGAGAATCCAACATCATTTCACTGCAACCCCCTCTGTCGTATCCTCCAATCTCATCTCCATTAGCCATCTAAAACACTACGGCCAGCATGTCTACAGTAAGCCCCCCTGTGCCTGAAGTGTTTCCCACCTACCCTGATCTCTCAGGGCAGGTGGCACTCATTACCGGTATCGGCCAGGTTGGACCCCAAGACAGCCCTTTCTGGGGGAACGGGGCTGCCACTGCTCGTCTCCTGGCTCGCAATGGCGTAAAGATCTTTGGCTGTGACCTGAACGTCTCTGCTGCTGAGCGAACAAAGCAACGTCTTCTCGAGGAGACCCCCGAAGCTGTCGTCAATGTTGTCGCAGCTGATGTCTCAAAGACCTCAGATGTCGAATCACTAGTCAGTGCCGTGATGGAGAAGCATGGCAGAGTTGACATTATCATCAACAACGTTGGCCAGACATCAGCCGGAAACCCAGTGACCATGTCGGAAGAGATTTGGAACCGCCAAATCGACCTCAACCTTACATCAGTCTATCGCCTGTGCCATCACGTCATCCCCATCATGCAGAGACAAGGCTCTGGCAACATTATTAACAATGCCTCTATTACCGCTTTGCGGTACATCGGAAAACATCAGATAGCCTACGCATCTGCCAAGGCTGCCGTCATCCGTTTCACAAAGGCCATCGGCGTCATGTATGCAAAGGAAAACATTCGATCAAACTGTGTTGTACCGGGTCTTATGTATACGCCACTCGTGGACAATCTTGCACGAAGCAGCGACGTTGGAGACCAGGAGGCCGCAACAAGAATCCTAGAACACAACTGTCCCATGGGCTGGATGGGAACTGGTGCTGATGTTGCAAACGCTGTTGCCTGGCTTGCAAGCGGCGCGAGTCGATACGTGACCTCTCACGAACTTGTGGTGGATGGAGGTATCACGGAGAGTACTGGGACGGGGTCACTGGCTTCATAGCGTCGCACAGAGTTTGATCCCAAGCATACTGTACTGTATGAATGGTATAAATGACTGGTAGTTATAATTATTGCTGTTTGATAGAACAGGTACTTTTCCCGGCCAGCTTTTAGACTATGGTGTCAAGCAAATTACCCTGGTCTAAAGATACAAATCGAGTGAAGCGCTATGTCGGCGTACAACACCCGAGTCCAGAGCCTGTCAAGCGACAATTCCGGGTACCAGGTTTGCATTAAGCAATGCCACTCAATGCTGGCTGCCGCGTGCTCGCGTGGTGGCTTGACCCAATGATTCTATGTTCAACATGTGTGAGGTCGGGCAATGGAGGCTTGGTATTATGCTCAAAGTGGCGCTCCGCATCGGTGCTTGATGAGAGGTTCTTTCAACTAGCGCACACTTCCCTAGGCGGTTGCTGGTCTGTAACCGCCCCCTCCCCTCACCGGCATTGTGGAACCGATGAGATCTGTAAGAGGACTCCACATCACTCGGGCAAACAAGATCAACCCCGAAGCAGCCCCACGTCGATCCTGACGTGACATGGTGTTCGACGCGTCTAGGTCGCGTCATCGATGCCGACACAATCTGCTTACCGAGTTATAAATCCTCTGACCACAGTGATCTCGGTAAAGCCATGAATATAGTGGAATCGGCGTCTGCCGAGGAGCTTCGTGCTGTGGTCTTAGCACTATGCAAGGACACGGCGGTCACGTCTCAGATCGTGGGCCACATTAAAAAGCTCAGAGCTGCCAAGGCATATGCACCAAAGCCCGGCGAGAAGAGGAAGGCTTCGGATCAGGCTTTTATATGCGTCCGCTGCGGAGAGACTTTCAGCGAGAAAGCTAACAACTCTAAGGCTTGCACCTACCACTATGGCAAGTGTACATCAGGCCTCGAAAGACGGGGACACTGACCCATTCTCATGCTAACTAATATAATCTAGGGGAGATGGAGGTTTGCGACGACGAGGAGAATGACTTTTGGGCCGACCATGACGAGGATTGCCACGGACTCATAGACACAAAAGAGATGCGAGAGGAGTACCCTGAAGGTTTCACCTGGGATTGTTGTTACCAGGTTGGCACGGCGCCTGGGTGCACTAAGGGACATTACTACGCTATTAAGGGCAAGAGGATGAAGATCAACACAGACGAAGGCTCTGTTCTTCACGAAAACAGTAACTAGAATGTATCTGGTTGTAGAGTGAGAGCATGATGCCGACAGCAAGGACAAGTGCTAAACTTAATTTAAATTTACTATTCTTAAAACGAAAGAAATCGCTAGCAAGTTCTTATAATATAATAAATACTAATTCATCTTGTCGACCAGATCAACCACCTTTTTCAGGCCCCCTTCGCCTGCAAAATATTCGAGAACAGAGCCATAGCAATGTTTGCGGAACACCAGACGCGGATACTGGAGCGAGACAGTAAAATCTACTCTTAAAGCGTCCAGCCGTTCCAACACATCTCGAGGACAATTATACTTTGGAGTAAAATCGTTAATCGAAGAGATTATCCCACTCAGAGTAGATCCGAATCCTCCAGTCGTGATGGTAGCGTTCAGGTCAATGCTTCGTTCAGGTAGATCGACAAGATACGTGAGGGCGTTAAAGCTGAGCTTTGTTGCTGCGTTGATCGCGGCCGAGCCTTTATATGCGTTAAGAAACGCCTTGTTTAAATCTGCTCTGCCGTCCTCTATCAAGAGTGGTGCAGCGCTTAGGGGGTGCACTTAGAGAAAGCCTTATTAGGGTTAGGGTTAGGGTTAGGGTTAGGGTTAGGGTTAGGGTTAGGGTTAGGGTTAGGGTTAGGGTTAGGGTTAGG